TGTTGCTTATATAGACCAATTACCCCGCTTTTCATACAACCTCGGTTAGTTGAATACCTCGGTTATTACCTAATACCTGAATGACTAATATTTCATTCTGTTATTCAAGAAATATATTATAGATCTCATTCTGGATTAACAAAGACTATATATATAAATCTTATTAGAAGTGATTAAGACTTAGTTATAAGGGACTAAGGATAGGTCTATTTAAGGAGGGTTACTCTTATATCTACACTTACTGTAATTTAACTATCTAATTTACCTAGTAGTTAGTTTAAATACTTTCTTATACTCTTAAAGCTTAGACTATTCTAAGTTATAAATATAATTATCTTATTATATTCCTTCCTTAATAAGCTCTTATTATACATTATTCCTCTGCTTTAGGAAGCTAGACCCTTCCGAAGTGGCTTACACTAGTGAAGCTAGTTGGTATTGGGAAAGTATTCCTAATACTATGAAGCTGAATATATAGCCTATAAAGAAGCTATAAAAGAAAATCTATTTATTAATAGTTTTATAAAAGAACTTTATATCTTTAATAAGGCTATTAATAATAGTAAGATAATCTATATAGATAGTTAATCTGCAATAGTATTATCTAAAAATCCATTATATCATGCTAGAATAAAGTATATAGATATAATATATCACTTTATCAGATATCATATAGTAGAGAATAATATAGACCTTCTATATATTCCTACTAATAAAATGATAGCTGATAGATTTACTAAAATACTTATAGGACCTAAATAGTAAGTATTTTTTAGAGGTCTTAACCTAAAATAAATATAAGATGCCTGATCAAAATAAGCTATATATAAGTACCTAAATTGTCCTACTTATAATAGCTTAAGGGGGTGTGTTAATCCAGAATGAGATCTATAATATATTTCTTGAATAACAGAATGAAATATTAGTCATTCAGGTATTAGGTAATAACCGAGGTATTCAACTAACCGAGGTTGTATGAAAAGCGGGGTAATTGGTCTATATAAGCAACAGGACCTACCTCAGTTTTGTAAAGTAAGTAAAACAAAATATATATCTTCAATATATATAAGTTTTCTTCTATATAAATCTTACTAAGCATCCGCCCTCCAATGAGCATAGCTTAACAGTAATAAGGATATTAAATTTAGATTTATAAAAATATCCTATCCCTACCTTTATTACAGCTCTCCGTAATTCAACTATCTAGTTTATCTAATAGTTAGTTTGAATATATTCTTATATTCTTAAAGCTTATATTACTTTAAATTATAAATATAGCTATCTTATTATATTCTTTCTATAATAAGCTCTGATTATATCTTATTCCTTTACTCTAGGAAGCTAAACCCTTCTGAAGTGGCCTACATTAGTGAAGCTAGTCGGTACTGGGAAAGTATTCCTAACATATTCCCTCTATAATAAGCTCTGGTTATATCTTATTCCTTTACTCTAGGAAGCTAAACCCTTCCAAAGTGGCTTACATTAGTGAAGCTAGTTAATACTGGGAAAGTATTCCTAACAACGTGTTACTTCATATGTAAGGGGTGAATATAAGTATAATATCAGGATAGGGAGCAAAGAGTATAGATTAGTATTAAAATTAATAATTAAAAAATAAAATTAAGGTAGATACTATATATAGCTTAAATACTGCTTCCCCCTGGAGCATATGGCCCGCGGCCTGAGCGCAGCTGTACCGTGCGTATGTTCCCACTCAGTTCCTCACATCGTAACAGGTGGAAACTCTATTTAAATACTTACTAAAGCTTATCTTATAAAATTTAGTAATATATCTATCCTATCTAGATAAAGAAAGTATAATTGAATTAAAACAGTTTTAATATTTAGACCTTTATATTAATTAAAGCCAAACTTTACTTGAATTATAATAGACTAGTTATGAGTTGCAATGCCTGAAACTTGGTATATTCATAAAGTCATCTATCATATATGAAAAGACTTATACTAATTTCAACCTCCTCTTGAAAGCCAGCGCGCAGATGTCGTTTGATACATCTCGTCATGCCTTAGAAATCAGGCTTCTTATAATAGCATCCCATAATTGAGAGACCCGCGTGAACACCATGCGCCGGAAAATCCTTGAGGAGAACCTGGATATCTGGAACAGGGAACTCCTATATCAATGCCTTCATCTACGGTGATCCGACTATGTTTTCCCCAGCCACATCGATTATCAAGTCATATTCTTTAATGTAGCGTTTCGGTGGCTAGATTGCGACACCTTTGTCAAGGGTCGTGACCGCGATTTAGCATCCGCCAACCTGCTCCTGATGCACTTCAAGGGTGTCACCGTCTTGCATATCGAGCTTTTAGCAGTGTCAGCATTATAATGCACGAAAGCAAATGCGTTGAGATCAGAAAACGTACCGTGTCGGGAGTGTCGGTGCCGCTAACTCTACTGCCATCGAACAAGAATCGCACACTCTGAGGGCTCTTCCCGGAGCGTTCGCAGAAAGCGTCCATGAGCTTTTTCAGCTGAGTTGTGCGCTTAATCTTGAAAAATATCTCATTGTTGCTGTCCGTGACCTTAATGTTGAGATGCTCCAAATCTTCGGTGCGTGGGGCACCATTCGGTGAGCCGTTGTCCGACATGATTGTTGTTCTACAGCTTTATTTTGAGTGTACGTTGAACAGCAAGGCTTGGAAGTGTACGACGCGTACGGTGATGGGAGGTTTAGAACAAGCAGACGAAGGCTGTGTCGAAATGCTTCAAAGGTGGATGAAGTAGGTTGGGACGAAAGAAAAGATGAGAGCAGTTGGCAAGGATGGGTTGTTGACGAGCGGCCTTTTACACTTACTCACCTTGTGCGGGCTGGGAGTTAAGATACGTCCTCTCGCCGGTGAGGGTAGATATAGAAAGGTTGTAACACGCCTTATTGTTAGTGGAGCAAAAGCAAATTTATCCGCCCATTTGTACCTCGAACAATCCGCACTATTGGCGGGGCGGTCCAGTACCGTGCGCATTGTCTACGGTCGACTGTCCTTGCTCCGGGGGCGTGTGGCCGAGAAATTATGTCAGCGATGTAAAAATGCAACTCTTGTGCGGAGTCCAGACGCATTTCCTCTCGGAGAAGCAGCTGGAGCGCGAACAAGCAAGGTTTTCTTATTCATCTACTGCTGGTGAATCACTGAGAGTCGCAACATAATATTAACAAGTGAGCCTGGAGTTGCCCGACAATGGTACGCACTCTGTCAAAATCTCACACTCTCAGAGATGCTCTACTTCGATATACACGGTGGATTCTGATCGGCATGTAGAGCGAATTCGCCGAAGATCTCAAATCCAATCCTCCATGTCACTCGAGGGCATGTGCAATACAAGGTGTGCCTTCTTCTTCACCTTGCTGCTGCCTACATGCTGAACTCTCGAGCAGACTGTCTTCGGAGAAACAGCTACAAGGAAGAAAAATGCCGGGTGCAAGTAAGAGATGCACATTTTCTCTCAGCCAACCCACATCTCTGACACCATACTGAAGATCAATGCGCTGTACGAGTGCTGCAACAAGTTTTATGAGCAGAATGGCAACGATGCCAGTTGCATCAGCTGCCCAAGACCAGGCACGTTGCGGTAAGTTATGATCTATGATGTGCACATGTTTTCCAAAACATATTGACGAGATCAAGAACCAAGATGAAGCAGCGAGTACAAGACGACGAGTAGGTCAACTTCGGATACATAATCATAGAGAAGACGTGAACCAGAGGAGACTTGTCGCGCCTCTTCCAACCCCATTCATCATGGATGTCCGGCGGAGATGGCAGGCTGAGGCGTTACACTTAGTTCTTCTAAGGCAAATCGGAGCACGCTGAGAGGCCGTGTAGACCTGTACAAACACGGAGCGAGGTTTGAACCGAGACTCTAATGATTGCCTATGTAAAAGACATGGAAGAAGAAAAAGAAAAAACATGGGCTCGTACAGTGCGATGAGTTTTTAGAGCAGAGTTTGACTAACGCCAAGGATCTAGTCCACATATGGTTAGATTCATTGACTAGATGGTTGCAAGGCAAAGCCCGAACCTGGCGCGTTATTTTTGTGACAACGAGCTTCGCGTAGAGACAGCACATCCAGCCCATTCAAAGGCTCGCATCGATTCTCCTCTTCGACGGCCTAATATTGATGTAGTGACTCCATTTTCGTCTCACCTTAACTATAACTACTCAACGACTCCATCTAACTCGGCCCTTTTTTATTATTGCCGTGCCACTTTTTGGCACCCTGCTACTTCGATCATATGTCCATCTATTTCAATCTGCCTAATCTCGTCTTTCCTTGGCCATGGAATTCTCAGAGCAACAGCTAAATGACATCCAGGAGCGCATCGGGTATCAATTGGAAACGCTAGCGCAACATGTCGATCAGTGGCTGATTGCGAAGAGTCAGCTTGACAAAAATGACAGTAATGGAAAGTTTCAAGCCGCCAGTCGTCTTCTAGAGCAGATTGAACAAGTGGCAAAAGATAAAAAGAGGGATCTGGCATTGAGGGGAAGGCGCAAGTCAAGACTGTCAACTTCGACAGTCCGCCGCTTAGACGACTTCAGCAGCGCAACAGCATCGAAGCCAACAGCGCTGCGCAATGACGACTTTGATGACGAGCTAAAGGAGTTGTGCAAATGGCAGGATGAGATCAACAGCTGGGACCTGCTGCGCATCTTGAGCGCGTTGCAGTATAGCAAGGCGAATCCCGAACACAAGCGTGAGCACGCGCAACGTTACAGCAAGCTGCACAAGTACAGCGCCGATACTCATCTGTGGACAAAATTTTTGATCATGGAAGACAGCGCTCGAGAAAAGAAGCTTGTTCTTGAGTGGCTGGAACGGTGTGCAAGAGACGACCATGACGACATCGATACAGTGCTCAATCGGTTTGACGAAGCCATGGGCAATGGCGAAACTAGCTGGTCACATGGCTGGATGAGCACCAGAGAAGAGATCAAGAGGTTTAAGCGCTTATCTTCACAGAAAGGTGCAACTCCAGCCAAGGCAGTCTCATTCCGCTCTAAAGACAGCTCTGACGTTCTTGTCACCCAGCTCGATCCAGACGCACCGACAAGGCAAGGACGGAAGCTGCAGAAGGATGATGAAAATCGCGACCGTGTCTTTTGGTTTGTTTGTTATGGCATGTTTAGACGAGGTATGTCATGGGAAAGCATATTGAACTGGTGCGAGGAGCGGAACGAAGGCTGGCGGGCCGCCAGTCTCGGTGCTGCACAGGACTTGCCACGGAACGAGAGCCGGCTTTGTCTCGCCGGCCCTTATGCCGGAGCTTTGTGGCGCCGCATGTGCTACAAGGCTTCGCAGGAAGCCCGCGCTGATCAGTACGAACGAGCTACGTACGGTCTACTCGCTGGCGACGTCATGTCGGTTGAGCCTGTCTGCCAATCGTGGACAGACTGGCTGTACGTGAATTACAACTCACTACTACTTAGTTCTTTCGAGGAGTGGTTGAAGAAGCACCATCCCGAACGCTTCCCTTCGATCGTGTCACAAAAGTATGCGCTGTACGATTCAGTGCCTCAACTGTCGGACGACATGGACGTCGACGGAATGAGCACAACTCTGCGCATTCTTGGCAATGAGAAATTCTCGGATAAGGCTCGCGACACGGTATACTTATTTCAAGGCAGCTTTGTTGCACATGCCTTTGATCGCTTTGCTGCCAATTTAGGCATCGCCATCGCTCAAGTCTACGGTGCTAGCGAGACGTCCTTGCTCAAAATTCCCCCTCACGACGCACCTGTTATAACTTTCTATCAAAAATGCGCTCAAGACATAGACATGATCCGTCTCGCTGTCCACGCCTTTATCATTTACAAAGACCTCGGTTTTGACATGAGACCTGCGCTGGTAGACCACGCCGACAACATCATTCTCTGCTACATCAACTATCTACGTGAGTTGCGAAAGTACGAAGCCATACCTACCTACGCAAAATGCCTTTCGAACGAAGATGTTGTTGCAAAAGCTTTGGGGAGATTGTTGTTTGACATTACGAAGCATGCAGAACAGCAACGGATGGTATCTCTCATTGAACAGGCCGATCTTGACTTGGTCGCTATTCTCACTGAGCAGTATATATATGCCCTTGCAGAGGCAGGCCTTGCACCTCGGGAGGACGACCAAACTTTAGCTAGTTTCCCCCTCATCGAGCACGCCGAGATGCAATGGGCTGGCTGGAGAGTTTCCAAGGTCTTCGAGAACGACAAATGCAGACGCATGATTGGGGATTACCGAACCTTATTTACAAATCTGAAGCCGAGCGAGCAGCGCATCGTACGAAGTCTGCAGTGGTTCTTTAGCATTCAGGCGCCATGGCCGGTGGCTTTCTCAGCGCTTGCGACCGTGTTGAAGCAACTTCTAAGTAAGTATGAGTCTCTCCAAGTCTTGTAATCTTGACTTCTGACAACTTTGAGCAGATTCTGGCAACATTTTTGCTGCACTGGCTGTGACGCATGCAATATCTGCGGGTAAAATGTCAGAACACCTCACTCCGCTGTATCTTAACCAATCAATCAACATCTTCCACGACGAGAATGAAGATGCAGAAGACAGTGTAGGAGACGTGCTCAGTGGCCGCGAACCAGCAGCCTCAACAATTCAGCCTGAAATCGACAGCGAAGACTTCATCTATCAAACTCAGGTCGAAATCCTGAAGAAGCAAGCTTTATCTGCGAAAGAGCTACAGGACGTTTGTAATGCAATCAACGAACTTATAGGGTGGAGGCTCATGGAGGATGTGACCGTGTTGCGAGCGTAAGTTGTTTCACATTTGCCGCCGTGGCTCCTTCCTAACGAAGTCAACGTAGGAACGACAAAGAAATGATGAACATTGTTAAGGAGAATCTTCATGAGCTACATAAATGTATGCGGCCTCTTCTACATAACTTCATGGTCAGACCTCCTCATGAAATTCCGTCCGAGTCTGCTCGTCTACGTACTCAAGAAGACCTTGACCTGTGTCGAATCAAACGCGCCTACCTTCCCCCCATACTTCTAGCTTATATTGGTGTGCTCACTTTTGCATCCACAATTGTGGGACCTGAGACTCTCTTGAGGACCATCGAGCTTGCGAATCTGCTTGCAGACCCCACTAACAGTGATTTGGCAAAGACGCTGGAGGAAGCCGGACGAATGAATGACTTCTTCAAAAGTCTGGCATGCGCTCAGATCATGCTAATCAAGATGCGACAGGACGCTGCCGCGGAGGAGAAAAAAAGGCGGCGTGGTGAGGAAAGGCGAGGAAGTGGTCCAGCAAAGGGAAGAAGTGCCGTTAGGAAGAAGAAGAGTGCGCTCCGGGTGAAGAAGCGGGAATGGCGTGGCGAAACACTTGACTTGTGGGATGTCACCAAGGGGTAGTATCTTTAGTTCCCATGAGTTTGGCCTCGTAGGCGAAACCATGCAAATCCTACCAAAAATCGTATCTAACTTGTGAGAGCCTATCCCTGTTCGAGTCGTCGTGATCTTCTGGCCGTTCGACTTAATAATACCCAGCAGATGCGTGACCTCTCGTCAGGCGCACCTAGAGAGAGATCGGATATTAAATACACTGGCTGTTCAATCGATCTTAGCAATTCCAGTCTAACTTATAGTGCGAAAAGGTTGAAAATTGATTGCGATACAGATATCTGTCGGTTTGTTCTTCTTGAGTTATGGACTAACCAGAACCTTACCTGAAAATACTTGTGAGGCTGTTCATACTCACTCCCTCTAGACAGGTGCCTAAGGATAAATATTGCCTCGTCATCGCCAAGGCGGCAAAACAAGCGCCTTTCCGATATTGCTGAAGCACCATACTAGTATTCTAAGGAGTTTGGATGGTCTTTAAACTCTGCAAGAGGTGGCAATTCGTTCTAAGCAATCGTAACAGTTCTAATTCAAAAATCAGCCTTGCCAGCTTATGACGTGATTGGTTGTTGTTTGTGTCTTCAATACCGATATCGGCGCTACATATGACTTGCGATTTCCAAGCAACCTAGTTCGTACGCTTACGGAATTTCCTTAAACTTGTAGAGCTCGCCATTCCCCTTCCCCTTCTTCCCAAATTTTGCTTTCTGCAAATATCATGGTCCCAACATTAGAAGTAACTGTCGCAGAGGCAGCCAGCGAAACGCTTTCGGCCACACTTAAAGCGGCACCAGCTCTTATTGCTCCCGAACCAGAGCATTGCCCTGGGCCAGAATCCGAACAGGCCGGCAAGGCAGATTCATGCGCGGGATGTCCCAATCAAGCAATATGTGCAAGTACTCCTAAAGGGCCTGACCCTGATTTGCCTATTGTCAAAGAGAGACTTCGAGGAGTGAAGAGGAAAGTACTCGTTCTATCAGGAAAAGGTGGAGTCGGCAAGAGTACATTTAGTGCGCTCTTCGCGCAGGGATTTTCGAACCTGAATAGGAAGAATAAGAGAAGTAAAATGGAGCTGGGCGAGGGTGAGATCGAGAATCATTACGACTCTCCGCCTACTGTTGGTTTGATGGATACAGATTTATGTGGTCCTAGTATTCCACGGATGTTGCTTGGGGACAGCTCAGCCTCTACTAGTGTTCACACCACAGCGTCCGGCTGGGAGCCTGTCTGGGCAAGTGATACGCTTGCAGTAATGAGCATCCAGTTCATGTTACCCGATCAAGATTCAGCAGTCATCTGGCGAGGACCGAAGAAGAACGGTTTAATCAAACGTTTTCTGAAGGATGTTGAGTGGGGTGATTTAGATTTACTCGTTGTGGATACACCACCGGGTACGTCAGATGAACATCTAAGTGTGCAGTCGTACCTCAAGGAATCAGGAGTGGATGGTGCTGTACTTGTCACCACTCCGCAAGAGGTGGCATTGCTGGATGTAAGACGAGAATTGGATTTTTGCCGTAAAGCTGAAATACCTGTCATCGGCATAGTCGAGAACATGTCCGGTTTTGTCTGTCCAAATCCAAACTGCGGCAAAGAGTCTCAGATATTTCGTCCGACTACGGGTGGCGCGAAGAAACTGTGTGAGGATGAGCGGGTGCCCTTCCTTGGTGCTGTACCTCTTGATCCGAGAATTGGCATGGCTTGCGACTTTGGTGAGAGTTTTTTGGAGGCATTTCCTCATAGTCCAGCTGCACAGCGGATTGTTGACGTTGTGAAGCGGGTTGGTCAGGCCATAGGGATGGATATGACATGAGGGTCGGAGGCATGACGTCTATGGACGCCGTGATGATGTTCAAGCATGGTTATACATATTTCGTCTTATCTTACCCCAGTTTGTATCAGTAAGCACTGTAAACGACCTGATTCATAGGTATATAGAGACCGATTGAGAATAGACAATTTAGTTGAGGTGGACTTGATCCGGTAGATCAATGCAACGTCTATGAGGTGCTCGGAAATCTATCTACGTGAGACTTCAAGGAAGCATGAAGTGAGACTTCAACGCTTGGCTATTTGTTCTATCTCTATTTGTTATATCGTGTGTTCGACCTAATTATCTATTCTTGCTGCTATCTTCCCTGTGTTCACAGCTTCGTCTCGCTACTGATATTCCTCCGTCGCTTGGCCGTATTTCTCCCCGCATCTAGTACAAGGCAAACATGGTGACTGAGTGCTACAATATCCCCCACTTCATCCATGATTATCACCTCTAGATCGATTCTACCTTTTCGGATCTGCTTGGCTTGTGTCCTTACAAACAACCATTCTACACCCTTTTCAGGCAAAAGTTTTTTGATGTCCAAATTCAAGACCACTGTTGGATACCAAAACTTTGCAACATTTTTTTTGTCAGTCCTCCGATTTTGGGATTTTTGGTGTTTAACTGTATAGGGATCTTCGTCGACAACATAGGATTCTACAATCTGAGGAAACATGTCGCAAACGTAACCTAAGCTTGTGTTGGTAAATTTCTCACCATTGCGCCACGTTATCCATTGGTCGGCCAAGCTCTTAAGTTTCTGACCCTCCCGAGGAAAGAAAAAACGCACGCGGTTGCTGGCCTTGCGGAACGATGAGAAGGGCATAGCTCGCTGTTCGACCCAATTCAGATCATCTCCGGCTTTCAATTTCGAAAGATCGACTGGATAGGCGGAAGGACTCAGTGTCCAACCTGTCGTGAAACTAACACCTTTCTCATTAATGAGATTGGTGTGGTTCAAATATGCAACAACTTCTTCCCGGCCATATTGAACGAGGGAAATATGAATCGTAGAGGTTTGGCGACCCAGCTTTATGTCCCTTACTTTAAATATCGCGGGACCTACCTCCGTCCGACGGGGGAATTCTTGATGAACCGTGAATGTGTGTGGTTGGTTTTGCTTAGATAATGTCGTGCTGAAGTGTTTGTTGGCTACTTCCAGGAAGCATGACGTTACATAGCCACCATGCGGCACTGTGAAGGGTTAAACTGTGCGACCAAAAGATGGCAAACGCAACACCGAATACCTGTACCGATTGCCCAGTCGTCTTGCAACTCAACAGAGTAGGTATGCGAATCTATGGCCTTGACTGCAGTTGCATCTGTGAAGGATACGGCTTGCGCATCCACAGCCATTTCAGTGTTTCCGCTTCTAGCCGTGGAATCGCGGGGTCACGGGGAGGAGCAACAAAAGATGATGTATCGTAATTGAACAGAAAAGCTAGACTCACAACATCTATTGAGGTAGAAGAACAAGATCGAGTGGTTCAGATAGGTGACAGTAGCTTTTCTGTGTCCTTGTCGACTATCCTCCGCATTCGTCTTTACCGTGATTTCGCCGCATCTCGAGCCTCGGTACATAGTCATATTTACTCTATGTTTCAGACGCTACTCTAGTTCGGGTTAGCTTTCCAGCTAATTCAGTGCAATCGTTGGGTAACACAACGAGCTCCGATTTGACGCAAAAATGGCCAGGTATAAAATGTACCTCGTGTCACTCCTTGGCCGTGAAGTAATTGCCTCTCCCTACTCTTTCTACGCATCGTAAGAGCTTGGAGCCATGCCTGTTGAATCTCGATATCCTCGATTCGAAGTTCCGAATTTAGATCTTTGGTCTTTTCTGTTCGAGAGAAAAGACAGACCATATCCTGACGATAAGGGTATGTTGAAAGTTTGTAGTGGTAAAATACTGAAGCTAATTACTGCCATACAGTAATCTACAGAGATGCGGAATCTGACCGTGTATACACATTTTCTCAGGTCAAAGATACAGCGCTAGACTTTGGAAAAGGCTTGAAAGCTGTCTGGGAATGGCGCAAAGGAGACGTCCTGGGATTATACCTTCCAAACTGCATTGACACCCCAGCAATCACGATGGGAACGCATTGGTGCGGTGGAGTTGTCTCTCCTGCAAATCCCTCATACACAGTAGATGAGCTTGCATTCCAACTTAAAGATTCTGGTTCCAAAGCATTGATTACGACACTGGAATTTTTGCCAAACGCGATTGCAGCATGCAAAAAAGTGGGTATCATGGAACAATTCATCGCGTTAGCAGGAGATAAACGCGATCCAGAAGCAAAGGTGAAGCACTTTACTTCTATCCGCAACATCAGTGGCGCAACCAGGTACAGGAAGACCAAGGTGAATCCTGAAAAGGACCTAGCCTTTTTGGTATACTCCTCAGGCACGACTGGGAAACCCAAGGGTGTCATGCTGTCACACAGGAATATCGTTTCAAACATTATTCAGATATCGTACAACGAATCGCCGTTAGACTGGAAAGGTGGCCCAAGCAATGAAGGAGACAAGATTCTCGCATTCCTCCCATTTTTTCACATTTATGGTATGCTATTGCGTAAACTAATCATGTTGTATATAAATTTGTTGACATCGTCAGGTCTTACGTGCATGGTTATGCAATCACTTCATCGCGGACTGGAGCTCATCGTTATGACTCGATTTGACCTGGAGCGCTTCTGTCAACTTGTACAGGCGCATAAAATCACGTTCACATACGTCGCGCCACCGGTCATGGTTGCCCTGGCCAAAGATCCTATCGTCTCGAATTATGACTTATCCTCCTTGAGAATGGTGAACTGTGGGGCCGCGCCACTAACCCGTGAACTTGTGGCACAAGTGCAAAAACGATTTCATTTACCTATAAAACAAGGCTACGGATTGTCCGAGGCTTCCCCAACTACGCATGTCCAACCTTGGGATGAATGGGACAAGTCTGTAGGATCGGTAGGAAAGATGCTACCGAATATCACAGCAAAGTACATTGATCCTGACGGTAAGGAGGTGGGGGTTGGGCAGATCGGTGAACTATGTATGAAGGGTCCGAACATCTTTCAAGGTTATCTCAATCAACCGGAGATGACAAAGTCATCTTTCACAGAGGATGGCTATCTCAGAACTGGAGATGTCGGCTATCAAGACGAAAATGGCAACTTTTTCATCACCGACAGGGTGAAAGAACTTATCAAATATAAAGGATTTCAGGTTGCTCCAGCCGAGCTTGAAGGGCTGCTGCTTGACCATCCGAAAGTTCATGATGTAGCCGTGATTGGCATCTATGATGAGACACAACAAACAGAGCTCCCTCGGGCGTATATAGTGCTCCCCCCACAAGTGGAAAAGTCGGAGGCTACGAAGCAGCAGCTTACTGACTGGCTGCATAATCGAGTTGCAGGACACAAAAAGTTACGTGGCGGAGTTTTTTTTGTTGACGAAATTCCAAAGAGTCCCAGTGGAAAGATTTTAAGGAGGCTGCTTAAGGAACGTGCACTCAATGACAAGGCTATGCTAAAGGCCAAGTTGTAGAAAAGAGGATTTGGCATAGAGAACGTACCAATGCCCAGCATGGCAGAGCCTTCATGGTCAAATTCTTATTCTTGTTCCTTGTGAATGCTGATTGGGTTCGAGACAGGGTTGTGCTTTGGGAACGACTTTCAAGGTGTGCGAGCTGGCTGATAATGTATGGCAACGCTTTAAGACAGGTATTTTACGTCATTTAATACATTTTCTATCCTCTACCTGCACATGACGACAAGCGCATGGTTTTAAGACTTTCATTTCGATGAGGTTATTGAAGTCCGGTGGTTCTAATTTCTGATGTCGGCTTATATCTTTGAATATCTTGCTGACGAAACCCTGCACTTTGACAAACAAATTGTAGAAGGGCTGCAATGCTGCCACGTTTTCAACGAAAAACTGTGAAAAAATAATTGAAAGGGACACTAGAAGAACTCCAGATACCGAAAACTGAGGGACCAGTGCAGAAGGACGAGAAGAGGAGGGAACTTTTCAAATAGCTTTGGCATGCCATGTTTATGACAGTCTCACCCAGAATTAGTCAAGAAATTACAATACGATTGGGGGGCAGATGACGGATGCTACATGAGGAGAGGTAATATTTGTATCACGACATACTCGAAGATTAAGATACTTACCGGGCCGTGTTGCATGTATCCAAAGTCAGATTAGACAGTGACTTTACGTCCCTTTTGTTCGAAGAAAGGACAGATGAAAATATAATTGTCCACTTAAGGACACTTTTGGAAACAATATGAATGAGCATCTATTTGACCCTACTCAATGCTTTGTGCAGTCCTAATCCGTTGATCTTATCGCCAGGATTAGAGACGGGGGTCACAGTCCATGAGTGATATACGGTTAAATTGTTACCATCGTATATTACGCGTTGACCTGTCATGGATAGATTTTTCTTTCTCATAGTAACGGTCGTCATTTCTGTGGCGTGGCTCGTATTCTCTATCCCAGTAATTTCTCTCCTTGCGCGAGTGATCTCTTTCTCGGCTCATGCTTATATCGCGTCTTCGTCGCTCCCTGTCTCGCCGACGTTCGTATTTACTCCTGTCAGATACGTTATCATCTTCATATCTTCGTCTCCTATGATTGTCGTAAGAACTACTTCTATCACGACGTGAAGATCTGTGCTGGCGGTCATTGGGATCCCGATCAAGGTCCTTTTCACGTTTCCGCTTTCTCTCCTTTTCTGCTTCCTTTCCTTTCCTGTCTTCTTCCTCCTCATCGTCAGCAAAACTCATTTCCTGCTCTTTCAGCCTTCGTTGAAATTCCTCCTCAGTTATCATCTCCCCAGTCATTTTATTTTTTAACATAACTGGTGCGTAAGCCTGGTCTAGTTTCCTCTCATGCTTCTTTGCTTGCTTGCCCCACTCTCCTAGCTCTATACCAAGAGCATTTGCTGGCTTTGCCCCAACGCCAAGCAGTTCAGGTCGCCTTTCGAGTGTACGCTGTTTTGGAGGGGCCTGACCCTTATTTCTTCCAATAGCTTCGCCATCCTTCCATCCCATTCCGCGTAGCATGGCTGCACCAAACTCATCGATAGGAACTGCGTCATAGTCGGACTCGGTAGGCGCATCAGGGGCATTTTCGTAGTCGCGCTGGAAAACCTCTTCATCGATGAGAGTAGGGATTATGGTATTCGAATTTTTCTTCTGGCCAAGTAGAGCTTGTAGCGCCTCCTCATCCACTGTCGTCTCCGCGGGTTCGGATCGTGTAGGAGTGTCATTGGCCTGTACGATTATCGTACTCGCATCATCCTTGTGCTCTTTTGCTTTCATGAGATTCAAGCCAAATGAAACAGGCGCAGCATTTGCCTTCGCTTCTGCTTCTGCTGCTTCAGCAGCCTCCGCACTCTGTGAGGGAAGGCTGCTCTTTTGTCTCTTTCTACCGCTACTGCTCTCTGCCACCGGTATTACCAATGGCTTCTTTGCGGTTATCGTGCTCTCCGAATGAAAAGCACCACCCACAGATTTGTCAAAGTGTGTAATACTCTGATGCTTGCTTCCTGTGTCCTCTTCATTGTCCGAGTCATCTAGCGCTGCATGTGGCCGCTTGGTGCCGTTGGAATGATCGACATGTTCATGAGGGCGATGAGAAGGAGGTTCTAGCGCTTTTGATCCTAACCTCAGTGAGAACTTGGAACCTTCTGCCATGCTTCGCGAATCGTTCAAGTCTGCAACTGAGTGATATATATTTGTAAATTATTTCACTTGTCAGCCACGTCTGTAGATCGTGTTCTTAGTGCCTGAGGCACAAAGCAAGGTGTCTTTCGCCGGAACACTAAAGTGGAGATGTTGAGTAGCTATAGGTTACCAACTATCCTTGAATGACCTATTTTACCAGGTTTTACATGATTGGTTTCATATCAAAAAACCGTTTTAAATGGCCTGAAAATTTCGAGAAGTCGTCTGTCGGTGGCATCGTCCATGCAAATGTCACCTTTTGCACGATAGCTTTCCAACATCATTTTGCCAATCAGGAATCCAAGACTAGATGTGTTCGAACAAACCGATATTGAACATGTGATTCCGCTAACCCCATGACATAAGCACCTGTTTTCTATTTTTATTGCCCTTATTCTTCTTGTGCCCCTCTGCTTTACTGTCTACGCTCTCGACTTCGGGGCCAGCGCTTGGAGAACTCCACGGATTCACGAGTGTTGGCTGCGAGCTCGCTGTGCGTATCACATTGCGACCGCTAGGTGTCCACGCTGAAGACATGGGCTTTGCCGCAGCAGGGAGCGCAGGAAAAGCCTCGACGCCTGTACTAGGAGCTTGCGGCTGAGCTGCCTGGGTTGGTCTCGCTACTGGAGTTGGAGCTACATTTGCTGCCGCACCAGCCCACGCACTCTTAGGTGCAACAGTCGCTTGGCCGCTTGTCGCTCTCGTTGCGGTTAGTGCTGGAAAGAGATCTGCAGCTTGCATATTGCCCCAACCGCCCGCTCTCCCAATAGCGGAGCGGGCAGACTGCGATGTAGCCGTCTTCAATTTGAGTACTCTTTTCCCGCCAACGGCCATGCTGGAAGCTCCAGCACTGCTGGAGCCTCCTAGAGATGGATAATCCTCATTGATTGCTTTCCAATCGTTCCAGGCCTTGAGCAAATCGGCACGCTTTGACTCAATTTCAAAAATATCTGCAAGTTCCTTCAGCAAGCTGCCTAGTTCTGATGGCGGACGATCGAAAAGTGTGAAGAATGACTCCACGAGTTCGTTTGCAGAAAGTTGTCCACTCTTGTAGTGTGAGATCTTAGTTCGGAATTCCGCAATTTTTGGCTGATCCCCTTTTAGCATGGCCGAAGCGCGGTCAATGACTGCTTGATGTCGTATGCGACGGGCTTGTTCTTGGGGAGTGAGGTTAGCTTCTGGAGCAGAAGCTGAAGATCTTGCAGAAAGTGGAGGTTCGACAACGCTCCTAAGAGAACTGAGAGAAGGGAACGCAGTTTCAAGTCGTTGCGGACCACGCATGGTAGCAGTGGTTTGGTCAGGCACTCTTGCCGTATCAGTTTCAGAGAGAGTTGGCGCACTCAGATGACTACCAAACGTTCTCGAGTTATTAGACAATAAGCTCTGCACAGCCATCTGTCGCTGGAATGCAAGTTCGTCTCTTCGTAGCGGCTGTGCCGATGAGGCGGGAATTGGCTCTGCGTTTGGATCCCTGCCTCTTCCCCTACTTCGCCCATTACGGTCGTCTCGTCCTCGTCGACGTTCAGCGTTAGGATCATATCGCTCACGTAGGTCCGAGAATGTACCCAGATCAACTCGGCGAGCGTCTCGCATCGCATCCTTGGACAGACCATTGGGGTGTTCTTGGATTTGGTGTGCTTTGAGGTCCATTTCTGACCCAAACACAACAAATTTCTTCTCCAAGCATTCCCTGTCCGGGCAGAGGAAATGGTCTTTCCTAAAATGCATTTCGAGGCTGTTGTAGTCCACATAATACTGCGGCCGACGACCTTCGTCCCTTCTGTCACATATGTGGCACTTCTCATGATGGTCTCTGCAATGAGCATAGAGCTCGTCGTCGCCGTAGAACCGCTGCCTGCAGAAGCCACACTCTGGATGACCTTTGAACCCTGTCTGGTCTATTGCGCCTGGATGATCGTCTCCAAATCTTTCATGCTTCTTCAGCTCAGATTGTGTGAACAATTCATGCTCATGTGTAAATGCCTTTTTGTTTCTCGTGCATAGGTCGCACATGACCTTGTGGTGTACGCTCCTTACATGTCGATGAAGGTCTGGCCAACCTAAGCACGCTACGGTACACTCACGATCCGGGCAATTGTACCTCAATAAGAATATAGTGTCGTCTTGTATTTCTGGTGTTTCGAATTTGATCCCTAGTCCCACGTCTATTGAGCTTAGCTCACTATCCTGGAACTCATCGTATCGCTTTTCATGTTCGTCCGTAAAGATGACAAAGTCTGAGTTTGTCCTGCAATGAAGACAAGTCTTTGTCCTAAAGAGTGCTCTCATTCGCAGTGCACATACGTGGCATGTCCTGTGGTTGCAGGGCGCAACTGCGTAGTGATCAATTTCCGATGCACATATGAAGCACAGCTCCTTCTCTTCATCCTCTTGATCGACTGCAGAACTAGCAGGTTCCTTCCCGCGATCTCCGCCTTGTGTGTTTTGTGAGGCATCTCCAGTCAGGCGATCGCCGAAGGTGCCTTTGTCAAAAACATTCTTCAAAGATGTGCCAGGTCCCGATGGCTGATTGTTTGTAGTTGCCGCAAATCTTCCTCGTCCTCGCCCACGAGCTGTAGCACGCGTCCCTCTACTGGCCCTAGGCATTCGGACGTTTCCATCCCGACCTCTGGTCCCTCGCTGTTGTTGAATTGTCAAAGGTTGTGGCGTTGACGCAGATTCTGACATGATTTTGCTTCCGGCAATAACCAAAATCAAAGGAAAATAATGGGTTCACTGCAGTTCGGCAGATTGTCAAATGGCTCCTGAGACGTAGCCAATCTATATACGCATATTTAGGCGCTTGTTGTTGACTGGATGTTGAGTTGACAAGATATGTGTGATTAATTACGGAATACTATACCCTACATCATAGCCGGGGTGCATTTAGTGTCGAAAATTTATCTCCGTCGACTCGCTCTAAACTAAGTACTTATGTGGAAACTCATCGAAACAATTTTGCACATTATATTCCATGTAATGCAATCTACCACAAATCGTATTTCATCTTAATTAGCCTTTCTATTTCTTCACTTCTTTGAATGCTACCGTAGATTTTGGGGCCGTGCATCTATTTGCCATCACTGGCAGTTTAGAGTCGACGTCGACTAAGGTCACAGCCCGGCTTTAAATCTTAAAGCCAAAATTAGACATTCCTTAGCAACTGTTCAGAAAGGCTTGAGTAGACATAGAAGATAATGGGTCTGGTAGCTGAGCTTCATTGCAAAGGTGTGATCCACCCATTAAGATCAAGAATGCTTAATCTGCCAGAATTTCTTGCCGAGGATTCGATTTCATCGTTACAAGTAATCACAGTATAAGTCCTCTTCTGACACGTTTGTAATGTCTCGCAAGCCTCCCACTTCTTCATCGTACTCATCGCCGTAGAGGCATCGCTTTATACCCATCATGGTGGCTTTATCGCCTTGTAACCTTCGCTTTAGCCAGCTTTCCATGTTGTAAATCGAGTCAGTGAGTGAATCAACACGCACTTTCTCCTCTAGAACTTTCGCCTTGCGCCGTTCAAATTCCACTGGATCGTTCTTACTGTATGAGTCCAGCTCCCTTCTTAGTACATTGAGCTTGCGGCTTAGCTCACTGTGTAGTTTTGTCATGTAAACCCTAGACAGCCCGTGCTCCATGAGCATTTTGTCTCCCTCGTCTTTACGTGCTGCAGCTGTGTCCTTCACATGTTGCTGTAGATCTTCAAATACGGCCCTAGCATTTGTCTTCTCACTCGCGGCTTTGCTGAGGGCGGCTTTCTTCTTGATCTTCTCGTCGTTGGGGAAGCTCCAGTACCAGTTTCCACTGCCAATCTTTTCGACTCGTATCATGTTTTCGTCAGCCATGGCTTGAATATAGTCCCTGACGGCCATTGCATTTATTGATGCGACTTGCGGCAAAACTTTCTCCAGGTCTCTGATTGTATGGGCGACTCGCGACTTTTGGATCCACTGAACGCATAGTGCTTGCTTTTGAGCCGAGCTGGGCCCATCTTTCTTTGTCTAAAAGCGGTTAACTGACGGTTTCAGCTGATGAATCCATGAAATGTACCATGGCAGATGTGATGAGAACAATTATGTAGAAAGAGCTTGCATGCTGGTCAGCAACAGGCGCGAAACAGTTTCAGTTTAATGATTCGCAAGATCGACTGTAAAATAGAGACCCCGGTGGCCTAGAGGAGGAAGTTGCTCCCGATGTCCCTGTGTTGCAAACAGTCGCGCTTTCTTTGGAAGTTGACAGCCCTGAACCACGCCTAATGAACTGCAACTAAAAAATGACGACGTAAAGTTGTTGATGCCTTGTGCTGGCGTTCATCATCCTGTTAGGAGAGCTCATGCTTTGTCCTCATCCTCGTTATCAGTCAGAAAATCATCCATGTAAAGTTTTTTCATATTATCTGCTTCATCCTCGCCGTGATCATGCTTCCTTGTTGTCCTCTTTGAATGCCCACTCAGTAGCTTTGACTTTGGTCCAGCGGATTGGGCTTCAGTATCAGTATCTGAACAGGAAGCCCTCTCCTCACCGCTTCTACCTTTTCTTGATACGAGAAAAGCCAAGAAACCCGTCTCACCCAACTCGTCCTTCATTGTTTCCTCGACGAGAATGCCCAGTGCCAACAGGGCGCTCTCGTCCATAAATTTCAGCGAAGGCGATTTATCCCTCGCAAAGAATTGACTCGCATATCGATGAATGGCCCAAAGTATATCACTTTGCGGTGGATGGTGAGAGTCCAACTCTCTGTGCCAATATAGACGAGCATCTTCGTTCTTGTTCCCGAATACCGCGCGTAACTGCTCAAAGAAGAACTCGGCCGCTGAATACGGTTGCGTAAAAGGCTGATGCCGATATAAGCCCCTCGATGTGGCTTTTCCTCTCACGTCTCCTGCAACACAATCGTAGATATTTGGATTCCTCTTAGGACGCAGAATTCTTGCATCTCGGATATATCGATCCGTCAATGCGACAGCGGAACTGACTGTGACATCAGATCTGCCTTCAGAGAAAGCCCGGCCATATCGTTCTGTATCTGTCCTAGTACTAATTTCCGAAGGAGAGACAGTAATTTCAGATTGAGTGATTGAGAACCTTGATGATGTAGCAGAGCGTTCTGACGGCGCAATCAAGAACTCTGTCTGAGCATCATCAGATCTAGCTACAGTGAACGGCGAACTCGGGGTAAGATTATTGTCGCCTTCCATGTTGTGAGAAGTTCATGGTGTGAGAAGACTTTGTAGCACAGGATGAATGGGATTGCACAACCTTTGCGATCGCGGAGCTGGTAACTGTTTCCGATATTAGGTCTAAGTAAATCCGAACTCCCCAACAAGTTTTTTCTACATTTCAAGCTGCATGAGCGCCTTGTCGTTTCAAACCACATAACTCGATTTTGTTGCAACTCTAGAGTTCCTGGCCATATTCACTACTTGATAACTCTTCTATTAACTGTGATATGCAGAACTGTAGTCGACTAGCAATGCTCGAAGTCCTTAACGTCGAAATCCCATCAGGTGCGACGGCTCTGGAAACGCTTGCATATGGTTTCGTTCATCTGGATGATTTGTGTCCTTTCTAACACAAGCTCTTTGGTCTTCAAACGTATCTCTACGACTGCGACTAATAATTTGTTTCGACTGATGTCTTACTTCTTTGGGATCGTTCTTTAAGAATATGCAAAGCATATTACAAATTCGTTAACTTGGAATATCAAGTAATCACGTCCCCGACGAGTACGGTAAATTCACGGCACATGCTAATGACTAAATAGGGAAATTTCTCTGCAATTTATAGAATGGCTAGTATCGAACGTCATGCTGATGGCCGATATGGTGATATCCAAGAATGATTAGTGAGTTGTTAGTAATTCGTCGTTTTATCCAAGTATACCTTTAGTAAAGGTGCAAAGACTAGCCCAGACCTAAAATTTATCATCGGCAGCTACTGCACGAATTCTAAGCATAATTTTGCAGGTTATGACTGGAAATTTTGGTCTAGATGATGTAACACGCTACGAGGCCGCGACCGGAGATCGATGTAGATTTTGTAAACAATTTTGACTCAGTATGATATTGCGCCTAGAATTTGAGACAACGGGGTCAATTCGCATATAAGCGATACAAATGCTGAAGACTTCATGCTATGCAACAAAAGCCAGACTCTAGAAGATCATGCGAAGTTTACATTGCATAGTATATATTATCAACAATTTGAGAAAAAATTAAGCTTTTCCCTAGATATTCTTAGAAAAAGTGAAGACAGACTCTAATAAAGTTGCCAGTTTAAGTGACAGACAGCTCTGTGGGACATGTACTCGATATTGTCTTCAACAGAGTGTTGTAGCAAAAGGGCCTCTTTTTGCTCGAAACATTCGCTTAGAAAAGCATCGTCAAGACTCTCAATCAAGGAGACATTCCACCTTTAAGGACACTTCCTCTTTGCAGAGAAATGCCGTCATTTCTGCGAGGTCAGGACACTCAATCTCGACTCAAAAAGCGGAAAAGCTTGGATATGAAGTATATGATATTTAAGGTATGAATTCTGTCTTTTCGTGTCTCATCTTGTCCCACGAGTGGCATCCTTCAGCCGAGTTCTTCATTCCATTGTGCTTCATTTGCATACTAATCACAAGCTCATATCGGAGACTTAAATCAGTTCTGCCACATCTAAAGCTTGTTGGATAATTCCGTGTAGTCAAACTCGCACGTCACAGATTTACGTTCAAGCGCGTTGCTATAGGTTGTGCCAGCTTTGGACGTGTGCATATCGGCCGCAGTGATGGCAGTTGGCGCAAAGAATTTTGATGTTGAGGGGCTCACAGAGCCATTGTTCTAACACGTTCACGACTTGGGCTTAGGTGATTTCGAATTCGTCAGTTCAGCAAGCCGGCCTTCGAGTATTTTTATTTCGTCTAGGTCTTGGTAAGGACATGTTCACTTCAAAGAGTGGGGCCAATATTGACAGACCGTTTTTCTTGTGTTTGCTTTCCACCTCTTCAAGCTTCAGCCAAGACACGTATATGATCTGATATGTGAGTAACGCGCCAAGGAAAACCTTGACGACTGGAATACCCCATGATTGATAGTAAGCGCGCTGTGTAATTGTTAGGACATGTAAAGGTATTAGTGCTACAGAGAGACAGACATGCGGATTCTCTGCTGATACTGGTGCTTGATATTTTGGAATCTGTCGAGAATACTGTTTCACTGAATATGAAAATGATCTTCGTTTTATTAGATTCGTCGTAATCCTTAACATTCTGGATAAAGATTTGAAGCAGTCAAACAATTAGAAAGCGGGAACTTCCAAAGAGGTTTGATGGAACGCTTCTTTCGGTCTAAGCTGTATCGGCTCAACCCCTGCAGGGTCTTGTTCATCTTCGTACTTTAGGGCTGAGGAATAAACTCCACGTATATCTAATTGCTTGAATGAACGCTTTTGAAACCTGTCCTGTATTTTTTTTTTAAAACTCAGAGAGGTTATCACTTCCTATCCTGCGAACCCTCTAAGCAAACGATCTTCCAGAGATCACAACGTTCGAAGCTCCAACTTGCACATTTCTTGCACTCTTAAATTTCGCTCTCTTCACAATGGTACCATAGATCCTTTCGCATAGGTCAGGCACCGTATGTACTGAGTGCTAATTTTAAACCAGGCACAAACACCGGCCCAGCGCCGTGCGAATGCAAAATTTGCAAAGCAAGAAGAGGAAAAACGAGGAAAGCCTTTGGCACAAAAGGCCAGGAAAGCAGCCCAAAAAGCGCCAATCTCGCCTTTCTGGATAGGTGAGCAATGGACGTCTTATAAGTCTCTCAGACACGCAAAACTAATTTGGAACAGCTCTGCTAGCATTTGCTGTCTGTGGCGGTATCGTTTTCGAACTCATTAGATTGTTCTTCTAAGGAGCAAAAACACAACATTAAGAGATTGGCGAAGATATCTATGGCTCGGGTCGGGTGTGGGTGTACTGAATATGGAAAGTGTAATTATGGGCGCTGACAAGAGAGCAAAATTTAATGGGATCTGAAGCATTCACGGTTGCTTTAAGGCCGCTGATGCCTTTCAAGGCAAAAAGCTTGATTGCCTTCCTCGAGATCCGAGAACTTTGACCAAACTCAGGTCGTGCTTAACAATTTGACTCAAACTTCACACCATTTTGTGTACATGATGTGTATTTGGGGTGCGGTCTCTTCGAGTTACATTAAAAATGGTCGGATTGCACCAGTTGATAGTTCCCCTTCCGACTAATAGCTGATCCTTGTTCATGTTGCTCGAGTTGGAAATATCAAATACTTGGTGATTTGAATACGGCCTGGAATCATACCCTGAAATTGACTTATTTCAGCCTTCATCTAATACACTCCGAAATCAAACGGACGCAAGGTTCTCTATTAACTTTATAATGGCGGTCCTGGTATATTATCCAGTCTCGCTTTCATTGCGATCAATTATTGTTTTCATCTTTATCTAATTCAAGCAATTCTGCTGCTATTGGTCGTAAGTGAGACCGATGGACCTCTTTTGAAGATGGCGAGCACAGCGCTAAAAATCAGTTGTCCAGCTTTACATAGAGACCTTCACCTCTATCGAAGCATTGAGCTGGCGAGTTGAGAGATTGCTTATTGAGTCACGACTACTTTGGATGTTTTGTCTTCTCCACAGCGGCATTGTCTGCATATTATCTCATTGCCTTGCTTATGGTTGAGCTGGAGTCAATCTTGTTTTATAAGACATGATCAAATTCAACTTTCAATTCAGCAAGACTGATTACGATTGAGCCAAACAATAGGCTCACACTGCTAGTGACTAGAATGTCGAAGCTAATATGAGTTCTCAAGTTACGAGTATACCGAGGTTCTGTATTCATTTTTTGTTGAAACAATCTCAAGTTCTAACAGGATTTCATCACCTCGTCTTGAACGTGACGCACGAAGTTAGTAGATGGGCGTGTTCAGGGCGCAGAACAAAAGAGAGAAGATGATGGAGGGGCAGCAATGCTTGGACTGTTGCAAGCAATCCCTACGCAATAAAAATATATAAACTGCGAGAACTAATGCTTCCCAACCCAATACATAGGTATAGATTGTTACAGCTTAGCATGTCCGTAGACAAGAATTCTTATTGATGGTCTATTTGAATATCAAATTCTTCACATAATTTGAGGTGAGCCGAACAGCGGCCAATGCCGTTGTATTTTTTTTAGCTCTCGTTCGGGTTCCACTTTTGACGCCGTAAATGAATGGTTAAATGGAGGGTGGTAAGTCAAGATGGGTCAGCGAGAACATGAAGTTTAAAAAATTGGGGGTAGTTGACAAGAAATATAGACAGCAACGTTCTGATAAAGTTAATCGTGGTCCGATGATGTGAAAGTGACTCATTTCAGGGAGCATTCTTCCGCCACTTCTAATAGGTTCCAACGCCACTGGCGGGTGGCAAAGCACCCACAACTTACAACATTTCGTCCCTGCTATCCAATCCATTCCTAATGGCCTCGTAGGCTCTTTTTTTTTTCGCGAAGCCCAAGTCTTGTACGTGGTTCTGTCAAGGAGGATATTCAAAAGAGTTTACAGGCCAAAACATTCCAGCCTGTTTTGCGTTATTTGTCGCATCACATCCATAGCTCTTAGCAAAGACACAGCTACCGTACCGCAGACGCACGCAAGAACAAAAAAATTGGAATATAACATGGCCGACACTGAGCGAACACATTCAAGTTCTGGAATGAGGGGATCGCGTAGTAGAAGACCTCGTCATCGGGGCGGCCGTAGCATCGCACAAGGTGAACACCAAGAACGGATTTCGCAGTCAGACCTAATACCGCCAAATGCTGCCGCACGATCAACAGAGCAGAGGGTGAAGCCTGTAAACCGAGCTGATCAAAGAGCTGAGCAAGCCCCAAGCGAAGTTCATAGCTCACGTGGGAGGAGACAAGGTAGAGGTGGTCACTCGGTCATCTTCGCTTCGCCACAGACGACGCAAGGGAGGGTGTTTGGCGAACGCCTTTCTGGGTCTGTAGATGAGACTAGTCCTCAGACTGGAGCAATCTCACAGGCTAATGTTCCTGAATTTGTTTCAACCCAGGCCATAAGCTTGACAAAACCCACAAGATCTATTCCGTCGAGTCCGAGAAAAAGACGTATGTCAAAATCTACCGCAGGAGATTTACCGACACGAATTCACTATGACATTGATAATGGCAATTACGAGTGCATGATATGCAGCAATGAAATTCTCCGCAACTCAAAAGTATGGAGCTGCAAAGATTGCTGGTCTGTTTTCCACATGTCTTGTATTAAAAAGTGGGCTTCTTCGGAAGGTTCTGCAATTCAACAGAGAGAAGAGCAAGATGGTTCGCTGCCTCCGCTGCGACAGTGGAGGTGTCCAGGTTGCAATTTACCCAAAGACGCCCTACCTGGCAATTTCACCTGCTGGTGTGGTAAAGAAGTTGATCCAAAGTCCTTACCCGGGCTACCCCCGTTCTCATGTGGACAGACTTGTGCGAGAAACCACATAGCACCCAAGGACTGCCCACATCCTTGTGCGCTCATTTGCCATTCAGGACCCTGTCCACCTTGCCCAAGAATGGGACCAACTCAGCGTTGCTTCTGTGGTCGTGGAATTGTTAAACGGCGATGTGTGGATACCGACTATAGAAAGGGCTGGACTTGTGGTCAGGTATGTGGAGAAATCTTGCCTTGCGGTGAGCACGTATGCGAAAAACCCTGCCACGAAGGGTTCTGTGGTGCATGCGAAGTCAGAGTCCATGCTAGATGCTACTGTGGTCGAGAGGAGAAGGTTGTCCTTTGTTGCGATCGAGGTCCAGAAAGGAAAAGCCGAAAGACCCATGTTAGCAAGGCGGGCGATATGTTTACAGAAGAATGGACCGCTACATTCCAATGCCAAAATGTCTGTGGGAGGCCATTCGATTGCGGAAAACACTTTTGTGAGAAGCCTTGCCACCAGCAAGAAGAATCTGTCCCACATTGTCCACTATCTCCCGACGTTGTCACACATTGCCCCTGTGGAAAATCTCTCCTAGCTGATTTGACTGATAAGGTCAGGAGAACTTGTGCTGATGAGATCCAATCTTGCCAAAAGGAGTGTGAGAAGAAATTGGCTTGTGGCCATCAATGCCATGGAATCTGTCATTCAGGAGACTGTCCTCCTTGCACAAAGACTGTGCCAATCTCCTGTCGATGCGGGCGCACTTCATTAAAAACGCTTTGCCACCAAGGCAACATCGAGCTGCCAGAGTGCAGGCGGACATGCAAAGCTACGTTAAATTGCGGACGACATGAATGTGGTGAGCATTGCTGTACGGGAGAAAGAAAGGCAGTGGAGCGCCAAAGGCGGAAACCCCGAGCTTTGAATGATGGCCCGCCTCCAATTGACTTTGAGGCTGAGCATATCTGCACACGCATTTGTGGGCGACTTCTAAGATGTGGCAATCATACATGTTCCGAGCTTTGTCATAAGGGACCGTGTAGAACTTGCCGCGAAGCTATATTCGACGAAATTGCTTGCCATTGTGGTCGCACCGTTCTCCAGCCACCTCTACCTTGCGGCACACGCCCTCCTCCTTGCTTGTTTCAGTGCGAGAGGCAGAGGGATTGTGGTCATGCTCAGGTTCCTCACAGCTGTCATCAGGACGACGAAAGTTGTCCTAAGTGTCCTTTCCTAACGACGAAACCTTGTTTGTGCGGCAAAAACCAGCTGAAGAACCAGCCGTGCTGGCGACAGGACATCCAATGCGGAGAAATTTGCGGTCGTAAATTGAAGTGTGGCTTCCATCGTTGTCGAAGAACTTGTCACAAGCCTGGAGAATGTGAAGATGTTGGTCAGTCGTGTCAGCAAACTTGCGGGAAACAGAAGTCATGTCTTCATCCCTGTGAGTACAAATGTCATGTTCCTACCATCTGCAAGGAAGACAGACCGTGTCAGCATAAGATATTCATTACTTGCGATTGTCAACGCATTAAGCAAGAAGCAAGATGTGGAGCGAGCAAGAGCGGGGACGGAAATGCCTTGAAGAGTCTGAAGTGCGATGATGAATGTTCACGACTTGAAAGAAACCGCAAACTTGCCCTAGCGCTCAATATCGACCCTGAAAAACGACAAGATGACCACGTTCCGTACCAGACGGAAACCTTGAATATGTACTTAGAGAACCCAACATGGGCTCATCTGCAGGAAAAGGAGTTTCGGGCCTTTGCTGCTGATCCAGATGCTAAGCGCATGCGCTTTAAGCCAATGAAGCGCCATGAGCGAGCGTTCATGCATGCTCTTGCTGCAGATTTTGGCTTTGACTGCGAGAGCATGGATCCTGAGCCGCATCGACATGTTGCTCTCTTCAAGACTCCACGCTTTGTAATGGCACCTATGAAGACACTTGCCGAGTGCGCGAGAATTCGTCAGAACCAACGAGCTATGACACAGCAAGCAACAAATGAGACAGCGAAAACCAAAGCCAAAGCGAGCAATGTTGTAGGCGATCCACAAAATGCCTTCCTTGTTAGCAATGTTCGATTTGGCCTCACAACGGAGGAGCTCAAGTCTGCAATCATGCCGGTCTTGACTGCGCCTGGAACAAATATTGGACTAGACATCTCGTTCCTCCCTAGCGAAGAGGTAGTTCTCATCCCAACTCATCACAACTTCTCCACTGAACGAGCTCTGGAGGCACATCTTATCACACTGAAACCCCGACTGGCGAGGTCAGTGGCTGGGCCGCCTTTTCTTGGTTGTGTGCAGCTCTGTCGTGTGGACGACAGCTTGAACATTTTACATCGTGAATCAGAACCCGCTAGCTCAGGCTGGAACCAGGTTGCGAAAGCCGCATCTGCATCCCGACGTGCGCCTCCGCAGGTAAATGTGCTGAAGCCATCCAGAAATGGATTTGCTGTATTTGACGCTGCCGTTAAAAAGAAGAAAAATGCTGTCACAAAGGCGAAAATCGAACAAAGCATTGAGGATGATTGGGAGACAGCGCAGCTGCGGGATGAGGAATTGCAGAGACTTGCTAGTGCTCAAAATAGCGAGATAAACAGCGCCGAGAATAGCGGAGATGAATCTAGCCAAGTGGAAAGAGCAAGCCTAACGGTCTAGTTGTTAGTACCTGGTACTATTTCGTTGACAAGTCAGAGTGTGTGATAAGACCATTCTATATAGGCAGAAATCCCGTGGCTACGGAGACTGTAACTTGACTGGTTCCAGCAGAGACATTATACGCACATTATCGACTTAGTAATCGCTCTCGCTATCCTCACTATCACTCTCATCATTTTTCACTCCTGTGCTAAAGCCACCAAATTCCGCCTCCTTTGCTTCCGAACCAGTGTCCACCCGCTCATTCATGATAAATGCCGTAAGACATGTAATGCGGTTGCCTGTATCATAGCGTGCGAGTAAATGCCCCACCTGTGGTATCTTCTCTTTAGTTGCTACTTCTCGAGCTACATCCAATTCACCAGAAGAGAGCAGCCATAGTCGAATCGTGCCATCGCTACAACCGGTTACAAAAACAAGGTTGTTTAACGCGCCATCATTTCTGCTCGAGCTAGACAATACTGCAAAATCCTTGACGCGGCTCGCGACACCGGTCGCACGACCCCCCATCTGAGCGAGTAATTTTGCGTGAGGAATATCCTTCTGCCTCGTCGTGTCCTCAGTATCCTCTGTCCCATTCACATCGTCGGACTGGCTCGCTGTATCGAAGAACAAAATTCTGCCGTCCTCCGTGCTGACACAAAGCACGTTCTCATCCCCAGTATTGGGAACGTAACACATCTGGTGCACCTTCGAAGGCGGCCATGGGCAAATCCTACTTCTTACTTTGCAGTCCATATCGTATGCCACGGCACCTCTCTCAAATGCGACCACAAACTCTTCGCCTGCCTCATCCCAGATGATTCTCCTACCCTCACCTGTCCCATATTTTCCCTCGCCGACCTGATGTAGCATTCCCTTCTCGAAGTTCAAGACACCAGCCTTTTTCCCGGTAACTAGGTTCCACAGGCGCATGCACTTCTCACCTTTCCCCACACTGATCATGAGCTTCATGGATGGATGAACGGCGAAGTCATTAACGCCAGCAGGCACTTCACCAGGAGCTGCAGTATCGCCGCTTGGTCTTCCTTGAGCTTTCGGAGTGGGAGCTTTAATGGTCGAAAGCACTGTCCAATCACGGGTGCGGGAAATAGCTATCGTGTTGTCCTCCGAGGCAGACAATAGCTTCGACCTTGTTGGGAAGCAGAGCGCGGTAATAGAGCTGTTGTGGTGGTTTAGGTAGCCCAGCTCTTTGTTCAACGCATTTTGAGAGACCTTGACGCCGGAAATCGAAGGCAGAGGCACAGCGCCCTTTTTTGGGGGGTCCGGCGGTGTTGTAGATAGAGTATAGAGATTGATGCGTGCGTCATTACTACCTGTAGCCAGTACCACCTTCTGCGCGATATCGTCTTGAGCAGGTACGGGAGACAGGGTGAGACATCTGACAGCAGACGTGTGCGCAGTGAAGAGGAACGAGTCTGCAAATGTAACCTCTGGGTCGTCCTTGTTTGATTCTTGGCTCATTTCATGGAAAGAGTCCTCGTTTGGTCTCGACACATTCTCTTTCCATGTTGGCTTCTCTCCAACCTTATTCTTTGCGGGCTGTAGAACCTGTGCCGGAATGGCTGCGATAATTCCGTGCAAGATCTTCTCGTACGAGCCCACAACGATTTGGATGTGGGTTTGCGCCAGGAGACCCGGCACAGCAGCGATCTTGCGGGTCTTTCCACTGCGAGCGCCGCCCGGCTGTAGAAGGGCGTCCTCTCGCTTCCTTTTGGCCATTGCGCGTGTGCATGTATGAGTGCGGCGGCACCGACGGAGGATGGCGCGACTGGATCGTTGCGTAGGTGGCGAGGTTCAGTATCGAGAAGGAACGAACGATCAAACAGCAAGCACGCTGAACACAAAGCAGCTGCGTTGAAGGGAGACGAAATCAGGTTGCACCTTCTTCGAAACCAGGCCGAATGGAAGGGGCACTTTTCACGTGCACTGCTGGAAACGTTTCCGCGGTTGTGTGCAGAGTAGACCGCCAAAGTCGTCAATCAAGTGTGCGAGTTCTATGTGCAGCACCGAGAAAATACTTCAGCCTAGCTTTTTTTTTTCTCTCCCCAGTTCAGTGAAAGATCCATGCATGGGCGAGTTCGGTGTGTTCGGGCAAGTCTGCGCGCACAGGCCGCTGGCCTCCGCCCAGAACCACAGACGTGCGCATTGTACGGAGAGTACACTTGACTGCATCATAGTCCCGTAAGAACGAACCAGCGAGAACCAAAAGACCACTAGTCCTCTCTAGGACTAGGCCGGGGCGCATCTGGCTAGCGTTGTGAGGCCTGGGCGTATCCCTGGTTTCGCTCAAGACGCTTGGGCCTTCTTTGTGTGCCGTGCGCAGGCGTCCACCTCTCTTTGCTTGTCGAACACTCACAGCACAGAGGAACACCAGAAGGTAGCGACGGCCTGCTGCTGCCACCACCACGACATTTCACGACACGACTGCCCACAAAATCATCAATATCTCGCGACCTCCATCTACCTCGTTGCCGCCTCCATGCAGACGGCAATTCTATTATCGTCCTAGTCCCTTCACATGTCGCTCGAACTCGTACGAACTCACTATGCGAGTGCTCAAGAGGAAGACCTTCAGTAAGTCGTTTCCAACCGATCCCAAGTTCGAGAATGCTTCAAAATTGACTATATCGTGCTTCTTGCCAATGCGACATTGTTTTTCTACTTTTTGACGATTTTCCAATTCGTGTGCTGTGCTGACGCGAAGTTTTCTCTTTCAAGTGCGACCGAGGCCAGTCTCGCCCAGCATTTAAGGGCTCTTTGGGAGGTCACCCGGCTAGTGAAGGACTCTGTTAGAGGGGGTTCCAGGCTGCCCGAACTCAACTACAGCGCGCCGTTGTCCCCAGATGGGGTGCGCTTCATCGATAACAATCTCATAGCAAGGTGAGCTCTCTTTTCAGTACCTTCCCCGGCCACATGCGCCGTCACTCATCGTCATCGTTAGAGTGCATTTGCTAATAATCATGCGCGGGACAGAGGTCACTCTTTCGATGAAGCTAGCCTTCTCTCACCTTTTGACGATGTCGCACCGCAGCCCACTCAACCAATTCAGCAGTCTTCTTTGCGGCCTCCTTCTCCATTACGGTCTCGATCACCGCTATCTCCAATATCCAATCCTTCTCGCGGCCTCTCTTCTCAGGACCGTATCTCTCCAGCACCAGCGCTGTTGAAGCATGAGGCAGGTGCGACGTCAAACAAGGCTGTCGCAGCTACTCCAACCCCCCCGCGGTCTCCAAAGTCTACTCCTGCTGTGGATGAATCTTCTGAAGATCCTTCGATAGTACCATCTCATAAGATTCTGACTGAGCCCTCAGCACGAACCTTCGAATCGAATGTCGTACGGAACATTCCATCACCTGATGCGCGAAAGCCTATGACGACACTTCCTGGTCCAAGTGAAAGGACCTCAAAGGTTCTCCATCTACCGCCGAAGGAGCAGCAGGAACAGCACATTCGAGAGGTAGAACGTGCGCAACACGCACAACGGCCAAGAGAGAGGAAAGAGGATGAGCAAGGCCTGGGATATTCCATGAGCTCTGCACCAGCTGATGTCTTATCTTCACCTTCCTCAACTGCCGGAGCCTATTCCAACTCTACTCCAAAACCTCCCCAGCATTCGCCTGACACGAGTCCGGATGCCGACTATTCCCCCCAAGAGCGCGAACCACTACGCAAGGCCAGCCTTGATCAACTGGCCAAACAGGGAGATGATGATGATGATGATGATGCGGTAGGAGCCACTCCCGATGCCCAGCTACGTCATGAGGAGGAGCAGGCAGCTGTAGCCACACAATCGTCATTGTCAGACTTCGCCTCAGCACGGGATAGAGCATCACTCGATGCAGGCTTTGCAAAGTCACAGCTTGACCTACAGACACCCCGTCAGCCGAATAGATCTAGACGTTCCGATAATCTTGATATCGACATGAACGATGCACCTTCCTCTACATCCACTCCGATGCAACCTCCAAGCGTTGAGGCTACGCAACGTCGGACGACCCGTGTTGCCTCAGGCGCCATGCGGCAGAAGTCTGTGTCTGAGATTCTAGGGGAGTCTCCGAAGGTTTCAACGTCAGGCGACGCACTGATTCGTCGAGGGTCCTTCGCTTCTGGTGATGAACGGGAGAAGTCGAAGCACTCAATGGTTGTCTTTTCCAAATGCGACCAGTCCATATCACCACTTAGGAACAGTCGCCTTGAGCCCGACGGATACCTCGCTCTTCGTGGCGCTCAAGACGATGTTGAAAAGGACTATCTCAGACCCCTTTTTTTACACCAGGCTTACCAACCCCCACGTGCATCCACATTATCCGACCTCATCCAGTCAGCGCACAAAACTCTGACCACAATGAATATGTATGCCAACATTCGTGAAGGCTTTGATTACCGGATTCTGCGACGAATATATCATCTTCAGAATGCTAATAAGTGGGCATTTCGTCAAATGGCTAAGTTTCCTGATCCAGAGCCTCCTACTACGCACATGGACCACCTGCTTGCTGAGATGAAATGGATGCGGACGGATTTTAGAGAAGAACGGAAGTGGAAGCAAGCCGCTGCTCGTCGGTTGGCCAAAATATGTGCGGTGTATGTCCACAGCGACGAGGACGCGAGGTCGAAAATGCGCGTTAAGGTACGAATACCACCTCGTGGGCATAATCACGACACCATGGAGGGCGTCGAGGAACCTCCAGAGCTCGACCATTCCGGTTCGACAGATTCTGGAGACTCTCTTCCAGACGAAGACGTTATTCCCTTCCCAGCATTCTCGACTATCGCCCCTACTGCTCTCTTCAGCCTTGAATATGATGATATCGTTTTCGAGATGGACGACACACCTGCATCTGAAGGCATTTTGCAGGAATTGCCCATGTATGAGAACAAGCCTCTGGAACCATCGCCACTCGGAAGCACGAGAAACTCACTCATTCCCGTCTCCAAATATACGACCGGCAAGCTTGTCCCCAAACCACCACCTGTCATTCGAAAGCGCAGCCGTTATGAATACGAGTCTGAAGATGATGAGCCTGTGTCTAGGCCGACATCATCAAAGCGACGAGCGTCCGAGGTTTCAATGTTCTTGTCACCCGCTCGTCGCTCTCCAAAGCGGAGAGAGATTTCTCCTGAGGCTAACGACGTTGCTCTCTTCGATCCAATTAACCGGCATATACGCGACCGCTTGCACGCCAATCATGCCTTCCGGCCTCCATCAGAGTTCCCCATGCCTTCTACTAGCTTCTTTGAATGGAGGCAGAATTCACAGTGGACATGGGATGAGGACCAGAAGCTGCGCTTAGCAGTCAAGAAATTCTCGTACAACTGGTCCCTCATAGCTATGGATCTGCAGCTTTTCAGTCAGCCTTCACTGTTTGTTGCAGCACAGGAAAGACGGACACCATGGGAGTGCTTCGAACGATGGGAACAACTTGAAGGCCTGCCTAATGACATGGATAAGACCGCGTACTTCCGTACGTACAGATCGAGGATCCAGGCTGCGAATCGTAATGTAGAGGGACGCGCTCAAGCTGCACAACAGTTGGCTGCTCAAAATGGCAACACACTTTCTGTTCGGCGTAGAACTGATACGAATCCTTTCAGGGTGCAGAGACGGAAGGATGACAGGCATATGATGATGATAAGCGCCATCACAAAACTGCAGCGCAAGAGAGAGACTGCTTTACATCGCCAACAGGAGTCTGCAAAGGCTGCAGCCCTGCGCAAGCAACACAATGAGGCTAATCATGCCAAGACCACCGGCATTCACACACCGCAAGAGTTCAGTCGCATGAAACATGAACGTGAAGTCAAGATGCAAGAGCGTCAGGAAGCGTATCGGCAGCAGTTGTTAGCACAACAGCAAGCAAAAGTGCAAGCAATGCAGCGTCAGATGCAGAGCCACGGTCAGGGCATGCCGAATGGCGCGAACCCACAACAGCGAACTGCGTCCAGCGGATCTCAAGGTGGGCCTAGTCCTCAATCACCGATGACAAATGGTCAGCCCCAACAGAATGGTGTCATGCAGCCAAGGTCTACATCCCAGAACATGATCCAAAACGGGTTCAATCAAGGCGTGCCAAATGGTATGAGTGTGCAACTGCCCAACGGACAGATGCAAGGAATGAACAATCAACAGAGGATGAGTGTTCAGAACCAGCAAGACTTGCGTATCTTGATGGCTCAGCAAAGGGCATATGGCATTCAAAATCATGGCAGTCAGGCCAATAATCTCGCTGCTGCGCATCTAGGGCAGGTACAAAATCCTCAGATGCTCGCAGCCCTTGCTGTACAGCAAAACCGTCAAAATGGTCAAAACGGTACTAATGGTCTTAACACATCTCCACGCGGACAGAATGCCATAGCACAGCATCCACAACAGCTTTCGAGCGGCTACCAGCCTGCGTTGCTCTATCATCAGCAGCAAGTTGCTGCTCAATTCCCCCACTTCACTCCTGAACAAGTCCACAAACTCGCCAATGAACGTCTCAAGGGACAAATGCAGCGCATGCAAGCCAATGCTCTTAGTGCAGCTTCTGGATCATCAGCTCCTCCAGGCATGAATAGTAACATGATGATAGCTGCCCAAGCTAATATGGTCAATGGGCAGTTCGGTCATGTTTCAAACACCATGGCTGGTGGCAGTCAATCTCCGACCCAATACGCGGCTGCATTGCAGCGAAACATGCAGCATCAAGCCGCCGCTACTGCTCGCATGGGCAGTGGTAGTCCTGCCATGAGTAATGCACATCCTGTCAGCAGGAGTGCGACCCCTCAGAACCCACAGATGCAGCAAGGCATGGCGATCCAGAGACCCAGTAGTGTTGGTATGGCCAGCATGGGAGATGATGGGAGTCCCAGGTTGATGTGAGGAATTCCTGCTCATGGCTTGGAAAGGAGAAATAAATTCGATGTAGATACTTGTATATCTCATATGCTGCTAAGAGGGCAGCTTCTCCATTTTACAGCACAAGCCAAACATTAGTATCCGTGCCAATCATCTTTACCACGCTATATCCTTGCCTTTGCCTCCAGTAATATCTATTTTGTCTACAATAATTGATGTCTCGTAACCATACATAAGTCGACTGTCGTAAATGACAGTCGAATTTCCCCCCTGATTTCCAGTTGGCTTTGCCAACCCGTCTCACTTTACATACTGATTTGCACTTTAGAGTCTCAAATCCCTCATCCACCCCTACGAGCTCACTGGCTATGGAAGATGGTTGCTTTGATTTACGTTGCTTGGCCTCCTGGCGCTTCTACTAGGCACTGGAGAGTACACATTCAATATATGGTGGACTGCCTGACTTCATCAGGTTGTCAGTGGCCCGAATCCTTTCCTTTGCGGATCAGACCTAAGTCTCTAAACAGCTTGAGATCGTAGTGCTCGAGAAACATCATGTCAAGTTTAATACACTTCGGAGGCTTTCATAGTTTTTACGCGTACAGGAAGGTGAACACTTCCACACCCTCTTTGCTGCTAAAATCATTAGATTACGCTAACCGCTCGATGCGATCATCATCTGGGTCAATGATCACTTTGATCACGGTTGATAAGCTGGCAAGGTCAACTGGACACATGATTAGGGTGTCACATTCGGAGTTGCGTTCAAGAGTGTAGTACCGACTTCCACCATCGAGGGAATGCTAATTGTTCTACGTACATGTGATATATCCGCCTACCTCAACCTGAGCACGTCTCAGTCCGGAAACAACGAAATGAGAGTCTTGGTCATACCATTCTCTTAAGCGTCACTTCTTTAACAAGGTCCCTAAGTCGCTCCAGTTTTCCACAGATCTCTGTACGTCTGCTCTAATATAGATGAGCTGGAGAATCTTAACCTCGCAGCCGTCGTCGTAGATCCCTCTGAGGCGAGCACGCTTGCGCCCTACCAGCTGCTGCGATGCCACAATTTGGTCGTTTGTTGATGAACCTGGGGCGTAGCCCTGAGCTACAGCTGTCCGAGGAGCACCAATCTCCAAGCTTGTTTCGTCAACCGAAGCTTCAGAGGTACTCCCCCCCACAATCACCCGCAGTTCACCATGACGTACCTGGTCCCCTCACCATGTCGTCTCTCAACCAGGCGCGCAACTCACATCTCAATACCGAATAGGTTGCGCTTATATTTGTGGCAACCAATCCTTCTGGACATGCGTGAAGGCCTCCAAAATATGCTGGTAGCTGGAGTACAATCGAACATCAACAAGCTATTTGTGGCACGCCTTCTGATGAGTATAAATTATCATTTAGGACCGCGGCCCGTTGTGTCGACAAAATGCTTAAGCCAGTCGTAGTCAAACTTCGTGATGGCACAATGATAAGTTTACCTTGGTTGATTACCCCGTGAGACAGCTGCCCCATCTTCGTTGTTCCGCAATTGATCAGAGTACAAGCACTCACGCTGAACAAACGTAGAGCTTGTAGAAAATCATGAGTAAGGTCAGGTGGGTTTGCAGGCAAGGAAGGTTGTCCTGTTGCAGGCTTTACCTAAGTTATGGAAACTTCGCCGTGATTGTATTTTCCGAATTACAACCGCCCTGTGCACCGTATAATCCACGCGTTCAAGATTGATCTTCGCAAGATAACGAGCTTCCCTTACCTACCGCATCAACTTCTATGGCCGGATATTTCTCCACATTGATAATCTCAGATGTTCTTGGAGCAGAGAAAATGACGAGTGGGGCGGTTTTCGCTTCCCGATACGATAGATACCTGGCCGAATGTCCACCTCGAAGCCGCCTTCGCGGTAAGGCTGAGTATGGTACTACACGTAACAAAAGGCCATGACTCGGACGCCTCAGGACAGAGATTAATGACATAATAATCATCGTCCATCCAAGGGTCAGCCTGAAGTTCCAGTGGAGAATAGAGGCTTCACGCAAGATGCCGTCTCGAAAAATACTAACTGGGCTTTTGACCACTCCCCAGTACTCGAAAGGATTCGAGGCTGTACGCTGCACCACAAGACTTTTCTCGTCGTAACATTGCACGCAGCGACGGCAAAGCTGATGAGCAATTCGCTTTTGCGTGCCAAGCACGCTCGACTTACTCTAGCTCAAGAGCATGGCTGTAGAAGCCTCTCCAACTTTGTACGTGTTCGCACTACGCCATTGCTCTTACGTGACCCTGAGCCTGTCAGCGATAAGTAGCCGAGATGCGATAGCATTGATCGTTCTGTCGATCCCAATTGTTGCTGAGCGAAGATCTAAAATTCCACCAGTCTCACTCGGAAGCCTGAGTCAGGGTTCCGTATCATAGCGACAAGTTTGTTGATCGGGAGAAATAGGACTTCGCTTTGAAGGGTATAGGACTCGCTGGGAGGGATAACAGCCTTGAACTGCCATCGTTTCCCAAGGCCGAGCTCTCCTCGTCGTTTTCTTAGACATCCTAACGTCTTTGGGGTGGTCATACAGCGACATCACCTTGCTGCAATACCTTATGGCCTGAGATATCAGGAGCAAGATCTGGGAAGAGATCTGGTTGAACAACATCTCTCAACCCATGGTTTTTGAATCCACGAAAGAGTTAAGGAACATATGCAACGCAAGCCAAGCGCCACCTTTCTCGGATTTAGGGATCCACTTCCCGTAACAGGAGGCGATCTTTGTTCATGATGTTTGCAGAAAAAAAAATAAGTAGTCCGGTTTGAGCACTGCATGAAGTTACGGCCCTGTCATATGTGGAACTTCTGCTGACAAGTTACGAAATGCGCGTGATTGGCATAGTGACACGATCCTACGTCTACTTGTATTCCAAGTGCAGTAATTGGGGTTCGAAGAAACCTATGTCTGGCTGAGGCAGCCTTCATTCGCGCGAGCTACTAGAATTATGCACGAGAATAGGCCTGGAGCATGTATCATTCACATTAACACACGCACTCGCTTTTTAGCTCTTCGTTTAGGTAGTCCAAGGGCCAGGTCTGAAACAAGTACATCGAGCCAACTGAGAGTTTGTCTCGCTGCAGTCATGTTTGCACGTTTGATCCATTTACTTGGCCCTGCGGATAAATCCTCGCCATGAACCTTTGATCATGTAGATGGCGGTGTCGCATAAGAGGGTCCTTGGCGTAGCGGATAAGGAGTACCGGGCGGATAATCGTGGGAGATGTGGTCGCTGGAGACGCCTAGTATGCCTGGGAATGGTTTGGAATGTGTTATTGCTTATGGCTACGCGTATGTTTCTTTGTGACACGTTCACCAGGTGGTGGTGGTGCTGAAGCCGTTTCATGAGCTGGTCGCCCTTAACACGGCTCTTTCCAGACGTGGCACCTTCGCCCGGTCACACTATATCAAGCAATATGGAATATTCCATGCCGCCGACCAATGTATGTTCAAGACTCTGCGACCCTGAACAATGCAGACTTACTCTGAATCTGCTTTTGCGCACAAGTCTCCCGATGAATCACCATCGGTCGGACGACAAAGTATTGGACTTGGATCCCACGTTCGTTCTCTCGAACCGGGATAGGGATGTTACGAGCCACGGTACCAAGCCACTGGCCAGCTACATACATATTTCTTGAATGATCCCTCCACAGATGAACGGTTTGCTGCGCACCCAAGGAACGAATCATAGAGTCGTCTCCGGAAAATTTGCGGAAACGGTGAAGGTGCTTGACTCGCCTGCGAACGCTAGTGATAACGGCGAAAGCGTGGACTACAGTATTGAAGCTAGTTGAAAATCTGGCCAGGGGCAGAAAGCAATAGCGCAAAGAAGTAGTGCAAGAAAAATCCGGCCGACAATGACAACTTTCCAAATATGATCAGGGTGCGAAGTTTAGTTCCTCCAAGGAGTTGCTAAGGCGCAAAACTGCCATCCGGCGTGCTGGCGCGGCCAAGAGAAGGTTCAAACGACCGGCAAAAGAATGGGGCTAACGGCGCGCTTGTCGTTGAGATATCCAAGTGCTTGAGTAGCCAATCCATGACCAGGAAAGGAGGCATGTCCTTTGCGACGGATCTGGGGAAATGCTCGCTCGGGTAAAACGGTTGCAGGCATCAGGGATATCAGAAGCAGAGGACAGATCGGGAGGGAAGAGGAGGAGGGAAAAAAAAAAGAAGATGCTTGCAAAGGAAAAAGAAACGAATGAAACAACAAATCAAGGTGATGGGACCTTTCAAAAATCAAACGTCCGGTTGGCAGTGGTCATTCGCTGTCTTTGACCCATGTTGCACATCACTTTATGCATCTCGCATCACATCACCTCCGAGCCGTGTTGGCACGAAAAAGGAGGGCCTTTCTTTTTTGCTGCTCGAGAGCGGCCTTTTTCGCAGGACCACACCACGGGGGTCTCAAAACACTCATTTAACGATCCCTCGGCTTTTCGTCATAGACGAGCGACGCCCTATCGCGGCCCAAATTGGGCGGAGGCGTGGACTCGCGCGTGGGGAGAGGCGTTTGAGTGGCTTGTTGGAGGTTAAAACGATTGGCCAGTGAAAACTCAGAAAGAAGGGGTTGTGGTATTAATTCATTTTTTTTTTCTGCGGCTGGGATTGCTGCTGGCAGCCCGGCGCCAGGGAGCGTTCACGTTAATTCTCCGTGAAAAGGACTAGGGAATGACGGCTGAACATGGAGTGCTGGTTGATTCGGGTGCTGGTGTTGGAAGTGCCGGGCCTCGTCTTGTGTGTTCTGAAATGGCGACTGCACCCGGATGCAGGTTCCACGCAGGCCAAGCGCAGACAGGCTTGCCAGGATGTCGATATTATTGCACAAACTATTGTGCTCCTGTGGTTGTGCATGCGAAATTTCAGCCTACACGGCGATTGGCGAGCACAGAGCAAGGTCTGGCCGAAATGAGACGGCCGTTTCGAGCCCGGCCATGAGATGGGACGAGAGAGAGAGGAAGAGCGCGAGAGAGAGGGCGAGAGGGCGGGATGCATGACCCAACCAGGTTCAGACCACGCCGGGCTTCTGGAAGGAGGCTGGAAGGTCGGGGTTGTGTACGCCTCAAGGGGAGATCCCAAGACAAAGGATGAGTGATGATGGGAGGAGTTTCGAGGGAGGTGTGCGCGTGGGAGTCTTGTCCAGACAGGTCGCACGGCAAAACACGCGGCGATGGTGCGATTGCTGCCACGGCCACCACCGAACCTTTCACACGTATCGTGACAGTGGCCGCGTGCATGATCGTCGCTGGGCCGGCCTGCGGTCCGTCAGTGGGCGCGCAGAGCCCCGAATCCACAGTCGGGCGTTTTGGCAGCCCGTTCCTGCACGCTCGAGCCGGCCGGGTGCAGGGCAACGGCAGCTTGAAAAAGGGGCGCTCCTCAATCGGGCACGATCGCTGCCCAGGGTGGACGCAAGGACGAGCAGGACAGAGGGACGCGGGAGAGACGCGCGAGGGGAGGGAGGAGAGCGACGGGCGAGCAGGAGAGGAGAAGCGCTGCAGCGGGCGAGCGCAGAGCGAGCTGATCGCCGGCGAGAGGACGGATGCGCTGCTCGAGTGCGCTGCCTCTCGTCGCTCCCCGGTGCAGCCTCGACCGTTTCTCGCCGTCGCTTCCACCGTCTTTCTCTCTCTCTGCTCGTCGATCCCGCAGCTCGCCCCCGGACGCCTTCGCCCGTGCGTTGTGCATACGGAGCTGTTCTTGTTCTTGTTCTCGTCCTCTGCTCTGCGCTCTGTGCTCTGTACTCCTCCGCCCGTCTGTCTGCGCCGACTTCCTTCGGCCCCTCCTCATCGTCCTCTTTGCTCTTCATTCACTCTTTTCCTCCGCTTTCCCTCCTTCTTTCTGCTGTCTGAGCCGGGCTGCGCCGTGTGTGTCTGTGTGATCACATCCGCGCACGCGTCCCAGGTCAACGTCCTGGTGGACTCGGCTTCTGCACACGATCCCTGCGTCGACGGCCGCGTTCCAGCTTCAGACGCAACACCACGTCCTCGTCTTTGCTTCTGCGAACTTCCCCAGCTCCACACCCGCGCACCGCCTTCCCGGTCCTTACCTCGCCCATACTGTCGCTCTGTTATATCTCCTCTTTGGTGCTTGCCGCCAGAACCCGGCACACGACTTGCGCGCCCGCTTTTGAATGGATCGTGCAACCGTTCCGTCCTTACCCTTCAAGCTCGCCCACTAAGACGGGGATTCCCATCCTTCAACCTACCCATCGTATGGGCCTGTCACCCCGTCCAAACGTCGCCTCCAGCGGAGAACAGAATCTTTGCCAGCACACGCCTTTCCGCTCTTTGATCGTCCAGAGCGTGTGGTGTTCCAACCCACTGCCAACACTCGTTGGCCTTTGGTGAAAGCTTTTTTTCCCACCACCCACTCCTTTGCTGCACACACGCGACGATATCTGTGTGACCTCCACACCTCATATTACTATGACAACTACTCTGCCGCGGCCGACGAGGCCATCACTTGGCCCCCCGAACGCACCGCTACCCGCATTGCCTGTTTCCAGAACACGAAAAGGCTCAATAAGCACACCTACGACGCCTTCTGCAACGCGGCCCTCGTCGGGAGCATCGCAGCTTGCGGCTCCTGCCGTGACTCCGCGGAGCGTTTCCTCCGGTCTCCCTACTCCCAAATCGAGTGGCATACCAAAAGGCAAGCCAGCCGGCTCTGCAACCAGTGCGCAGAACACTCCGGCCGGTTCCCAGGCGCCGTCCCCTCTTCCCAATGTCTCGCGACCGCTGCGGAAGACCATCAGCGTCGGTGCGTTTCCGCAGCCGCCCAAAGTAGCAAGACCTTCGTCCAGCGGCAGCATGTCCGCCTCCACGACGCCCAAGTCGAAACATAGACTTTCAGAAGGTGGCAAGGGTCTCTCTGCGAAAGATGGGGTTAAGAAAGCGCGCCAACCAAGCCGCGTCAGCTCGCTGCGCTCCTATTCGAATGGCACAAGTCTCCTCAACGGGGGGCAGTCCGTCTCGCTTCTCGATCTCCCCTCTCTACCCGCCAGCCGGGCTTCATCCGCACAAGACTCACACGAGGATGCGGAAGGAGAGGAGTCGCGGGGACGCGCATCAGACGATGACGAAAAGCATAGCAAGGAGGGCAAAGGCAACGTCATTGTCAGCGTGAGAGTGCGCCCTGACATATCAACGGGCGAGAAAGAGAGAGACAGCGATTTGGAGTGGATGGTAGACGGAAGAAGGTCGCTGATTGCCTACCGAGGGCGCGAAGGCGGCGAATATTCTTACGGTAAGTGCACCTTTGTGAGTTACTGTCTCGTGCTTGGCTGATCCTGCTCACAGACAACGTCTTCGGCGTGAACGACAAGAACGGACGAGTATACGACTGCTGCGCCAAACGTTTGGTGCGGAGGGTGATGGAAGGTTATCACGCAACGGTTTTCGCGTACGGAATGACGGGCACGGGAAAGACCTTTTCCATGCAAGGAACGGCCTCGTCGCCTGGCATCATTCCACTTGCGATTACAGACATTTTTTCGTTCATTCGCGAAACGCCAGAGCGCGAATTTCTCCTCCGCGTAAGCTACCTTGAAATCTACAACGAGAAGATCTACGATCTCCTCGCGGGACCTGGAATGGGCTCGGAGGACATCAAGCTGCGAGAGGACAGCAAGCGTGGCGTCTACGCCACCCCACTGAAGGAGGAGATTGTCCAGTCCCCAACACAGTTGCTACGCGTCATCGCAAAAGGCGATCAGGCGAGACGTGTCGCCGGAACGCAGTTCAACGCACGGAGCTCACGAAGTCATGCTGTCGTCCAAATCGTCGTAGAAAGCCGTGAGCGAGCGTCTACAGGCATCGCCGAAAACAAACGCCAAGCACTGGTTCCTGGCGGTGTCCGGGTCTCGACGTTGAGCTTGATCGATTTGGCTGGTTCAGAACGTGCAGCTGATGACAAGGACCGGCAGAAGGAGGGTGCTCACATCAACAAGAGCTTGTTGACGTTGGGCACCGTCATCTCAAAGCTGTCTGGCGACAAAGATAAGAAAGGGGAAGGGTCAGCCAAGGACTCAAAACACCTGCCGTACCGAGACAGCAAGCTCACCCGACTCCTTCAAGTGGCCCTATCAGGTGGAAGCTTGATCAGCATTCTTTGCACCATTCAGATTGGTTCTGCTGGCAGCGCTGCAAGTGCGCAACATCACACCACGGAGACGCTGAACACGTTGAAGTTTGCCTCACGTGCAAAGAACAACATAGTCAGCCACGCCAAGAAGGCAGAAGAGGCTTTTGCTGGCGATGCAAACAGTCGTGCCCTACTTGACCGTTATCGACTCGAGATAGCAGAATTGAAGAAGCAGTTGGAGGCCCAGAGTAAGAACAAAGAAAAGATTGACAAGGGCGAAGACGAGATTGACGTGGAGGCGGAAAAGGCTCGTGAGCTTGCAGAGAAAGAGAGACACGAGGAGCAGATGCTAGAGATGCAACTGGCACGAACGGCGCTTAAGGAGCGTATAGAACACCTGAATCGACTTATCCTTAGCTCCAAGTCGATAGGTGTGAATCATCCGCGTTCGATATCGCAAATGAGTGCTGGAAGGAATTCAGTTGCCACACTCGGCGATCGTTCCGCTCGTTCATCGGCTGCTGGCCTCGATATGCCAAATCTGACAAGAAACAGCTCGATGGGTTCAATGCGTTCTTTCAGGCAATCCAACGCCGGCGCTACCATCATCAACGAACAAGATGTTGAAGATGAAGAAGATTCCTTGGGCGAGAATGGCGACGGTCAGGCAAGCGCCGCAGTCCAGATACGTGCCCTGCAAGCCGACCTTGCCGATAAGAATCGATACATTGCTACATTGGAGAAGCGACTGCTCCAAGCGCGCCGATCGAGCCACTCGCGAGTGAGCATGACCTTCGCGCAGCGGGCGGCTCTCGGAGAGGATGGTGGATTCGAACAGATGCTGCGAGAAAAGGATTCCGAGATTGCGGAGTTGAGAGCACGACTCGACGACAAGGAACGTATGATTTCGGCACTTCGCTCAGCTGCACGCAAGCGCGATATCGCGGATCTGACGGCGGACACGCCATTGACATCGCCTTCGGACAGACGAAGCAACTCAAGCAGCAACAGCCTGCCGGTTGGAGCCTCGGCTGCACGAGTCACGGGCTTAAGCCCACGAGTGTCGATGGGCTCCCCAGCTGTGGAAAGCAAAAAGGAGAAGAAGCGTAAGAGCGTAGACGAGATGACCCGGCTTCTGGACGAAATGATCACCGAGCGAGTACACAATGGAGAAAGAATAGACAGTGGTTTTTCAGTGAACGGCGCCCCCAAACCGATGGGCACTCTACGACGTACGAGCGTCAGGATTAGCGAGCCACTACCAAGCGTCTCATAGTCAGCTACACAGAAACGTGAAAAGAGGTCCACGTGGACCGTAGACCACCAAAGAGCATCTTTTTTTTTTTTAACTCGGGACCGCGTCGACGCAAGAGCGATTTTAATAAAATCTTTTTCATCCTCGTTCGTCAGGGGTTTGGATGCAAGAAAAAAACACCAATTATCCTTTTACATTCCGGGCTGGCGAAATCATTGGAGTGTGGCATTGTTTTTTTTTAATGGTCCAAAACGCTCCTTCCACTTGTACTATAAAGCTAACACCCTCTTCTTCTTTCTCCCTGTTTTAGTGTGTCAGCGTGGGACAAACCCGCGTGGCTTTATTTTGATACCCGGTTCTTTTTGGCATTAAAGACGACGACTTCCGTGGTTCAGATGACGCTCGGGTGGGAGCGTGGAGATTAATGACGTATGGATATTTTGGACGGCTGTTACAGCAGAATGCGATGAGTAGGAAGCAATACCTCACAGTAGCTGAAATCTAGTACTATCACTTGAATGTTTGCTCCTTTTCCTTGGTCGTGTCGCCGCCCACATGATTTGGCTCGTTTGATTGTGAGCTGACAACAATCCCATCCCACGAGCATACCACTTAGATGGTGCCCAACCGTGGCACAAAGCAGCAGCCTTGGGCAGACCTCTGGCAAGACGGACACAGCGCAGGATGGGTGGGGAACCCAAATGTTAGATCATCGAGTCAGTAACAAGCGGGAGGTCGTTCAGTTCTTCTGATGATCTTGCTCTACCGTAGGTCTTTGATAACTGCCAAGCTGGCGATCGAGTCCAGGTAGCACGAACAGCTTCACTAAACATGGCCAAGGACAAAAGGGGACGGGATTTGTAAGGGAGATCTTTTTTTTTTTTTTTTGGCGGATCTTGATGCCTTGAAGAACTAGACTGCATCCGTAACATGTCTAGGTCACGGTAGCTCGGGTTAGCAGTTACTTGGACTATACAGCACTCTAATAGGAAGCGGAACGAAATTTGACGCCGCCTGCCAATGCAACCTCGCCCGTTCCTGGCATTTCACGAGTTACGGGCAACAAACATCCAACGAGGTCTGGTACGTCTCCTTCCTTTCGGTGTAGATCCAGCCGAATGTGCGCGGAAGTGTTGCCATCACCGTACACGCGTTTCACGAGCGAGAAAAGTCCAGGATGAATAGGAAAAGTCTCGAGCGCAGGTCACGGCTGGAGTGGTGGTTTGAGATACAGAAAGCAGAAGACACCCCCATTTCCAAGTCAACGTCGAACCTGGACGGGTCGAAGAGCCCGCCAGATTACCTCATGTGTTTTTTATCCTTGCTAGGCTTTTTTGTTTTGTTTTTTTTTTTTTTTTCCTTTTCCAAAGTGCAAACTTCCAGAAATAACGTCGACGGAAGACGAGGTCCTGAAACAATGGCAAAAGCCAGAGTGGGAACCGAGGTGACCGCCATCTGAGCCGGGAATAAATTTGTTTTTATGCCATAGTAAATCCAGGCGACTTGCGCATCTCCCAAGGAAAAGTGTACCGTGGATTCCGTCAGAAGGATTTGCACTCGGTCTTCGTGCAAAAAGCCCGAGAGCGTCGCCGCCGTTCTGTATCTTCGCGATGGAGTTCTCTTCCCCGAAGTTTGAAAAAGAGAGCCCGCGGTTGTAGTGGTGCAATGATCGACAGGGCTTTTTAAACTAAGGCATCTTCCGCCCTCTCCCGCAGCTTCGGCCGGATTGCCAACCCACACGAGCAGGCCGGTGACGAGACATTCAATTCTTGGAGGAGAGGGGAAAAAAAAGACCCCGATCCCAACATGTACAGTACTCGTGATGAATGAGAACAACTGTGTTGGCTAGCTGCCTTCGACACTGGTGCGTGAGTCAGCAAATGCAACACGGCCGAAATTCAGCACTTTGTTGAAACTGTCTTCTGTTGTTTCGTATGAATTGGCGGATGGCCACGGCTGATCCTTCTTGGGGCCTTGGCTGCATGGAAGACTTCTAGCGTCTGCGAGCGACATCGTGTGACAGCTTAATCACGGCCTCTCTTTTCTACTTTTTGGTATTGGCGTGTTCTTCTGCCCTTCGGACCCAAGGGAAAATTTAAAATAAAAGAAAGAAAGCGGAGAGGCGGTTGCAATTCGTCAGGACTCCACAAAAGATCACCATGGTTTGCACCCCTGGGCAGCCCATGGAGTGTTTCATGTTTGGGTGACTTGACCTCATTTTTTCTCGTGTACTCCTAAACCCCGTCCCTGATGCGCGCCGACGCACCAATAAGCAGAGAAACCGAACCGCTTGTTGCAGCAGTCTACTAGGCTCTCGAAGGTATCGAGTTGCATGTTCTGGGACCAAGCGAACGGAATGCGACCACATGCTACCCCGACCGCGCAGCGTCATCATCCGTTGCAAGGAATGATCCTCTTATAGATGGACATACCGATGCCTTTTCATGTCCTTCACAACTTTGACGCCTGATTCCCGAAAACCTCCCCCCCTCCATGAATTGTCCCGCTGCCCTGTTAGGAGCGCTAAGATCTTAACTCTGTGGAGGTTGGCCCGAGCCTCGAAACACCTCCTGTTTAAGCTCCACTGATTTCAGGCGACCTCTTCCCCAACCTTCTTTTTTGCAAAGAGTTCCTCGTCGTTTCCTTTGATTTTTGACTTCCAACGACGGAATGCGCCGTGGGAAGTGCCGGCAACCTTGATTTCTTCACTTCCACGCAGAAGTGCATTCTCTCCTTTGGTCCGTCTTACTCGATTAATATACCTAACCGAGAAGCTCTGGAAGCTCCCGATATCATCCTCACGACAAACGAGACGTACGGCTGGACTCCGTGTCGCATTCTCTTTCATTTTGTCCTAGCATGAGATACCCTTAAGGTCGAATTTTGTCTGCGTTTTGCACTCGGCGCCATCCGATATTGCCACCATGGAGAAGAAGTTCAATAGAAACAATCTCTCGGTTTCATCCACAGCTTCGACCGCCTCGGACAATTCGAGTTCGTCAACGTCATCGATATCACCCGGCCTGAGTCCGAGGAAAAGCCTTTTGTCACCCTCAGAGTTTTTGATAGCAGAGTCACCCCCTCCATCACCTGGTTTGCCATCACTTATTCCTCGCCATGGAAAGAAGTCTCACACCTCGATCTTATGGAAGCTGCGACGAGTGATATACGTATTTGGGGCACTTTCCGTCCTTACGTGGCTTGCGCTTCGCACTGTTTTCTATTCTAGCGGCGCCTCGGGACCACTGAATGGAGATTATGAGATTGTCAGTGCTGATTCCTTGCCTGAGGAACCTTCAGCTGTCATGCTGAGTGACAGTCGGGGAAGGCAGAAGTGGACTGTATCGATACCACCCCATCACAGCTTCCCACTTCTCCCTTCACAGTACCATGAGATCTGCCAACAAGCAGAGCACATCTCGAACGAACTCAATCCATCGAGAAGGAAGAAAAGACATTTCGGCTACTACGAAAAAGACTCCTATTTCGTGGATGTGGCCGAAGCACAGAAGCAAGGACTTCTTCCAGACATAAACAGGGAGGGAAAGATTGGTGAGACCGCGATTCCAGACGATCCTATTTCAGGGCGTCGACCCTGTGGAAAGAGTCTTACGTACGTCATGGAGACTTCAGACGCCGGAATGGGAAATACGCTATTGGGACTGTGGATGGCTTATGGGCTTGCCAAACAGGAAGGTCGTGCATTCTTCATTGACGACACCCGATGGCCGTACGGCAATTACAGCCAGTACTTTACCTTGCCAAGACACCCAAATTGTCTGCCGCCATCAGCCACACAACGCCTGCCGTGTCCACACTCAGCACGGCACCTAGTGGTCTCTGCAGCCACATTTCCATTTACCTTTGGGCCATCCTTCGCGGAACAATTCACTGATCACAGAAAGTCGACCGAAACCTTACGACGAAAACCGATGTTCGATTTGCTTCGGGCTGGCTATGAAGAACTTTTCCATCTGGCCGATGAGGGTGATGCGGAATATGTTTTGCAGAAGACAGAAGGGGCTTTCAAGAAAGTCAGGAAAGCAGGCGGTACGAACGTTGGGCTGCACATACGACGAGGCGATCTGCACCCCTGGGAATATCAATACGAGAAAGATTATCTCCCCATCACCAGGTACATGGACGAGGTTCGCCAGATCTTGATTGACAAATACGAACACGACGATCATGATCATGATGAGGACGACGATCTACCTGAGGACGGGAAGATTTACGTTAACGGACAGCCTTTGGTCGCTGGAAAAGTTCCGGAAGACGAGGAGACCAGAGTCCGGATCACACCAAAGAAGAAGAACAAACGATCGAAGCTCAATGGGACGGGGCTTGTGCCGCGACACGGTGCGCCGGGCCTGATGGCATCTCAGGTGTACCTCGCCTCTGACGACGCAGATGTTTATAGTGCTCCGGAAGTCTCGCGTGCTGTAAGGGCACAAGACCGGATTGTCCTAGCGTCGAAGAGCGTGCTCGAAGCTGCACAAGGCGGACGTACCAATCCGTGGATCGATGAAGTTCACGGATGGGAGGGAGGCTTCTACCGCGATCAATTCTTTGGTCTTGGCCGACCTGATGGAGACCGCATCAAACACATGTCCAGGTGGAAAGCGCTGCCAGGATCGCCTCCGGAGCGTGACGCCGCAAGCAGTTTAGAATTTCCTCGGGTTGATGGAGTGCTGCTCGAAGACGATAGTCCGGACTACCTGAATCCGCCGGGTGAGGCGGCGTTGGCTTTGAGGCAGCTCGTAGGACGAGCCTATCTCATGGATCTGGCTGTGCTCAGTCAGAGTGATGCTATTGTATGTGCTGTGAGCGCAAGCGCGTGTCGGCTCTTAGCTGTTATGCTAGGCTGGGATAAGGCGGTGCTAGAGAAAAAATGGGTCAACGTGGATGGTGGCTTTGGCTGGAGAGGTCTCGTCGTGCCGGAATGAGACGATTTTGAACCTTCGTTATATTTGTTTTTGTTGATGGCAACATCTGCATCATCTGCATCAGTTTCATAGACATCACTCCATCGTGCCCAAGAGGGCTATGACATAGGATTCCCACAAGATGAGAGATCCACATTGTAATTATCTCTTAGTGTCGCATAAGAAATTTCCGAGGTCACACTATCGACTAGTTCTCGCCCCGTTGACTTTTTTGTTTTGAGAAGGACTGGGGCCCTTTCGAGCCATCGTTTTGTTCTTTTCAAGCTGTGCTGAAGCTCTACCCGGTGGCTAGCAAAATGTTGCAAAACGATGTCTGACTACTAGGCTGAAGGCGTTACGTTTCGCCAAATCTTAAGGGCGGGGCTCTGTTACCGAGAATGTTCGTCACAAACTGCGGCTTATGGCTATGCCACGGATGGATCTGCATCTGATGCTTACGAGAGAGCTGATCTCAACGTTGAACATGCTTGGAAATGATGCCGAGGGTGAGCTGGCCCAGCCTGGCTGGCGCTTGAATGTAAGCTTTGTCCCTACCATCAAGATCAAAAAGTCCACTAGTTTCTTCATGTTCGCTTGTTCGCCCGCAAACTGACTGATAAAGCCCTTGCTTGAACAATCGTGTGAACTTCTCTCTTCAGCTGCGTTATGCCGAGACTGGAGCTGACTCCAATGTCCATTCTTGCCACGGTCATGACGCCGTGCTCATCACGACACATGGCGTTCTTACAAAGTCAGTGACAAAGCTCAGAGGCTTTACCTAAGCAGCATTCGTGCCTGGTGAACGGTTGCTGCTAACTCCAGCTTAGCCCCACGAGTCCTGGCGATGCCTCAGCAGAATCTTAGCGATGCCCAAAGCGGTGGAGTATAGCCGATGGAATTTCTCGAAGGCTGCACGAGAGTTGGCGTTGCGGGATCGAACCGCATTGGTGGTAGCTGAACGTGCTACTATTCTTATTCCAAAGCGCAGCACGCAAGCACGCTCTGGCGCACGAGGACGGGCAGGGCGAAAGCGAAAGCGAGGTCTGCATGTCTGCTGCTAAGGAATGCCAATCGAGTCGCCAAGCAGCAGCGCAAGTGTGAGACACCCAATGACAGGACGGTTGGAGAAGAGCCACAGGGCTGCTGAGGACGTTCGCTGAGAGTCGCCAATCCTTTCCTGTTCAAGCGCGAGAGCCCGCCAAGTCGATGCGGCACTAGCGTTGTCCCGCCCTCTGTGTGCAACTGGGACATCCCACACGGTCTGAAGGGCTGAACCTATGCACGATCCCCTCGTCGTGCCTATTGCGGAGCGTGCGACGCTGTAACTATGGGTAATACCGTGCCATAAATCCAGTCCTTTCCTCTGTGCACAGCGCTGCTGAATAACCGCCCTCCCCCTGCTGATCGTCGTTCTTATCTCCTCGACAGCTTGCTCGATCAACGTCTTCCACCATGCCGCGGCCCAAGAAAGAGGGCGCCCCGGAACCAAAACGGCGGAGTCGCACTGGCTGCTGGTATGTTTGGACTTGTCGATTGACACCTGCTGACCTCTGCTGACCGCTGTCAAGGCCGTGCAAAGCCCGCAAAGTCAAGTGGTGAGTGTGCCCCGCGCGGCTATCGCAGATGGATGTCGCGAACGATCCGACTGACAGCGGGCGATAGCGGGGAGGAGAAGCCCGGCTGTCTCAATTGCGAGCGTACGGGCGAGGAATGCGATTACAGCATCCGCCTCAATTGGGGCGGCCGCACGAGGAACAAGGCCGATAGTTTTCAGGTCGACTCGCGGAGCGGCACAAGCAGCCCGTCCACCATTGTCTTTCCTACACCAGAGGAGCTGACCGGCCACCGAACGCCGTCGCCTCAATCCCACAAGCGTTCCAGTCGACACATTCGATCGCGCTCGAGTAATTCCCACCACCTGGGTCGCGATCGCTCACCCGTCGTCGATCCCGACCTTCGACCGTCCTTTCATTCGCACTCGAGGTCGCAAAACGGAATAGCCGACGACCTCACCCGCCTCCCAGATATACACAGTACACTCCCGGTGGGTCTGGCACAGTCCATGAGCAGCAATGTTCCACGATCAAACGTGACATCTGCTCCTGCCGACTTTCGGGGCTTCACCTTTCGTCCTCCTCCTCCAGCAGAGTACCCCTCACCTTCAGCTTCGGCACTTCCCAGTCCAAATTTCTCAGGGGACCTGCCAACGAATGACTCCCCTGCTGCCATGCTTCCCCCTTTTCGCACTATGCCGGGACTCTCTTCACCAGCTCGGGGCCAAAGCGCTTCCTTCGCTGAAGAGACGTTGTCCGTGCCCGATCACAGACCGAAGCGGATCCGAATTGGAGTGAATGGTGAAGCGTCGCCAATGACGGGAAGCCCTCTATTACTAGAGCAGAGCTTTGACGTTCCAGACACACGTCGATCGCCGAACGCGGCGATGTTGAATGCGTATAGCCCTTTCAACGGTGCGCCCCTTACACCCGGATCTTCAGTTGCTTCGGACGAGCAGCTAAGAGGCTCTGCGAAGGTAGCTGCGCATCAGCTGCCTCCTTCCACGGCGAATCAGTCAAATCAGGATCCACCAGACTTGCGTCGATTGTCTGTGCAGTCCTTACTCGCCGAAGATCGAGATATTAAGCCATGGAAAGCATCTCAACAGAGCAAATATCCTTTGCAGAGTGTAGCAGAGGAGACCACAACTTATGGCTATGATCTTGGTCTTCCGGATCTAGACACGCCGAGAAATGACGATCTCGGTGCCATCCTGCCATACAGTCCACCTGCTAGGCGCGAGAGCGTCTTGTCTTATTTGAACGCCAACGGAGAAGATGAATGGGATAGCAGTCCTTTCAACCCTTTTAGTTCTCAATCGAAGGTCATTGCGTTTGAACCTGGTGGATACTACGCCAACCCTGTTGCAATTAAAATACCCTTCTCTCTCGAACCGCTCCCGCCAAAACTTGTGGAGAATAAGATGAACCTTTTGTACTTCCATCATTTCCTCAATCATACCGCCCGTATTCTCGTTCCTCATGACTGCTCGGACAATCCGTTCCGTTCTGTGCTTCCAGAGAGTGAGTACGATTTGACCACGCCGGATGAATGTCTGACTCAAATTTGCAGTGGCTCTCCAAGACGAGGATCTTTTGAACCTACTTCTCGCATATTCTGCCAGCCATCGAGCGCGCTTGCTCCATCACCCCGAACCCGCAAATCGAATCGCCGTCTATGCAAAGGATGTATTTCCGAAACTGCGGCATGCGGTGACCACCAATGAGCCCACCAGTATCAGTACCCTTGCAACAGCCATCATGCTGGCTTCTTTAGAAATCCTTTCTCCAGGCGCTTTTGGTTTTGGAATTCCTTGGCGCACACACCTGAGCATCGCTCGCCAGATGATTGTTGCCCGAGGCGGTCCTGACGCCATTAGCCGGGCAGACAAGGTATCGTACTTCCTCATTCGCTGGTTTGCATTTCTCGACATCATAGGAAGCCTGAGCGGGCGTCAGAGAGACCTCCCGCTGAGCACCTACTATTGGATGAATGATTTCTGCGACTCTCAGATTGACTGTCTGCTTGGCTTCCACAGCAATTGCGTCGGATACCTTGCTCGAGTCTCTTACCTGGTCAACACCGTCGAACGTGAGCGGATAGATGAGATGGGCAATGTCCAAGAATCTTGGCAACCATCCCCGGCTATTGTACAGCAAGCTGAAGAACTCAAGCGTGAAATACATCAGGCAAGAGAGCAAGTATGGAAACCTTGTCCGTATGGAACGAATGAAAATGAGCATGAGGCTGGTTGGGATGCACTTGAGATCGCCGCAACAAACGACATGTTCCATTGGGCAGCTTTGATCCACATTGATCGCCGGGTTTTAAATCTACCTCTCGAGAATGCGGAGGTTCAGTACGCTGTGAAAGAGATTGTTGGGGCTTTGTATAAAATCCGTGGCGGTAGCAGCGCAGAAGCCAACATCTTGTTCCCTCTCTTCACGGCGGGCGTGCACGCGGTTGACCCTTATCAACGCGAACGGGTTATGAGTCGCCTTGCTGTCGTTGAAACGTTTGGCATGACACATGTGAGTTTTTGAGCGAAGCGGAATTGGAGCCTTTCGACTGCTAACGTTCTAATCAGATGACAAAAGCAAAGACCCTTATGCAAGAGGTCTGGAACACCGGAAAACCTTGGGAGAGCCTTGTTTCGGACGAGTTTGTTGGCTGAAGATGTGGAAGTTAGGAGTTGAGTTTTCTCTTCCAGACTTCGCATTGTAATGATTAAGTGCTTTCAGGAGTGTTGTGGCGCACGGAGAACTGAGATGGTAGCATAGCACAATGGCTACCCATCATCTAGGAAGAGTTCACACACTCCTAGAATCACTGCAGATTCCGGCAGATATCTGTTTTTATGGTTTCAGATACCCCACCCTCGCTAGAGTGCGCTCATGACAATTCAATCTTGATTAATCATTACCTGCATTTTCCATTCGTTCTTCGCAAGGTGAGGCCACTCACATCATGTGATGTTGAACTCGTTTTGATGTCGTGCTAGTGTCAGCAAAGAGACACGTAAGTAGACTGAAGATGAAGACTAAGCTACTTGTGGTTCCACAGAAATTCAATGGACGTGACGAAAAGCTTACTGTCATCGCATTTAAATGCGTCGTGACGTTCTTTTCCTGATTGGCAGGCTAGCCGAGATCTTCCGGCAATGGGATGACACTCGTACGTCTCAAGTCTAGCAGGTACCACAAGATCTCGCAAACTTGCTCCTATTTTTTTTTTTTATTCGGACTTCCGATCACTCTGGACGAATCTAGGCCAAGCTTGCCTCAACTCGCCATCATAAAAATCCTGCTGCTGCACCGATCTATCAGGAACGTAGCGACTGTCGTTGCCTCATGGCTACCCACGAAGACCGCGTGGCCGCAGTTTGTAAAGAGGTTAGAAGCTTCTACGACCGCGGAGAGAAGTTCCGAATTTACCACGGCACGACCAATTCAACGCGTCGCGCGAGATGGAAGCGAAGTCAAGTCGTGGATACTTCCCACTTGAACCACGTGTTGAAGGTCGACCCAGAGAAGCTGCTCGTGGTCGTGGAGCCGAACGTCCCCATGGATAGGCTCGTAGAAGCCACTTTACGGTACAACCTGTCGCCTCCTGTTGTACCGGAATTTCCAGGCATCACTGTTGGCGGCGCCGTAGTCGGTTCCGCCGGCGAGAGCAGTTCCTTCAGGTATGGACTTGTCGACAGAACTGTTGAGAGTGTGCAGATTGTACTAGCCAATGGCGATACTGTGACAGCCTCTGCTGCTGAGAATCCCGACTTATTCGAGGGCATTGGAAGCAGCTTTGGCACACTGGGTGTTCTGACACAAGTCACTCTACGACTCATTCCAGTAAAGAAGTACGTAGCGGTCAGCTACCATTCTGCAACCAGCTTCGAGGCTGCGTGTCAAAAGCTGTTGGATTTCGCTGTAGACCCCGAGATCGATTTTGTTGATGGCATTGTTTTTAAGCCCGACAAGTCCGTTATCGTTACCGGCAAGTACACAGATGCCGTTGAGGGTCGCCGGATACAGACGTTTTCGCAAGCATGGGATCAGTGGTTCTACATTCATGCGCGCCAACAGTTTTCGACCGCCAGTTCATCAAAGACCGACATAGTACCCCTTACCGACTACCTGTTTCGATATGATCGCGGAGGCTTCTGGGTTGGAAGATTTGCCTTCAAGTACTTCTGTGTCCCGTTCGATCGTCTAAGCAGATTCTTGGTCGATCGATTCATGCACACTAGGATCATGTATCATGCACTTCATGAGAGCGGTCTTGGCGAAGAGTACATCGTGCAAGATCTTGCGTTGCCGAGTGAGCGTGCACCAGAATTCTTAAGATATGCATACGGAGAGCTGGGAATTCATCCTTTGTGGATCTGCCCTCTCCAAAAACGCCCCAGAGCCGTCATGAATCCAAGAATGAGCAGTGGTCATGCAGAAACATCTGACACTACGTCGAGCGAAACAGAAAAGGACCAAGGGTATCCCGAGATCATTAACGTTGGTGTATGGGGTGAAGGTTCTCGAAATCGAGACCGCTTTATCGAGGTCAACCGTAAAATCGAGAAGACTGTACAAGATCTGGGAGGCATAAAGTGGTTATATGCTCAAACCTTCTACACAGAAGACGAATTCTGGTCCATCTACGATCGCAAAGCCTACGACGCGTTACGGAGCAAATACTATGCGTCAGGACTGCCCACAATTTACGACAAAGTAAAGCTAGATATTGCAGCAGAGAGGAAAGCCAGGGCAGAAGCGAGCCTTTATGAGAGGATTAAGGCAACCCTGAAGAGTATTTGGCCGATTCGCGGGGCTTATGGCGTTCTGCGAACCCTCATCAGCACAGACTATCTGCTGGATCGATCTAAAGAAAAGCTTCAGTGAGGCCAACTGAGCTTGAATATATTGAAAAACTACTTTCTTCACACAGCCTTCGAAGGTATAGGGTATGATGAGTTTACGAACCAAGAACCATCCCGAGTTCCTGTGGTTTTGAATGGAACGAGCATGGTTCAAATCGCTCTGCCGTGCTCATGGCTTGTTTAATCATTCGGATCGGCGTTATGAACTTCAACTGATGTCTTGTAGGTGCAATGTAGATATGGACCAAGAGGGAGGAACTGTCCTTGTTCTATATTTTTACATTCAGAATCACAGTGTAGAGCTCCCAAGACCGATCCTGCAATATGAAAACGAATTCCACTTGCCAAACATGCACTATCTACTCCGTACTTCAGAATAGAAGTGAGGAACCCTTGCAGTTGAAATTAAAAATACTGTCCTAACAAGTGTTTTTAATTTTCCGTCGCATCTGCAACTTGAAAACAACATCCCAGGTCTTGCGAAACTTCGTCAAAATCTATCTGCAGTCAATGGCTAAATTAATGTTATTTCTTAATCCATCCGGAGGAAGGAAGCGATGTCTTAAAGGGATCGTCTGCACGGTGAGGAGGGTTCCAGGCAATAACGTTCACCCAACCTCTCTAATTTCAACAAACCCGGAGCCGTGACTGCAAGTGGCGTGCCAAATCTGTTCCGTCGTACTTCTGCTGGTCCTAAGAGATCAGCAAGATACGAAGCGAGGTTCCTCTACAATCGGAACTGATGCGCTTCTCCCCGACAATCTCACGTGTGTTTCAGCAGCCAGTCGAACGCAAACGAAATCTTGATGGGAACAACGCTTTCCATGTATGATATCATTCGGCAATCTGATTAGTGCGGCAGAATCTTGGACGGACATGTTGATACCAATTGCCCTCCGGGAGTCCCCACGGTTAACAGTCTTCTTTGAGGATTATCACAAGGTTTACCCAAATAAGGCTTAGTCGTGGCCATTTGAGGAACAAAGCAGGTAGCTACCTCGGGCATTTTATCTGACAGAGCTGGTATGACATCTGTGCACGAACAGCCGGTGTCTGCACGGCAGGTCGTGATGCTGTCGCAAGGTTCCGGGACATACCCCCAAAGTCCTGAAAACAGAAATGTCGGACGCAGAGCAAGCATGTGCGTAGGGGACATTGTAGGTGGCAAGGCTCATTATCCCTACCGAACCTTGCCACTATGTTAAGACCGGCCGATATAACATCGGCCTTTCTTTGAGAGACCTCACCGGGCATTTCGATTCCAATTTACACAATATTTACCAAACTTTTGACGTTTCTACTAAGACAATGTCCGCTACTACGACTGAGACCCTCCTTCAGAGGAAGACTCTTGTCGTCGAGAAAACTGACGACCACCGACAAGAGCTCATCTCGCGTGGACTTCTCAACTCGAACTATCCTCTGATCAAGAAAGTTGTTTCGGAACAGATGGTAGTCTCGATAGCGGCCTTGACAGCGGTTCTTCTGCAGATTGCGCACCCCGGTGTTGGCAAAGGCGTTGGCCTCCACAGTAACTTTGCATATCGCTTTGTGGAAAGACACGAGAACACTGTGATGTACATTTACACGATGATCTTTGGCACTGAGGAGCAAAAGGCCAAGATGAAGGCTTTTGTCGACAAAAGGCATAAGTACGTTAATGACAACAAAAAGGGCAAAACGTACGATGCTCTTGACCCGAAACTCCAATTATGGGTTGCATTCACTCTTTATGCTACCTACGTTCCAGTCTATGAGGAGATTTTCGGCAACTTTTCCGACGAGGAGCGCGAACAAGTTTTGCAAGAATTTTCTATCATGGGCACATCACTTCAGGTTCCTCTGTCTATGTGGCCTAGATCTGTCGCTGAAGCTGACGAGTACTGGAATCATACCGTCAACGAAGTGCTGGAGATCACCGAACCCTGCAAGAAGACAACAAACGAACTACGGAATGCTGCAACATATGTACCATGGTATCTCAAGCCTCTCATGATGGTGACTGTGCCAGCGCACTGGAATGCTACAACAGAGAGATTACCTGCGCGAGCTCAAGAGATGTATGGGTTGCAATCAACGTTGTGGACAAGGACGTTTGATGCGATTGGGATGACGTATCTCAAATGGACATACCCATACCTGCCCATGAGCGTGAGGACATTCCAGTGAGTTCACATCGGTCCATCGTTAATACGGAAAGTACGCTCTGACAAACCGAACAGGGTAAATTACTACATGAACCTGGCTCAAAAGCTTATGACGAAAGGAAGGCTAGCATGAAAGCTTCCCTGAAGACTTTAGGAAATGCCTCTAAAATTACCTTGCTCGTCCATCATCGCATCGTCGACAGGAGAATTTCTACATTGCGGACCAAGTTAGATTAGATCAGAAATAGCAACCCAATAGGACACATAAAACTAGATCCAAGGCATCCATTTTTGATTATCGGACATGCGGACACATTTATTTGACCTAAGCGGAAAAATTGACGTTGACGATTTCAGACAGAAGCGGACTCTCCTACGGTTGAAGGGCACTCGAAAGCTCGCACCATGACTTTATCCTAATGAATACCAAGAGTGCTTTCCAACTCTTGTTTGTACTAGCAAATTGCTTATTCGTAACAAAAAGGAGGTAGGTTTTGTACACCCAAATCGATGTGCGTGTTGTTAGACTTGAATCACACCACAGCATAGTGGGACGATTGAGTTCTAGCTTGGAAGCTAGCCACACTTCTGCATGGACTTCCCACGGCGGCACGAGCAACACAGTTCTGGGGTAACATGCCGAAAAGCGTGTGCCTGGAAGGCTTGGAGGGAAAGCCGCTCTGCTCCAAAAGCCCGTTGAATGAGAAGACCCGAACCCGGTTGCAACGGCGTGAAGCAGCCCTGTGTCTACCAAGATAACTTATCACGGTCGTTCGGGACGCTCATGAGACCCATGTGCCTGAGAAGAAAAAAAAATTTACTGATGAAACCGTTCTTGGCCTTCTAGAGGCACGCTCAGAATGTGCAACGGAATGGTGGAAAATAAAGCAAGGCGTGTGAGAGGTCGGTTGTTATCACAAGGACCCTTGTCACAGACGCCAGACCGTCGACGCGAATTGAACACGCTCTGAACCAGGCATGCACGATTGCTCCACTGGCACCAGCTCCTGAGGCGAGATTGCGCAGCACAGAGCTAACATCCAACGAGAAAGAGTGTGGTGATCCTGTATGCGCGAGGCAAGCGCGAGATTCAGGCTGGAACAGCAAGGCATGGCCCGGTTGAACGTGTCAAAATTTAAACTCCTCATTTTCAATTTTGACTGAAAGCAGACAACGAAACGCCGGGTCCTCTCTTGCCCACCCCCAGAATCGCGCCTGCTAAATGACCATTAATGCGTCACGATCGCCATACAAACATTAATGACCAACCCTTTGTTTAGCGCCTATACCTCCCCCCATCGCGTGCACTGCCTTTGATCGCGCAGCAACGTAAAGAATTTATATACATACTTGTAACGCATTAATGTCTAGTGATATCATTTGTATGTCTGTATATGGAGTAGCGCCTCTCTTCTAGAGTTCAAAGGCAAAAATAGACATAGACGCCTAAAATGTGCTCGGCTCGCATCTAGTAGAAGAATGCGGCCACAAATACAAGTGCAGTGAATGCGGATGTGAGCGTGTACTCTAGTTCACCCGTAGCGTCTCGGACGCCCCATCCGGTAAGCTTGGCCTTTTCTGTTGGCCGCTTGACACCGGTCTTAGGATCGATCTGGAGCAGATCCTCACGCGGCGGCATATTGGGAGGCTCAATAGCGTAGGCGATTGGAATCCAGAAAGCGCTGCAGACGACGATCCAAGCCACGGGTGGCCAAAATGCGTGAGTCAGGAGACAGAGGAGCTTGTCGTGAAGCGATCCATTTTCAGCAACGCAGCGTGATGATGATAGAGACACCGCTGACAGAACAAAGTAAACGTAAATAACGTGGTATATAGCAAGGTAGTTGAAGAGAATGACTCGTATCCGGCGGAACAATCCTGCACGGAGGACCGGATCCCGCTCGTTGAGGTCGGATTTGATTGATCCGGTTGGCTGGAAAGTTTGCACCGCACCACCGAGCCACTTTGGAAGGAAGAATGAACGAATGATTGATACGGAGATGTATGGTGCCATCCAGAGTTGCGTACGAGCGCCGCGTTGGCCCGTAGCGTATCCCGCTGGTAGGTAAAGGACGAACTCGCACAGTCGGTTAATGAAAACAGTAGCGAAACATGCTCGAATGAGCCAACGAAGCTGATCGTCGTTTGCGTATGCAATGAGCGGCTTGCCAGAGATTAGGACGATTGGGAGCGCGAAGAGTGAGATCATCAGCGGGATGTTGTACAGAGAGAGCAAGGCGAACAAGAAACCAGAAAGCCGCGGGAAGAATTTCATGTGCTTGATGTGCTCGCCATACAAGCAGAATTTCAATTTGAAAGCGGTGTCGACCGTTCCGATCGCCTGGAAAGTGTCAGTTAGGAGCTCCCAGGGTCTGTGAGTAAAACTTACCCATCGTGTTCGCTGTTTCAAATGGCTACCATAACTGTCGGGAACGGTACCAAATTGCAGAGGCTCATGAATGTAAGCGGTGTTCCAACCTTTTCCAAGCATGTTCGTTGAAGTTGCAACATCTTCGGCGAGCGAGCCCTTGGGAAATCCTCCAATGTCGTCAATAGCTTGTCGGCGGAATATGTAACCAGATCCGGTGCACCACGCGACGCCTAGAGCGTCTTTGATGGGCTCGCAAATGTGAACGAAAAAATCCAAACTCTGTGCGAGGGGGTCGCCCTTCGGAACATTGTAGAAAAGCTGATCGCCTCCGTCAGTTATGAGATGAGATCAAACAGAAGAGATTGCATACCTGAGGCGGACAGGCCATTGCACACTTGTGGTCGATAAGCAAATGCGGCATGAGAGCGCGCAACCAGTGTCTCTCCGGGATCATATCAGCGTCCAAAGCAGCCATGTACGGTGCTGCTCCTCCGGGCATATTATGGACTTCATCGAGACCGTAGTTAAGATTACCAGCCTTGAAATGGTGAGGAACGCCAGGTATCTTGGTTCGAGCGCGATACCAAAGATTAGAGTAGACGTGACCCAAATTTTGCACAGCTTCACGAAGCATGGCATCACCGCCATCGTCGAGAACAATAACCCTAAACTTGTCGATTGGCCAGTCAATTTCGCACGCTGCCCGTGTGGTATCCATGATCACATCCACCTCTTCTTTGCAGCAGGTGATAAAGACGTCAACGGCGGGTACGTCGTCGCCCTCCAGGCGCAACTGTGGGCGTTTCCTTCGCTTTAGGATAAACACATTCCACAAAGTCTGGATAAAAAGGGGCACAGCAACAGAGATCTCGGTTCCAATGAACACCCACGCCATTGGAAAACTCTTGCCGGTCTTACGTTGCGAGTCCAAGACGAACATGATGCGCATCACAAAATATACCCAGTACGATATCAAGGTAAGAATACACAAGATCGGAGCAGTGAGGAAGAGGTAGCGCTTCCAGTTTGGCATGTGATCCCAATCATCGCGTCGATTGAGTGTAATAATATGGCTCGTGAGATCTTTCTCTGGACTGGGCGAACTGCTTCCGATCAAGGACTTGAAGGCGTCGGTACTTTGCTACAATCGTAATCAGTAATTTCTAGGCAGGATCAAATCATGTACACCTACATATGGCGAAGGTGTCGCGGAATAGGGCGAAATCAGAGTTGCAGAGCTCTCGGGCCTGGATGGCAGCCCCCATGGTTTCGGTTTGCTGAAGTTCGGAGTGCCAGGCGGTGATTCTGCGTGTAGATCCGACAATGTGCGGTTGCCATTTGGACGGCTTAGCGAGAGTGGTGGCCTTGGAAAACCAATGAAGCTTTCCGGACGCGAAGGGGAGTCGCCTTCGCGCAACGTTTCCTGGCTGTCTCCTCCTAGATCGGACACGGAATCGATCGAGGGCTGGCGATGCATGTACGGATGGTTGTTGTTATTGTTGTTGAACGCTCGGTGAGGTGGAGGAGCCGGAGCATAGCTGTTCGAGTCCATCCCGTTCCCTCGAGCGTATGGGTTGTGCCGTGACTGGTCGAACGACATGTTTTCGGGCGAGGCGTTGGAGTGCTTGAGAACGCTGGTTCGACTAAATCATACCACAGGAGCGAAGACCATGGACGGGAGCGACAGGGGAAGGTAGCAGACGTTCTGCAGATGTTCTAAACGACAGACAAGACCCAGGAGGGCAGAGGGAGGATAACGAGCGAACGTTGGAAGTTGGAAAGGAATGGCCTGGGATGCGTCGAAGAGAGAAGGTGAAAGAAAATCCTTGACAGCATCCCTATCGCGCGACCGAGTGGCCAGGACGCCAACAGCACAAGCTCGCCGTGCTTGTGGCTGGCGTGTGCACACGCAATGACGGTTTTTCTTCACCACAGAAAAGCATCGATTCCCAGCACTGATCACCGGTGGCGGGCCTCGAATGGCTGCAGCGAATCCTTGACTCGGTCGGAAATGATAAGCCAGTCCCAACGTTAAGATTTGATCGGGCAAAGCGTGCAGGCAGACCTCCTGGGGGCCGGCACCCTTGCCGCGCGTAACGACAGTACTTATGTTCTAGTGTTTTTTCTCCCGCGGTCTCCTTCTCTGACCACGCCAGAACAGATCCAAAGACTTTTCTTTTCATCTTTCGCTTCTCCCCTTCTTTCCCACATCAGTCGTTCGCCATGCTCGCGCACTCTTTGCTGAGCGGCGCGCTGCTGCTCCTGCCCATCGCAGTCACCGTCGGCATCTACATCGGCGTCGAGTTCCAGAAGATCTTTCATGACGGCTTCAAAGGCTCGTATGGCATCCCAACTGGCAGCGGAGGCGGTTCTGCCACGCCTGGAAGCAGCGGAGGTGTCGAGACGAACATGTACTGCCAGAAGCTCATCGGCATCACCCCCCAAGGCAGCCGATATACCTGTGAGTTGTTCCTTTGACAGGCCCTCACGAGGGCCCCTACTGTTCCTGCAGTAGCGTATTGCCTCTCAATTTTTCTTACAGCTAAACCACATTCGATCATGGGTTGTGTGGAACGGTTGCGCAACGGGTTTGCACGCCAGGTTGCTTGAATTATGCCGCCCCTTGCTCCACCCCTGGGCCTTATCCACCTCTTAGCGTTCATTACTTCCGCTGATCTCAGGTAACTGACACGTTTCTAAACAGATAATCCCAACCAGTGGGGTCTCGGCGCTAACGATCCTTCGGGGCTGTGTATGAATGTATGGCCAAAGCCAACTCCTAAGCAACACTCTGCCGTTTTCCGCAACTGTTTTCAACTGACATTTTGCCACAGATTACGACGGGCACTCTCGCAAAGAACAGCAAATATGCCGACCCTTTTTCCGTCACCTGGAATTACACTCAGGGGCCTGGTAAGTTTGGATCCTGATCCCGAGTGGCGCCGTGGTGGCGCCGTAATGAAGATCCGCTCCAATGCAATGCTAATCCCGACTTGCAGAGACACAGCCTGTGCACGCGTTCCCTAACGCGTTGCTTGAGGCCGACAATCTGCCTACAACCATCTCGAGTGTTTCAAGTATCCCGGTCGATGTCTCCTGGACGTATGGCATCGGCAATAGCAACGAAACCAACACGGCCACGGCCGATCTGGATGCAGCGGGTAAGTGGCAGGCCTAGCACCTTGGATCCTGCATGCCAGGTTTTGTTTTCCCGTTCAAATAATGACGTACGTTTCAACAGATCTCAATGCCAATGTTGCAGTCGATATGTTCTTGGATACCGACAAAAGCACCAGCTCAGAAACCACCAAGGCAGCCCATGAGGTAATGGTTTGGCTCGGACAATTTGGCCCCGCAACACAGCCCATCGGATATTCCGCAGGTGCTGTGGTAACGAAGTCTATCAATGGCACTACGTTGTATGTCGTTAACCATTTCCATGTCTATGTCGAAGAGGAACTGATTTTCCATAACAGCAATCTCTACACTGGTACGAACGGAAACGGCCAGCATGTGTGGACATGGGTAGCAACCACAACAACAAACCGCTTTGTCGGCGACATTAGTCCACTCATAACAGAATTGTCGGCGCAGTCAGGCCCTACTGGGACTGACTACCTTGGGTACATTGGTTTTGGAAGTGAAGCGTATTGGTCGCCGCAGAACGTGACATTTTCGGTTCCGGAGTTATACATAGACGTTTTGTAATCTCTGTTATGATAATTCTGCAAGCATATGGTTCTGGCGTTGTGGCTTTAGATATCCAGCGGTCTCGAGGAAACAGACGCGCATGCAAAATACATGAAACATTGCCTCATTCAATCCTACTGTGTGCGAACGTGTCTACTGTTGTTCTGTGTTGTAAACCTGGCAGCCTAGTAGCATTGACTTCGTGCGTCCAGTTTTTATTCTTTGCTTTGCGTCGTAACATGGGAACTTCTGCCGTGGGCGTTTTGACAATTGTGAAAATCGAATCTGCTTGGAGCTCTATTCGTCGACCTTATATGCTATAGTTTGGCCTCGAGAACAACAATTTGTGGCATGGCACGGAGTGTGAAACAAGGCCTCATCTATGCGTTTCCTTATTTGCACAGGCAATGCACGCACTTCGCATTCATTAAACGCGAAAGGATGTAGGCCGCAGAGGGCGGATCGGCCCTTGTTTGTACGACGTTTGGTGCGACACGGGATAATCGCAAAGGGATCGAAGGAACGTTGTACAAAACGGAATCGCCCATTCGAGCCGAAAGGATGATAGTCCAAGAACCTAAAGCTTAGCAGCTGAAGCTGCAAAGCCACGCGAAAAAAAAATGGTGAAAAAGGCCTATTCGTTTGTTGTCATTTTCGTTGTTGTTGTTGCTGGGTGTTAACTTTCAAACTGCGCGAAAATGTTCGGTCGTTCCTATTTCACGCCTTGAAACACTGAACGCAGAGATCCCGTCGGCCGTTGCTCAAACGATTGCAGTTTTCTTATCATGATACAAGATGCATCGTCTATATTCTTCGCCTCGTTGCACCTGTCTTACAAGCAATGGTAAAGTTAATGGATGAAAGACCGCATGACTTCCAAGCCAAATGCTACTCTTGTTTCCAAAGGATCTCTTCTCCAGAAAACGAATATGACAGATTTGGCAACCAATATAATTTGATCGATGACACCTGTTACAATTCGAGAATTACCATGCGAATTTTTTCGCAGTCCGAAGGGCGTACAGTCTTGCCTCTTTTCGGGATTTGCTCTCCACCTGGCACAAATTCGTTGAGGCCAGAAATGTAGAGGCACCGTGTCTCGAACCACCCAATACAACATTACCTACGCAAGAGCACAACTGATCAACAGTACAGAACAGTGTCGAACTCTGTGAGTAAACCCTAGCACTGCAACGAATCGGACGCCGAGGAATTTTAAAAGTGACCGGTTATGTGTGCACAAGACCGGTAAAAGTGACATGTCTTATTTTTAGCCTAGAATCATAGTTCGCTTTCAGTAATGGTGTACAAGCTGGATCATCTTAAAAGATCTTGCTCAGAACTCTCTGTGCATCAGTGGGAGGCGCCTCATCCTTGCTCTTCTTCTTCGTAACAATCTCGCTTTGCTTGAAGTGCATGACATCTTTGCTCTTCCCTCTCTCGGTTGCCTGCTGTTCCAGATCTTGTTTCTCTCCACCGCTCTTTGCTTTTCTCTTTTTCTCCATGCCATCCAACATCTTTGCCTTCTCGACGTTGCGTAGGAACTCTCTGGCTTCCTTCCTTTCCCGTATGGTCTCGGCCCTTAATCTTGCCTCACGTTCTGCATTTTCATTCGCGATCTGCTCAGTCAAATGCCGCCATTTGAACCCCTTGAGATACTTGAGATTCCATACATCGTCATAATAATAGCTTCCTTTCTTGCCGCCGATATTCTTGCCGTTCAGTGTTTCAACTGCAAGCTTGGCCTCACGTTTGGATATGAATTCAACCCAGCCGTCTAGGAAGAGTTTTTTCTTGTTTCCACCAGACTTGACGCGAGATCTGTGGGCTTCGGGATCTTCTGGTGTGAGGAAAACACGATCGAGGCCAGAGGGCGCGAACGGCTGGAGAAGATGTTTAAGGGTGTGCGGTTTCATAAACGGCGGAACTCTGGATATATAGATAACCCCCGTTTTTGAAGCCTTGGCTTGGGCCTTTGCAAGTTTTTTCTTAATCTTCGCTCTGTCTTTCATTGATAGATTCGGCTTAACATTGAGCACATCTTCCTCCCTAGAGCCTTCTTTGGCTATGTCCACATCTTTTCCGTCGCTTTTAGTAGACTTTGAGTCATTTGGGGATTCTTTCGCTGTTTGGAAGCTCGCTGTAGCGTCGTCGTTTGAGTAGTCATTCTCGACATCCGACTGATCAGAGTCGACTTTGCGTCGTTTTGCGCTTCTACCAGCGAAGGACCTGCCCTTACTCTTCTCAGCAACCTCAGAATCATAACCTTGCTCTTCATCATCGCTGTCGCCGGTGGTAAACCAGTCTCGCTTATTTTTGTCCGCCATTGTAGTGTAGGCTATTGCGAGTTGTTTGCACGAGACGTGTGGATTGCACTACGAAAACTTTTGGGATGGTGATGCCGCTATCGGACCTCCCTCTACTAATTAACCACCTACTCCGTACTTTCTCATCTGCTTGCCTCGAGAAAGTCTCTTATCAGGATGATAAACTTGTCAACCATTGTAACTTATTTGTTTTAGCAACTTTCTTGATTGTTCTTGTATTAAGTATCCTGCATCGAAGTATGGCGAGTGATAAATCTCCAGACAACTGAAGCAGCTTTCACTTTGGATACGTAAAGTCCGTAGATCTAAAGTGCATCTGCACAAGTGCGGCTTTTCATGTCACATTTGGTGTTGTCTGTTCTACGGTCGGTGCGGCAATCTTCGCATTTAAATCAATCTCACACAATCAGTCACTGGGTTCGTCAAGTAAGAATGGCTCATGTGCAGTTGTTCTTGGACTGGGATGGAACTCTCACGAAAAATGACACCATTCTATCTCTTAGTGGAATCGGTTACAAAGTCAATGAACGTTTAGGGATCAAACTAAGGCCATGGCACGAGATCGTTGATACTTATCTAGCCGAATTGAAAGCTCATGCTTCATCATATGAACCTTCCGCAGAACAAAGGAAGACCACAGAAAGTGAGCTGAAGTACTTGACGAGCCTGAAATCAGTCGAACGGGCAAGCACCGACCGAGTCATCAGATCTGGCGTGTTTTGCAATGTGACTGCGGAAGACTTGGATTTTGGAGCTAAGGAGGCGATTGAAAACGGGATAATCGAGATGCGGAGCGGTTGGGAGAAGTTATGCTCGCTGATATCTCTTTTCAGCAACGAAGGTCAAAATACTTTGGAGGTCTCTATAGTGACTGTCAATTGGAGCGCGTCGTTCATTCGAAGCTGTCTTCTACATGCCGCAGAAAAGCAAAGGCTTGATGTGACGACAATCAAACACCTGCATATCTACGGCAATGAGGTTGTAGGTGCTCCTGATGACGGTTTCAGTACGATGCCAAGGAATCTATCGGCAGCCAATGCAATTCACACAACTGCGGACAAATGCGACGCAATGAAAGATCCTCTTGCAGCAGGCCATAGCAAAGCTTTGGGTGTAGGGCAAGAGTATTTCAGCGTCTACGTAGGTGATACGCTTCCAGATTTTTGTCCGCTTCTGCAGGTGGATTTTGGCATCTGCATCAGGGACAATCCTATGGGTAGTGGGCAGAATGAACTTGCTCAAACACTGGAACGTGTAGGCGTAATGGCGATGCCCTTATCACGAGCAAATCGATCGCGATTGCTCGAAAAGAGTCCATCGAAAATAGTTTATTGGAGTAACGATTTGGCGGAAGTTGCATCTTTTGTAGAGAATAAGCTTTTCAGATCATAGTTCCATTGCTCTCCTTGCAGAGGGAGATGCGGTTCCAGTTGGTACTACTAAGCGAGTGCATTTTTAAGAACATTAGCTGGCTGAGACTCAAAAGTGACTAGCATCCCTTCTCTTTCCATAATAACTTGACCACATTGCTACTAAAGAATAACGAATACACATTTGTGACCACATCAGAAGCTTGCGAACCAAACGGGTGGTTGATACTTAGACAGACCTCTCAAATACAACAATCTTTGATTAGAACCTATCGAAAAGTAATCTTTCAGCAGAAAAGAGCGACTGTACTCGAACAATGTTTTGTTATGCGCGTAAGGAGTAAAATTCGAAGGCTCAAGCGCTAGCTCGGCTTTCTCTTATCAGCGGTAAACCAATTGAGATCCATATAATGCTCAAGAACGTTCATAAAAAGTACGAAGACGTGTAGGCGGTTCGAATGGCTGCCGATTTGTAGAGGCTCCAAGATCCGTATAGTGTCCTGATGGGTAGAAAAACATGACAGCATCTCGTTGGAATTGATTATGAACCTGTATTCTCGAGTTTCTGCTTGTTGCTCTAGTCATCCGCACCTAGCAGTTTACAGATGACGCTCTTGTTAGCATCAGCAGTGCGACCACCATACCATACAAGCCTTTGCTTAATGTTAGCCCTGTATTCAAGTGGTAGCAAATTGATGCAAGGGTAAATCAGGCTGTTTAATGGTCTACTAGCCATAGGGATTATTTCACCCAACTCTCGATCACGCATAGATGTCTCGTCCTAAAAACGCACAACAAAAACCTACCTAGAACTTCGGAGAATATCTGAATCAACATCATAGGCATGAAAAGTCTCGGCTGCTGAGCCACTCCTCGAACGCCGGCGTCTCCAGTAATGCCAATGGTGAATCCTGCCCCAAGTGCCGAGACACCAACTGCGATTCCCGCTCCTAGATGAACAAAGGCAGTAAAGAGGTGAGTTTCTGCCTGCATGCGGTTTGTAATCATCACTGAGACTACCAATCCATAGATAGCTAGGATAGCAGCCATCACTACTGGCACAGAGTCTGTCATCGTTAGTACGCATTATGGAGCCAAAATTAGGGGTTGCACTTCGTATGACTGTATCTGGACGCATAATACCACTCATTGTGATACCTACACCTGCTTTTGCTGTTCCGTACGCGGCGCCCAGCGCAGAGAGGCACATGGCAACTGCGCACCCAAGAGCGCTGAAAAATGGCTAGAGATGTCAACAAGTGATTTGACATTGTGAGTCTGCTCTCACTTACGGCATACACTGGACTATCCAACGTTCATATCAGCAATTTAACATGAATATTGTTGTGGGAACTTACCACTGATCAGAAGGATACATGTTAACAGAGGCAAAATGGAAATGTCTTAGACTACAGGTTGTTCAAAGGCTGGAAAAGCCAGGCATATGGTTGAAACTGCTGCCTAGGGCTTCAGCGCGCCTAGTTTCTCTATGTAACACAGCCATACTTTCATGCCCAGGCTTGAGTTCGTACACCTGATTCTCGGCTTCTTGTGGTTTATAACATCCATTGGTCCTTACTCTGCTGCCTATGTCACGTGGAATCTCGTTGATTGATGGGTGTAGTCCAACCTTGGCCCCTACCACTGCACTAACTTAGAATTTAGCCTTTTTAATTCATGATCTCCATGATCTTGCATTTACGGCGTGAGTTGCGTTGATCGTCTACAATCTGTCCGCGCTCTTAAACCCCGCGATGCGGCTAATCTCGGGCATCTCTGACAGTTGTAGGCCAAAAGCATCCTTACCACCTCGTACATAAACAACACTTTTTCCACCTTTATGTTCTTGAGTTACTGATTCGAACATAACAACATCGCTGTGCCTCGGACCTCCTTATTGCGATGTCTGCAGCGACTGTCGTGGTTCATCTCTAACTGGACTCATGCGGTTTCATGTTACAAAACTGATAGTGAAGGCCAGATAACATGGCTGGCGTTTGTATTCAAGAATTCTTCATCCAAATATTGAAGGACTTAAAAAATCTTCAGATGCAGGATGTAATAATGTAGGAATGTGGTGCACACTGACAGGCTACGAACAAGTTGATATTGATATCAGGACAGCCGTTGAGCTGGAAGCGAGAGCCGATGACGACTGGCCCGTTCTAAAAGTCAAATGTTAAGATTGCTCATGGCACCAATCTTATGCGCATGGTCGCGATGTTCTTCAAGCAAGGCGCTTCATCATAAACTTCAGATATCGTTAATTGATGTGCAGGCTTGGATCAATCCTCCACCTGCTCGAATGCTAATTTCGAGCTGGGAAGGTTTTGGCCTTCGCAATGTTTAAACGGACATAAGAGATGTCCAAAGTCTCAACTGTTCTTACCGACAAAAGTGATTGATGTTGGGCCAGTAGATAACGAGAGTCACGTTCGTTTAGTTTAGGCTCAAGTTCTGAATGAATCTGAACGGATTGTGCCGTTCGTTGCGCTCTTGCATTGCTGGGTAAGGACCGCTTCTTGGTCACAAAAGTGGAAACCTTGGAAGATCACAAAAAGGCAATTCCCCCTCCAGTCTTTGCCACCGTCTTTTCAAGATGCCATCACTGCTGCTCGTTGTATGGGCTTCAGATACTTATGGATTGACAGCTGAAAAGGATTGGCGAAAGGATTCAAATGTGTCGCATATACTCACAAACTTTATCTACAATAACATCTGCACACGCCAATGGGGTCATATGGCGGTATGTTCCTGCAGCATGATGGATTGCGCACCATGCCATTCGAGATCGAGCTGAAAATGCCCTCAAAACTAGTCCGTATTACGTTTTTGCCTACGCCTCAGCGAGAAATTCAATGGCAACTGGACGATCTCCTGGTGTATTCCCGCGCTTGGTGTTTCAAGAAATGATCCTATCGACGCGCAATCTCGTCTTCGACCTGGGCGGGATTCGATGGGCATGCCTAGCAATGGCTGCGCCGAAAAGTAATTTGGAAGCGGATGTTACCGGATATTCTGCCAGTACCAAGCGGTTTCACACAACCTTGAGGCAGCCACTGCCTTCAGCTGACTCTTTTGTGCAGCTGGATGCCAACAGCATTACGATGCAAGCCTTTATTTAGCAGCAGATTGTGCAAGACTATTCACAGAGGGATTTGACCAACTATGAGGATAAGCTTATCGCTACTGCCGGTATTGCGCAGGACATCCAAAAGCGAACGGACAACATGTACCTTGCGGGTGTATGGAAGAAGCATCCCTTTATGTATTTGTTATGGTATTTTGACCTTGAACGCCATTAATCCCAAAGTTGACAAGCATACATGGTCTTCGAACCCTAGTTCCTTCCGTTTGGTCAACCCGATGCCGTAGCACCTTCATGGTCATGGGTGTCCATCTACCTCCCGGTTAGATATGAGTCGTATATAGTAATGGAACCGTTCTGCAAGATCTTGGAGGCGGACACCATTGGAGAGCCACATGTACAGACAGGGAAGTTGACAGTATTTGGTGATACTAGAGAGCTATACGTGCCAGCGCTTTCCAACACACGAAACAGGAGTCTCCCAAGGCTTGTCAACGAATGTAGATACATAATCCCGAGCCCGCAACAGAATATTCTTGCGCAAAATACGTCGAATCAGCTATTTTGGCCGTCGCAGGTCATGCTGGCCACCGCGGAGCAGCCGTCCCGGTTTTCTCGAACTGAGATTCTGGCTGTAAAATGGTCGCCTGAAGATCCTTGGGATGAGCCCAAAACCGTCATGTTTCTGGCCATCACGCGTCACCCCGTCAGCTAAGGCATGCACCTGAATCTACGAAGACAGCGTCGTGAACTCGCTAGCACTCGTACACACCCCCCTCCCCCCAGTCGCAAGGAAAATGAGTATCGCCGCATTGGCCTCGCCGTGTGGACGGATTGCGGTTGGTTCGTTCGGCTACAGCTGTGCCAAAGACAAGGCTCTCAAGGAAGCGGCTTGGAAGAAGTTGGGTCGTTTTTTGAAAAGCGTCAAACCACCCGTCTTTGGTCAAAGGCGAGCGCGACACCCACCCTGTTCAACACGGTCCTTTAACGACCGCGAACGTCTACCATACTGGTACCGAAATGAAGCGCAAGACTGCGCACATCATATAAATTCGCATGCGTCTCGCTTGGGCTTTGCGCTTTCCATACCAATGCGGCATGTGGCATACGAAATCACAAATTTTTCGAGCCTTGCTGCACGTCGAACATCTCAGATATCACGAAAAGCGCATTGCCAGAAGCCGTAAACTCCCGTCAGAGACTTTAGGAGACATTAGACATGTCTCCTACTCGCATCGATGGTTCACCCTAAAAAAAATGGTAAGAGATCTGGCCGGCCAACCTCCTGTGGTTGCAGTCGGTAACTTCCCCTGATGTCCCGAGTGCACCGTCGACGACATCCTCTCCGTTCCGACGCCAACGAGGGTGTTTGCACTGATCCGAACCCCGCAAGTCCGTCTCTCGCGCGCTCGTTGACGGACAAAAGCCTCTCTAGACATACTTGCGCGCAAGGAGGAAGGTCCGGGACAAGCATTGACTCTCTCCAACATCGAGCGAGAAATCAAGGCTCACGCGCGAGTCCGGTCTCCTGGACCGCTGGAAACGCAGCCGGCTGTCTGCTTTGGCCTGGCAAGTCCTCGCTCTTTTCAGCGTCCGCTTGGCTTGTGCGTGTCATCTCGGCCAGGCTAAGGACGGGAGCGACAGGCTACGAGTGTGTGTGTATCGCTGCGAGATCGTTCGCTCTCGATCTAATCCCGTGCGACATCGCCGGCTAAGTTTGCGAAGTTTCCACGGCCGAGGAAGCGAAAAACGGAGGCTGTAAAGATCGACCGAGTGACTGGGTTTGTCTTGTCTTTTTACCGGCCACTGCCACGCTTCTTGAATGTATGATAAGGATACTGTCGAAAAGAGTTCCACGGAGGGATGACGTGGAGGACTAGATTTTTTGTCACGCAATGTTCATGGTTGCATTCAATGCTATCAACACAGCGTCTCGACAAGGTAGAAGGAACGCCATCGCTATGCAAATCGTCGTTTACCCTGCCACACCGAATCGGACGCAGCTCGTGACCCAAGGTGTACGATGCAGACAGGAACGGGCCGCCGATATATTACTCCACCCTTTCGACAACTCTCATTCGCCCGACCTCATGTCCCATCTCGCCGCCGCTGCTGCTGCTACCACTTTCGCCAATCGGCTTTTGATTCGCCTCGATAGACGCCACGTCCTCGAGCAGGCGGCCTTCAGAGTCACGCGGCTTTCTCTTCCAGCCGGTGAAGAAGTTCTTGCCCAGCTCGAAGCGGGGGAGGGGATGTGCCTCCGTGTTGAAGATGATCTTGTCGAGCGGCAGTACGTCCGCGGGCCCAAACAAGAGGTACAGATACTTGAGCGTTTCGGCCTGCGTTGAAGAAAGAAGCGTTAGCATGGGAAGCTCATGTGTCCGCGAAGCAAAGACGACGTTGTAGGGTGCATTGTGTTCTATTCGACTGAGCACGTACCGGCCAGAAACTCTCCATGTTGTCCCTCGTGTTGCCGCCCGTGACGTCGTTGACGTCGTTGATGCTCGAGAAGCCCGCGCCGTCATCCACCGTCGTGTGCTTGACGAACGCCTCGAAGATCTCCCAGCCCCACTGCCTATACGTCTCGTCGCCCGTGATGCGCCACAAGTAGAACAGACTCTCCACCGTCTCGGGCCGCTGCAAGTTATGCGTGTCTGCCGGCTTGATGATGTAGTCCTGCCTCCAGTCCGCGTCTTCGACCGAGAAGTCGACGACAGATTCCAGCTCGCCGTCCAGCATCATGAGTGGCGGGTCGTGGATGTTGAAGTACGTGATTTCCGGTGCGAGGCCTGTAGCGGTGACTTTGTACATGCCCATGCACGTCTTCATGAGTTCCTTTGCGAGCTTGAGGTCGTGCACGTGCGTTGTGCTCATGATTCCCTTCTCCACGGCCTGTTGGACGGTGAGACCGCCGGTGGCGGCAAGCGCGAGCGTGCCTGGCATGAAACACACAAGGTGGTCCATTTTGGGCTCGAGGTTGCCCTTCAGGCCGTGCGGTCGCTCAGCAAGGATGGTCAGGTTGGCGTGCTTCGAATAGGTGATCAGATGCTTCTTGATGCCTGCGAGGGACTCCTCCCATAGTTGAAGGTAGACTGGTTCCTGTTTCGAGGTCTGAAGGTATTGCTTGATCAGATACTCGTAGTAGCTGTCCCCACGACTGCCCAAGCGGATGTTGGCCGTCGTGAACTTGCCCGTCGCTGGGTCGATGAAGATGGGCATGAGGCCGTCCTTGGCGTTGGCGTCGTCGACCGCCTTCATGACCTTTTCCGCCTTGTCCCAGTAGTGCTTCTCGCCCGTGAGCTTGGCCATGTACTTCATCTCGAGCTGGACGCTAGTCGCCTCCGCGAGAGAGGAGGCCCCGCCGTCGGCATGGGAGCGGATGCCTTTCATGGACTTGAGGTTGACACTGGCAAAAGGAATGCCAGTGTCCGACTCGAAGGCGCCGAGCAGGCGGTCTGCCAGATCGGACGCCTTTTCCAGATACAGATCTTCGCCGCCGTTGCGCTTGAGATCGACGGGGCACATGTCAGGGAACTCCGTCTGGAGGTAGTGGGCTGCCAGCAGGCCGCCAAGCATGCGGATCGTAGTCTCGAAGGTGTTGACGTCGTGGTCAAGCTCGTAGGTCAGGGTTGTACTGAGCCACTCGCGAGCATGCTCAACCTGCTTGGTCATGTTCATGAGCATCAGTGTGTCCAGCGCGTCGATGATGATCCATCCCAAGCCAGTAGGCGGGACCATCATACGACCACTCTTCGACGACGGGTGGAACTCGTCGTAGCCCCATGCGTACTTCTCGTAGCCTGCCCAACTGATCTCCATGGCCTTTTTGACCTGCTCCCTCCGCTGGGTCCAATTGACGGATCCCGTCTTGGAATCGGCGGAAAAGGTGCTCCACAGACTCTTTGCGTCTCTTTGCAGGCTCTCGTCGTCTCTCGACCCTCCCAGCCATCCTGCGTAGTACAGCCAGAAGACCGTGAACAAGGCTCCCAGCGCCAGGTACAGCCGTCTGCGCCCGCGCCGCCTCGACGGAGGATAGTTGTAGGGTTTGTCCTTGTACATGGGAAGTTCCTTGCCATCGCCGCTGCCTGGAATATGCAGGCCAAAGCCGTTGGATGCGCCGGTCGAGAATCGCGACCTGCCCGAGGATCCCCAGAGGGCGTCCTCGTACCGGCGCTGAGGATCGTGAAAGGAGGGAACGTTGCGCGGGACGGCGAACGACATGACTTCCGGATCGCCTTCGCGCTGAAGGAAAAGTGAGGGGAGAGAAAAAGAAAAGGAGGAAGTGCGAGTTTGTGCTAAATGTGTAGAAGCATTGGGTTGCCGAAGGAGCAATGATGCCAGACACGATGCGCAGCTCCGCGTGCGTTCGTTGAAGAGTGTAAACGTATGTCTTTCTCGCCTGCCGCCAGACGTAAGCGTTGCGCTGTCCAGCACCCACATGCGCGCTAGCCACTTCTGCACCGGCCAGCCTTGCTCGCAGCCTCGTCAAACTCGCCCGGGTTGTCGCAGGCACAAAATATATATGTTTTAAAAAACTCACGTGCACTGATGAGAATGTGTGGAGTCCGTTCCCATCATGCTCCTACCGTGCGCTGCTTTGCGACTCTTATGAAAGCTTGTATAACATGATGATACTGGTGAACCCATCGTCTGGCTGGGTTGCCCTCATGCCCTAATGAGCCAGCATCTCCTGACACACATACAGGTGTTATCTCGCTTCCACAAAGCATTATTTTCTTGATATAAGCATGGCATTAGTGGTGTTAAGGCTATTTTCTGTCTCTGGTGTGGTTTGGCTTGACTGGCGTGCACGTTTGCACAGTAAATTCTGCCTTGACGACGAATAATAGCGTTCCTCATATTTATCTGAAGAAATTGGATTTCCAGAACAGTAGCGTCGGTTTAATGATCTTATGCCGTCCATAAATCATGTTAAACTTGGGTATCGCTCTCCAAAATAAATTTGTCGTGCACAAGGTGACACGGAACGCCTGTCTAAACATATCCCTTTTGTCCGCAGCATTAATTCCTCCAAAGTTGTGGCAATTTCCTCCCAAAAGATGTTAAAAAAAGGCGCCGAGCTTTTCGATTCCATTTTCCGCTTCTACTTCAATCCTGATCACGACCTGCCACTTGCCTTCTTCCTCCCGGCGTTGGCCCTCGCTCTCACCTTGTCGCCAATGCCATCGACGAGGTTGCCTGCTTTCTCACCCGCCATCTGAATTTTTGCATCTCCATCGTGCTTCTCCCATTCTGCCTTCATGTCATCGACGAGGTCTCGACCTACGCTCGTGCCGTGGCACCAGTCCAGCGCGCCAAAGGCGGCGTAATTGCCCTGCCCTTGCACGAGGAAGTGATTGTCTACACGCTTCGCCATTCCCGGCAGCAAGATGCCCGATGGTAGAATAGAGTAGCCAGAGTAAGTGACTAGGGTCTCGAGAGAGGTGATGGCAAGGGCGAACAGGACGGGCAAGATGTGCGCGCGCATGGCGATTGCGGGCACAAAGAGGGGGACCCAGTGGTGCAGGAGATAGCAGGGAGGAGAGTCGTACGAGGCGCAGATAGAGAATGGCGCGGGGATGGCGTGCTGCCATGCGACGTGGTACTTGCTGAGGAACACGTTGGGGTTGTGCAGCACGAAGCGGTGGATGTAATATTGCAGAATCTACGCGCACATGACTCGTCAGTTTCGACGTCCAGCAAGTGCGAAGACCAAAGGAAGGAAGGAATCGAACTTACGCCTCTCACGAGGACCAGGATCAGGGCTTGCTGAGCGATGGTCCACGGCATGGGCATTCTCTTGCTCAGACTTAGCGCTGTCCTCATGCGCAGGACCTTGGTGAGCAGCAGCTCCAGGGCCAGCTGCAGAGCGACGCCGAGGGCGACATTCAGGACGCTCCAAGCGGCGATCTTTGCGACGCGCTTGCGGCCCAGGCGGCCGGCGAGGGCAATGTCACCCTGAGTCTTGATGGCGGTAGCGATGCTGGGCAGGCCCGTGTCGAATAGAAGGAACAGCAAGGCCGGCAGGATGTAGCAAAGCAGCTGGACAACCGAGATGCCTATGATTTCGACGGAGAGCGGTGGATGGGTCAGTAGCAGGATGTACCAGTTCAGGGTGAAGAAGAGCAGGTTCACCGACGTGCCATACGAGGTGAGGGCGGGCAGGGCGAAGAAGGAGATGAAGGGAAGCGAAATGGCGGCGCCCATGACGACCGCGTTGTGCGTTTGCGTCGACTGCTACAAAGGGCGTCTTGGGTCTAGTCCAAGGGGCGAGACAAGGCGTGTCAAAAACGAACAAAGAATACAAAACCAATGTTGCACAAGGGCTTTTCTGATGGGGGTGTTTCTCTTTGAATTATTGCGAGCAACACTCCAAGACGTCGCAAAAGCCTGGCAGACATGACGGGGGCGGCGACGAGTGAGTGGTGCAGAGTGAGAGCGAGGTAGGACGTCATACTTGGGATGCGTGAAGCGGCTGCCCACGCCTGTGGCCAATCACAGTGACGCAAACGCGATTGAGCAGCTGCGCACACCTGAAGCTGCCGCAGACCTCGAGCCTGTGGGTAATATTTTCGAACGAACTTGGCAGAATATACCAGACAGAAATGAAGCTAGGGTTATACAAGACATTGCTCGATTGATAGTTCATTCTGCAGAACATCTGGCTGCTGATGGTGATGACCATCTCAATATCTTGACTGATAGTGTCAATGAAGGCTGGAACAACGCTCTTCTCTTGACAGGAACGCGTCCACAGCCTGAGCTTCTCTGTAGGATTTAGGCGCGAGGCATTTACTAAAGGTCAGCTCGACAAGCTTGCCCCATTCATAGGCAACTTTCTCTCTGGCGCCCAGTCATTCTTCATGGCTACGTACTATATGTGCTTCCCATTCCTCACAGGTACGGTGAAGTGCGGTGCTGCAGCGCTCGATATTGCAGACCGACAAAATACCCATAGTATGATGCTTGTGGTAAGAGTTATTATAGAGCTCTTCAGAGCTCTTCAGACTCGTTGGTCACGAATGGAGCTCCAGCGGGAGATTCTCGCTTTTTCGGTTTCGCATGATCACAGGTCGGTGAGAATCTACGGACACTATTCAGTTATTGATGGAAGGGATACAAAGTACTACCGCCATCCTATATATACCTACGACTTCACAGCACTGGATGGCAAGGAGAAATGGACCGCATACAAGTTCACTAAAAACATCTACAATATCTGGACGCCAGCCCATTTCAAACATCTATATTCAACTATAGATAAAAATATCAGCAGATATCGATTCTAGCGTCCCATAACTTTCCCAAAGCTTTGGGCTTTTACGAGAGCTCAAGCGCCATCGCCTCTTAGAACTGAGCCGACCCGAATTCCAATCGCAGGAGTCCAGCCAAGGGACTACTCGCGCTGCAAAGGCTACAACTCCGGATACATCATTTACCAACCGAGGCGTGCCAAAGAGGTCCGGGAATTGGCCGACTGGAGGGGAGTAGTGCAGACAAGTGGTTGATTTATGGGTTCGATGTGACGGCACTCACTGTACGGACCGCAAATAGCCGCCCCATGAGCGTACTTTCAAGTAGGGCATTGAACTTGATGACTTGTGCTTATGCTAGACTTAGAATGTGATTATAATAGTGATTAATAGGTCAAATCCTTTGTTGGATCCTGCTTCAGGTAGAGGGCCAGGTTCGCTGAGCCATGTGACGCTATGCTCTATACGCTTTGTACTATTCTTATTCTTATTAATACTATTCTTTTCCTTCTAGCTACGCGACGAAGAAGAATCGCCGCATAAAAAGGCAAGAGATTCCTCGCCAAGACAGTCTTGCACACCTCCGAGGACGAGTGGGAAAGTGGCACGACGGTAGCGTCTTGCGGTGGCGTTTTGAGGGCGTGGAAAGCGTAATCAGTGAGGATCGATCTCCAGGATCGCCCGCTCTGCTGGATCAAATTTATTTCCGAGCCCTTCAAACGCTGGACAGATCGCTCGTACGTTCGCCTGCGGCACGAGGTGCGGTCGGGTCGGAAGGGGCACGAGAGGAAAGGAAGATAGAGAGACGGGCACAGGACGCGCGTGCGCGAACGAGAAACGCAAAGTCAAAAGGAGACCAAGCGATGGCAGAAAAAAAAAATTTTTGGAGCGAAAAGCAAGCGAGAGACGCGCAGGCAGCATCTGGCACACGGCGCGTTGAGAAAGATTAAACGGGCACGCAACGCTTGAGCATCAGCTCCGTCACGTCGGGGGGCAGCTTGCGACAGGGGGGAACAGCGTTTCCATCCGTGGGCATGTTCTTTTTCGATGATTTGCTTCTTTGATCTCTGGGACCAATCGTCTTCCGGGATTTTTTTTGTTGCGTCTCAAAGGTTTTTTTGGGGCGGAAAGGGGAGGGGGATTTATAAGTGTGGCCCGTAGTGATCTGGGGCGGCAGGAGAAAAGACGGGAGGCTGAAGGAGGACCTGTGTGTCAAAGGTGAAGGCAAATCACACAAAAATTACATTGAAACCCCACACACTCGCGACGCGCGAGTAGCAGCAGTGACTGTGGTAGCGTCCTATTCTCCGTAGCACATCCGCAGCAGCCAACAGTTCGCAGCGAGCCGTGCGCGTAGCACTGTCGCTACCATTGGGCGCGAGCGGCGCGGGAGATGAGGGCCCAGCTTGGGATCGGCTCCAGCCAGCACCGCGGGATTGGGCCGGCGCCGACGCCGTGACGGGCGGGCCCCTTGCAGGCTCTGGCCGCACATCCCGGCGCGTGCGTGAGGTCGAGCAGGACAGCGATTCGGATTGATTGCGCGCACAGTCAGTCGCCGTCTTGGCCGCGTCCGGAGTTGCTGTTATCCAGAATGTCGACTTGAGCTTGGTCTCCTCGTTGCTGTGATTGTTGCTGCTGTTATTTTCGTCACTATCATCATTGTCGTTATCTCATCGTCATACTTCGTCTTGTTCAAAACCACTGCTCTTTGCTGTTGCTGCTACTGCCGCTGACGCAGCCACGAGCACTCTCAAATACGCTGCTGTGCTTTCGCCATCGCCGCATGCACGTTCCCATCTCCGTTCTCTAATTCCTCCCCATTCTCTCGCATTCGGAGCCACGACTTGCACCTGCGCTGCTAAAAATGCGCACTCGTATGTAACGTCTGTCATTTCTGCTTCGCATCGCTTGGAAGCTTTCCACCTGCGCGCCCTGTCTCTGCATCTCGCTGTCCATCCCTATCGCGCGTCCCTGACCTTCCGCTCGGATCGGAGAGCCCCTCGAACAACTCGCAACGGCGTCGCGAAGCCAGAAGATCAGGAACACAGTAGGGATACCTAGACCAAGAGAAACATTTTTCCCATAAACGCTCCAAGGGGTCATGGTGTCATTTCACCGCGAACACGAGACAGACCACGGCCGGCTAAAGAGAGCGGCTTAAAGAGTAAGGGGCTGCATCGGAAGACCACGAATCACGCGGCAATGGAGATACACACGAAGGAGAGACCTCCGATTCCATCACGCCGTATTTGGCTCGACGCAACCCAGGACGCTGTTGGTGAGTCTCGAAGCACCACGCCTCCTCCCCCTATACCATCCGTGCCTGTTCCAGCCATACCGGCCGAGCACACCGCTGCCCTTCAGACGCACCACCCCAAGAGAAAATCAGCTCCACCTGGTCGCCTGCGGACAAAGGTCGACAATGCCGCCGCCTCTCCCCAGGTCATATCCTCATTGCTCGACTCGTTCTCGACCTTCAACCCGCCTCCCGATCCTGTCCACCATGGCACGTCGCCTCGTCTCAGCGCCACCAAGTCCATGCCGGTTACGCCTGTGCTCAAGCAGAGGTCTTCTTTTGGTCACGGCCCGGCTTCGGAGCGCGCCTCGCTCACCGACTATGAGCTGTATCGCCAGCAGCTGGCAGACGAGTTTGAAGAGCCCGAGGCTGCTGAACCGCCGGTTGTGCGCACCTCGAAGCGGCCTTCTGGAAAGTCTGAATGGACGGCGCCTAAGCTGTCTCACGATTCCGGCCTGACCTCGTACGTTCGTGGATTTGGTCGCAGCGCTTCGTCACTGTCGCTGCAGCGCACCGACGACGACTCGCGGAGCATAGGAAACGTCAGCGTCGAATCGACTGTGCGGCGGCGGTCGCTCATCAGCATCAGTCGCGAGTCATTAGAGCATCGACTGGGTCGCAAGAAGTCGCACTCGAGGGTCATCTCGCCCACGCGAGAAGACTTTGGTACCGTGGATCAGGAGCCAACGCGGGAGCTTGTCCTGAACGCGACAGGTGTACCAGAGCACCTGACCCCACCAACAAGCCCAAGACGCAGAACAACTCCTTTCGACTCCGTGATCCAGGAGGAGCCCCCTTCACCCACCTCGACCGCTTACCACACGTCACAAGAGAGCGCTGTGAAGCAGGGAAAGAAACCCGTGCACGTCGATCCCATCAACGGGCCGACCGTCCCCAATCGTAGATCTTCGCTTCGCCACAGCGACATTCCAAGCGCGTCGAAGAATCGACATTCACGCGAGCTCAGCGCATTACAGGTTGCAGCGGACGCTTTGGCTGAAGAAGCTCACGAGCCTCAGGCCAAGGTCATGCTCAGCGAGCTGGATGGCGAGCCGACCGAGGTCACGAAGCGTATCAAGGACCTGAAGGCAAAGAAGGAGCAGCGAGAGCGCGAGGCAAGAGCCTCTCTCTCGCCGGGCCCAGAGGCACGCACGCAGCGATCCCGGAGCGTCTCTCCGCAAGTTGCGAGCACGCCGTCCTTTGAATCGGGACCGCCCAGCAGGCAGGCGAAGGCTGCGGAGAAGAGAAGCCGCATCGCACAGCTGGGTGCGATCAATGTGCCGCCACGTGCGCATTCCGGCTCGACCACACCTGCCAGATCTGGCCAGGACGGCACGTCTTCGCCCGGCTTAAACGTGCCTCAGCAGCCAGGAACGCCCCTTACTCCCACCAACCTGCCCATTAACTATTCTTATGTCGTGAACAGTCTGAGCAAACGCGACTCTATGCCGAATCTGCCCCATACACAAGGTCCCTCGTCGGCCGCACCACCTCCGCCAATACCAACAGGCGAAAAGCCGAACCCAACCCCGGCAGGGCAAGAGCCGAGTACCCTTGCGACCGTCACGCCAAACAACAACGAGACCACAAGTATCGACGCGCCGAGTACGTCGGGCGCGTCCCCCGCAGAATCGCTAAGAGATGGCAAGCGGAAGCCAATCAGCGTCGGTGGCCGCTCGGCGGTAGGCCGCGCCGTATCCGCAAAAGCCCTGCCAGACCTTCCCATCGGCCCGAACGTTGGCACAAGCCGAATGTCCTCGCCAGAACCCGGAGACGATCGCTCCTCAATCGACACGAGTCACAAGTCGGAGAAGGCATCGCGCTCAAACTCGCTGAGACTGAAGCGCAGACGGTGGTCGCAGCCGGAGATACCAACGCCAGAGCGCTCAAACAGCATGAAGCGCTTCGAGCCGCTCGCTGTTCAGCCTCCACGGCCCGAGAAGATTGTGGAGGAACGACCGGGCAGTGCAGACTCGATCGATGCGGACGTAAAGAAGTTCATAAACCACCCTCGACTGTCGCAAAAGATCCGGCATCCGCAGTCTGGACGCACGATTGCCTTCTCCGAGGTGGGCGATCCAAAGGGCCACGCTGTGTTCTGTTGCGTCGGCATGGGTCTCACTAGATATGTGACGGCCTTCTACGATGAGCTCGCTATGACTTTGGGGTTGCGCTTGATTACACCGGACAGGCCCGGTGTTGGTGGTTCTCCTCCGGATCCAAACGCCCTTCCGTTGACTTGGCCAGGTGCGTACCTCTTTGATGATATGGCCGTGAAGACGAATCGTATTGTTTGCTAACAAGTGCTACGCAGACGATGTTCTTGCCATTTGCCAGGCTCTGCGGATCTCCAAATTCTCGATCATGGCTCACAGTGCCGGCGCGATCTACGCACTCGCAACCGCCCTACGCATGCCACAGCACATTCGAGGACGAGTCCATCTTCTCGCGCCGTGGATCCCACCCTCGCAGATGGCGCCGATCGGCTTAACGAAACAAGATCCGCCTCCGGCAGCGCAACTGCCAAAATCCCAACGCTTCTTGCGAGCAATGCCCACTCCGTTCTTGAAGATTGCAAACACGGCATTCCTAAGTGCTGCCAGTGCCAGCCTTAGTCCCAACGCGACCGGATCACCGAGAAGAGAAAGGAGGAGACGGAGTGACAGGCACAAGCGAGAAGTGGAAAAGGAGAGCTCGGACATTAGCCGCAATGACTCCAAGACGGAAAACTCGAATTCGAGTAGGCCGTCGGCCCACAACAGACGAGAGAGCCTCATGCTCATGGACCAGCAGCACATGCCGGACGGGTCGGCGCTGGAGTACGCCAAGTCACAGCGCGACCTCAGGTCTGCCTACGGAAGCGCCGAGTCCGCCAAGATCGCTGAGCAACAACAACAGCAACTCAGTATTGAGGAGGAAAATGAGCGTCGAGAGATTTACGACTCCAGACTCACGTTGTCAATATGGGCCCTTGCGACGACGAACGCCAACCCAGCGGTCGATCTGCTCGTCTGTCTTGAACGCCAACGTGACATAGGCTTTATGTACAAGGACATTACACGCTCGGTTGTCATCCACCACGGTTCGAAAGACACCCGCGTTCCCGTTGAGAATGTCAAGTGGCTCGGCAGGACGATGCGCAAGTGCGAGGTGCGTGTGCTTGAGGGTGAGGGTCACGGCCTAATGGCAAGTGCGGCCGTCATGGGCAGCGTACTCGAGGAGATGGGCAGGGAGTGGCGCGAATGGGACAACGTCGTCAAAAGGACCGGCAACGTCAGACGATGAATGAAACACCAGAACCGTATTCCTACGATTTTTTTGTGTCAAGAACAGAAAAAGGGCAGAGAGGAAAACAAAGAACACACCACGAACGCGTCACACAAAAGGCAACGACGATTATGCTCCTGTTCATGCTCATGCTGATGCTCTCAAACGAGTCTTCTACTTTCTAAAGATGAGGCGTGATCTCTTCGGTGCTGCTGGAGATGGTAGTTGGGTACGACACAACTGGATATGGATGGGACTTGCATGGCTTGTCTATTAACGAGCCGTAAACATGCTGTCCCTCTTCCCCTCTTTCTCCTTTTCCCCCACATACATGTATCCTTCGGCCAGAATTTTGAATTCTTTTTTGCATGGCCTTTGCGTATTTGAAAATACCCACCTTTTTTTTTGTACAGCATAGTTTAGCATATAGTCCTCCTAATAATTACACATGCCACGGTTTTCTATCCACCCCCTCTTTTCCCTTGACTATTTTAGCGCCGTTGAGATCTGGGGGTCCCTGGCAGAATATTTGTGGCCTCGTATTGCCTTCTAGAGACGTCGACTTTGGCTGACAGGATCGGAGTGAGTTGTGACACGACTGTGGGGCTCCCCCAGCCGAGGTGATTTCCTATTATGGTGCCTGAAAGCTTTTCGTGTGAAGGGACTAAGGCCATGCTCACGAACAAGTCTCGAGACGAGCAAACGCGCTGAACGCACGCTTCATCAACGCACAAGCGAAGCGCAGGGCGGGACCACCTCGATTCAAAAACCCGACTTTTGACGTGGTTGGCCGACGCGATCGTCACGTATCTGGTTCCAGCGTGGTGCTCCCGATTCTCTGCCGTGGAAAGTACAGAAATGCCACTACACTTCCTCCGGTCAAAAAATCTACCTCTTTTACAGACCGCTCGTCGGCTTTCTGGGGAGCTGCGGGGACCGGCGAGGCTCACGCCCCGTGGGGGAGGACAACCCCTTGCGTTTCAGCCTTTCCCGTGCAGATAAGCTCGCCACTAGAAGAAGCTCGTTTCGGCATCACATGCTCAGCGCACATCTGAAGGCAAAACGTCACAGCAGAGCTGGACGCTTCTCCAGTCGTCAAATATCGCATCCTGTGGGACGGCTTAGTGGGTCTTGAACTCTCGGGCATGATTCCGAGCCGGGGAGCGTTGTGGTGTCGTTTTGGAATGCCCGAGTATGAGCAAATGGGGTAGACTTTGCTCTGCGCAGCCGATTCGAGAACAGCACGGCGGTAGACGTCGAGACGTGACTGATTGGGTTCGAGGCATTGGCGCTGTTGACCTCCAGCCGACAGCCTCGAGCACTGAACTAGAAGATGGAGCATGACTAGGGAGATAGATGTGCAATTACCCAGGGGTGAGTGGGGGGATGTGGTCAGTAGCGACGAAGTCATGACGCCTGATTTTTCATGTTTCTCTGACCTTCTGCCCTTATCCGTCTCGTCCGTCGTGGATTCAAGTCTGCAAGCCTGCCCCCGCCGCCGATCCGCGATGCAATCTATTCGTGGATCCACGGTCGTTTCTGTTCGGACGCTTCGAAACTAACAGCGCGCCAAATCATGCCCCCGCCGAACGAGGAAAACAGGAATCGAAAAACCTGTCCGACTGGCGCGTACGACGGCCGTAACGCCTTGGCTAGACGAAGCTGACTGCGCCATGTGAATTAGCCGACGGGAGAGAAGGGAGGGAAGAGTGAACCGTGAAGCCTACGGATGTTTCGTGCTCTGAGGTCGGCGACGAAGTTTCTTGTGCACGTCTTCTTCCATCGGGAGACGCCTGGTGCCATCTGCCGTGAAAGGCGAGAGGCGCCGACGACGCCTTCTGCGCAAAGTAGCCCTACACGGGAAACGCCTCCAAGCCAGGGGGGGGGGGGGTCATAGGTATGTCGTTTGCAGGCCAACGTGCTCAGTGTACCTTTGTACTCCGAGGTCTTGGACCGTGATCCTCAGGGCTTACTGCTTCCTTCGAAGCCCAGGGTGGTGTGCATTGTAGGCTTGGCCGCCCATTTCGATATGCTTTCTTCACGTGGCAATAATACGGTATCAAGCATCGTTCTATATAGCTATCTCGTTCCTTCTCGCGCAAGTCCTGAGACTTCGTCTTGCCTTCTGAACCATCGCAGGCTAGTCTACTTCCATCTGGTCTTCGTGTGGCCTTGAGTATAGAGCAGGCCCTACCACTTCTGTCGAAAGCAAAGAAAGGAATCACCGCAACCATGGACGCTATAGTGCAAGCCATCCTTAACCTCAGCCGACTGGAGGTCAAGTTGATCAGGATCAGCGACCAGAAGCCAAAGTGAGTGTGCAAGGAGAAGATGAGGCTTCAAGAAGCAGCGGCTGACAAGCAGCCTCACTCAGCTCTTTCGTGATGGAGCTCGAAGCACGCGTGGTCAGAACTGGCCCCATCAGCGCGGTGCTGATGCCCATGAAAGTCGACATGGTCGGGCCAAAAGGCACGTTTGGCGTCGCCCAGCTTCCGGAGATCAAGACGAATCCGTCTGGTACGGACGTGCATGTTCCGCCACAGACGATTGATATCGTCAACCACGAGGCGTTCGAGGCGTTCGTCAAGTCCATCACCCTCGACGAACAGATCGTGCTCCGGCTCGACAACGGAAAGGGCAAGATCAAAGCGCTCTTCATGACGGCCAACATCAACTACGTCAAGGATGTCGACATCCCGGGCATGAACGGCGCCAAGATTGAGATCGTGAAGACGGTGCCGCAGCCGGACGGCACCTTCAAGAACACGATCAAGGTCATCAACCCGTCGCCGTTGGAGATCGACGTGCCGTACAACACCTTCCACTTCGTCGATGAGACGGGTACCGTCTTCGCTGAGCAGAAGGGTAAGCTCTACATCACGCGCGGTGACTCGTACCACGAAGTCACCGGCACGGTCAAAGCGAAGAATCCAAAGGGGGAAATCCACCTTGTTGGGGTCTCGGTGGACCAAGACAGCTGGATGAAGGTCACAATCACTTACTTCGATTCGGTCGTCACTCTGCCGCCCGAGATGGTTAGCTTGACGTCTTAGGGGGGCTTTTTTTTTCCTCCCCCTCTCTTTTCCTTGGCTTGCTGACTGGTCGGTTCTGGGAGACTCATGCAGCGTTGTTCGTGGGGCTTGGGGTTTATTGATGGTGATTGACAAATGGGCAGACGGTCAGGCTACAGGTTACAACAGACAGGTTAGGCTCAGATATATACGTCTCCTTGGAAATACAGTCTCCCATGTGTTCTCACCCCACCCCCTGGTAGAGAGCGCTTTCGTTTTCTGACATGCACTTGGCCTACCGTTCGAGCGTTGATTTCTGTTCTGCCTTTCTTTTCGTATGCGCTTGTGCCTGTCCCAATCGGGCGGCGTGGAGACAGGGACGACGTCTCTCAGCAGTGATGGAGCCCGGCCGATTCAGTACGTGCGAGGGTGGCGACCTTCTGGTCGGACGCGAACCCATGCATCTCCCTCTGATTAGGCCTGACTTCCGCGGTTGCGAACTGGAGAACCCGGCAAAAGGCAGAGGACGAGCTCCACGATGGGGAGGCGACTAGCTGATTCGGGTCGCGACCTGCACAATGTCCTCCATGCAGGATTCTCCACGATAAGGAACTTTGTACTTCCCCCCAAAAACACGCTACCATTGGCGCGCCATGGCCCAGTCGCCAGCCCGAGGAAGGCGTAGATCATTGGATCGTCTTCCTGAAGAACATTGTTGCGCTTCATCCGAGAGTGCCGGCCTCGTTCTCCATACGAAGGTGCCGACTAGAGCGTTTTGTATGATCGCCGGTAAGGGTGCCCGGCTACAACGTAATCGCAGCACATGAAAAATAAAGGTGCTGAGCCGAGTACAACTTCGATCTGGAGCCCGCGTGACAATTTGATCTACACAGCATTCATAAGTTCTCAGCACCTTCCACCTGCCGACACAAAAGCCACGGACGGGTACCTGATGTGGGAGGCGGCTCTTTGATTATCCCACTTTAATTAATTTGTCTTTGCAGCAGGTTCGTAGGAGGGAACGTCCAAAAGTCGGCACTCGCCTGCCTGAAACCCGTTCGCGATCGTCTCGGCAATCTTCCTGGTTTGAGCATCTGATCCTTGGATGCGCTGCGCTCTTCAATGCGCTTCCACTCAACCACTTAGCTAGACGATGACGGTGGACTTGTGTTCATGGAAGATTTAGTCTTGAACAATATCATGCTGCGCTTCAAGACGAAAAAGCATGGAGAGAAGCCACGACTCGAATCGGATCGATTTTCGATTCGCACCAAGCCGAGTGCAGTCATAGAGAGGTCGGAAAACGTCGAAGAAGAGCCAAAGTCGCCGATCAGACCCGCATCTCCAGTGTCAGAAGCTGTGGGTGTGAGAGAAGAGGCCTTGTCCGCGACTGAGTCATCCGACGACCTGTACGGACTCACCCCAGTACAGTCGAAACACAACATTCTCGAGCTCGATCGTCACCAAGATGCACTTGTCGAAGCGAAAAAGTCCATGGCTACGGTCAGGAAGTTGGCCTTCCGCCTGGGCTCGAAAATCGTCGCTAAGGATTTGAAAGTGGCCACCAACGGGAACGTACTTCGAAAGAATCGCCCGTCTACCATTAGCTTGCAAAACGGAGTTCATCGCGCGAATAACGCGCATGAGCAGAGCGACGGCTTTTCACTGTCGAACGAGCAAACCAACGGCCTCCCAGCTGTACCTCAGGAAATCGAGGACGCTCCGCCACCGCACTCAGTGCCGCCTGTGCAAACGTCGGAAGTCTCTCGAGTATCACGACCGTCAACTCCACTTGGTATGAGTGCAGATCACAACCTGGCCAGGCTTCTACCACCAATTGAAGCGAGCAACGACCTAGCCCACAGCATCGACGAAAAGCTATCGTCCATTCAGAAGACACGCTCGTCACTGAAGGAGGAGCTGGACGCCACCCAGAAGAAACTTGCACAACTTTTCGAATCCCAGGCTTTGCTCCGCGAGCGCTACAACGCCGAGAAGGACAAGTCCTCGAAACTCGACGCGGAGCATCAACTTACTCACACCAGAATACATTCCCTGGAGCAATCCACTCGAGAAATGAATGATGAACTGCGACGCTTGTATGAGTACGTGGCTAGTCTGGAGAAAGCGAATCATGAGCTGAGGGTCTCCTCGGCTCGGGCGATTGAAACATCTCCGCAAAACGCTCGTGATGACCTTAATTCGGCACCGAGCACGCGACCTGTTTCATCAATATCCCCATCAATGTCTGTGGTCCAGCCCCTCAGGATGCGCCCACCGCCAATACCAAAGAAAGCAGACCGCAGGAGTCTTCGACAGAATGAAGACTCCTCGCCAATGAGCAGAACCAACTCAAGGGATCCGGACTCTGCCGTGGGAGACAAAAGCTTTTGGTACGTAATATACACTCGTTCATCAGGAAGACAGAGTTGACAACGTTGCAACAGGCGAGTGGGCGACATCACGACAATTGCGGCGGCAGATAATGGTCCATCGCGACCCTTAGCACTTCATCGGAGGTCAGTATCCATGTCCGACGACATCTTACGCAAGGCCAAAGACGGCATGAAAGTCGTCACCAGCCGTCCAGCGCGATCGAATTCTGTTCGTGGATCTCAAGATGGCACGCAGAAGGCGCCCACTTCTTTTGTTGCCGCCCAGAATCTTCCCCTATCGCCGTCTGCACCTAAGCCGGCGCAGGATGAACAGCCTCCACACGCACCTTATGTGCCTGAGCCCACGTACAGTCCACCAACTCCATACAACTCGCAGATACCATACTCTCAGCAGTTTCCGTACGGCCAGCCAGGCATGTATCCTCCCCAGAACATGTATCCCCATCAAAACATGTATCCTCAGCACCCGTCTTACCACCCGCAAAATTCGTATCCTCCCCAGCTACCTTACCCTCCACAGAGCCCATACCCACAGCACAACCCGTACCATCCTCCAAGTGTGTACCCACGTCAAGGCCCATTTGTGGCTCAGAATGGGTACCACGAGCAGGCTCAATTCACTCCCCAGGCCACATTCACACCTTTTTCTGCATTCGAGACGTCTGCTCTTGGATCTAGCAGCGAGCAGCTGGCACCAGTTCCGCCGCGAACGCATCCTCAGAGCGCGACAAGCTACGGCACGGTCAATAGCAACATGCCACGGGCGTCGGGACTCAACGGAAGCAGCAGCTATGGACGAGCCTCGTACGAAACGGACGACACATTCCAGCAGAGATGGAGCGGAAAGGCGAAAGATGTCAACGGTTTCGCAGGCTCAAGACCACCTCCTCCCAGTTGGCCACCGTACGAAGAAGCTGAACCGGTTGTTATGAACTCGCCGGCAACAGTCAAGGGCAAGTCAATTCCCGGCCCAGCGAAGCAGAATCCTTCGACAATATCCAGTCTCTACTCTGGAGAACAAGCCCCACGTGCGGAGGAGACATGGCGCAATCGGTCCGGACCGCCTTCGGAGATAGCGGCAACGGCGACGTCGTCCGGCTCAGGCTCAAGACGGCGAAAGTTGAAGTTGAAGTCATCTCTCGAACTGCTCCCCAATTGTCAGAAGAAGGAAGTCACGCTGGAAGCGAGCAGACAGGCCGCCATGGTCGGAAAGCCCGTCAGCCCGACTTCGAACTTCATCCAGAGCAGGGGCTTCGCTCTGTATCGCTTCGTGAATCCCAAGCCGGCCGGGAACGACATGCTGTCTTACGAGCTGGAACGCTTGAGACCAAGCATCTCCACGTCGAAGGTCATGATCAGCGAGCCGACCACTCTCCGGGTGACCTTTCCGCGAAGCATGAAGGGAATCGAAGGAACTGTCGGTATGTACGACTCTGTCTCAGAGATGTGGCTGAATCCGCATGCTCTCAAGAAGCGAAAGTAAGCAGCAAGCACGTGCCGAAACGATTGCTTGAACACTGGGGTCATATTTTTTGGTGTTGCACGTGGGCAATCAACTTAATTCCAGCAGAATCGGCTCGATTTCCAAAAAAAAAAAATTAATTTTTTTTATCAAATCTCCATCTCAAGCTCTGTACGGCCTCCGCTATCGATTGCCCGAGGACGAAAGAACAAAAGCCAGGCTCGTGGCGTCCAAGACGGGAGTTTTCTTTGAAGACTAATCAGGGCGAAACAAGACGAGGAGGAACGGTGTACATTGATGTCTCATTCACGTGTTGTATATTAGTATTTCGATCATAGCGTTGGTTTCAGAGTCACATATATATAAAAAAAAAGGCGAACATTCTTGCGTTCCTTTCCCAATCACTTCCCGACTTTCCAAGCCAAATCCCATCTCGTCCTCTTACCAGTTGGGGGCGGCAAGCGCGCTGGTAGCGACGCACCGCTTCCCGTCCTTCAAAATCCTCGGGAGTCTCTGCTGCTTTGGCTCCTGGACGCGAAAACAGCCAGAAATCTGAGCGTACAAAGGCCCGAAGAGGAGAGAGTCTCGTGGAACTGAAGAGGAGCAGCCCGACAAGCGGGTTTGGGATGAGGTCCGCAAAAAAAGGGGGGGTTCCAGCACACATCGCAGCCCGAGCTCCAGAGGACAACTGCGGGTGAGCGAGACCGCCCGGGGGCGTGTAATCTGCAACCATCCTGAGGCACGATCGCTGTCCGCTGTACGAGACGTGGCGAATACATGACGAGAGAAAATATATGTCCATCCTTCGCCGAACGACCCTAGCTAGAGACGGCGGAACGCACCGTCGCAGACGTTCAACTCCGCATGCCAATTCTTACTCAAGACACACATGAACACGCGGGGTGAAAAGAAAACAGAACAAGCCCAAAAGAGAGAAAAAAAAAAAAAAGGAGCAGACCAATCGCCGTCGTCCCCGCCTTTACAAAGACGACGGCGATGTCGTTTTTGCAAAGAGCGTCACCTGGCGTGCGAGGGGGGAGGAAACGATTTTTTTTTTGTTTTCTTAGAGAGTACTAAGCTGCTTCTTGCAAACCACTGGAGTGTTTTGAAACGAAAGGGAGAGAGAGAGAGAGAGAGAGAGAGAGAGAGAGAGAGGAGTCAAAAGGGAGTGTGAATCGCATTTTGCTGCGCGGCATCGTCACAAGGATGACCGGTTGTGAGGAGAAAAAGGAGATGAAAAAATGCGTCGTCCGGTTGACGAGGAGATGGTTTGCAAGGAAAGGGGTGTGGAGGGGAATTGTTGCACGGAAAGGAATGTGAGATCCGGTAGCAACGACGTATGAGAGGGCGAGCGTGATGCGGACGCTCACAGCGTGAACGGACGGTGAGAGACGAAGGTCGACGGCAAGAGAGTTGGAGACAACAACGTAAAGACCCACTGCATTCCCGCTGGGCTGTGTGACGCAGTTCCGCTCCTGTCCTGTGCTGGACGAGTTGGGCCGTCGACACAAGAGGCACTGCGCCAAGCAGGCAATATCGCAGGCACGTACGGCGGCCGCAAAGGGAATGATGGTTCACAATCACCACGAGCCGTCGCGCGGACGACGCCGTGGAGGCGAACTAGACGCACAAGAGACGATCGGTCGTCGACCGGAAGCGAGAAAGACTGGGTCGTGCTTGGCCTGGGAAAAAGACAAACGGCGGACGGAGATGGGGGGAATAAATTGGACGATCACACAACCAGCGTTGACGCTCGCGGCGACTCATCATCATTATTGGGTGGACAGCACGACGTCCGCGCATGATTGCCGAGCGAGCGATGATCGCAAGGAAAGTTGAATGAGACGTGCAGCGAAGGGCCCAAAAAGGCGGGGATTGTGAAGCTCGTGGATCAGTGCCTGCGGAAGCAATCCTTCATTTCACTCAAAGAATTCCATGGCAGCACGGATGGGGTTAGTTCTAGATCCGCACTGAAGCTCTCTTTCGTTGTCTCTGGAGCAGACCGCCGTCTTCACACGCCCTGGGCCGCGCAATCCAGAAGCGAATTGGGACGACGATCTGGCGCGTCCTCGGCGGTCAGCTGCAATGTCACAGCACAAGACCATTTCAAATGCTTCTCGTTTTGTTTCCTGGTTTTTAGTCTTCGAGCGGCGGTCGATCCGCACCACCGGGACGACGGTTCACTCCACGGCCGCGACCTTTGCGCGAGTGTGCTTGTAGGATTGAAAAGCCAATAAAGCCTGCACGTCATGAATGGCGCTGTGCGGACGAGCGCTCGGGCTGGCCAATCGATCTGAGCCTGCGCCGTGGGCGACGGAGCCAAGCCAAAACATTGTTGCTTCTCCCGTGCGATCTGCTCCTGAGTGGGGCCAGGCCGAAGGGCTGAGATGACAGGGGGCAAAGTGCACAACCGTCCGGGTTCTTGACATCATGGGTAAAACATTGGTTCGTGCAACTGGGGAATCCCGACGCCGGGCCTCGTTGACGTGGACGTTGTTTGTGCCTTTGCTCGGCCTGCATTGGGAATGGCGGATAACCGATAAGCTTCATTGCATCCAAGTACGGGCATTATCAATTAGCTATTACATCCATCCTCCGGAGTCTCCTCTTCCGACCAACGCCGGACAAAGCTGCCCTGTCTTATTGACATGATAATACCTCGAGACATGGTTGAACGCAATGCATTGAGCGGCAAAAAAACAAAGGACATGAGTTTCTAAACAGCTCGCTGTAGTAGCGGTAGTGTGGCTGCACATGATCACTGTGCCGTCTGGGTATCAAAAAGGGAAAACAAAAAGCGTCTGCGTCTGCACATGCGTCTTGCCTGTCATAGATAGGCCTTCGGGTCTCTCCTTGCAACGTCCAGTATGTCCGTTTCCAGATTGACTCTGTGCCAATCCGGGAATTCCCCTGCGGGACCAAGCAGTGTAGCCGGCCTGATCATGGATGAGATCATGAAGCTCTCGCCGTACGACTGAACCTCTGTCCTCACGTCCTGAACCTCCTCGCCTTCGAACCAAATCTCAAGGTCTTCCTCCGCCATCAACAACGCGTCATTCTGGTCCAGGAATGTCAATCTGTCTGGGATCCGTCCACCGTGAACCTTGCCTCCCCAGGCCGCGTCTGTCGAGCACCGGATCGGGTTCCCCGGTGTCGGGGCGCGAACATTTTTGAACTCGCAGTCTTTGATCCAGGGCGCGAGAAGGCCCTCGCCGACGAGCTTTATATATGCCTCCTTGAGACAGAAGAATGTGTAAAACCGCCGCAACTTGGCGTCGATGATGACTTCAGAGCCAATCTCCTCCACTCGGCCGTCCGGCATGCGAATCTCGCAGACTTGGTCCATGACGATCAATCTGTCGTGGCGGCCAAGAACATCTGCGCTGAGTCGCTCGCCATTGAGTAAGGATACGGAGTTGGAAGGCAGGTTGTAAGTCATGTCCCAAAGCTCTTCGGGCGAAAAGATTTCCGAGTACGTGGACGTGTACTCTTCGAAGTCGGAAGCCGAGATAGTGACGAGGTCGGACCGTTCATTGGGCGCAACAATGTCGCATCCTACCGCAATGTAGTCTTGCTGCAGGGTCCCAATGACAGGATCTGGAAGGTAAACGCCTATGAGGGTAACAAGACCAGCCTGGTGGCTAACGTTGAAGTCGACGGTTGGCCATGGATAGCCGGGTGTCGGGGTTTCGGGAGGGTTCCAACACGGCTTACCGTGTATGTGGTGGCCTTTGCGCGAGAACTGTATCTGCGACCATGGCAGACCTGTCACCATGGCAATGTAGGCTCGCTTGAGCAGTGCGGAGGCCAGCGCCATGCGGGCGTCGGCAATGAAGTACTTTCGGAGGATGTTTGTGCGCTCCTCCTCGCTGATGATGGCGAGGTATTCTGCAGCCTGTGGGGGATCCTGTCAGAACGGTGCAGCGAACGACGACGGCGAGAGGACTGGGGCCAGAGACAAGGTGGTTCGGGCGGTGATGGTACTTACTACGTCTTGTATCCGCTCGCCCTGCCATATCGAGCGGGTGTCGATGATCCATCTGGTCACCTGGCAGCCGCCTTCAGAGACGGAGGTGGTGGAGGAGGTGGTGAACGCCGACAGGACGCTCGACAGCGAGTCCTCGGAGGCGACGGACGACATGGTCGAGTTGGAGAGGAAAGGCGGGCGCATCATAGCGAGAGGAAGCGGATGCGGGGGCCCTGGAATTACTTTATAAAAAGAGCAAGCGAAACGAGTGACATGGCCAGCCCTCACCGAGCAGGGACGCAGGACGGGACACAGGTGGACGTGGAACAGTTGCGGGCGAGGGATAGAGGAGCTGGAGAGGTAAAAAGAGGGTATCGAGTATCGGAACCCGACGCACGGCAGCAGCTCACGGACGAGGAGCAGTCAGGATGTTATTTTGGGCCAACCGTACATGCACGGACGGCGGTGGGCAGGCAGGCGCGCAGGACGACAAGGCAGGTCGAGCACTAGCGCAAGGGCGACCGCGCCACCGCCCGTCCAGGAAAGAACGAGCCGGGCGGGCTGGGATCGCTGGGGCAGGCGCAGCTCCATCATTTTGTGGTGCAGCACAGAGTGGTCGGCCTAAGCCCGTTGGAGACGGCTCGACACGCACAAGCAAAGCCTCATCGCTCACCACTGGGCCGATCCAAATTTGGCCCAGCTCTGAACGTTAAAACTCTAACAGCCTGCCAAGGTGCTGTACTATACCACATGCAGTATTGTACAGTAGTCAGTGCTGATACAATGCCATGGCTTGGGCCGGCTGCTGCTGCTCTGTGGGCTTTCTCTGATGTACTGCCCTGTGCAGCTCCTACAATGGTATAGTGCAGTGTCCGGTACACAGCACATGGATACAGTGCTCAGCGTCGGCCTGGACGGATCACGGTTCTGAACATGAGTACGGTACGAGACTCTGTACATCATTACGGTACGCGACTCTGTACGTCATTACGGTACGCACCAGGAGGACTTCTCTGCTTTGGCCGACTGTCTCCGTTCGCGCCTTGCCCCCCCCCCCCTCTTTCCAGCGCACATCCCCCCTCTTTCCAGTGGCTCCCTCAGGCACAACCCGCCAGCACACACAAGCCGAGTTCGCAACGGCAGCAAGAACGAACAACGGAGCCGGACAAACGACACCGAAAAGCACGCTGATGAACGAGAATACAGGCTCGCTGCAACCACCATGATGATGCCGACCGCCGTCGTCCCAGTCGGCGCCCTTTCTGCTCGTGCGTGCCAGCCGTCGTTCTTGCGTGCGATGCCGCCCAAGAGCATGTGTGCTCCGCGACTGTCTTCTGGGCCGCGAGTACTTGTCGCTCTCGCGTCTGGCCTTCGCTCGGGCTCTTCGCCTGGCCTGGCTGCAGCGCCCCCTCGCTTGGCCGTGGTGACTCGTTTGCGGCTCAGGTCCATGGCAACCCTTGCACATTGCGTGTGGCATGCACACGAGCTCTCGTTCCCATGCAAATTTATCTCTCGTATTGCTGTAATAAATATATTCTAACGGCACCACCGTTCTCCATCTGGTCTGCTGGCACGACTGACCGACTGCGGCTCTCCCCCCGCCCCCGAAAAGAAAAAAGCGTTTGCCTGACTTATGGCTCTTCTGCGTCTGGATGATGATAATGACTTGGCTAGCGATGTTTTTTTTAAATTCCCCCTTTCTCTTTTCGCCAATACGTTACTCCTCTGCCTTGCTGACGTGCCTTTGCCGTGTCCCCTGCGTGTCTCCTGACCTCTATTTTTTGCTTCTACTCTTCTCTGTGCTTTCGTGCATGTTTGAAATCTCTGACGTAGATACGTACCTTTCCCTCACCTGGCTGGTCTTATGCACTGCCCTTTGCAAAGTCTTCGAGATACCGGGCCAGCTTGCGCACCCCATCAACTGAAACCGCGTTATCTGTGTTTTGCACCGTTAGCCTCAGCGCCTCTCACTTGTCTCTTACTTTCTTTTCTGCTGCGTCTGCTGTGCGAAAAGTCTGGGCCCTTGCAAAAGTGGCTCCGACGGAGGCTTGCTTACAATTGCTAATACGAATCCCGCCAACACTTCGATGGCCTTTGAGACCCAGTAGACCGCGCCTCTCCGCGCCTGCGAGGAACTCCTTTTCTTTTCCTGCGTCTCCGCCCCCAACCCGGAAACAGATGTTCATTCTGCTGCGCACCGTCTTGTCTGGAACAACGTGATAGACTTCAGGCGCGCTGTCTAGCACGCCGTACAGAATCTCGGCCTTCTCCTTGGAGATTGCCTCTTGCCCGCTAATCTTCTTCTCTCCGTACGTAGTCACTAGGTTGGCCATGACCTGCCCGGCTATCCACACGTCAAAAATTGGCAGCGTGTTGTACAGCGAGTTGTTCTTTGCGATTGTGGGCCAGTCGAATACGACAGGCCCCACTGGGAGGCCCAATTGTCGCAGCAGTTCAGCGCTGGCGATGTTTCGCTCTGGTGGCAGCAGGGATTTGCGCACGATAACAATTGTCACGCCTGCATTTCCAATGTTCTTTTGTGCTCCTCCAAAGATGACCGCGTACTTGCTCACGTCCACACGGCGACTGATGAAGTTGGACGACATGTCCGCAACCACCATTGGCGCGTCGTCGTCGACCGCATCTTCAGGAAGCGCCTCCAGGCAGGCCGGGAAGTGTGGGAACTCGACGCCATCCACCGTTTCGTTATCGCAAAAGTACACGAGAGCGCTCCCTGGCCCGCCCTCCCTTCTCCTCTTGGTCAAGGACCATTGGTCTTCAGGAGGTATTTTGCCAAACTTGCCGTCATTGGCTTTGCGGGCATCGAGCGCGATATTAACCTTATCCTTGCCCACCAGCCTTGCCGCTTCCTGGGACGCCTTCAGACTCCAGCTTCCGGTAACGAGGTAATCCAGCCTCAGCTCTTGCGCCACTTCTTGTTTCAAGCGTTCTAGCACTTTGGCCTCCAGATCCTCCTTGCCGCCTTCCGCCTTGCCGTCGGCCATGGCGATCGTGATGTCCTCCTGCGCCCTCAGTCTTCTCTTCTCGACCCATATCCCCACCAGATGATACACGACTTCCGAGAAGCCGCCACTACCGCCTCCTTGAAGAAACAAGATCTCATACGTGTCTGGCACGTCGAGCAGTGCAGATAGCGCAGCTTTGGTGTCTGCAAGAATCTGGTTCGCGTCTGCGCTGCGATGTGATATCTCGCATAAGCCAATGCCTTGGTCCTTGTAGTTCAATAGTGCTTTTGACGCGGCTTCTAGCACTGCCGTAGGCAGTGGCGCACTGCAAAATTCCGCATTTTAGAATCTCGTCCACACGAGCACGAACACATTTGGAGTAGCGGAAAACTTACGGCCCTGCGCCAAAGTAGTGGACCTCCTCACGAGACGGCATGATGTATGCGAGCTGGTGTTGTTCTTTGTTCTTTTTGGAAAGCTGCTGTGTTAGTTTCCAGGCCTACTCTCGGCGCAGTGGTAGATTCACACAGACAGGTCACGGTGCAAAGACTACAAAATCGTGACTTCGTGACTCAACTTCTACGACTGAGAAAAAGTTTCTCTCGAGCAGTATGACGAGCTCACGCCGCATGAGGTCGCCCCGATTTCGCTTTGTTTCCTCATTTGGCCGGCGTGCTCTAGAATTTTTACCACGCTAAGAACGAGCTCCTGTTGGCTGGCTGAGCTGGAGGAGGGGAGATTCCTCCAGTGGGTCCGCCCACGTACAAACGGGCGAGACAGATCTCAGGCAGCAAGTCTGCAGCCAGCAAGGCACCGCGAAGCAGGATACAAGGCTGCCGAGTTATCGATTCCTGCACCACTTCCGACCGTGAAGTAGACGTGCGAGCTTGCATACACGTCGTGCCTGGCACGTGAGTGTACTTCATCCGTCCTCTCTTCCGTCCAAGTTTGCCGTCCCGTGTCAGGCTTCGGGCAATATGGGGCCGGAGGTACATCAGTATCCCTTCGTGACGGTGGACGAGTGGAGTAGAGTCTGCGAATCGTTTGTCTCTGCCTGCCGGCGCTCGATTGGTGAGCACTGCGAGGCGGACGCAACATCACACCACCAGCAGGTCGGTACACACATCTCCTCGCGATGACATGCATGTCGACTCAGCGATTCACAGCATGGCGTGGACTTTGTCCGAATAACGAGGACCGTTGAGCGGTCTAGTGACGGATCCGCGGACGGTGAAGAGCAAGCTGCAGATGCGATCAGCGACTGTGGCGGTGCGTGTGAGGAGGATTCCGACAATGTAGCTACGGGAACTCTTCGATTGCTCCCCGTGCAAAAAGTCACTAATCGACGTGCCAGGAAGTCGCTGTCGTACCCCGCAGCCAGTCCAAAGACGGGCGATCTTTCATTGTGACTTATGATATACTGCTCTCAACGTCATACCGAGTGCCCGTCCTACATTTCACCGTCAGAGACATGGCTGGTGGCCCTGTAACCGATCTGGCATCTGTTTATGCGGACATGATTCCGACAAGCTTTAAGGACCAGGTCTCCGGGATTGGTGTCATAGGTGCTGTATCCATGACGGTAAATGCAAAATTCTGCCGCGTTCATACTTTAAGCCATCCGTTGACCATGTGCAAGGATCACCCGTTGACCGGACTTCCTTCGTTCTTCGTGCATCCGTGCAACACTGCAGATGCGCTGAGGCACGTTGGCGGCGGAAGATTGGTTTCTGTCTCGGAATATCTCTTTCTATGGATGGGAATCATCGCACCTGCAGTAGGCTTATCACTTCCGTCTACCGCCTTTCACGGTGCACACCCCGCAGAGCCTCCGAATGCGTCCGGAGTTGGGGCAGGTGAACACTAGATCTTCGCAGTAGTGCACCTCACATACATGGCCAAGAAAGACCCGAAATTGAACTGCGAGTGATAAGACTGCGGAAGTGCGCAGCCTTTTGCGTGGGCACCTCAGCAAGCCAAGCGAAGGGCGCCAATACCATTGTATCTCTACGGCTTCGGCTCCAACACAACTCCTGCACGAAAATCGCCAAAGCAGCCCCCTCCTACCTCTGTTGAGTAGTATTGATTACCAGTGTCCACAGATGCATTGGCACACTGTTGATAATTTTAGCTGCGTCTCCACTTGCAGCATGGGGGGCTAGGCATGGTTATGACTACGATTCAGTACACGATAAAACGTATCGAAAATAAAACACGCTATTCTAGGACCGCTCTTTCAACGAGTCCTCAGGCTGGAGCATCAAAAAGTTACCCGGATTGAAAAGCGACCTAGAAAGAAGGCATGCCCCAGACTCGAGTTTGTCATGATGCTAACGGGAATAATGATAGTAGCCAACGTCAAAGGACTGAATGGATCGATCCCACAGACTTCGCTTTCGTCGAGCGCCAGCTCAAGAACCTCTTGATGGATCCCTTGAATCCGAAAATAGCAGAAACAAACACGCTTTACCCTTGATCCACAGTACAAGTTGGTCATGCTGCACGCCTTAAAACATGAATTCAAAAGCCTTTTTTCGAGAAGTAATCATCGTCCTCTCCAAGCGCATTAGCAGCCGTCAATAGTCAGATTTGATGGGTCCAAAATGTAGTGAGCAACTACGTACTTGTAGACAAGAACCCTGGAACAGGCCCCATATGGGGCCGCATTACGATGTTGCTCGCATGTCCGAATGAGGTTGGATGTGCGAGAAACTCTTCAAGGAGGCAAGAGCCTCAAACCCTCCTTCGGGTCTCACATCCTAGAAAAGAAGGCCTTGCAAACTAGTCCGTGTTGATTCTACGCGTTTGACAACATGATGCGCACGCACAGCACTCGAGACGCCAAACGTACAACGCGTCTTTCACACCTTGTAGCGGAAACGGCATCTCAATAGAACTTCACATGCAATGTGCTCGAGATGCAGAGACGATCCGGGCTCACCATCTGTTACAAAGTTAACAGGGGGAAGGAACCCCGTCAGAACAGTCAAATGCACAGAAGAAACGGATCAGCTTGGTCTGCCTGGGTAAAAGATAACGTGGTGGAGCGATTCATTTCCCCCTTGTGCGCGGCTCCAGAAGCCAGGACCCTTGTGTCTCACTCTCAGCCGCGAGCAGCCCACATTCCAGTCATTTCGTGTTCGCAGCCCACGCCCCGAACATTGCCTTATCCAGCCCTGACTCAGTAGTTATCGATCCTGGAACTGTAGCGAAACCATTTTCGCACGACCGGTGAAGAATCTGAGTCAGCGACTGGTTTCAGGCTGCCCACAAGGCTGAGGCAAAGGTACGTACCGTCGTCACCCAGCCGCCGCCGCCGCCGCCAGCGCTGCTGAACCCGAACCGATTTGTATCTAATAATGAAGAACGTTGCGATCCTCGCTGGTCAATCGTTTCGGCAAAAAGGGCTAAAACATAACCGAAAAAAAAGTTCCTAAAATCCGCCGCCAGAGGCTTCACCAACGCCTTCATTTTGTTTTGCCACTGGCCATTTCCTCGTGTGATTAATGCTGGGGCGAGAATTTGAAAAGCATCGCTTTAGCGTTCACCGCTAGGAAGCCACACGGAGGATGAACATCCGGAACACGTGATGCTCAACGGAGGGAGTCAACTTGCAATTCCGACGATTCCGTCATCGGCCTCGATCGAACCTTGATGGACTCGCGTCGAAACAGTCGAGCAGATCCTATGAGGAGGTTCAGGGCTGCCCCACGCGACCGAATGGCATCATCGTTTTGTACAACGTGAAAAACCGCAGACTCCGCCTTCCAGCGCGATTGCTGCAGATGACGGGCAAGATCACTCTCAAATGGCAGCGCATTGCCTCGTCCGACGACCTTCGACGGTCCTCGCAAACGATCGGCGTCGCAAACGGGCGACTTGATGTCTTTGGCGGCGAACTCAAGCCGAGAGAGCCCGTCGACAACAAGCTGTATCATGTTGATCTCCAGGCTCAGTGTAGGTCAATTCAAGACATCTCGACCTGTTCGGCCCGTCCCCCACCCCCTTTCCCGTCGTGTGTGAGATGTATACCGCGGAGAGTCAGATTCTCACGCGCTTCGGCCCGCCAAGAGTCCAAAAGGTCGAGGCCGGACGTACCCTTTTGCCGAGCTGCACGAGCTGATTTAGATTCAAATTCACGTCTGACGAGGGCATACAGCGGCCGTCACCGTATCCGAGCCGATGGGCGACTCGCCTGCTCCGCGCGTGGGTTCCGCGTCAACAACTCTCGGGGGCACGATGTACCTGTTTTCTGGCCGCGGCAACGTCGCCATGGCGCCCATTGACGAGCAAGGCAAGCTGTGGGCGTGCGCGGGCGGCAACAACTGGCAGTGTCTCGAGCCGTCAGACCCGTCCAAGCCCGTCCCTCCGCCTCGATCGTACCACGCTATGGCAAACGATGGTCGCGACGCCATTTACGTCCACGCAGGCTGTTCCGAGAGTGGCCGTCTGAACGACCTGTGGGCCTTTGTGGTCAGCGGCAGACGATGGGTACAGCTCGCGTCCGCGCCCGGCAGCGAGCGTGGTGGCACGAGCATCGCGTTTTGCGCCAGCGAAGACGCCCTCTACCGTCTCAACGGCTTCGACGGCAAATCGGAAATCGGCGGCACCGTCGACGTGTACAACCCCGTGAACAACCATTGGACCTCGAAGGAGTACAATGCGGACGGCGTGGAGGGGCCGGTGCCGAGGAGCGTCAGTACTTTGCTCTGTCTGGACGTAGGCGGCAAGAGCTGGCTGGTCACGGCATTTGGCGAGCGCGATCCCAGTTCGCTGGGGCATCAGGGCGCTGGAAAGATGCTGTCAGACGTGTGGGCATACGACATCAAAGAGCACCAGTGGTTCAAGGTTGAGGCTGAGGGAGGAGACGAGGCGCCGGAGCCGAGAGGATGGTTCGCCGCCGACGTTCTTGGTACAGATACCATAGTCGTGCATGGCGGCCTTGCAGAGGATAACTCACGCCTCGGTGACGTGTGGTTGGGCAGGCTGAGAGTCGAGTAGAACAAATTGGCCCTTCTGCCAAGCCTCCTGGCCAAATAAGTAATGAGCTTTATCAGTCCCAAATAGCAGATTCAGATCATGGGCAACACGACGCGCGCACCACTGTGACAGCAAAGAAAAAAAAAACGGTCTCTTTCGGACGGGTGATAAGCACTATGACGTTCATGTAGCATACAGACTGGTCTAGACGAAGCTCAATCAAGCAAGGAAAAGAAACACGAAAGAGGCCGTAAACATGCTTGAGCTGACGGCAGGTTTCGTGTGCTCTGCCGCCTGGCTCTACATTTATTCAATCTTGACGAAAAGACGCCGTGCACCAAGATATGGCCTTGAAACGAAACCAGTGTGCCACAAACATCATCTTGTGTAACCTTTTTATGTTTACTCGACGTGGTCGTACTTCTTCTCGTGGGTCGGAATAGCGCTGCCAGACTTGTCAGTAGGGGCTCCTGAGCAACATTTCGCGCAACAACTTACCGCCCAGACGGATCGGTCTGTTTACTCCAGGTAGGTTTCCACCGCATGACGGTGCTTGCGCAGTGCGCCGGGAAGTGCTCGTCGAACATGCATCTATACCAGTATGCCTCTTTCGTGTCAGGAATGTCGTCTCCCCATTCTGGTTTCGGGTTCTTCATATCCTCGTCAGAGACGTGAAGCTCGGCGTGATCCTTTAGCGCATCAATCCAACCATAGCCAACACCGTCGCTAAATTGCTCCTTCTGCCTCCACAAGATCTCCTTGGGCAGATACGGTTCAGCATCTGGGTCATCTGACGTGTCAAAGGCCTTGCGGATGATGTACTTTTCTATCCTCTCCTTGGTGATCATCTTCTCTGCTGGGTCAATGTTCATAGCGACCTCTAGGAACTGCTTATCAAGGAATGGGACGCGTGCTTCGACACCCCATGCAGATGTAGACTTGTTGGCGCGGAGGCAGTCGGCAAGATGCAGGTTTTTAACACGGCGAACAGTCTCCTCATGGAATGCTTTCTTGTCTGGTGCAGCATGGAAGTAAAGGTAGCCGCCAAAGATCTCGTCGCTGCCCTCTCCGCTAAGTACCATCTTGACACCGAGGGCCTTGATCTTTCTGCTCAGCAGGAACATCGGTGTTGACGCGCGAATCGTTGTCACATCGTATGTCTCCAAATGGTAGATAACATCGGAAAGTGCGTTGAGACCATCTTCGATGGTGAAAGTGAAATTGTGATGTTTCGTTCCGAGATAGTCTGCAACCTTCTGTGCTGCAATCGAGTCTGGAGCTCCAGGAAGACCAATGGAGAACGAGTTAAGCTCAGGAAGAACCTGCACTGTGGCTAAGTTGGCGTTGTCGTCAATACCGACGAGGTGGTCAGCGCCATAATTCTCGCGAACTACGCCATTGGTGGCGCCATTGGAAGCTCCATTGGCGCCGTTGACTGTCCGGGCCAGAGCGTTGACTCTCTTAATCTCTCGCTGAGTGATCGCCGCAACTAGACTGGAGTCTAGACCACCGGAGAGAAGGACACCAAAAGGAACCTCCGCCATGAGGCGCTTTCTCACAGACTTCTCCAGCGTCTCACGGAGCAGCTTGTAATCAACGGGTGTGTTTGGGATGTTGCTGGGTTGCATCAGCCACTTGGGCGCAAAGTATCGCTGGATCGTGTCGGATTGCGAGTCGTAAACGTGACCAGGTGGGAAAGAAATAATCTGATCGCAGACAGGATGCAAGCACTTCAACTCGGAGGCGAAGTACACCGCGCCGGGCGTGTTGCTCGAACGTCCCATGTAGAAGGTAGTGATGCCAATCGGGTCACGGGCGGCCACCACCCTGTCCATGTTCTTGTCATACAACACCCACGAAAACATGCCATCGAGAAGCTGTGGTGCGAATATGTCATGTTCCAGATACTAGTATCGCATCAGTCCTCGTCACCTCGCGCCCGCCAATCTATTGCACCCACCAGCGGTATTATAACTTCGCAGTCGGAATGCGTTTTGAAGTTATACGGCTTCTTGAGCTGCTTGCGCAGGATTCTGTGATTGTAGATCTCGCCGTTTACGGCGAGGAAGACCGTCTCCTCATCGTTGACGATTGGCTGTGCGCCGGAGTCTGGTCGCGTGAGCAGGTGCAGCCATATACTGTGTGCGTCGAGCGATGCATACCAATGCCAACAATACTCAGGCGTTCGTGAACGAGGACTGAGCGAAGATTAGCGGGCTTCTTCCTGTGGTCTAGTGCATGGCCACACTCACTGGTGTTGTTGCAAATGACATTACCGCCTTTATCATCTGAGTCATTACGTGCAACGAGCACAAAACGCACTGCTACTCACTCCAATCGGGGCCACGATGCCTGATGCTGCAGGAGGAACCAGTTAGAACATGAAGCATGGTTGAATCCGACGTGGATACATACGCCTTGCCTAGCTTCAACGCTTGAGGCTTGAACTTTTGCACGTCTGGGTGACTGTATATGGTGTCAGTCGACAGGGCGTCCTGGCGGGGGCGCACAGTGAATTATGCAGCAGACAATGGATCAATGGCATACCAATGACAGGCAAAGATTCCGCACATGGTCGGCGACTGTGTGTCCTTCTCTGCTGGGAACAACGAGGGCGACGTCGAGGGGGGGAGGAAGAGGGTGAGGGCGAAATATAGCTTTTTGGTCGGGACCTGAGATTTTGCAGCGATAACGGACGTTTTGATTTCGAGCCAGTTGACTTCAACGTAGTTAGTTACTTGAGTCAAACGTCAAATCGTGGCCACGGTCGACCCCACCAATCGGCCAGTCGCCATCTCAAATGCTGGCCCAAGCGTGCAGACGAGCCCGTTCGACGCCGACGCGCTGCGCTCGAATAACAATAATGTCTCTCCAGACATCCACGTCCAGTCTGCCCGTTCTGCATTCCAAGACGCTGCACCCCAGCCAGGCACTGGCCGCGCAACTCGACGCCGGACATATATGCCGCTGCAGATACGCGTGGGGAACGTCAGGGCACTGAGATGCCTATTCGATCGATCGCCAGTCGCATCGCTGCTCCGTGAGGCCGTTCTGCAGCCCAGTCGCACTCCGCATTTTCCACGACGTTGTCCACATCCCACACGCCAGCATCCCAAGCTCCGCATACGCGTGATCTGGCCTGCACGCTAGCCGGCTTGTGGGCGTGGATTGGAATCTCAGTACGCGATTTGAGGGGTCAAGCTGTGGAACGTCGTCCTTTGACTCGCTGAAGAAACGTGATAAGCCACCTGCAAGATTACCAAAGCAGCAATTCTGCTCAGGTCACACTGCTCATCATCGTTGTCGCTGCGAACGCCTCAGCAGAGCCGTACGAACTGTATGTCAGCTGATCCCCCACTCCTGCTCCTTAATTCGACACTGTTGAGCCTCGACCGTCGGCATTGTCGAGTCTCCATCATGGCCTCAGACGGGAATACGACAAAGACCCCACGGAATATCATCACCTACCATTGCATATGCACTCACCTTCTGCTTGCGAGCACGCAACCCCTCGCCACTCTCCCAACGCGTTCCTCCCTCGACAAGTCCTCGATTCTGCGGCTACCACCGGCATCCCACGCTGAGGAACTGAGCGAATATGCCGTGCTGCTCGGAACAACGCTGGATCGAGCTCCTGTCATCATACGTGGCGACCAGGGCTTCGAAAAGCGTTATCTCCAAAAGTGTGGGCGATGCAATTTGACCGTGGGGTATCAGCTCGACAAGGCTCAGTATGAGGGTATGGATGAGAAGGGGCGGAGAGATGACGTGGTTTATCTTTTACCTGGAGGCTTGTTGACGACTGAAGAAATGAGTTCTGGGAAGGACGTGGGGCCGTCTCTAGCAATCGATGGATGAGGTGCCCACCCAAGCATAAGAATTGATCAAAAGCAGAAGGAATCATCCGGAAACTCACATTCTGTTGGGGCTATTGGCTGATGGAGCTCTTTCCGGTAACCTCCCTTTAATCACGCCGGACCGCGTGATGCCTCGAGCTTGCAAAGCTCTGTCGTTGTGCCCTGGAGATTGAAGAGCACTCTATGTGCATCACCGATACTGTGCTCCAGAGGCCTCTTGAGACTCGAGCAGCTTGATTGAAATAGCTCCGGGTTCGATGCTTTTACATCGTCAGTAATTGGGAACTCTCACTTATTTTGGCCACGCCCAGCCACGCAATAGCGTTAGGATATCGAAGAGGAATGTCCTTGGAAGATGTATTCAAAGAATAGATCCGAGATCGCAAGTTATATACACATAAGGCCGATGAATCGCCGGCAGGGTGTTTAATCCGTTGGTTCGAGACTTTTGATCTTGAGGTTTCTGGGCTTCCTTGGGCAATGCGTTACTGTAGGCCGCAGATTACTTGACAAATCATAAAGCCTCGCTACAGATTGTTCCCTTTCTTCAACGTCGAGTTCAGCACGTCATATGGTTGATCTTTTGGTTATATGCATGACCATTTTACTGGAACATATGTCGTTACTTGCTTAATCTCGCAATGCTCTTTTTTGCACTGCATAATCGGCTAACTGTTTATCTCCACAATAGCCTCTGATTTTCCAGTATCTGGCTGAGCAAATAGCATTGTTTTCCCGTTATCAAGATATCCGTCGATGCACAAATCCGTGTTCACGAATATCTTTGGTATCGAGAGCCCAGTTTTATATTGTTCGTTGATGTGGCAACCACACGAAACGCTTCATGCCCGTTTGCCACAAAGACTGGGATCAAGGGACACCTACAAGAACGCATGATAAAGAGCGGGGTTGGCTCAGATTGAGGAACGGTATATCGATAAGCGCGAACAAGAGCAAAGCACTTGTTGTGGACGTTGTAGGAAGATTCCTTGCGTTGAAACTGGACAGAGCAAGTACAACTCATTGCTCTTACCATTTTCGGGTGCTCGACGAAGTTTAAAATGAAGACGTCGCGACGGATCATCTCATAAATTTGCAAGCCTTTCGAGCTTCTGGTGCCGAATTCTTTTCCAAAGGACGCCCACCGTCTTCAGAGTCGATTGCAGCCTAATTTAAGCCCAGGTAGCTGCAAAGAAGAATATGGCGAAGAGCCCAGGTGCCGTCTCAAGTCCAGACTTGAGCAGGTTGCGGTACCGATTGGAGGTTGGAGAGAGTTCATGGCCCGATTCAGTCTGACCTGAGCTACCATCAAAGAGGATTTTAATGTTCAAGCTTGTGATTGTGTGGGAGTGGCTGAGCATCCCATATCATCTTGGTGAAGGGCAACGGTGAGGAACATTGCATTACTTAGCAGCCAAACTTTGCCGCTAACCAACAGCTGAGCTTTTTTTTTCCGCCGCACAACTCGCGAGCCGCAAGAGAATCCGGAGGAATCCCCTTTCAAAATTGTTCCATACGAACGTGAGAATTGTTGGCGCGTACGTCTCATATTGTTGTCGCGACTGCAACGACGCGGAAACCGGCGTCAAGACGTTGACTTTAAGAGCTTCCCTAGCATCATTATAGAAAGATGGGTACCATAAACTACGCCGTGGTGCGAAGCTGCAGAAATCAAGACAACGTTCGAATCTGGATAATCTCAGTGTTTTTACGACCATTTAGTCTTGGCCACAGTGCAGCCTGGAAAGTGTCACTGCAGCATCATCTGGGATTAAACAAATCCCATTGGCAGATGGAAAGAGATTTCTGGGAACACATTTCAACAGAGGAAACCATGTCAGTCCTCCCTTAAGGTTAGGAGGCATGAGCTTGTGAGTAATAAGGAAGGATGACACAGTCAAGTGAGTTTAGCATGCCAGTCTTCTTTGGTATTGTAGATCGTCCTCTGGGGAAAGATTCAGGCATCTTTTGAATGCAGCACAGATCTGCGTCGTCAGCAAAAAAATACGTTCACTGTTGAATCCACGAAAGGAGCATTTGCTGACTTAATCCCGAGCAAAAGTCTCCATTTCAATCCTCAATTTCTGATCATACAACTTCGTGCTTTGCCATGCAAGACTAAACCAAGAATGGATACTTCGTCAGGTCACCAAACGTCCCTTCCTTCCTCATTCCCCAAAATCCAGGGCAATCTCGACTAATCGGCCAACCTACCCACCACTTCTCGCCATCCGCTTGTCCATTCGTCATTGGAATGCAATACTGGATGTACTCTTCCTCACGGTTGTCTCGATTCCAAACTATAGCTTGTACAAACGCATTGTCGTGGTCCATTGCACGATTCATGTGATCTTGGCAGGCAAGTGCTGTGGAGCGCAAGTTCGGCATGCACGGTTTTTCAATCATGCCTTTTGTTGCGAAGCGGAGTTGCCAGTTGACAGGAGGCATTAAAACGAGGCCATTTGTTGAGTTTATGCGATTTCCTCCCGTGAATATGAGCGCATTAGAGTGGTGGCGACCAAGACGATGGATGAAAGCGAGGAAGCGTTGCATTTGAGGGGACACCGTGGTAGCGAAGGACGACTCGGATGTCGAAGTTGATGAACAACTTGATTCGGCCTGTGTCATTAAACTAGGAATGGTTCCAGACATTGTGTCATAATTCCAAATAAACTCCTGCTCCGCAAGGCGTCGCAACGGATCGGTGACGTCAATCTGGGAGACGAGCATGTACTGGTTGCTGAGTGTACTTTCCTCAAATAGTGGCATGGCAAAATGGATGATATATCGTGTCTGACCTGTTCCTGGATCGAACTCGGCCCGTAGAAATGGATTTACATCACGTGTGTTGTCTAAGGGAAGGTTGAAATATCTGCATGCACCGACGTCAATCGTAGCAGAGCCGATTTCAAAAGCCTTTGAGGCACACTTGATAGGGAAACTTGGCATCTTGATATCAGAAACGCAGCAGCGAGTGAAGAGCTTGGTGAGAAGAGGCAGAAAGAACTGGGACAAACCATGCACGCGATTTGGATCCTCCAGGACATCAGTCTGATGTCTATCGAAGGCTCTCAAAGCATTCCCGAGCTCCTCAATCATAATTGTGGCCTTTCCGGCAAATTTGGTGACAGATAATTCATAATCATTGACATTGATTATGCGGTCGACACAATCCTCACCAATAGACAGGGCCTCCGGTATTGGTCGTATGTTGTCTGGCTCGCTCTGGTTGTTCTGCATATTCTGATCCGGCTCCACTGACCGAACAATATCTCGAGATCTTGAACACAACCTTAGCACGAAAAAAGATCGAAATGATTCCGAAGACGAAGACGTACCTCTCAAAGCCGTGAAGTGGAAGGGACAGCGGGCTTTGCTCATTCATTTCGCCACTCTTCTCAGTCGCTGTGTGTGACGGGGTTGACACCGTTCTAACCAGCACCTGCATCTGCATTAAGTACTGTCCCGAACAATTCATTTGAACATCATCTTACGGGGGGTACATTCTCTTGCTGTAACGTGTGAACTTCGTCCTTAATGATGAAATCTTCGGCATTTAATCCACTCAGTTGTGCAGAGGTAGCGATACGATAGTCACTCTTCCTTTCGACGTCAGTGGGTGCAGGTGTTTGCGCATTCTTAGCCTCGTCTCCGTACGCAATATGATTTCGTACGTAAAATTTCGCCAGCCTGTTTTTCGAAGCTGAGTGGGATGTAATAATATCCTTCGTCGCAACTAAAAACTTTTTAAAGACGTTCAGTGTGCCTGTCTTGGATGCACAACTCTGTGATTGGATGCCACTCTGTGTCAATTTACATTTTTCTATTGCTTCGCGGTTAGCAAACCGATGAAAGAAATGAGACATCCTCCAAAAAAAAGGCGTGAAGGTGAGCGTGAAGGTGAGCGTGAAGGTGAGAGTGAAGGTGAGCGTGAAGTTGAGCTTGAAGGTGAGTGTGAAGATGAGCATGATATAGGTGTGGTGTAAGTAAAAGCTAAGATTGGTAGCAACTGATTGCTGTGGTTGCCGTGGCATCCAGACTAAACTGACAAGCGACTGGCAGTAACTTCTTTACGGAAGCGAGAATCACTATAGCTGAGCGCTGCATGAATTGTTTCTAATTGTTCAGTCTACCTTAAGGAGATCAATTACGCTCTTAATATCGCTCGAAGTACGCTCCATTGCAGGCTTCTTGTGAAGTAGAAAGGATCCTGGTTATCCTTGAAGATATGGAGAAAGCGAAAACGTTTATCATTAGATATTGAATATGTTGTCACTAAGAGTTATTTGAAGTTTGGCTATGTATCCATTCAAGGGAATTGACGTGCTGACGGAGCTTGGTGAAGAGGGTGATATTGCTTCTCATGCGCTTTAAGGCTCGACTGATCTCGAAGTTTTCGAAGTGATCAGGCCGTAGCAGACTGCACCATCAATATGGCTAAGCCTATCAAAAGCTAACTCAGACCATGAATAGGCAATGAATCGACCAAGTAGCAGATTGGAGAATGGACATGAGCGGGAACGTCAACATTTTTAAAAGTATATGTGATTTCTGATTTCAGATAGTTTCAACTGTATACCAATGTAATATCATTCTTGAGATGGTTGACCGATAAACGTCATAGATTTAGTGCAGGCGGTTTAAGTCGTCGGCCTGTGAAGGTCGTGATGAGGTTGAACATAGAGCAGCCACTCACGTGGGCGGGACCCAAGTACGGAAGACAAGGATGTCATAGATGTCATCGATTGGCAGCGGGTGTCGCATGCGTCTTTGACATTCATCGGTGCATTGTTTCGCCCATTGTCCAAGCCCACAACAGCGCGTATACAATGCTCCATGGCTTGCGCTGCATCAGCAAACCCTCTCAATATGCCCTCAACACTTCTTCCAGTCAGGTAACCACAAGCCTCCTACTCCTGCATCGACGAAGCTTGCAGACAGAACGCTTTTCCGCCTTCACGCCGCCGGATCCTGCAAAACTTCCTAAACCTAAACCTCGCAAACCTTACAAGCGAAGGAAATGGCCGCGCCGTCTGGTGATCCTCACTCTTGTGGGCGGTGGCTTTTGGCTGGCAGATAAGCAATTTCAAGCCTCGGCTGTCACACGATCACTTCGCACCTTCTATACGGGCCTTTACATCGGCCTTGACTACAAGATAAACTTCAGACCGAATCCTCCTTTTGCAGATTCGGTCGAGGATGTGCATCGCCGGAGCGCGCAACGCATCTTTAATCTACTGCGTGAGAATGGTGGTCTTTACCTCAAGATCGGGCAGGCAATTGCCATGCAGAGCGCGATTTTACCGCCCGAGTTCCAAAGGATGTTTGCACGCATGTTTGACGATGCCCCCCAGAATGAGTGGGCTGATGTTGAGCGAGTTGTGAGGGAGGATTTTGGCGGAAGGAGTGTGGAGGAGGTATTTGGCGTGAGTTTTAGCGGTGACCCCACAAAGGGTATCATGGAACGGACTGCTAGAGCCTCTGCCAGTGTCGCGCAGGTACATTGGGCGCGACTGGAAGATGGTCGCGAAGTCGCAATCAAGATCCAGAAGCGCGAGATTGCCCAGCAGGTTGGCTGGGACCTATGGGCGTTCAAGATCGTGAGTAGGGTTTACAGCTATTGGTTTGATTTGCCTATCTACACGCTAGTGCCCTACATCAGTGAGCGCCTGATGTTAGAAACGGATTTCGAAAATGAGGCCAACAACTCGGAAGAGCTACGGCGATACGTGCGTGGCGAAAAGCGACTCAGGGATCGCGTGTACATACCTACTGTGTACCGCGAGCTCAGTTCTAAGCGCGTTTTGACGGCCGAATGGATCGAAGGTGTGAGATTGTGGGACAAGGAAGGTATTACTGCACCTTGGTATGGCGGATATGGAAAAGGTAGTCCAGGCGCTGGAGGTACACCTCTACATGATGAGCCATCCGGCAACACAATATCACGCATCCCCACCAACGATCCAAACCGTGAGTGGCTTAAACCGGACCGGAACTATTGGAAAGGCCCGCTCGGCAGAGGCGGCCTGGGTCTTAGCCTCAAGCAGGTCATGGAAATCATGGTCGATCTCTTCTCTGCGCAAATGTTCCTCTTTGGACTCGTCCACTGCGACCCCCATCCAGGCAACATATTCGTCCGACGCCTCCCCTCTGGCAAACCTGAGATCGTGCTCATTGATCATGGGCTCTATATTCGCATGTCTTCTGAATTCAAGCAGCAATATGCGCGATTCTGGAAAGCGCTCCTAGCTTTCGACAACGCCACAATCAAGGAGATCGTCAATTCGTGGGGTGTCAACAATCCTGATATTTTTGCCTCGGCGACGCTACTTCGACCGTACGAAGGCGGCGATGGTAGCACGACCGCGGAGCTGCGCAAGGACCTTGTGGGCAAGACGGACCGTGAACGCGCCTACGAGATGCAGATGAAGATGCGAGCGGGGATTAAGCAGATTCTCGGCGATGAGACGAAGTGGCCTCGCGAACTCATTTTCATCGGTCGCAACCTGCGCATCGTACAGGGCAACAACCAGTTTCTAGGCTCGCCCGTGAACCGTATCAAGATCACGGGTTTGTGGGCCAGCCGCGCTCTAGTCGACAATCCAGATATCAGTTTGGTAGACAGGATCGCGAACTTAGGACGCCATGTCATATTTAGAGCTGTACTGTGGGGCTCAGATGTGATGTGGTGGTGGTTTCGTCTGAGGCAGCTGCTTGGGTTGGGTCGGGGAATGGACGATGAGATCGAGGAGCGGATGAGACGCATCGCCAAGGACATGGGGGTGGAGTTGCAGCACGGTATTTTTGAAGGTTGAGCTGGAGTCGAATGCATGATGCAGTCTTGTTGACAACAGTTGGCATATTGTACTAATATTGCGTACATGGGCTCCCATTCGTAAGGAGCTGGTATTTTAAATTGGGCCATGCTAGTAGACTCACGACTCTGATGTTAGACTTCGATAGAGAGACGAAGCGGCAGATAGCATCGCCGCTTAATTTCTAGATCATCACTCAGAAACATGAGTGTGACAACGATGTGCATTTGAAATAGCGCCTATTCAAATATACGGCGCAAAAGTCTGCATTGGCAACATCCTACATGCCTTTTGTGCTAATTAGCTACGCAAAAAGTGTGCTGCAGACGGAGGTCTTGTCTCAGTTCCACAAGATACCAGGCCTAAACTATTCATCGATTTCTTCCGCCTCGGCTCGATCAACTCCGCTGTCCTCCATTTTTAAAGTTACGAGACTGGCCTCCATGCTCTTCGACTTCTTCGACGAAGATCCGGCAGAGCTCTTCTTCTTCCCGCTTTTTTTCCCTTTGCCTGCACCGTCAACTGTCAAGGGCGCCTCGCGAACCCAGCGGGAGATAGCCTCTGCACGCTCTGTTGAAATGGGATAGTCCTTGCCATCATCCTGGGCCCAGCGCTTATGGTTCCCACGTCCGTTGCTCACAGTAGATGAGCTTTTGACACTGGCGTTAGATGTCACCCCGGACTTGCGTGTGGCGTTGTGGTGCGTCTCGTTTGAGGATTGTGGGGAGCATTTTTGTGAAGCACTTTCGGCTAAATCTTCTTTCATCGTCGCTACCGGTTCCTCCTCACTTTGTGGTGGAGTTGGAGGAGGTAACCCTTTAGCGGCTGCCTCAGCCGCCTCATCGTCCTCAATTGCGCGCTGTTCTCTCGCCCTCACTGCACGCTGGAAGCTCTCCTCGTCAACCACACGATCGTCTGCTAGAGCCTCTAGAATGGCCTCATGTTTGCGCCTCTCCCGTCGATTTCTTTCCACTTCCTCTTTGCTCTTTCGACTCGCGTCCGTAGACACAATCGGTGTGTCTGGTTCACGCCCCAAATTCCAGCCTCTATCTCCGAGACCTTGGGTGCCATGTCCTGGGAGAGGCGCTGGTCGGCACAAGGCCTCCCATGATTGTGTGAGCCCAATCCAGTTTCCTGCTCGTCGCAGGACTTCGATCCAATCCGCACGCGCTGGGGAACGGGCAGCAAGGAAAATGGGGTATCCATCACAAATACGAGCCAGGCGCGCGGCATTGTGTGCGTGTCGTTTAAGTTCTGTGGGAGAGGTTTGCAAGAGTGCATGACATAGTAGAAGCGAATGTAGAGCGTCAGTGAGCAGTGGATGATAGGTTACGGACTCATTGGAGTCTGCTAGCGCCGCTGCGGCTGCCTCCGAAGACTTTAGCTGCGCGGATGTGGGGCCGGAACGTACTGCAAGCGCAGTGTTATGATCTGGATAGGGCGGTATAGAAGCAGGCACCTTTTCAGAGAACAATTGAGACGCCGGATAGATCTTAGGAGGAGGAGGCCACAAGTCGGTTGGAATTTCTGGGCTAATTTGTGTATTGCTTTTCGTAGGTATCAATGCGCTTGTCGAGTGGCTAAGCGGTGTCGAGTCGTCGGTTAGCACTTCGAAGTCCAACGTCATTTTCGACGTCGTGACCTTTGTGCTGTTGACGGTTTTGGTCCTCCTCTCCGGTTCTGGCTGTGTGGCAGAATTTATGCGACGAATGAACTCCTCAGCTATCTCAGGAGCGATGCCCGGGGTGTAGTCGAAGTGTTTGAGGAACTCTAGATAGTCCTTGAGGGCCTTGCGCGCATTCGACTTGACCATGCGTCTGTATTCGAGATGCCTTTTGTGTGCTATGCGCTCAGCAGCACTCTTTGGTACTTCTTCCAATGATGAAGCAGTCCCATCAGATGGCGCACTTACCGCATGGCCATTCTCCATCGCCTCCTTCCTCGCCTCCTGCTCGTCCCAATATGCATCTAGCGCATCGTGGACATGTTGGCAGGCGATGGCAAGATGGACATTGGCTCTATGAAATAGCATCTGGACTTCTAGACTGCTCGGCTGGTCCTCCTCAGGTATTTGCACCTCATTCCTCCAATCACGGATTCCTCGCTGTTTTGCTGCCTCGCTCGCGAGCACAAGCTGGTCTTTGCCGGCTCTGTGCTGTGATAATAGCCATCTGGCCATCGCTAACCCCTCTGTCAGATCACGCGCCGCTCCCGCGTAATCCTCTTTAAAAATCTTTGTGAGCGCCCTTGTCCTGTAGGCTGGACCATCATTTGGCCGCTCTGACAGAAGCGCATCCAGTGGCTCGAGTGGAGTGTATTCGGCCATCATCCGACTAGGTATCTTCTCGTGGAAAAAATGCACGTAGCGAGCATCGTAGTCCAGATGGTTCCTTTGCAACACATGCATGGCAAGATCCTCAAGCGTGGACGCTGACTGCATAGTTGCCACACTCGCGGCAATTTCGTCTAAGTGATATGCCTGTGAAAGCTTCTGCGTTGCTAGTTCGCGCATCCTATGTTTACGCTCTCTACTTAATTTTGCCCCCCCTCCTGTTCCACCGAAGCCTAGTCCTAACGCTGCTGCGCCCGCTCCGTTCAGCATACCATTACTAGCGTTCATGGAGGCATTGAGGGAAGCAGAGGTGACGCCCGAAGCAGCACGTACAGCGATGTTGGTTGCTTCGTCGACAGCCTTGCGGATCTTCACTAAATCATAAAACACGGCCGGGTCAATTGGATGAGGTCGCGGCGCAAGGTAGTTGCTGTGCGCGAGTGATTCGAGCACCTCGGGAGGTAGCTGGAGCCATGGTCCATGGAAGGAGGAGATATATTTCCAATGTCTGCACGGAGTCAGCACGCCTGATCGGCCTTGTTTGTTCCTCCTTTTTCCTTCCTCAATGTTCTTGTTGCATTATATTGTGAACTTTTGTCACTAGACCTCTAGGAGATCTACTCACTTGTTCCGACATATGATAAGCGCAGAAGTTGAAGGCTCTCCGTTCTTTTGCTTGCTTCCAAACCACGGGTTGGGCGCTGACGTCGTGGAGGGAACCGGCGAAGGTGTCAACGATGGTTGCGCAGGAATCGTGGGTGTAGTCTGCGCCGGGTCTACGGCGGTTGTGGTTGACGCTTGACTTTTCTTCTTTCGAGCCATGACGTACTGTCCAAAAAGCCTGTGGCCTCCAAATGTAACTTTGGAGGCGGCTTCAAAAGAAATGGCAGTGAGCCTGCAATTGAAGGCACTTTGCTGTGGGTGGGTTCGTGTTCGTGTATGCGCGGAGCATCAAAAGTTCTTGAGAACATTGACGATCCGCGGCGGTCATATCGGACATCGACCGTTCGCTTTCCACCATGCTCAAGCCTTGTTCATGTGCTGTCAATATTCTTGACTCTCTGATGCCAACCACCACTTCTGGGTTTCGTTCTCAAGAGGTTTGGCCATAGAGATGCGCTCTTGAAGTTTTCACAACGCCCTGTGTCCGCGGCGCTGGCTGTCACGATTGCAAGGAGGATAAGGATGATTGTTATGGTTATGCTACAACTTAGGCGCATCAACTTACAATGCGCAATAAACGAATTATTTTCCCGAAAGTAAAATCCACGTCGAAAGGGATATAAATATTGTATGTTTGATTCTTACTTGGTGCTTTCATGATTGTGCCTGCAAAACAAAAGCTTCGTCCCTGTACGTAGACTAGGCCGTACAACTTCTGCCCCTCTACAGTACAGCCACGACCATCTATTTTTACAGACGCAAAATTTTATGGTTAGTATCCATCATTAGACTTATCGTATGGGGAAAGAAGTCATGAAGGCTATCGCCTCCCTCTTCCTTTCCCTCCATAGCTTCGTGAAAGCCCAAGCAACGTTAGCGCAAGAGACTGAGCAAAGACGCTCGTTACCAACCTAAAAATGCTCCATATTCGTGGCCACATCCGGAAGACCTATAGATTGTACTAGCACGGATGCGGTGACATGCACAACTCTTCCTTTTGAAGAGTGCAAAGTACAAAGATGATAGATATAATGCTAACGTTCTATCCGAATAGACATATTTAGGGTGAACAAGAAAGTTTATGTCGTAGCTGGAGGTCATCGAACCCGAGTGGATGACTTGGCATGGGACTGACAAAGTGTGCGTGAGACGTAGTCAAGGTCTACAACTGCACTAGAAAGAATGAACATTCTCTGCTACGCAGGTGACGTCGCTCCTGATTCAACTATCGTCGAAAGACCCAAACCTGGACGGCATAGAGGTCAGCCTTAAAGTGCGAAGCGTAGCTCGTGTATCTCTTAATTGGCCAACTCTGAAATTTATAGAACCATTCATTTTCTAACGGTGAACAGATACTCGTGAGATCAAATACTTGACTACGTTCTTTTTTGGATTGAAAGAAAGAAGTCTCACTGTTTTTACTTTCTCTCAATCCAGAACAATCTACACAACATCGTCGTACTTGTATCGATGCGGCAAATTTACCTGGACTTATGAGGGACCATACCACTGACTGGGCCACCAAGTAAGCCAACAGCTAGATTTATGTCGAATTTTTTGCGAAGCCTTCATAGCAAATAGGAATAGGCAATTTTCCTCGCTTTCTTGATGGAAATGCGTCCGAAAAGATCCTTCCCATATTCATATACACTCGAAGCTCCTCTCTTCTTGCAATTTTAGCACAGCAGCTATAAGACGACGATGTTATTGGAGGTGCAGAGAAGTATAGGAAGTTGATAATGACATTGACTTCATGACATCAGCCCAAGGCTCACTATACCGAGCAATTTTCTTTCCTTCTCAATCTGAAAACTCAATTGCAGCGTCTTGCCCTGCCATTAATCTAGACATCATTGTCAGGGAGAATCAGAAATCTTTACTGCCGAGAAGTGGACAAGTCTTCGGCAGGATGTCTAACTTCTTTTCAGATGGAAAATATGTGTTGGAATACGCAAGTTGCTTCATAAATATGAATAGAAGGATTAGCTGCTTAAACAGAAGGTAAGAGCATGAAATTGTCGGAGTACATCTTGTCCAGGAACAGCAACTAATTGATGGCGATTTGAAATGCAACGAGACACTACGATTGGCATAGGTCGAATGCGTACAGAAAATACAAGACTTTCTATTCTGCTGAAGCAGCTACGTGTTTAAAGAATATGTGGCACCATCCGGCGAGAGTAATACATTTTCCTCAAGAGAGTAAACGCTGGTCAAATGGGAAAATCGCAAGAAATACCTCAATTAAAAGAAAAAAAAACATGAAGTTCGAGACGGACAATACAACAAATTATCGGATCTTCAGTCGAAACGAGAAGTCAATCAACCTACTTTTATCAAATTCGGGGAACGTTTCGGCTTGGTTTCAGTGTGTCAATATCCTTTGGGGGGCCTTAAGCTCGTATTTTCGAAAATAACAGCTGATGCTAACCCACAAATAGTCTAAGGCTTGCATAGCGCTACTGCTATTCTAACTAGCCGTTGGCTCTCACTTCCTCCGGGTAAGCCCGCTGCATTATTAAATCAAACGACCTAACCGAAGCGCAGGCCTCACGTCTATCAAAGTGGAAACAATCTCCTGGCCACCAACGCCACAAGAACGGGGCATAGAGGTGACTGTCGATCGTCCTCGCACATTTTAACCTGTCAATACTCACGCCGCCATCTCTTGTCAGCCTTTTGCGATATTTGGACGTGTACGGAGTATCCGTACAGTCGTTTGCATTTTGCGCCATCATGGCGGCAGCGGCGACAACTACGTCAACTCCAACACCAACGACATTTATTGCTTTGAGCACGATTTTCACCCCCCCTTTGAGTTGTAGCTCATCTTGGACATATGAACCTTCGGATTTTAATGGGAACCCGTCAGGTCTCTTCATTCAAAACGCAGTGGGAGGTAACGCCTTCAATACCGCGTGCTGGCCGCCTTACTTTACACAAAATGGACGTGATCAAGTAGTCGGCACAGTGCAAGTGTATAGCCCTGGAGCGTGCCCGGTTGGGTACACTTCAAACATTATCGCACCTGGTGACACGACAACAGTAACTTGCTGTCAATCGTAAGTACGAATATGAGACGTTCATCCACCCAGTCTTACCTTATTCTTTATGTATAGTGGATTTACCTATCATTTCTCCTCGGCCACCAGCGATGAACGCGCAGCCGGCGCGCTTGCAGGTTGCATATCAACTTTCAGTTCCGATGAGACTACAACAGTTTTGGCGCGGCCACTGGGTACTCTCACGCCAAACACTCTTATTGTCACTTCTACGCTCGACGGTGCCTCGCTTGGGCAAGTGACTATGTGGGGACAACCGATCACAATTGCATATCAGCAAAAAGACCTCTCGTTATTTTCCACGTCTTCAAGCAGCGCATCGGCTACAGGATCAGTGACACTAAGCAACTTAGCCTCAGCTTCTACTTCGAATCCAGTTTCGAGCTCTTCGCAGACACAACCAGGCAATACAAGTTCCGGCCTATCCACAGGAGCGAAGGCAGGAATTGGCGTGGGTGTGGCAGTTGCAGTGTTGGCAATATTGGGAATGGCGTTTTTCCTTTTTTCCAGACAGAAGAGACAGCAAAGCCCACATCATGAACCATATTCGGCCGCATATGTGGCCGAACCTCAATACCCCCCGCAAGAAATGGACGCTACGAGTGCGCGAGTGGAGATGTCCCACGTAGCAAATCCTATCTCCAAAGTTGATCCCAGAAGGGTACATGAGATCGAAGGCTCAACAGACCATTACACATAAGAGGGCCCTTTAATTTTGCGCTCGAACATTTTTCGCATTTGGTCCCAAACCCGCGATGCTGAGGCTTGGGTTAAAGATTATGTAGCGTTTTGACACTCAACGTTCACTTTGTATAAAAATATTAATTCTATTTTATAGCTGTCACCTTCTTGTTGGCGAGGTTCTGCTATCAAGTCGCAATGCGTGATCAGCGAAATAAACCCGTCATGTAGATTGGTCATGTGCGAAGAAAGAAGCTAAGCTCGCTTTTTTTGCGAAGCTAAGCTTCGTCGTTGACTTGCGTCCGGAACATTAGCGGCTTATGTCATGAACTCGGGACTCTTAAGTTATGAATTTTCAGCGTTGATAAGTTACATTATATGTCCACAATTCAACAAATGCTCTGAGAATCATTATCGCCAAATTTATTTCGAGTTGCAATACCTCGTGGTCATTTGCTTGTGGCCATGGACTTCGATCCTAGTAAATTTCTGAGCCAAAACGGTGGCAAACACGCCCAAACGTCAAGATTGATCATTCTAAACCAGCCTATTCAAAGTTTTGAGCGACTTGCGCGAATTTGGGAGAACACCTCATACCATATCTGCGCTGATGGTGGGGCAAATTTTCTGCTTGATTTGGTTTCGAGGCGAGCGAATGCGAAGCAAGATTATGTACTCAGAACTCATGCTTTCGTGTGGTCTTATTTCTAATTGGATCAGCTCCCAGAACTCATACATGGTGACTTGGATTCTATTTCCGACAAAGTAAGAAAGCACTATGAAGATTGCGGGGTGAAAGTGTCACAAGACAGCAGCCAGTATCGCACTGTACGTAATCCATTCAAGAGAGCCTCTCAGTCGCTAATTCTCCTTCGAGGACTTCGCTAAGGCTGTTCTGGTGTTGACGAAAGGCTACAAAGATACAGATTGTCCTGATCTTGATGAGCTCGGTCCTTCTTTAGAGCAGGGTGTGGCACAAGATGTCATCGTCATGTCCACAATGTCAGGACGTCTCGACCAAGCCTTAGGGCTTCTTCACGAAATGCTTCGCGAATGTATAAGGCATGGGAAAGGTTCGTCACATCCAGTGTGCATTTATTTTGTTAGCGAGCAATCAGTTTCATTTGTGTTGCCGGTGGGAAAGAACACAATTCGAGGCCTTGACCCACGAAAAGGCTTGTTTAAAAAATATGCAGGCATCCTCCCAATATACGGACCAGCAAGATTGACTCTCAAAGGATTTGAATGGGATGTGCATGACTGGGAGACTGTCATGGGAGGAAATGTGAGCACAAGCAATCATATCCTTGGGGACGAAGTTGAAGTTGAGGTTTTTGACCAGCCGGTGCTCTTCACAGTTGAACTGGCCCGCTTTGTGCCTTGATGACGATTTCTCTTGCCCTTTGAATGATTCACCAGCAAATACCGATGCACATGCTAAGCCTTCCTGCTGGTCTTTGTTGTCAAGCTAAAGCATTTGGCCGGTTAGCCTGCTGGTTCAATGATTTCTAGCATGGAAAGCAAAATATATGTAAATATATTACAGTAATTGTACTGGAAGATAAAATAAAAACACAGGCGGGAGCACAAAATTGGCGGCAAAATAATTTTTAGCTTAGCACGACGAAGACGATCAAAATGAAGCATAAATATCGTATGCGAATCAATAGCATTTTCATGTAAGGATTGATCTGAATGTGTATTTGATTTTTCACAAAGTGTGTCCATATGCATTCAGGCATCAGTCTGATTTCTGATCTTCTACAATGTTGGGGTTTACGAGGCTCATCAGACACGATATTTGGTTAATTGCAGTACGGAAATTCCTTAGAACTTCTTTATGATGCAAGAGTATCCTTTAGCAACACTGTCAGATCGCGACTGTTGACAGCGTCTCTCGCACTCATTCTCTGGTTTTACGGCTCTCTTTTTTCAAGGCAGTTTTACACGACTCCTTCGGCTCGACCTTCCGTTCTTAGCATACCTAAAATCAGAATTCTCAAAAGTATGTTTTGTAGAAAGCTCTCATTCTCCACAAATATAAATGCAGCCAAGCACGATGGAAGTAGACGATGACTTTGCGACCAAATCTGCAGCCTTTTTAAGCTGGCTACAGGCGTCGGGTGCAACTTTAAGTGAGAAAATTGAGCTCGCCGATCTGAGGCACCAGAATTCTGGCCGCGGTGTAGGTATATCTTACTTTAAAGTATGTCTGGGGAGGAAATCTGATCCTAACATCTCAAAAATAGTTGCCAAAACCGATATAGAATCCGATGAAGAGCTTTTCTCTATCCCCCGCGTTTTGCTTCTAAATACTAAGAATTCCGATCTTGCAACACAGCACCCGGACATCCTGAAGACTGTGGAAGGTCAGCCCTGGCTGGAACTGATCTTTACACTATTATACGAGAATGGAAAAAGCGATTCGAAATGGAGACCGTACTTGAATATTCTGCCTGCACAAGATCAGTTCGACACGCTCATGTACTGGGATGAGTCCGAGCTGAAGGAGCTGGAAGCTAGTGCTGTAGTATACAAAATTGGAAAAGACTCCGCGGACAAAACGTTTAGGGAATACATCTGGCCAAAAGTGCAGGCTCAGCCGTCCTTGTTTGGCTTTTATGATAATGTCCACGAGGAGGAGGTATTGCAAGCTGCCCACCGAATGGGTACTCTGATCATGGCCTACGCTTTCGACATTGAGTCTGAACGTGAGCGAGAGATTGACGAGGAAGGCTATGTCTCCGAGGAAGAGGAAGAAGACATGCCTAAGGCAATGGTTCCATTAGCGGACATGCTGAATGCAGATGCTGATAGGAACAATGCTCGTTTATTTTATGAATCGGATGCCCTTGTTATGAAAGCAATCAAGCCAATCGCGTCCGGAGAAGAAATATTCAATGACTACGGTCCTCTACCACGATCGGATCTGCTCAGGCGTTATGGGTACATTACGGATAACTACGCGCAATACGACGTAACTGAGATACCTTCTATCATGATTGTGGATGTATCAAAGGATCAGCTGAAGCTAGACGACGCTGAGGTGGAACAGAGGGTAAGTGAGAGTACAAGGACCACAGCTTTATTCTGACGGAAGCGGACTAGACATCACTCCTAGAGCTTTTCGACGAGGCCACGGAGGAAGGCTATGACATAATGAGGCCGGGTATCGAAGATGACACTCTCGGCATCTTCCCACCTTCTCTGAAGCTCTTAATTGCTTTACTAGTTCTTCCAAGGTCATCTCTACCTCCAACTGTGAAGCCATCGAAGATCGAAAAGTTGGTTGCGCGCAATGAATTTCCCCGGTCGTGGTACCAAGTCCTTCTCCATGTCCTCGAAGCCCGTCTCAACCAGTTCCCCTCTAGCCTCGAGGAAGACCGTCAGCACTTGGACGTTTACAAGCAGAGGCTGCAGGGCGGAAAGTGGCTGACCAATCAGAAAGAGACCAGAAGGCGTTTTATGGCGCTTAATGTTAGAGTAGGAGAGCAGGAAATATTGCAGCACGCGATCTCAGTGATAAAGCAAAGATTGAAGCAGGAGGAAGCAGGAGAGAAGCGAAAGGCTGACGGCCCGACAAGCGGATCATCGACGCCTAAGAAAACCAGAAGATGATTTTGGGTGCCTCGACGTATTTTTCCTTCTCAGGTTGTCAAGCTAAACACAAGTATATGAGCTTGAAACCTAGGCAGCTCGAGGTCGCGGCTCAATCTGCTCGAAGTCGGCTATACGCGCAAGCCACATGTTCACGCGCTCCCACAATTTGATCTAAGCAACTCAAAAAAAAATTGTTTTGAGTTTCTATCAACCCAGACGTTAGATCCTTCACTAGTTTCTGTTCGCCTCAGTCATGTGCATTTCTAGTAGAAGCTTTCAAGCTATTCATAATACTGAATGGGCGTAGAAGTGAGTAGATTTTTAACTGTCAGAAAGAGATGATTGCTCAGGCAAGTGTACTGAATGTCGAACATCGTTAGTGGGCTAGTAGTTCAGAGGTTGGGGAATGCTTGACAAAACTCTGTACATGATTCGCATATATTTGATATGTACAATTCGAATTTAACCATCGATCTCTATTCCACGTGTGTTAGTAGGAGCGTTTGGCCAACTTGACACTCTGTAAGGTTGTAAGCACTCTGTGATATGAGGAACATTGGTAATAGACTTACCGGGCAATCCTCTTCGTCCAAAGTGTTGAAGATAACGGCCCTGTATCCAACCTTGACCTCTTCGCCTTCTTGTGTCTGCCATGTCAAACTGTGTTTACACCATTCCTCATCGAGGCGGTCCGGAAAGTCTTCTCTAGCATGGCTACCTCGGCTCTCCTTTCTCTCAACCGCGGACTTGACGGTTTGCGCTGCATTCGTCAAAAGGTTTCGTGTCTCAAGCGTTTCGATCAAATCTGAATTCCAGATCATGCTCTTGTCCGTCACCTTCAACTTGTGTCTAAAGTCCTGTTCCACAGCGGCCAGACGCTGTCGCCCGAGATCAAGAGATTCATGTGTGCGGAACACAGCAACGTCGTTTTGCATGATCCTCTGCATATTCCCACGGATCTCAGCGGCCGATTTGGACCCATTAGACAATCGGATTCGATCCAAATCTTGGAATGATGAAAAGCCAATGTCATCGGTCACTGGCGTGAGAAGCGGTTGTCCTGCTTCGTTATGTTCGGCAATATCGATAGCTGCTGCGCGTCCGAAGACCACAATATCCAGTAATGAATTGGCTCCCAAGCGATTAGCACCATGTACACTTACGCAAGCGGCCTCTCCAGCAGCGTAGAGTCCAGGTACAGGTTTTTCTGAACCCGTAGATGGATGAACTTGAAGAACGTGACCTTTGTAGTCCGTTGGTATGCCGCCCATACAATAATGAACCGTAGGCCTGTGATGACATAATTAGCTCAATTGAAACTTAAGCTGAAATGGACTTACAATACTGGAATCGGCTGCTTCGTGATGTCGATTCCCGCAAAGATGCTTGCTGTTTCTGCAATGCCAGGCAGCCGGTCCATGATAATTTCCTTTGGCAGATGAGACAGTTGAAGATACACGTGGTCTTTGTCAGGTCCCACACCTCTGCCCTCTCTTATTTCCATAGTCATACTTCTTGCAACCACGTCTCGGCTTGCGAGATCTTTGGCAGTAGGGGCGTACCGCTCCATAAACCGCTCTCCTTCGCTGTTTAGGAGGTAGCCCCCTTCTCCTCGTGCCCCCTCCGTGATCAGGACACCTGCACCATAAATTCCTGAGGGGTGGAACTGCACAAACTCCATATCTTGTAGAGGAAGCCCTGCTCTTGCTGCCATAGCGTTACCGTCACCGGTGCTTGTATGCGCGCTTGTGGCGGAGAAATATGCCCTACCATATCCACCTGTGGCCAAGATCGTATTGCGAGCAAAGAGCCGATGCAGGGTGCCGTCTTCCATATTCATGGCAGTCACGCCAACACACTTGCCGTCCTGCATCATAAGATCCAGTGCAAACCACTCAATAAAGAATTTACAGTCGTGTTTAAGACTCTGCCCATACAAAGTGTGTAGCAATGCATGTCCCGTTCTGTCTGATGCGCAGGCAGTTCTATGACCTTGGCCACCCTTTCCATAATTCTGACTCTGTCCACCAATGGGTCGCTGATAAATCTTTCCCTCGGAGGTACGTGAAAATGGCATGCCCCAGTTCTCGAGCTCAGCGACAGCAGCAATGGCCTCTCGTGTCATGTACATAATGGCGTCCTGATCGCCGAGCCAATCTGATCCTTTCACTGTATCATAGTGATGCCACCTCCAATCGTCGTGGTGCATATTCCCAAGAGCAGCATTAATTCCACCTTGCGCTGCCACTGTGTGCGACCTAGTTGGAAACAGCTTGCTAATGCATGCGGTGTTGAATCCAGCTTCGGTCAACCCGACAGCGGCACGGAGGCCAGCGCCACCAGCACCGACGACGAGCGCATCATAGTGGTGATCCACAATGGGCATTCCGCCGATCGATGGCAACGACGATGTCGTGGCATTGCGTCGCTGGTCACGAGAGGTCAAATAACCTCGTCTCTGATAACGAATTGGAGGTATACCAAAACGTCGTCCAGACGACTGTCGACATGGTAGTAATCTGCTGACTGTTATTGGTGTGATTTGCACGACGCATATAACCGAACAGTGGCCTTGTGAAACCGAAGCGTACGAAGATAAGTTGACTTACATCCTGTGGTTCGAGGAGGCATACATTCCTCGAAACAGATTCCGTGCTGGCACTGACATGATGTCGACTACGTTACGAGATTTTCAAATGCCAGTTGAATTTGTGAGCATAACTCACACCGTCCAGCTCGCCTGACTAGTGAACATAGGCTATGTCCCACGTCTTGCGGGGGATGGTTGAACGCTTTTACCGAATCGAGCATTTTGGTGCCGGTAATTATGGGCTTCCTTCGGCAATGCGAATGAATGGCAACGGGCTTCCGCAAAGACAGCGCTTTCACCAAACAGATTGGCCACCGAGGAAGCGGAGGTCATCAAGCTGAATGACACCACGACTTTAGCTCTTCGCCTCGTCCAAACGTCGTCCGAGGACTCGCACGCTGGACGAGGCACGCGGCCCCAACATGTGTGGACTTGGTCTGTGCATGCTCCTTCTTGGACTAGCGCGATAGCTTACATTTCACTGCTTGTGATCCAACCCTCTTGCCACTCAAGTTCGATAACATGCTGTCCGTCAGGACCGCGCAAGACGTACGGTGTCCTGTTCTGCAAGCTAAGCTATTGAAAGTCCCCGAGGTGCAACAGTGATGATTGCTTGTACCTGCATCCATACTAGCATCGCATTTTCGCCAGTTCAGGAGCATTCAGTCTCTTCTCGCATCACAGCCTCGTTGAAGACGAAATGATATCTGGCTGGAGCTAAAATGGGCCAGGAAGCATCTCGATACGATGAAACGGAGATCAATGATTCTACTCGTCTAGCTCATGTGACGCGCCGTGATCACCGCCATAGTCACGAGAATCATGGACCATCGGAACATGCAGGTGTGGGTCGTCGCGGATCTAGTGAACTCTCATACACAAAATCTCATCCTCTAAGCTACCAAATTGATTCCTCTGGTGAGAGTCGAGAGGAGAACAGAAGCTCAAACAAGAATAGAAAGAGACATAAAAAGTCTAAGAAGCGTAGACGTCAGGAGGTCGAGCACGAGGAATCGCAATTATCAGAAAGACCATGGACGTCTTCGCCAGGTCTCTCAGGTGTCGTAACGACAGAGATTGATGCTCGTAAAAAGCATAAGCGACGAAGGGTTCTAATTGAGGACGCGCCGTCTGCGCCAGAATTACATGCCAGTCATCGGAAGAAACCAAAGAATGGGCGTCACGATAAGCTCCCAGAGAATCAATCATCACCGTCGCAAAAACGAGGCCACTTGGAACTCGAGACTCCAGTTCTCAATGACTCCGCAAACTCTCTTAGCAAACCGGTTGGCGCTTATGAGACTAGAGAAGAGCAACATGGCGCCTTTGCGGTTGATGGAGGAATTGAACATTTGTCGAAGAGACAAAGGAAAAAATTGAAGAAATCGCAACGTCGTCACGAAGCCGTAATGCTCTCCGCCAGCGAAGCAGACCAATATGGGAGCCAACCAGGAGAGTCTACGGAACCCGTTATAAATAGAAGTCTCGAAACTGTCAGTCCGAACTCGACATCCGCTACTTGGTGGCAGTCGGTCTCGAAAAATAGTCAGTCCCCTCAAGGCAATGCTCATGAACATGATTTGCGCCAGAATGCAAGCAAAATTACTGCCGAAAATGCTCAGGTATTTCGAGACTCAAAAACGATTGTGCCCACTGACGTAGCTACACGGTCCTTTCGGACTGATTATGCTGCTGGAGAACTGCCAGAGCCGGCTGTACAATCAAATTCGGATGACCTGGAGAAGCACATTTTCAAGATAAAGAAAAAGAAGAAAAAGAAAAAGAAGAAGCCAAAAAATAAGACTGCTGATGATATTGGGACTTTAACGGCAGAGGCACATTGGTTCGAAAGCCTTCATGAAAGCGAGCAGTTCGAGGCCACAGAATCCATACACCCGAGGGCCCAAAAGAAGAGTAAACGCCGTTCGGGACAAGCTCTGTGTTCCTCAAATGCATCACCAATAGGCACATGTGACAAGAACGTGGCGGACAAAAGTTCTGGGCATAATCTCGAACAACCTGCTTTCATTGCCAATAAATACCCCTCAAAGTCATCATCCGCACAAGATGATGAGCAAACGGTTATCGAACCTGTTGGAATAGAGAAGCAACTCGCATTTCCAAAGTGTCCTGAGAACATTAACCATGCAGGAGTTGGCTCAAAGTTGAATGTAGAGCTATCTTCTTCAGTCAAGTCCATCGCTGACAGTGAAGATCTCAGCCAAATTATAGAGCCATCTACTCGAGCAGCGTCAATGGAGCTGGGAGAGCCTCTCGACAATGGACAATTGCTAGCCCACGGTGGCATCAACCAGGCCTCTCGCAGGTCTTTTGGGGAAACGACTGCAAAAGACATAGCGCTCCTTGAGCCGGTTGATGTTCTCGATGCCCGAGAAAATACTTTGGCATCCGATTGTCCACCATCTGAGAAGAGTATAATTCAAGTGCAGAGTCCAGTAGCAAACCAAGAACGACGTTTAGGCTGGTCAGTGGATGAGTATGATACAATCCTAAGTGCCGCAATTGGTTATCTCAGCTCGAAACCATCGAATTGGCGAAAAGAACTCACATTTGACAGCATTCGCAGCACAATAGATGAGAACCCAACATTGTCTCAATGGTTTACTGAAATGGAGAAAGCTGGTATCGACTTTGATAGAGCAGAGCTTACACAAGTATTAAAGTCTGCTGCGCCAAGCGCTGATTTCGGCATTGTAGAGCTCTCTACATATCATGCTTCAACAGGAAATGATGCCAGCAACGAATCATCAGCTCAGACAGATCTAAGATCACGAGATCTTGCCCTAGATTACCTATCCGAGCAACTATTGCGACATCCCACGCGAGGTCTTCTTCCTTGTTTTCAGGCTTTTCAAGTCAAACAAGTCTGTGAAGAATTTGGTATCCTCGGAGCACTTGAATCTGGAACGAGAGTGCCAGAAGATCCAATAGATACCGTTGTGCAAAACCTCTCGCGAAAGGAGAACACTAACGATCATCGTAAATCCTTTTTGACGGAGCTTAGTACTGGTGGAGCGGCTCAGAGTAGTGATCAGAGCAAGATTTTACGTTCTCCAAGCAAAATCTCCGCGAGTGAAACAGCAATGGGAGGAGATACGCCGAAGCTGGCACCTCGAAGGTCACAACGTTTGACTGCCTTAACCAAATTGCAGGTGAACAGCACCAAAATGTCGACTCTAAACGGAGCTCAAGAGTCTGTCTTCAGTGACACTGGGTCACTAAACATTCCAAAACAACCGACAGAAGATTGTCAAGTCGAACACCTTGCAGGCGACATCGGTTTTTCGTCAAACGAAAGAGAAAGTTTCGGACACGAAATAGCTAGGTGGTCAACTGAAGAACCTAACAAGCCGGAATCAGTTGAAGACCAGGATGACCAGGATGGCCAATTTAATGAACCTAATATGCTCGGCATCAAAGCTGTGGAAGAAATGAGCTCTGGTGAAACATTCTCGTTGAGCAAAAATGGCATGGTAGTGATTAGAGTTTCTGTTTCGGACTCTCCAGCGGAACGCGATTATCAACGATTTGCCAAAGCCCTCGTTCTGAGGGGTATACGTACTGGACTACGGCGCCTTGAAAATGCAGAAACGGCTCCAGTCGCTGTTCAAGATGCTCCAGAAATTGATCCGTCTCTTGTCGAGGAGAACACGGTACCGGCCGAAACTCAGTGTGATCAGAATGACCAACAAACCGTACGCCCGCAAAAACCACAAAGCAAAAAATGTTCTCGATGTGGTGAAATAGCTCGAAGGTGGTATTTCAACAAGAGTGCTAACATGTGGATCTGTCCTCGCTGCTACAATAAAGATCTGAGGGAGAGCAAAAAACCGAAGCCTATCGATCTGCGCTCAGCATTAGGTGGCGAATATGCACTTCCAGAGGATTCAATTTTGCTGTACGAGTTGCACGGCAAACAAGGGCGCTCTTTTGAATGGATTCAGTCTTACCTTGCAAAAAGAGGTCGACTAGAAACCGTTCATGTCTTAAGCAAACGATATCAACGATTGAAACGATTCATCAACAAGTTTTTGCCGCCTCCAGAAGGAGGAAAAATTAAGGACAAAGAAAGGCCACCAAAACCTGATAATGGAAAGTGCGAAATGTGCACTAATATTACCTCAAAGTGGTATTTCCAAGAGAAACCGGATGATGATAAGCACTGGATCTGTAATCGTTGTTATAATAAGGAATCTAGAGAGAACAAGCGACCACCCAGCTTGGCTCCACCTACTCCTCTCCCTGAAAAACCTAGCGACAAAAACTGTCAGCGTTGCAGCAAACAACCCTACAAGTGGTACTTTGATCATGCTGCACATGAATGGATTTGCAAAGCTTGCTACGGCCGTCTCTGGCGGGAGAAGCGGAAAGAGTCCCCAATCGTAAAACCAAACTCGAGGAACACCGAGAAGCCGGTAGATGGAAAGTGCCAAAAATGTAACCAGGAACCAAAAAGAGATAAATGGTATTTCATCAAGGATGAACTGCAATGGATATGTAGCCCATGCTATGAAAGAGAAAGGTATAAGCAAAGAATCTCTGCTTCCGCCGAGGATGCGGTTGAATCACTTGGAGAACTGAACGGACAGCCCCAACAAGTCACAACTGGGAATAATAACACATGTGCGCCTGTCTGTGCTACCGAGGATTCGATGAAATCTGCAGCGGAGGACGGCACGAGGGAAATGCCAGACACCGTTGTCGTTGAATCGGATGAAGCTGTATCAGAGGACGAGAATCAAGATTGGGATCTACCAGAGAATGATTTTGTTTCTCTTAATACTGAGGAACGAAGAACGACGTTCATGGCCAGAGATACAAGCTTTTTTCGAAGAGCGGGGGATACTTGAGTCTGTCGGAACGTGGAAGACCCGGCATCAAGAACTCCAGAAACTGATGGAGACATTGTAATATGTACCTTGCATAATGACAAACCATACCGTATCTGCCCCTGTTAGCAGAACAAGCGGCGGTGGTCTGAAAATTACTTTCCTTTATCGATCGATCGTACCAGCCTCGTCTTTGGGATACAACTCTCGTATAGCGGGCAGACCACTGGCTCGGTTGAATCGCACGATGCATACACAAAACAACTCGTACCTTCGCTAGCGGGACAACCGGCAGACGCATCCTCTCCCGCGCTTGATCGTGGCTCGCCAGAGCACACCATGTAGTGTGAGTCGGTCGTAGCTGGGCAAGGCGCCGCTCCCGGAAGCATCTCCAAGTTGGAAATGCGTGGGGCATTTGGCGAGGACAAATGCTATTTTTACGCCCGTCTCGCTTGGGTTCGCGCTGCTCTCTCCACACCAGAATCTTCTCATGCAGTCCTGCCTTGCTCGTAGCGACGTCGCGTGTTCATGCCAGGGTTGCAATGGTACCATGTTACCAAGAAGTGGCTAGCACCACTTCAAGCAATCGCTAGGCTTGGATAGTTTAGACCGTTATTGAATCTCGTTTTTTGTTCCTGGTCTTCCACACCAACCCGACAGACAGCTGCACGATTGTGCTGGCCCACCGTCACATTGCTAGACACAGATAGTGCGAATGTATAAGAAGGCGGCATGTAGTCCTCTCCGGAAGCAAGGAAAAGAAAAACTTGTCATCGCTTCGTCGTGCTGAGGAACCCACAGTCGTTAGAATCGCAAGGACAAACTATGCGCTCGTTTTTGTTGCTGCTCGTTGCGCCGCTGACGCTCGCTGCTGAGAAAGCCTTGTACCCACGTGGGAACCACACGACTTGGAGCAGCACGAGTTCTAGCTCGTCGTGCAGCACCAGTTCCTCCTCATCATCTTGGTACAAGCCGCCGCCCAGCACTTCCAGCTCCTCCTGCACCACTTCTTCCTCTTCCTCGTTATCCTGGTCGAAGAAGCCACCCAGCTCCTCAAGCTCTTCTTGTACCACAAGCTCCTCATCTTCTTACTGGTCGAAGCCTCACTGGGAACCGACGACCACAATCACCTGCACCACTGAAACGACCATCACGTGGTGTCCCTCCAAAACAAAATGCTCCGGTAAGCATCGGCCCTGCACATCATGTCGTGGCGACTGTGTTTCCTAACACCGTACCCCAGGTCAGACGGTTACATGGACTGGCACTGCTGGACCTGTTCCATGTGCTGAACAGATAACATGTATCTGCGCGCTCCCAACGGCACCGCCAGTATTGTCGACGTGCCCTTACGATCACTGTGGAGGTGAAACTATCACTTGGTCGGCGGGAGAGAGTGGCCCAACTTCTTGCGCCTCCGTATGTACAGTTGCCCTGCCTAGTCAGGAGAATGGAGCTACCACACCAGCGGCCGCTCCAGCCATCACCTCCACTCTTGAAGTCACGGCTGGGGCCACCACACCTGTGACATCCTCTACCCCGGGACCTGAGCTGTCCAACTATGCGAAGGAGCAGAGTGGGAACCTGTTTGCTGCACTAGTTGCAGCTGGTGCTGTAATTTTTGTTTGAATGATATCCTCATGTAGCGTCAAAGCTGGGAGTGGATAGTGGACAGTTAGAGGTGGCTACGCAAGCTCTTCCACATTCGTGAACTTGGAATGGTAGACAGTCCTTACTGCATATGAAAATCATAACGACGCTCCTTCTATCTACAAAAACCCCTGAGCAAATTTTGTCACGGAAACTTGTGCTGTCGTTCTGATCCCACTTAGCGCAACCGCTGAGACGTACGATACTCCGGCGGATCGGCAAATGGATCCTCGGGCTCGTGTGCGTCCGGCTGATATGACCAGTCATCAGTCAAGTCGATCAAGTCTTCCACGTGAGAATCCATAACAAGTCCGAACGAATGATTTGGTATCGCCGATGAGTCGCGCGATGTCGATTCGGATTCAGCATTGCGCGCCAACGGGCTGACCACAACCATGTACTTCCTGGCTTCCTCAGCCTTTTTACGCGCTTGCTTGCTGAACGAGAGCTTCGTCGATATTCCATCAGCGTGCTCCGAATACGCTGCCGGCATTCCCGCTTTCTTCGCCTGGTTTCGTAACGCGACCTCGCTCACCTCGACCCAAACGCTTACTCCGAACTGAGAAAAGTAGTTCTCGTTCCACGAATGTAGCACCTCAGCGAGTATTCCACCCTCCTCGCGGTTCGCCATCACGCGTCGCATCTTCTTCGCAGAGTGCACGCGTTCGCCTAACACAATTCCAACGCCTGCCAAGCCCAGCATTGAAAAGCCCGCAATGGTCGCGATGATGGCGGCCTTGTCATTGCGGTTGAGGCGACTGGCTTTCGCAACGTCACTCGAGAACTCATCCCATCTAGTTGGGTCGATGTGCAGGTCGAACAGAACCTTGTTATACTCGAAACCGGAAGATAAGGACAGACTTCTTGTCTTGATCCGCATAGACTCTTTTAAGACGTAGTCCGGGCTCGAACAGCTCGACTGTCCCCGAGCAGGCGAGGATTTACCGTCCGAGCTACAGCTAACTCTCTCGAGTTCGGGATCTAGACAGATTAGTTCGTTTGCTTTGCGTGAGAGCATGTTGGTCCCGCGTTAGGATAGATGCTAATGGAGGGATGTTAGCGACGGAAAACAACGGCGACGAGTATTGTCCAAGATCATTAAGCATCCTGTTTGGTAGAAGCCCTTTTATCGCATACTGACATGCTTCAGAGGGACTTGAAACTATGCGCGATTATTGGCTCATACGGCCGAACACGAGGCGATTCGCCTGACCGCAAGCATCTCAACTGACTGAAAGCAGACCCCAAAGTCAGCCTTGCCCGACGAGATGTCTACCCCACCATTCGGCATTTAGCGCAAGTCTCGACTTGGTTCATATCAATACGGCTGTCGTCTAGAGACTAATGGACAGCGGGTTTGCACGTATTTGGACTGTGGAAGAAGCTGGACAGACGTAGAAAAACTCCAAGGCTGACCAACGTCACGCAGCTCCATGGGTGATTCGGTTTCGTGGGTGTTAATGAATCGCCTAAACTTTCCACTTTAGCACTGAAAAACAAAAACATTGCTTACATATCGCGAGAGAGAATAGGACAAAGAATGATAACGCATCTCTTGAAGATATGAAGCGAGGCTAGTAGAGTTTGGGTTGAAATAGTGAGCTTGCAGTTTTACCCACGAGCTATGTAAAATATAACAGCTATGCACGCTTGAAGCTGTCTATTGACGAATTGAGTCCTTTCTTGGATCTCATATCAGAGGTGTACCATTGTGGACCGTGACACACATGCAATAATTTTTCTTTCCCAAAGTCCAACGCCACTTTGAACCCCACGACCTCATCATAAAGCAACTCTCTAGAAGACCATCTCATGTGGCTTATCGCCCTTCCTCAGGCTGAATGTCGAGCCAAGGTACGAGGCGAGGAATTGTTCCTTCTTGATGTTGGCAATGAGGACCTTGTCAATGGCCTTTTGGTCATCAGCGCGACCAGCAGCCAGTGGTTTCTTCTCTGGCTTCTCGCCCTGCTTGAAGAACGCCTCTTCGCTCTTCTTCTTCTCCGCCTTATCAGCGCCCCAGTAACCAGCTTCCGAGACCTTGTCAAGAATCTTGCTCTGTAACATCCTTGTCAGCAGTTGATCATCCGAGAAGGGAACAAATAATTCGTACATCGAGACCCTTCACGTCAACCGAAGTGCTTGTTGCAATGACATAGCGGGCGTTGACACGTCGAAGAGGTACGCCGTTAATCTTGAATGGTCCGGTAATGACTGTATCAGCGTAAGTGACTACTGCGCAAGAAGTCCTATGAAAAAATAACATACGGAGGACACCCTGGCCAAGGTCTTTGAGGAGGATGACACGCTTGCCACGGAAACGACCGGCTATTAGCTCCTAGTCAGCACTCACATCGGCAAAGCAGAACATTCATTATGCCCACCGAGCAGAATAAGGATGGTGCCGGGTTTTAACGACTGTCGGAGCTTGGTAGGACGGACGGTCTTGCGACTCTGTTCTCAAAGTGTTAGCAACTACGCTCATACAATTGAGGAAATGCAATGCTATTGTGGAGGAAGCAGTGTCTGACGCTTTGTACCCGTTGTCACTGGCGCAGTTATCGCTTCCCATCCTTTGAGCCAGCCACCGCCAGTACTATGCGCAGTTTGTCCACGTACCTTCTTTGGGACGGCAGCATCAACAGCTGGATAGTATTTTGGAGCCTTCTCGCTGTGGTGTGGCACTACACGCTCGCCCTTGCCGAACTTCTTGCTGCGAAAATTGTCAGGATTAAGAGTTGCGCATGCGTGAGGATGCGTTGCGAACGTACGTCTCTGGTTCGGTTGCCATCTCGACGGATCTTGAAGGAAAGAGGTACGAAGAAGTCTCTGCTCGGTCTTAGCAGTGCGCAGAGACAAAGAATTGGTGATTAAGTTACCTTTGCGCGGAGTGATGGTCGAAGTTCTGTCGGAGTGGGTGCGGAATTTTGAAAGTTCGTGTGCTTTGTGCCGCTAGTCCATATTGGGCTAGTATATGTGCCTCAGGCAATTGGGCCTGACGTCGCCTCGTTCAGCCTTCATGTACCTAAACACAGCAATGCGAAGCTTCCTAACGCAAGATCGAACTCCAAGCAAACAGTCGCAGCCATGGCTTTTCAACCATTTCAACCGCTAATAACATTCAAAGCTGGCATGTGCAAAGAAGTATGCCCTATGCACAAGTGAATGTCTGGCCGAAATTTCGCTGACATTACCGCAGAGTACTTCTGGTGGGAAGACAATAGAATGTCTTCCCACACCGGGCTTCATCTACCTGTACCAAAATGCCGAAGATGGTATGTGAATTTTTACCACTGTGATTCTGGCTCACCAAACGTGGCAGAGCTCACGCACTTCTGCTGGTCACGACGCTCAGACGCCACCAACGAACCAGAACTTGACTTGCTAATGTTCCCCGGGGATGGGAGCTTTACGCCATACACAGATCCCAAGAGCACAGGAAAGGACAAATTCTCCCCCACGAATGGACGCATATTCCGCCTCAAGTTTAGTTCGTCCCAAGACCGACACTTTTTCTGGCTGCAGTCCAAACCAACGCACCCCAGTGGCAAGCCTAACTATTTCAGCGAGCGGGACCTAAAGCTCGGTGCTATTGTAAACGATATATTGCAGGGTGAGGAGGTAGATGTGCAAGCCGCTCTGAGTTCTGCAGGCCCAGGCCGACCCGATGAAGACGAAGACATGGGTGACGCACCACCGGACGACGAGCTGCGGAGAACAGGCACTGGTGGGGCAGGTCCTGGCGCAACCGGCGGCGACTTCCGGGAAGAAGGCGAAGAAGCGCGAGAGGGTGGTGCAGATGGAGCGAGAGCGTAGGTGGTCAAACCTTTCCCCTTATGCTGCCTCTCAAAACATCATCAAAATTGGCGTCCAAAGACAGAGGATATCAGAATTGATTGCTTGCATGATACCAAGACGACGAAAAGAGAGGCATCTAGACTGGTGTGGTCTGCAGTGCAGTGCTGCAATCTGCATGTACGATATCATAATGCAAAAACAGATATGATTCGATCATCTGTCTGCCTCCTTATTGCGCTCTGTTATGTCCAAACTAACTAATAGACTTTTTCATAGGGCTTCGTCCGGTCTCACCACAGACGCCAACGATGCCGTTCAGAACTTCCTTCGATCGTTAAGCGGTGGCAATGCCAGCGGAGGCTTCCAGAATCTTGAGCAAAATAGTGCTTTCGCTTCGCTTACCGACCTCCTCACCCCAGAAGCTTGCATAGCAACATTATCCAACGCATCACCTTCCTATCTCGATAATTTGCTTTCTAATCTCCCTCCACAATTGCTCGTGCTCGCCCAACGTGCCGATGACACGGCATCCCTAGACTCTTCCGCCGAATCGACGACTGATGCACAGGCCACCATCGATGCACTTAGCATATCCCAAAAGAAGGAGATTCTCACGCGCGTTTTCCGTAGTCCACAACTATTCCAGAGCTTGGGGAGCCTGACAGCTGCACTGAGAGATGGTGGGCTGCCCATGGTGGCCGAAGCGCTACAGATCAAAGTTGCGAATGGGGGCCTGATCAAAGGTGGCCATATGCCTCTTGGTGGGGGACAGGCTGTCCAAGCTTTCCTGGATGGTGTCAGGAAATCTGTTGAGGAGGAAGACAAGGATGAGAGCGAAAGAAACAGTGTTCCAAGTGGGAGGATGGATATTTCCTAAAAGATATCTTCGAGATCTATCCGAGGATGACCTCACGCCCCTGAAACGAGTCATTGGCTGAATGACCAAATGTTATAGAGCATGATGTGCGTTTTCAGATCTTAGGCTTAGGAGCTCATACATGACTTAATTGTTACTCATCTGACCGATTGAGTAATTGTATAGTCAGCATAATTGCTTCGATTAGAGCGAGGTTTGATCATTCAAAACTTGTACTCCTTGTTTTCACACTGGCAACCTTCTTTTCTTTCCTCATAAGCCCGTGGACCCCGTCTGTTAAAAGAACAATTTATTGCTGAATGATACGCTGCAAGTTGGGATGCGACTTTAGGAGTTGACATGTCGACAAGAACGACAACCATTGTTAATTCCGTTGACAGCAACGGCAGAAAAATAGGTATAAAGATTGAACAAAGAAAGCCTCAAAGATCCGGCATATCCGTGTAGTGCACAAGACGGCGTTATTACTATCCGGTTGTTCACCAAGATTTAAGGTCATCAACAGGAGAACAAAATAAAGCCGTGGGTCTACCTCACCAGACAACTGAGGCGAGGAGAAGCAGCAACGATACCAAGTCCGAGAAGAGCGGACTGTCGAAGTAGACTGGTGGGTCGCGTGGGATCAACAGCACGAGAAGCAATAAATCGAAGCGCAGCAAGGGCACTTTGGGGAAGGCCGCAAGAGACGAGTAGATTCGAGGGTCATTGACACTTGTGTCTCTGGCTCGAAGATAGTTAGGCTCAGACCGGACTATGCCATGACAGGCATGGGTCGTGCCGTCAAGACTTGAATGCTGAAGATGGCAAAGTCTTCTGGTGATGTTTCGAGAGCATTGTGCAAGGAAACGGTTGCTTGTCTAGCGCCTGGCGATTGGATCTTATCGATCACCACAACCAAGCTTACCATGTCTGCACAGAACATCATGACGAAATCGTTGGACCCTTTTTTGAAACGCAGACTACGTCTGTGCTGGTTTTGACCAGTGGAACTTCCGTTACCCGGCCAGCAAGTGATTCGATAGGTGAGTTCTCAGTGTATTGGGCAGTCAAAAAGCACCCGAGACAAAGTAGAACAAGCACCAGGCTCATGCACATTCTCTACGGCAAAACGACTGAGGTTGACTGAACCTTGTAGATGTAGATCATTCCAGTCCATATGCTCCTCAACCAACGCAGTCTGTTCAACCTGACGGATGAGCTAGAATGGCCACAACGAGTCCATGATGCATGATGCAAAGCGGACGAATTGTATAGTAGATGAGTTCGGGAACGTTCGTGTCCAGACTTTGGAGATGATCGCGCCAAGAAGTTATTCAGCTTGCCTTCCAGCTAGTTAAAGGCGACGTATGAGAGATAGCGATTCGTACCAGAGAAATCAAGATCTACGTGCGCACACCCTGCACGGCGTGCTGCAAAGTGACGAGATCGTCCCGTGGGTGGATCGTTTCTCAGCTCATCTTTTGCGCCGCCTCAACACCAAGAGCGGCGTGCAGAGGGCTCATCGCCTTGGCAACCACTTCCCTGCTGGAATACGAGTAAGCGTCCGGAGACCCGGATCCATCTCCTCTTCCGCTCTTTTCTATTGTAAATATCAATTCGCTTCCATCGACCTGCAACATTCCACGTTCGCAGCCGCACTGTGGCTGATAGCTCTCCGTGCTCTTCGCTAGCCTTTTCTTTACTTTCAAGAGATACCCTTATAGCGTTGCCTCCTGGTTCTGGACCCTCTCTCTCAGCACATACAGCTTACCACATCATGAGCACGGAAAATCCTAACACAGCTGCGCTGGCGCAAAGTCTTGAGAGTAATGGTGGAATTGGCGCTGGGCCTCAGGTTCCAGTCACGTCAACAACACTTGAAATTGTCGCCGGTCCGTTGATCAACTACCGTCGACAGACAGCTGACACCACCTGGCATGGCAGCGTTTTGCTTGTGACGAAACCTACGAGTCCTCAGCCTGTGTCGCACATCGAGTGTGTCGACATGGTCGGTGACGGGCCCTTCCCCGGTGGACCGCCGGTCACCAGTCCTCCAGCCGTTAAACTCTACGAAGATCCGGATAAGACATTCTGGCGCTTTTCTCTAGATATCCCGATACAAACATACGAAGCAAGATGGCAATATGCACTCGCCTCACCTTCCGGTGTACAGATCACAAGAACATTTGTGGTACCCTCCAAGTCACAGAGCATGCGCATCATGTTCCACTCTTGCAATGGCTTCAGTGTTGGAACGGATGTGGACGCGTGGAATGGGCCTGCGTTGTGGAATGATGTGTTGCGCATGCATGAACAGCAACCTTTTCATGTTATGATCGGTGGAGGTGATCAGATATACAATGATGGAGTTCGCGTTGACGGCCCTCTGAAGCCTTGGACAAACATCAGCAACCCAAAAAAGAGAAGAGATTTCTTATTTAGTGAGGAGATGCGTCGGCAATGCGACGAGTACTACTTTAAGAACTACGTGCGCTGGTACGGACAGGAGCCTTTTAAGAGTGCCAATGCCATTATCCCTCAGATAAACATTTGGGACGATCACGATATCATTGACGGCTTTGGCTCATACACAGATCATTTCATGCGCTGCCATGTCTTTAGAGGTATTGGCGGCGTCGCACACAAGTAAGGCGTTTTTATCTTCTCAATTAGGAGCATTTTACGAGACTAACACGCAACGGTAGGTATTACATGCTCTTCCAACATCACCTCCCCCCGCCAAAGTCCACTTTTACGAGCGATGCTCCTGCCACAATCCACACTGAAGGCAGCACAACTGCGCCTGACCCAGAACAGCTTAAGGATAGTTGGGTCCTGACTGGCGAGAAAGAGGATCCGGCATACATCATAGGTGCAAAACCGGGACCCTATGTGGAGGAACACAGCAGAAATATCTACTGTCAGCTTGGAGCTCGTATAGCTTTTGCTGGTATTGACGCCCGCACTGAGCGTACAAGACACCAAGTGAACTATCCTGAAACGTACCAGAAATTCTTCGAGAGACTCGACGCGGAGCTTTCAGCAAACAAAAATATCAAGCACTTGATTTTGCTTCTTGGCGTGCCGATTGCATACCCGCGTCTTCAATGGCTTGAAAATATCTTCTCGAGCCCGATTATGGGACCGGTTAGACTGCTCAACAAGCGGTTTGGCCTGGCTGGTGGTCTTTTTAACCAGTTTGACGGTCAAGTCGATTTGTTGGACGATCTCGACGACCATTACACGGCACGTCATCATAAGAGCGAACGACGAGAATTGATTCAAAGGCTGCAGAAGTTTTCCAAAGATCATTCGGTGCGCGTATCCATTCTAGGTGGCGACGTGCATCTCGCCGCCATCGGCCGCTTCTATTCAAATCCCAAGCTCAACATTGCCGCTGAGCATGACTGGCGTTATATGCCCAACATCATCTCGTCCGCCATCACAAACAAGCCACCCCCACAGGCCGTCGCTAACCTGCTGGCAAAAAGAAACAAGATCCATCACCTCGACCATGACACCGATGAGACCCTTCTCGAGATTTTTAACCACGATCCTGGCATGCACCCGGAAAAAGTCGAGGAACGTAAGACCAATGGCGACAAAGGACCGGGCAAGAAGAGCGCAGATAGCAATCACGCCACAATGCCTTCGCGCAATTATGCCATCATTGCCGAATCGCATGATGCGGCTCTGGTGACATCGACCTCGGCGACGAACGGAGCTTCGAATGGCAACACACTCTCTCTACCCGCGGTAGATACGGCTGATGCCATCAGCGTACATAGCGACATGCCAGGCTTCAAGGGTAGAAAGCCTAACCCGCGTTTACCAATTCATCTCGGAGAGGAGCGCGCTGGAACTGAGCATCCAGCCGCGAGCGGATTGAAGAGAACCGGTTTATGTGGACGATATGGGTTGGACGTCACGCTTCGGGTGGAGATCTCAAACAAGGATCCCGAAGGCAAAACGGAAGGCTATGGTTTCAGCATTCCTGCTCTGGACTGCAAAGCTTACGAGGCGCAGGGTACTAGATGGTGATGTAGTTCAAGAATGTTTCGTTCCTGCCGAGAGAGTTTCTGTTAGTCGGACGATAAGGGCTTTGTTGGATACCCGTTTTATGTCGGAGTCGATGTGAATCGTGTTTGAAATATGAAATTTTCCGAGTGTATAGTCCACAAAATCGAAGGCCTGGTTAATGTCTTCTCGTTAAGAAACGCACTAAAGGATCGTAGCCACTGGCATATTGAGAAAACATTTTTTTCGGGTTCCTCATTTGTTCCTTGAGGTTGCAATTCATGTCTTAAAATTAGCCCCCTATTTACTAAGCGCAATGTTTCTTCTATACAACAAAGCGAACTAAGTCAGGTACAAATTATAAAACGTAGCATCTTTGCAGAAGCACCTTCCATTCGCCACCTAAAGCTAAGGCGGATTATGCTGATGACCAGATTCCATCGTCCGAATGAATAGTCTATGATATCTTTGTTTTTCACCCTCACAAAGCACTGGCCGTTGTTACGCTAAACATCTCTTCAAAACCTTAGTTCTAGCGAACGGCTGCACCGCCCAACTATTAAAATCGAATTTAGCACAATCTAGATTCCGTTCGCTTCTACGACCGACTCATGCTACGCTGTGGCGATGATGGTTTAAGCCACAACAACCGACTGGAACTAGTGTCGAGCTGTAGCTGTCTGGGAACAAAATTAGCAGCCATCACGGGTTTACCGATGGTCGTTTTTGAGCAGGATTTTTCTTGCTCAGCGGGTCTTTTTCTTTTAGGGATGTGTTGAATGAACGAATCGGATACCGAGGCTGTGTCGTTGCGTACTTTGCCATGCGCAATCAGCTTGCCATGTTTGTGTGCAGGGAGCGCGTGCTGGCGCGCGAATCAGCGATGACTAGTTGGTCATCTGGCAGTCTGGTATTGATCTGAAGTTGTGTTGCTTGGATGAAGCTTTTTTAGAGCCCCCTCAGCAGCCTGCTCTGGAATGTGAAAAACACCACGCTCGACACAGAGATATGCAACTGTGATATTGACAGTGCCATTGGAAGCAGGATCTCCAAATGAGGAACCTGCATCCTCCCGCATGAGGGCGTAGCTTTTGCGATTTCATTTCGTTGTCTGGCGCTATGTGGCCTATGATCTAGACGATGGTTCAAGCATCTGTGGTGGGCGCCACGCTCATTAAACAGATACTTAGCTAGTCTTGGCACCTCCTAACCAGCGCAAAGAAGGTTCGGTGAATGCTCAAGCACGTCGATCTCACGATCTAAGTTATTATCGTCCTGCTGTATCTAGACTCACGAGCCGAAGGCCAACCAGTTGAGAATCTAGTGCCTAACAGACTAGGTGCTCATTCTATCTTCTCTCTGTTTTAAATCTTCAATAGAAGATGTTCGTGCAAAGACGTGAAAAATGCAAATGCGAGGCAAGGTATCCAAACCACAAAAGATCGTAAGCTGAAATTGGTTCCCATGTTTCGAGCTTCGCCTCCTTTGCATTCTCAAAAACCGGATCCGGCGAGAATTCTGGAGAAACAGGACAGCTGACTAAATTCGTCCAACATAAAGGCATTTCCTAAAATGGAAAGATGCAATCCATTGCTTGGACGCCGCCATGCAATGGCCTCTTCTGTGGCTTTCCTGCGGCATGTTAGGCGTTGGACTATGGCTTTCACACGGTCTCCTCTTCTTCTGTTGCGTCCTTAATAGCCCGCTATCTTCAACTTCTCTGTAGCTACACTGTTCATCTCACCTCCACCTTCAGTCATCCGTCTTACCAGAAGTTGCAGCGTTGCTGCGTCCATTCCTTTACGTGCAGAACAGCAACCGTAGTCGTTCATTTGATAACATTTAATTGGGTATCTTTAATTTTGGTTTTAATTGAGCGTATGGTCGACAATGAAGTTTTCAATTGTAGCGCTTGGCGCTAGTCTGAGTACCACTGCTCTTGCTTTCCCCGGTATGACTGGCGGTAGCGATGACATGATGAATTTTCACAAGTCCCTTATCAAAAGGGCTCAGCTCGGCGGACCTCACATGAGACGCGATGGGACGCCTGATCTCCCAGCTCTCAACAATGTCACAAGTACTGGTACTGGTCAGCAGATCAAGGACTGCTTATACGGGACAATCTCTTGCGAAGCCGCTCCACAGAAGGTAGCCCAGTTGAAACAAGATAGAGAGGTACGGACTGACTTTGACAGACCTATGTTGCTCCCGCCCTTGGCTCAAAGGAGTGTGATTCTGACAAGTGCTGCATTTGGGACTATGTCGTCAAGGACCTTGTTACGATGTTCACTCTTCCCAATGGTCAATGCAGCGAGCTCGCTCGACAAGCCATTCGTCTTGGCTTTCACGATGCTGGTGCCTGGTCTATAAACAGTGGCTTCGGTGGTGCTGATGGCTCCATGTTAATATCCGATGAAGTCAGTCGCCCAGAGAACAAGGGCCTTGAGTCAATCGTAGCCAGCGGAAAGAGCCTTTTGGCCAAATGGAATGTCAGTGCAGCCGATCTCGTCCAGCTTATGGCAAACGTTGCAACAGTGATTTGCCCTCTAGGCCCTCGCGTTCTCACCTTCATTGGCCGCCCTGATAGTGCAGATTCGCCGACAGACCTCCTTCCAGGTCCCTTCTCTGATGCCACCACTCTCATCAATCTCTTTCAGGATAAAACGATCTCCTCGGATGAGCTCGTTGCCCTTGTCGGTGCTCATAGTACTTCACATCAAGATTTCGTCGATCCGAGCAATGCTGGAAGCTTCCAGGACACGACGCCAGGTGTATGGGACACTCTCTTTTACAGCGAGACTGCAAATAATGCCTTTTCCGTGAGCGATGTGACGAAGTTCCCGTCGGACATTGCTCTGTCCAAGGATGCTCGAACATCTGGTGTCTGGGGAGCCATGACCAACCAGCGTACCTGGAACGCAGCTTGTACGTCGTACTTGTCAATCTGCTTCTAATACTGACCATAAAAAACCTTAGATGCTCGTGCCTATGTCCGCCTTTCGCTCCTCGGCGTCGCGAACTTAGACAAGCTTATCGACTGCTCAAGTTAGTATTCAGTGCCTATTGCTTTGCATACTGTACTTACTATGATCACAGAAGTTCTTCCGAGCGTGAAAACTAGTAGCCAACCAAGTGGCTCGCCGTCTGCATCGATACCTTCTGCTTCACCATCCGGATCACCGTCTGCATCGCCATCTTCTAGTTCGGCATCTGGTTCGGCATCTGCATCGCTATCTTCTAGTTCACCATCTGGTTCGGCATTTGCATCGTCGATTTCTACTTCGCCATCTAGTTCGGCATCTGCATCGTCATCTTTTAGTTCGCCAGCCGGATCGCCTTCTGCATCATTATCATCATCTTCGTCACCATCCGGTTCCCCATCTGCTTTATCATCTGCATCGTCATCTTCTAGTTTGCCAGCCGGATCGCCCTCTGCATCATTAACATCATCTGCATCGCCATCTACCTCGTCATCTGGATCGCTGTCTGCCATGCCATCTGGATCACCATCTGGATCACCATCTGGATCACCATCTGGATCACCATCTGGATCACCATCTGGATCACCATCTGGATCACCATCTGGATCACCATCTGTTTCACGGTCTTATTCGCCATCTAGTTTGCCATCTGCAACATCACCTTCTACTTCACTGTTTCGTTCACCATCAGGATCACCGTCTGTATCGCCGTCTATGTCATCGCCAACTGGATCGCTAGCAACATTGCCGTCAGCGTTATTATCATCTGGTTCGTCATCTGGACTAGCGTCTACATCAATGACAACATCGCATCCTACATTGCCCTCTGCATCACCGTCGTCTGCATCTGGTTCACTCTCTGGTTCACTATCTGGTTCACTATCTGGTTCACTATCTGGTTCACCATCTGGTTCACCATCTGGTTCAATATCTGGTTCGCAACCTGGATCACTATCTGGTTCGCCATCGGGATCACCATCCCTTAGTCGTTCCTATGTGCCAGCAGGTTCTGCTAAAGCTTCAAACAGCGCAAAAACATCAGCCAGTAGTCAGACCCAATCAATTGCTGCAATTTCAGGAAAGCCATACGATGCCTCATATGACGATGATGTTACCACCACTGTTACTTCGTACTACACCAAGAATGGTAGGTTCCTTCCCTTTTATTCAAATGTATAAGACGGGCTGACCATGCCGTTCTCAACAGGCTGGCGCGTGCCAATGCAGACCTCCGTCTGTAACAAGGACAATCTTCCGGACTGGGCCAAGACTCAAGAGTGGGAGTTCTCCGACGTCGTTACTTCTTGGGCTATCCCGACAGGAAAGGCTCCGGCGCCTACAACTCCTCCAAAGTCTGTACTCACTGAGGCTTCTTGTGTCATAAAGACTGTTTACACCACTGTAACTGTCTGGTAGTTTGCTTGACATTTGGATTTGCCAAAACCTATGGCGGAAAATCGTAACTAGAGTCTAGAAATTATTAGAATGGCCGGATGTGCCGTTTGTGCTTTCTGTCTCAAAATCAAATTTAGCGTGGTGTTGGCGTTGAAAGTTAAGACATGATGTTTGATATGGGTCCTTAACCCTATGTTGTCCCTGTAAATCCGTAAAGTTGCTGGCGTTTCCTGTTGTACAGGTTTGGGCGTATTACACAAGACAACAATATTTTCTAAGCATGTCCTAGAATCTCTGGCTTGCTCTTCTGTTACATTTCATGCAAGTTGAAAATGCTAGCTTTGCCTGCGTTGAACTCGTTTGACCACAGATTAACAATTCATGCAAAATGCACAATACCGTATGCCACAAGTTAGTTTTTGCTGAGCTCATGTGGCTAGCTAGGATCTTGATTGCTTGCATGGATTATGTCATTAAATTAGCCATACTCATTTAACAGCTCAGATTGATGTCAACAAGTAATTGACTTGGCACGCTCATGAGCGCTACAAGACAGAGATGTTGATGATTTTGATGTCTTCTTCGGGCTTCTCTTTGTAAACCCTTGCGTTCTCAATCTTATGCACGACGTCTAGTCCTTGTACGGCTCTTCCAAATATCGTATGCTTTCCGTCAAGCCACGGTGTTCTCTCAGTTGTGATGAAGAATTGACTCCCGTTTGTGTTCGGGCCAGCATTAGCCATACTGACTGTATACGGTTTGTCGTGTTTTAGGCTCGAGAATTCATCCTCAAAGTTCTTACCCCATATACTTTCTCCGCCAGTACCATCGCCCATGGGGTCTCCTGTCTGGATCATGAACTTCCGTATTACACGATGAAAGATGACGTTGTTATAATAGCCATTCCGCGCATGCGTGACGAAGTTCTCTACCGCCTTTGGTGCCGCATCGGGAAATAGTCTGAGATGTATATCTCCATATGTGGTGTGCAGGATAGCAGCAGTACTTCTGACTCCTTCTTCGTTTTTTTTGTCCTGCATCTTCATACTGCCTAGCTCGCGAGGCTTCTCGTTTTGTACGTCTCGCGTTGACTTTGAAACATCCATCTCATTCGTAAACATGAAAAAGCGTACCTTTCCTGCTCCGGTAGTAACGAGCATCGCGTCACGTGTCTCCGCCTCTGCTAGAAGAGGATTGGCACTCGCTGCCATTTCTATGGTGACGACCTTCTTTTGTTGGGGTTGACCTTGATATCTGTTAAAGTCAGCATTGCGTTAATTCTCATACTGACAACGGCATCCGGCACTTACAAGGACAAGTTAAGAGCCCGAAAAGACTCCTCTTGGCCATACAACCTGACAACGCGATTTGTAAAGGTATTGACTACCTTTATCCCGTCTAATGAGCCGTATAAAATAAAATTACTCGACTCGTCAAATATGACGTTAATCTTGGATCTGATCAACGGATTCTCAAGCTCTTTCTCTGCAGCCATCCGTCTGCCGAACTCGAGATCATCCAATTGCGTGAGCGCGGTGCCCGCCTGTTGCATCTCCGAAATGGCAGTAAGGCTTTCATCATATGTTCGATACAACTTGCCAGTTGCGAATTCGAAAATACGAATTTTACGATCAGGAAATGAGAATGTGCCTATCCTTATGTTAGTTCAATGATATGAGAAATTGCATGTGTGATTGTAGGAGCGCCTGGCAGTTGCAAGAGGTGGTCACGTACTAAAATATGTTCCAGAAGGCGATATAATGATCGATACAGGTGCGCTTTTCGCCTTTTTGAATTCGAAAAGGCTTGTGGAGCTCTTCATGCTCCACACGTTGTCGGGTTTCTCGTAGTTGCTACTAGGGCTCCAATATTCAACCATACCACCTTCGTCGGCCGAAACTACGCAGTCGTATTCATTGTTGAATGCCATAGTAGCAACAGGAGTTCGATGTAAGTTTTTCAAGACATGAAGGGGCGTTTGATTCTCCCCTCGTCCGTCAAAAACTCGTATTTCAGCTTTGTCGGCCATGCCAACCGCAAGAAGAGGTAGACTTGCTCCTTTCTTATGAACCCAGCATACAATGCTGGGCATATCATCGAATTGTATCATGGCTAAGAGATCGAAAGTGACGACATCAAATATCTTTACCGTCCCATCTATACCCGCAGTTGCATAGCTTCGTCCATCAGCGCTGACACTAACGCTTTTGATCTCGCCATTGTGTGCCCTAAACTCTTTCACGAATTCTATACCATTCGGTACCTTCTTCCAAAATTTGACTGTACCGTCTATCGAACTTGTGATTAAGAAGTCGGTGGACGGTGTAAAGTTCACATAAGACAGTTGCTCTTTGTGCATAAGCGATTTGCTGTATCGAGGAGATGCGGGAAGGGCTGCTATGTAAAGCTTCTCATAGGGGAGTTTCTTCCTTTTCTTAGGTGCGGGCGCAGATGAAGGGATCGCGGGTCCAAAATCATCGTCTGAAGAGTCGTCTGACGCTTCGTCGTGTGCTCGCTTACGCGGTGAAGGTACACTGTTGTCTGCCATTATGAACGCAATAGCATCGCTCTGGCTAGTTCGTTCGAATCCGTTGAACTATCGACTACGATCCCCGTGAATCCTTGCAGGTGGTTAATTTTTTGTTTTAGACTAGCTTGATTCTTGTATCAAATCGAAGAAATCCAGATGGCGACAAACATGAGGTCGTCGTCAAAAAAGCTGAAAGCGGCATGACAAGGCCCATCCAGACCCTGGAATCGCAATGACTCGCAGAACAACGATTTCTCAATAAAACAAAAAAAAATTCATCGGAACTCAAGGATACACGGGACGCAGTTAGATAGAGAAGTCTACTGGGGCTCTTTCAATTTGTATCTTACATTCAGACACATATCGTCTGCACAATCAAAATCCACCGGTTTTGACATGCCACCACCATCCAAGCGTCGCAAAACTTCAGTGGTCCAGGAAGTAGTCTTCGATCCTGTAGCACGGCACGAGTACTTGACGGGATTTCACAAGCGCAAGCTAGCACGAATAAAGCATGCACAAGAGATTGCACTGAAGAAAGAGAAAGAGGAGAAGCGACGAGAGAGAATTGAGGTACGGCATGCTTTGTTAATAGCTGGCATACTTAGCTAACAATACTACCCTAAGCTAAGAAGACAACGGCAGCAACAGCTGGAGGATCATGTCAAGGCTATCAATGATAGTATGAAGATTTTGAATGGTACAGGAGACGAAAGTGGGGAAGACGATGATAAAGACGACGACCGTGACACCGAGAGGGACGACAGTTGGGGTGGGTTTGATGTTGAAGCACCCGTCGAAAGCAAAGACGAGGAATATGTTGATGAGGACCAATATGCTACTGTCACTGTTGAGGCAGTTGAAATCACAAGAGACGGGATGGAAGCTTATAAGGGCTCGGAACAAGAGACTGAAAGCAGCGAAGAAGAGAGCAGTCAAGAATCAGGCACAAGAGCCGAAGCTGTGGCCCCAGAAAAGAAAACCAAGCGGCTATGGTCGAAGAACAAGCTGGTAAGCGAGAAACCTAAGCGCAAGAAGAGCCGTAACTTTAGGTATGAGAGCAAGGAGGTCAGAAAACTCAACCGAGCACGCGAACGAGCCAAGCGTAAAGCGCACGCATTGTCAAGGAAGTCACGCAAGTAATATTTGTAACTTTTATGAGATCAATGATACCCGGATTGAGACGAGGGTTTTCTCTTTTTTTTTAGTATTTTTGAGCTACGCGTTAGGGGAATCCTCTTCTACTAGGCCCTTTTATACCGCCTAAACCATAACTCCACACACTGCGTCGCAGGAAATTGTAGGTGTTTTCAAGGGGTTGTTACCACAAAATCCACTATCAGCGGCACATGACGAGCCAACACTACCTTCTCTTCAGTTCTCCTATCGCCATTGCCACACCGCTAGATCAGTGCCTTCGAGGCGGTCGAGCTCTGAATCGCACCGGAGGGATTGAACTCCACTGCAAAAACAAAGAAAAATTTAGCAAATTAGACGAAGATGCAATGAAACCAGATAACTATGCATATTGTGCAGTCGAGGCTTAGATGGTACCGATTTCTGCAACAAAATCGTCCAGCTCCTTCTTCGTATCTGCATATTTCTTGGCCATCTCTTCGAACTTAGCCTCCCACTGGGCGTTAGATTGCTCTAGAGCCTGCACTTTACGCTCGTAGTGGCCAGCTTTGACATCAGTCTGGCGGAGTCTAATCACACGAAGTTCTAGTTAGCGTTGCTCGTGCGAATTGCAGAAAAGGGCAAAGACTCCCAACTAAGGCAGGAGAGGATTGCAACATACTTCTCGTTCGTCTCCCTCAAGGTTCGATCTGCTTGCTCGGCTTCCTCTTCAAGCACCTGCAGTTTACGGGTCAGGTTCTCGTTGTGGCTTGTTGCGGTACCACCTTCGTCGGCGGCCACCTTGAGCTCCTTGATCCTGTTCTCGGCCTTTTCGAGTTCGGCTTCTAGTACCTGATTCTTGTGGGTGAGAGATGTAATTTCCTGCTCCTTTGCCAAGTTTTCCTGCTCGAGCTGCTTGACCTTTGCCTTCAGCTCCTCAGCGAGTGCCGCTGACTCGTCGGCTTCGACGCGGAGAGCGGCCATTTTCTACAATTCAGCGTTAGCTCCGGATTTACCACTTTGATACAACGAAGGGTTGCACAGATGCGCTTCGCAGCTTCATGATAGGCATGTGCTGACCTAGGCAGTGAATTTGGAGGGGTAGTGTAGCTCACCTTCTTGATGGCATCCATGTTTAGGGCTGTCGTGAGAAAACAGAGGTTGCGTAGACTATGTGCAAGGTGGCCAAGAGGATGTAGCAAGTTGTGGGGGGTCGGGGTTAGTTTTTGGGCGAGTGTGTTGGTGTGGTGTTGACTGTGGTCCCTTAAAGCAAAGAGACGGCCTGGCTTCGAGACATAACTTATTGGGTGCGGATAGGGTGACAGGGACGTGCGTTTGGAAGATCGGAAGCGGCGGTCACGGGCGCCCCACCTGAGGAGCTGCAGGGTTATCCCCCGGCCAACCCATTTGTTTACGAACTCCTTGCCTCGACGTCTGTCGTCGCTGTCCTGCTGTCCTGCTGTCCAAAAAGCCTACGCGACCGATGTGACAACGACGAAGTCGCTCGAAAATCATGCTCGCAGCACGCGCAGATCAAGAAAATGCTGTACACGCTCGTCAGACTGCTGCGGCCGCCAAACCGCTGAATCAGGGCGTGCAAGGCTTCTCCGCGAAGACACCTGGCAATCGTGCGCCCAAAACACCTTTCAAGGTTGCCTTGAACGATGAAAATAGAGTCGAAGTTTTTGGGAAAAGCGCCTTGGGTACGAATGGCAAAAATTTAGGAGGCAAGCAACAGCTTGGCAAGGCGGATAAGAACTTGTTCCAAACTCCAGCTCGTAAGGAGAAGCCAGAAAGCGCGAAAGGTAACGGAGCTGACTGCATGTAGCTCGTGACAGACCAGCTCTCGGCTTCAAAACTACCAATGCCAAGGCAAACGCTTTTCAAACTCCTGCACCAAAGAACTTCGGTCCGTCACCGGAGAAGACACAGCGACGAACAGTTGGTCGCTCTCGAATCCAGATCCACAAGGAAGTCAAAGAAGCGGGACAAGAGATCGACTGGAGTAATGAGGAGATACAATACATACCTCCCCGGCCAAATCGTAAGTTCAGTTGAGTCGACAAACTAGACTTGAGGGATTAACGCATCCATCAGCACTGCCAGATAAAGCTTCCGACGACGAGTGGGACAAGGTTGATTTCTCCATTCTCAAGACTGGAAACTTCGAAACTGCAAGATGGATCGAGTTCTATGCTCAAAAGGGGGCCCAGGAGGAGGCGAAAGAGGAGCAATTGCGTGAAAGAGAAAGGCTGCAAATGAACAAGAACGACGAGGAATTCTACAGAAAGACCTTGGAAGATCTGAGAGAGCCGGATTCAGACGAAGATTTACCGCAAACGAAGTCTTTCGCTTTGAAACAAGATTCCCGCTCGCTGAACACAATTACGTCTCGAGCAGCCGCATCAGCCCTTTCCCAGCCAACCAGGACCGCTCCTTCTTACGCTGCACCGACTGCTGCAACCAAGGCTAAAGCATCCCTTGGGACTGTAAATCACCACCAGAAAACTACTCCCGCTACCTTGAGAAGCCATGCCCGTGCGTCGAGCTATAGCACTCTTGGATATGCTAAAGGCCGCTCCATTAGCGACTCCCTCAAGCAAGAGCGACTCAAACCCGATCCTCGACGTGGGGGTGAGCCTCTAAAGCCTAAGAGGAAAGACCCTCTCAGGGAACTTGAGGAATTGATTCGTGCGCGCGAATATGAAGAGGCTGGCATCAATACGGATGATGTGGACGATGCTGAGTTAGGTGGTGTTTCTTTGCTCAACATAGATGATGACGAAGAAGATTTCCAGATGAAGATGCCGGACGTGCAAATGTAAAGAATAGCTGGGAAACATCCATGTCCCAATTTTTCTTCGTTTTTTTTTTCTACGAAGTAGAATACCTTCATTGCTTTATCTGACGGCTAAAACATTGAACTTGGGATTGGTCGAGCCAGAAGTCAAATCATTATAGCAATCGAGCAGACGGCGTTACAGTGTAACTATAGTATATCCACAAGAAACCAATGCAAGTCCATGTTGTCAAGGTATTTGAACATGCAACATAATTTATACTAGAATGGACATGAGCAGCTAAAAATGTCACACATTTCTGCAGAATTTGAAAGGAATGTGCTCTGTGATTTGGCTCAGAGCACAAGGGCGAAATTGCGCCTTCTCAGCTGAGACCTTCAAAATCCAAGACGTCGTGATTGGGCTACAGTCCTCTAACTCCTCCTGTGTGAAACGAACTGACGTTAAAATTGGTTCAATACGCTTCCATTCAATGTAACTTCATAGATACTGCTCAATATCAACTGCTGCGGCAGCTTATTCTTCTGATTCCCATGCGTTGAAGGTTGGTGCCTTCACGACGGCACGAGAGAGCAGCATAAGATAATTTGCATTGACGTTACCATCTGAATTGACGATGGACTCCCCATTTGGAGCAAACACATTGACGTGCAGCTGTGCAACCTGTTGTGCATGAGCATACAAGACACGGAGCGGGTAGTACCCTCTCGCAGACCGCGTTGGCGCACATGTCAACTCAGACGGAAGACGGAACTGTTTCGGTCGTCTGTAGAACAGCGGCCGGGTACACAACTATCACTTCGAACCCAAGGCTTTCCTCGGGCGCCTGCACATTCACGAGAGATACAGCAACGTCCGGGTTTACGATACGTCAAGAAATCGGTATCACAAAACTAATCTAACCACAACTGCGACCTCGACTTTAACTCCCGGCAGTAGTGGCCACACCAGCTTTGGTGCATCAGGTTCCTACATGGTCCTGACGGTTGGCGAAACGGGAAGCTATCGCACATTAACTGCTACATCAACTTTGCCTCCAGGAAGTAGCCCGCACACAAGCCATTTCACAAACGGTTCGATTGTCTAGGAGGCCATCGGCGTTTCGCAGCCATATGTCTCCTCCACCACGAGGATTAGTCTTCCTCCGGACAACAGCAGCTACACAAGCCACACGACGTCGGGGAGTTGTGCCATCGAGATTGATGGTGTGATGCTAGCATATGCGACGAAAACAATGACCATCATGCTGTTGGTAGGATTGAGTGCTCACACAGCGACAGCAACGGGTGCAAGAACCGTGACGATCGTGATCGGTTTGCCGGCGCTGTCGACGCACTACAAAATTAAGACCTTGAGCCCTGGTGCAACTCCCTACACGTCAGCCTACGTATCGGTTTGCTCGTTGAAAGCTACGTGCTCAACGCAGACGTAGACATCCAGGCTTTCGACCGGAGCCTCGTCCTACGTCTCGACACGCACAACGCTCTGCACTGGAATGGGTACGTTCTTGACGTTGTACACCAGGACGTCGACCCGGGCGCCGAGTGCGCAGCCTTTACACCAGAACAGTCTACACGCCGTGGGCAGCGACCGTGTCCGGCATGAAAGCTAGACTCGTTTCAACGGAGGTGCTGATTCCTTATCCGACGCTTAGACGTGTCGTCTTGCCCACACCGGTGTGTGAATGAAAAAATAAACTTCAAGATTAGGAAGACGGAGCGCCGCGCTTGGCCTGAGCTGCTGATACCGCCCAGGCAAGAAACATACGGACTAGCAAAAGTGGAAACGGTGCGGGCGTCACATGCGTTCGCGTCTCCCACCACGAAGTGATCTCTCGGAGAACTCTCCAGCCAAGGCGCAGGTTGTTGGGCGACATTGCAAAATGGGAAAGAAAAAAAAATAAGCATTTTTAGAGTGCCAAGATGATATTTGACGTCGATATAGCCTGTCTTCTCTCTTACGTCTATCCATCTCGTTCGAAGCGTCGTAGACCGCCAGATCTGATTTGCAACTCCTACATCGTAGAGGGGTGGGGGTAAGAGACGAACAATGAAATCCAGGAGTAGATATGTCGTTACCGATTCGCAAATGTTGATGGCAGCAGAACAAGTTTGCAATAGTAGCGATGCTGACTCAGTTTTCCTCAGCGTCTTCCGTAAACAGCAAGATAACAGATTGTGCATGTGTCCCGAAGCACATCTTTTCCGGTGCGTTGCTAAAGCCGCTTGTTAATGCAGTGTAGGACTTCCAGCTCAAACTTTTCAGCCCCTGGATGCCTAATATGATCAACAAGGCCGTGCACTACGTTGTGCACAAACCGTCCAAAATGGCCAGAGGGTGGCATAATGACTGCAACGAGCAAACATCGTCGACGCTACCACGAGCTTTTGGAAGCAAACAATGAACGTGCCGACTAAGAAGCAGGAGAGGTAAGACGAGGAGAAGCAGCGAAATATGTGGTTATGTGTGTGTCGTGATCTCGCAGTTCGTTTCCAACGTTCGTTTTTATATGATCACACGTCTAAGCAGTTCGGTTCCTCCTAGTATCCTTCGTCCCGTGACAGGATCTCTCCCCTTGCCACTCTCCCACCTTCCTTCCCTGCTAGCTCCGCCAGTCTCCTCATCAGCCCAACCCTCATCGCCGCCAACGCCGTTCATGAATGCCTCCTGTCTGTCGTGGGTACCTTCCACCCACCGGTGGATACACGAATAGCAGTAGACGTATCCCGAGGGTGCGGCGGTTGGATTGACAATCTCATTACAGCAGACAGGACACGACGCAGAAGTCTCGGCAGATGGTGCCGGGACGGTGAATATAGGGAGCAGGGTAGTCGACGATATTGGCGGCGACGGTTTCGTGGGCTCCGGCGCTGACTTCTCGGCGTCGGCAGCGGTCTTCTTGGCCGCCGGGCCGAGCAGGCCAGCTATAATCGGCGGCGGCAGTTCGAGGTTCTCAGCAGCCTTACGGGACAGCTGTCGCGCAAAGTCGGAAGCATGCCACCACTCCAGGAACTTCAAGGCGAAAATGGACATGGGAAGCAGGAAGCGTAGCGAGCCGAGAAGCTTCGGTCCGACGACATGCGTTATAGTGCGCCTGCTGAAGATGCTGTTGGACTGTCCCGGGCGGGCCGCGGGCAACTTCGCCGATTGCGTGGCGGCGGCGATGGCTCGGTGATCTGCTTCGCCCATCCTCCGTATCCTGGTGCCGATAAGCCAATGGAACGGCGAGTCGTACTTGGAAGAGTCGAACAAGTAGGCAAGGTTGAAGGAGAGCAGGGCAAAGTAGTACGCCGCGTTGACGCTAGGGTACACCTTCCGCAGGAACCACTTGTAGTAGTACATGAACCGTTGTTTGAGGCTCGCGTTGTTCGGCAGCTGCTCCTGCTGAAACCGGGGCCCCAGCACCGACGAATGAGCAGCGTGAATGTCGTAGCTCTCGTCTAGCTTCCGCTTGATGTACGGCAAGCCGACCAGCACGGCAAGGTTGCGCCACACATCGCTATTGCGCAGCTTGAGCGTCTCGCGAACTTGCGACGCGGCGCCGAGTTGAGCCCGGGGTATCTCACCTCCCTTCACCCTCAGCACGCGTTCGCGCTTAAGGCCGTAGAAGTTCTCCGTAAAGGAGCCCCCGTACGTTTTCAGGTAGTAGCGCTCGACCACAAGCATGAGCAGGGCGTACAGCTCGTCGAAGGAATTGAGGACACGAAGGAGGTAGCGAGGATGACGGTGCGTCGCGACGGCGAGAACATATCGTAATGAGGGTGGCAGCAACGAGGAGAGTTGCTGTTCTGACAGCAGCTCTGGCTCACGAATTAGCGATGCACGTTGAGAACGGAAGGCCAGCCATATGCGACGGCGACGGCGATTGATATGTACCGAACAGGGACGGCTTCAGCTCGTCGACGCCGCCCTGGAGATTCGCCATAAACTCCATGCTGGGTAGACTTGAAGCGCGCTTCCCAACGGGTGAAGGCGCGGGCTCGAGAACAAATTGTATTGCGACAGGTTCGCGTAAGATCGAACCCCAAGCTGGGGAGCACGGAATGAAGTATATTGACGGGTGGTATCACCGTATCACCAGCATGCCCGAGGAAGGCGCCAAGGCCTCACAAGGCGTCCAGCCTTGACCCAAGCATGGCCTGAGAAAGGCTGAAAAAAAGTCTGGCCAGATTCCTCGAACGCGACACACGAAAGCCGTATTGCGCATCGGGGAACTTTCTGTGTACTCTAACACGAATTCCTGGTCCCGGAAGCCCATGATTGTATACAAAACGCATGTACTTTGTGATCCGGCTATTATCCGTCACTCTCAACGCTCTGCGTTTTGATGATAGCCCTGCACTCAACACACCCTTTGATCCAGTCGTGCCAGGGCATGGTTAAGAGGGACACGACATGGCCCTTTGATGCGAATCCTCTGACGCCTTTCCTTTTGTAACCGCGCGATGATCTTGATGGGACTCCATCTCCCTCCTTCTCATATACTGCATTTACAGCGGACTCGAAGGGAAAGAGAAACACGGGCCTTGAATGATACTGGCTGGAAGTCCAATTGATCTTTGATCAATTCATATGGAAGCCCTCTTGACATTCACCTTCTGGATTGAACGTAAGCGAAACATCACCGATATGGCGCGAGGACAACTGCGGCGACATAGTCGCCACGATGATCGTCCGACGTAATTTTGACATCAATCGGACAACCATTACGAATCCTGAATGAGAGACCATGAAAAATTCGAGAAAGAGAACAGAGAGAAACGCAGAGATGTGAGAGAGGTAAAAAGTTGTCTCCATTGTCCGAACGCAGCTGCATCTTTGCCAGCTTGCCTTTGCCAACCTCTTTCCACTGCCACTCGCCTCACACACTCGCTCTACTAGCCCTGACGAACCATCTCTCCGGAAGAAAGTAATAGCATCGACTAAGAGAAAGATTCAAACGATTAAAACGCCATCAACCTTCGCCATGTTGGAAAGTCACCTCCTCACCCAGATAAAAGTCTATCGTATCACTGTAAAGGCTCAAATCAAAGCAATAGAGGGCCAGTCCTATCACTCCTTCGTGCAAAAGTGTGCAAACGTTGAGAGAGTAGGGTTCCAATATAACCTCTTTCAAAAAGGGTATATCCTGCCAAAAAGGATAAAGAAAAACATGCGAGAGTCACGCGGATGCGACCCCCAACCTCCTTTTCCTTGCACCTGCCAGTCTACCAATGCTTTGCGTCTACTGTTGTCCTTTGCTTTGATTTGCTTGTTTCTTCCGAGAGAAATATGTGAAATTGATGTTTCGTAAAATAGCCGTCTCAGCCATGGCCCCGCCCGAAAAAAAAACCCACGTATAGATATCCTCATCTGTTGCTTCCGCGTCGCATATTTGTCCTGCCCGTCTCATGTGGAAGCTCTCCACTCTCAGCAGCACGAGCGTCGTTCCGGAAGGAGCACTTGTCCACAAGCTCATGAGGAGCCATGTCAGTTCAAGCTACGCCTAGCGCGTCTGACGGACTTGGCAGAGAGTTCTGGTTGGCTAGCACTTCCCTGGCGTAGAACTCGACGAGCATAGTCCCGTAGGCCTCCATTTCTTCTAGGGGCACAGCGAGTCTGAAGTCGTTGAGGAGAAGGAACTGAAGCTCTAGATGGTTAAGCTCAGGGAGCGGTAAGCCACCAACCTTTCACAAAATGTCGTTAGCTAACTATACCTTGCAAGAGCTTTGTGGAAGGGTAAAGTCCGAAAACATGATACACAAACAAAAAGGTAAGAGAAATATTTACCTTCGCGTATCTCGAATTTGTATAAAAGATATCCGAGAAAAATTTGCTGGCGCATGTGACACCTGCGATAACGAGGCGATGGATGTTATAACTGTCTACGACGAAGAAATGAGAAAAATTATATGGTTCCTCAACAAGCTGCGGTTCAGCTACGACCCGAGGCGGCGATGGCGGGCTCTCCGGATGCTGGGAAGAGCTGTGCGAGACAGGCTGCGACTGCTGGCCGAGTGAGCCTGAGGGAGGTGGGGTGGTCTGTGAGGCTTGTTGTTCACGCTGGGTGATTTCGCGCGACTCTTGCGCCAACGTCGACGAGGACACTGAGCTGTGTCTGCTACCGTCTTTGCTTGCAGCGTCCGCATCAGCAAGGTGCTGGCTCTGCTGCTTCAGGCTCTGCAATGGACCTGCGTTTACTCGCTCCGTCATGCGGTCGAAGTACACGAGCAGGCTGAGAAAGACCTCATACGTGGTTGGACAGTACTTGTGAATACGGCTCAGGTAGCTCAGAATTGAGATGGTGGGCACGTTCTTTCCATGGAAAGCCAGCACACTTGTTGTTTGGGGGCTCATGTGGACGGTGCCATCTGGGGGAGGGATCTGACGATGTAGATGCTGGTGCTGCTTGTCGTTCGTCGTGGTGATCTTTGTGAGCAGGCCAGCGACCATTTCGATGATGTCAGTGACAGGCATCTCTGAAATCTCATACTGGGGGGGTGTGTCCGTTGCATTTTGCCGTGCTAGGCGGGAGCCGGCTTGGGAGAGCGGGTTATGCTCGTCGAGCACGAAGCTCTGGATGTGCGACAAGCTCTTTACCTTGACTTTTGCTGGCGAGTGGGGGGCGGCGACCAACGAAGGTTGAGCGGTATGTGGCGAGGGATGCGCTGAGGATGTCGAGGAAGGCGCGAAGCGGGTGGGGAGCGCTTCGAAAGCGCGCGGGGTCGAGTGCAACTGGCCCTTGAACCTTGGGCTCCGCGGCGGGTTCATGGATCCATGGTGCGCGTCTGCTGACGGCGGAGGTGCCAGGCTAGCACTGTAGGATGGTGGAGGCTGAGAAGGTGCTTCGTTTGAAGACGGCTCGTGCGAGGCAGCTTCGATCATGGGGGTATCCATCGACGAGCCGGTACTGGAGTGGTGAGCAGCTGGCGGCGCATTCGTCTGAGTCGAGTGCTTGTAAGGGTGGTGGGGGAGATTGGAGGTCCTAACGTCGTGGAGGTGTTGATGATGCGGATGGGCGTAGGGCAGGTGGTGGTGGACCTCGCTGACCACAATCGAAGTCATCCCAGCGTCTTAGCAGGCTGTCGGAGTCGGACGAGTGGTTTCCTGCGTTCGAGGGGTAGAAGTTAGCGGCTCAGTGCTTGGGCTAGGCGCAATTCCTAGGTGCAGGAGCGTGGGCGGGTGGGAGAACAGAGTGGATTTCGCGTATGTCATTGTCGGGACGAAAGAAGCAACTCTCACCTCACCCGACGCGGCAGAAGCATGGAACCGGGTGGCGCGCATCAAGCTCTGGAGTGCGCCACAGACGAGTTCCAAGTCACTTGGACGGGCTGAGAAAAGTGCGATCTGGGAGCACGGCACGCGCGTCGGCGTTGAGGTCTGGTGCACGTCTCCTGTGGGGGGAGGGTTGAGAGTGTGTGGTGTCTGGGTTGTGTGTGAAGTGGGTGAGAGGGAAGTGCGAGGTGGGCGCAGGGACGGGCGGACAGAGATAAGGCGGTTGCAAAAGCGTCCAGGATACGGACGAAACGGTTGCGAGCGGGAAAAGAATGGAAAGGAGAGGAAGTAGGAAGAAGACTTACTCGGATCGGGCTCATAGCTGGCGCCTGGGTCGATTGACTGCAGGTTCGCACGCAAGCAGCAGCGGCGGCGGTGGATGGTGGGTGTGGAGGGTGTGGTGGTGGTGGTGGTGGTGGTGGTGACGGTGGTGACGGGAGACGACCGGAACTGCTGGACTGAGCTGGGCCGTGCCGTGCGTGCTGTGCTGTGCTGGGCTGTGCTGGGTTGTGCTGTGTGTTCTTGGCGTGCCGCCGGGCCTCTGCACCCGTTTGAGAGCCAATGGGACCGGCGGCTTTAGGCTGGGAACAGGCAAAGAAGCAGAAGAAGAAGAGGCAGACGCAGGGCCGGGGCGGCGAGGGGCCGGGCAAGAGCGCAGGCGCGCTCTCACAACCACTCGCGCACACACGCGCAACCTCCAACGCACTCGCACGCACCCACTGCTCTCCGCCGTCCAGCGCCCGCTTGGTCGCAAGCCGCTCCCGGCAGCAGACGGGCCACCCAGCCGCGCGTCAATCCAGGCCATGCCCCGAACCGTCCGCCTGGCCCCTGCCACCGCACCGCTCCTGGACTTCGTGCGCTCCCTTCGTCACCACGATACTTTTCCCAGCCTTCTTGTCTTCGTCTTCGCGTGTTTGCCTTCCTAACCAATGCGCGCGTTCGTCGCATGCTTTTCCGCTACCGTTCTTCACCCTGTCTGCTCTGTACACGCGCACCTGCTCGCCCGCATGTGCACGCTGCCATTTCGTCACTCCAGTCCGACTCTGCCACTCCCCGCGGCGTGCGTGCAGCGACGCACATCATTAGCCCAATCTTCCCCCTCGCCAGCCAGACCGATTCATCCACTCTTCGCCTCTCCCGACCGTTCTCCTGCTTGCGAAACTCCGCTGGTCGCAAATGCCGAGAAGCAGCTAACATGCGAGGTGCTAGCTGCCATCCAGAGTGCAGCCTTTCAACGTCAATCGGAGCTTGAGTTGCACACATGTCAGCGGCATTGCCCAGCCTATCCCTGAGCTGGCTGATTTTTTCGGGCCCTACCCATCATTCCGACCCTGAACGTGCAGATCGACCGGCGCCACGAACCCGCGCTTTCACTGCTTGTGAAGGCTAGCATTGCGTCAGGCAAAAGCAGCAGAGCCAAAGACCTTATTTCTTTGCCCTCTTTCCTCCGCCGGTTCGAGGAAGCTCCCATGTCATGATAGCTGTCCTTTTTGAACATGCCATCTCTCTCACTTGCCCCGCCCTCCGAAGCAATGCCTTCATCAGCCAATACGAAGTGTATTATCTATCACAAAACCAACTAAGTCTTCCGGCGTTTGCGATGCCTGTGGAAACCAGCCGCTCTTTGCATGTCCTTTGACATTTGGCACTGCCCTAGCTAGATCAGTTAGCTTCCCCACGTGGTCCGACGTCCCCGATTTCAAACCACTGCTGGCTAACAACGCCTCGTCCGAACGTGTTGACATTCGGCTTGTTGAGACGAGTACGGCGACGAATTCTAGCACTCGAGTGGATTTCTCTTCAGCAGAAAGCTATGGTCTCTTGCTCTAAACTTCCCTCGAGAATGATCTCTCCCTCCATTACGCCATGCACGTAGCATTCGCCCACAAATGAGAATGTTGGCAGCTCCACTTCATTGACTTCGTCCTCGAGGCACACTGCTGATTTGCGGCTGACAAACGGGATCTGACTGCCCAGGAGCACGTGTACAATGTCACCCACCTGCGTCGCAAGCGGACCCATTCCAATGTATCCTCTCTTCGTGATGAACAGGCGCCTATTCCTCGCTGATGCTGGTATCACCAGCATAAACGGAAGTAACTCATCGCTCAGTATCCATTGACCCTCCTTGGCCTCTCTCATCTCTCGTTCGAACTTCTTGTATAACGCAAAATCTTCCGCTACGGCCTTCCGATATGTAGGTGCCAGTGTCTCGCCGTAAACATTGCCAGTCACACAGCGCCACAGCGCATTTTCCACATCTCCCCCGGCAATGTATGGCTTAGCAGGATGCGTGTCAACTTCGGTCAGTCTGTACCACGAGTCGTAAATAGGAACCGCGCTTTTCCAGTCATGAACCTCCATTGAATCACCCACTGCGTGCACCTCATCCACCGTGAAGCCGTTGAACAGCATCACGGAAGCGCTGTGCCTTTTTGCAACGACCGGCCGCCCCAGACATGCGTTGTAGAACCCGTAGAACCTCTCTCCCCAGCCTAGCTCATACGGATACGGAGAATGATCCTCCGCGGCCCAGTCCACCATCCACGACGGGAATTGCGGTCGGCGCAAATGGTTGCCCATCAGGAAGCGAAGCGATCTCGGCTTGGAGTTGATGAAATACTCTGCGACCATGCTGTAGACTTGAAATTCGTCAAGTGTGTAATCGGGCAGGATGGGAGCGGCCTCAAGCCAGTCGGTCACCAGACCGATGACAGCAAACACCTTGTCGCAACCTTTTGTAGCCTTTCTGTTACGTGTCTGTTGAAGGACATCGAACAGGCAGACATTTGAACCGTTCGTGGATCGTGCGATGGTCATGAGCGGTGCTAATTTCTTCGTGAAATCCAGCAAGATGTCCTTCGCCTCGAGCGGCAGAGAGTCTGCAAGCTGTCGGCAACAATGCCAAACGTGCTTGGTCCACATTGCCGCAGCGTTAGCGAAGCTCGTCCACGGTGCTGAGCACGACCCGAGAACCACCGTTCCCCGTTTCGGAAGGATGTTTTCTTGTACAATCCATATCCTTTCCCAATACGGCAGTGTCATGATTTGACGTAGGGTCGCCAGACCAGTCATATAGGTGGGAGAGACGGTGATTGTCTTGTCCTCGACGACCTGGAAACAAGCCATGTCGCGAAGATGATCTCCACTTTCGAGTTGTCGAATGATGTCCAATGCTACGGCAATACCATCTTGTGCATTCCTTGTTTACAGTCAGCCTCCTCTGTCTAGTCCGCCGATATATACCGTAACTCACGGCCCATTAGCAACGTCTATGGGACATTCCATCCCTGGCTTAGCGGTAGTCTGGATCTCCCCCAGCCAAAACACTGCTTCAACACAATTCTTAAATATCTGGGGCATCAGTGCAACTTGCGTTGATTTCTCTACTTCGTCGACCTGATTAATGCAAAGTTGATCAACCCATAGGACGCGCTCCTCGTTCTCTTTGCGAAGCCGGCGTAGTGCCGCTCCCAGGTTCTTAGTTATCTCGAACTCGCAGTCGTCTAACAGAATAGTACAGACTGAATTTAGATCTCCCCAGACGTAGCTCAGTGCTTCATATCTAGTGTTCTGGCTGAGCTGAACGTGTTCCAAGTGGCTGGAGAGTTGGTCCTGCCAAGACCCAGCATGCAAGTGTAGCAGCCGAATCTCTGAATCTTCTTTCGCAAGCTTCTTGTACCTGTACCGTTCTCCTTGCATTTTTCTAAGGGAGCTAGGATTCACTCTGCAGAGAAGCTGAAGTCTTTGCCTTTTCTCGGGAAATTGAGAAAAAAAAAACCGGCTTGGCTCTAAGATAATGTTGGGGGCGACTGGCATGCATATATATAGGAGCTTTTGGCAAGGGTTGCGCGACTCGTTCCTGCGCGGTTTGCAAATGTGCAGACGAGCATCAAGCCATTGGCTGCATGGCTTGCGTCTAGAATCTGTGTTTCAAGACATCATCCGAAGTGGATCACGTTCAGATCCTCGTTTCGCTGTTAGAAAAAGCGAAGCACCTACCTTAGCTAATGTTTAAGTCGTGCGTGATGATGAAGAGTTTTTGCAACACCCCGTGTCTGGTTTTGCTCTCTCACGAATCTTCTCCTCTAATCACCGGACAACGACTTGAGCAGGAGTTTTTTTTTGGTATTTTTACCTTTCTCCAGGTCCTTGCAGTGTCTGTTTGATTTGAATGACGGCGCATGCGATCTTGATAGAGCAGTGATAACGGGCATCACAAGACTTCCTATCTCATGTCGAACACGTATCGGCTCTGCAGTCCAGAGCGCGATAAGACCCGAGCCCTGGGCTTGGTGGAACAGAATGGAGAGAACAGAACCAAGGATGGAGCACCTTTCTAAGCGATCCATACCCGTGCCGTCATATATACTCTTTTGGCCCGTGGTACCGCGTTTTGATAGTTAATACGATTTCGGAGACATTGTGTCTCGAAATTCGAAAATTAAGACGCATCTAGGACGGGATGTCGATAGTACTTAGGTTTCCGTATGCACGTCTAGGGAAAATTATTGATTTAAAATAAAATAAAAGGCTAACGAACAGCCCCCCGAGCTATTCCTCTGCTCGTCTGAATCGTGCGCAACAGATACGACGGTAACAGAGTAGAAGTTCTTTTTTCATTGACCAGATCGCTTGTTGCTCACGCACGCAGCAAGCAAAGGGAATTTTTCCAAGTTAATCGTCAGCAACACAATTTGGAGGTGTAGTTGCGGAGCTAGCGAATATTCAAAGGTACAAACCTCGACCGTACAGGTTCTGCCCATGGTTTAAAACAGTAGTAACGCAAGATCTCAAGCTGTCCCGAGAAAAATGTTCTTCGGCTTCAAAGGTGACGCTCGTCCAAGACTCGCTTTAGAAACCTTTCCTCTACGTCTGTAGGCCTACCCTTCAATCAACAGGCATACAGTTGGATCGTTTTCGACAGAAAACGGAAAAGCGAGTATGACTTCACCCCAGCAGCTATGGAAAATCCGTCTCAGACAAGGTTTGATGAGAAAAACTGTCATCCTGTAGCTGTTTGCTAATGCGCCGTAATATTCTGCCCGTGTCAGGACTGTCGTCCAGCCTTTGTCTTCATATGGGTACATTTTGCACCGTGATCGCAACGCACATGCCAGTGTCTCCAAACGCCCTTGTATATGCCGTCTAATTTACTGCTTTCCGGGCTTTGTATAGTCGGTGTCCGGTAGATACAGATGTCTCTGGGCACCCTTATCCGTGAGCACGACCATTCTTATAACACCTCCTGAGCTGCCGTCCCACTTAATGGCTTCTCTCAAGGCTGCCTTGACAAAAGCGATGCCCTCCTCCTCGGTCATGTTCTCTTTCCAGTGTGCATCGCAAAAACCGTAGATATATGTTGACCCCGAACCACCAATTGCATAAGGCTGCTTATGCAGGGAGCCACCGAGTGGTAGCGAGTAGACTTGGCCTCCATGCTTTTCATCATAACCTGCGATAATAATGCCAGCGCTGGTTAAATTAGCTAAAGGCCAGAATTAGACAGTGCGAAACAACTTACCTTAATTGATCTTTGTTCTCGTAGCATAGCTCTTGAAAGATGGCGGCTGCAGTCTGCGTGGTTGGTCGCTCATTGTTAAGCACTTCGTAGATGCCAAGGTGGTACTGCACAATATCTGCCACGGCCTGTGTGTCTGCTGCGGAGCCTGACCGACAACACCAGATAGTGTCCGAAACGCGGGTGAGCTTGTCGGTCACTCGATTTGCAATGTAAGCGCCTGTGGTCGTCCGGCTGTCTGCTCCCAATATAACACCATCCTTGAAGTTAATCGCCATACTGTGTAGATTTCAGTTGCTGTTCTGAACGCTCCAAGAATACGAGACTAACATTGATGTCCCGAGACTGTCGAAAGGCTGTTAGCTGGTCGTTGACAGTATCACAAGACAGTGACTTTTGGCTGACTTACTTGACTTCGCCCTTCTTTAGATGATCCATATCTACATGGATGCCATCTACTGTCATTAGCAAGCTACTTCAAAGTGCAAGTGTCTCTTGGTGCGCACCTTCTCTCAGGTTGCCTGTTTGCTGCAGCATGGTACAGTGCGTTTCTATTTTTGATAGTTTCGAATTATTGCGGAGTATTAGCACACGGAAAGGGAGTGATAACGAGAAGATTGACGACAGTCAGAGACGATGTATTTGTACGTTGTCTAAGATGGTCGCTGTAAGGCAGCTTCCACCGCGCAAGACACGGTATGGCGGCCGCTTTGCGAGCTAACCTCAATCGAGACCAGCGTCATAGCTCCTCGCTCCGCGCGTCTATCTCTTACCCCATCGTCAACTTGGAACAGCCTTTGTCCCACTCTCCGGATGCGAGAGTGCCAGCTAGAACATTGTATTTCTCTCTCTACAGCGCTCCTATTTCATGCGCCGCTGTCTCGGAACACGAGTCGCTTGTAGATCAGTTGCACTTCACTCCAGACCCCAACACCGCTCCTTCACCATCACTCGAATACGATCGATGCCTCAGAGCAATATGGGCGAATACTTTGACAACATGCTCGCTTGGTTGCGGGTTCCTGTTATTGCGTCTACGAGCATTGCGGCCGTCGCAAGTGGCCTCTTATACTTCAAACAGAAGTACGCACTCTCGCCGCCTTGCCGCCAACATCACTAATATTATGCATTACAGCGAGATCATTTACCCACGCAACATCCCGCCCGACGCTCGGACAAATGTGCCTTTACCTTCACGCTTCGGAATTTCCAACTTTGATGACCTCATGATCCCTACGCCTGATGGAGAAGAACTCCACGCCTTCCTTATTCGGCCGGCGAACCCCCAGCACGCCCGCGATGTTACTATTTTGATGTTTCACGGTAATGCTGGAAATATCGGATACCGCGTTCCAATCGCGAAGATACTTGCAAATGAAATAGGTTGCAATGTTTTGATGCTTCAATACCGTGGCTATGGCCGTTCAACAGGAACGCCTAATGAGAAGGGCTTGAACATTGATGCTCAGACAGCTTTGGATTGGATACGGTCTAATCAGGCACTAAGGTCAAAAAAGATTGTTGTATACGGGCAGTCACTCGGCGGTGCTGTTGGAATTAACTTGGTTGCAAAGAATCAAGAGCAAGGTGACATAGCGGGCCTCATACTTGAAAACACATTTACAAGCATTCGAAAATTGATACCTAGGTGAGACTAGCATTACAAAGTTAAACCGGACAGTCTTCGTCCAAATATGCAGTTCGCAATACTAACGTTTATGCAGTGCCTTCCCTCCGGCACGCTTCCTAGCGCCGCTTTGTCACCAAGTTTGGCCCAGCGATGAAGTTATGCCACATATTCATGACGTCCCTGTCCTGTTCCTCAGCGGCTTGCAAGACGAGATTGTGCCGTAAGTGTTGACGTTTACCATGTCTTCCTTTTCAGACTGATCGCTTCTAGGCCCTCGCACATGAAAACTCTCTATGATTGCTCCCAGACTAAGATTAAAATATGGAAAGACTTTCCAGACGGCTCACACAATGACACATGTGCCGAACAAGGTTATTTTGATCATATCGACTGCTTCATCAGGGATATCGTCCTGGGTGGCAAAACTGAAATCCGAGAAGATCCTAGACATGGTCGGCCTAGTGAAGATATCGAAAAGCTCTAGGCCCAGACCGATCAATGTTAGCATCAGATTTTGAATGAGACACGACTCCTCCGTGAAGAATCTCATGACACTTAAGTGTACATGGCCTCCGGCTAAGCAGCTACGAAGGACAAGTGAGCATTGGTTCCGCGAGCACTCATTGATACGCAGCTAAGCTGCTTGTCAAGTTGCTAGATCTGTCCTTCTAAACTACAATGAGCAGTGACTAATGCAAGATTTTGGATCGACGGGAAGGGCTAGAAGCATTCCAATTCACCACGCAGTATTAGTACTTGCCGAGACATTAAGACTATCTACTAAGGCATAAGTTTATGGATGTCGTGGCACGCTTGGCTAACAGAGCGCCGTCTCATATGCACTCTGGTCACCAGGAATGTATGATATTAGCCGCCCGTTGAAAGAACAAAAGAGCAGGAAAAGTTATGTGAAGATTACACTACAAACGCGACCGTAAGAAAGGCCCTTGTCTCCCGTACGGGCGTCTTCTGGATAGACTCTCCTCAATATACCCCTGCATAATCTGAGAACGAATTGAAAAAAAGATCTTAGATACAAACAAGGCTCGCTTATGCATAGAAATACGTGATATTGACGCACCAGGTCACAATTCGACGTGAACGGCCGTGCTTGATCGGCCCGCACCCTAGTAGTGTGCAACGTGGATAAAGCTTCTTCATCAATCACAATTGACCTATGGTAATGAATGAACATACATACGGCGACTGAAGTTTTTAGTTCGGCTCATTACCGAGGACCGGGCGAACCACGGGCGACGAGAGCGGTGTGTGGTCTGCGATGGCCTGTCGGGTCTAACGCAGGTTCAAAAATTATCTCCAGGGGCAGTGAGCAATAGGGCCCATTCATCAAAATGGACATTTCTAAGCAAGGCCAGGATTTGCCTGTACGTACTGCTATGATATTAAAAAAAATGCAAGATTCCGCGAAAGTTTAGTTTACCAGCCATGGAACGCGTGTGGCGGAAAGAAGGTGTGCAGAAACCGGTTTGCCAGTGTTGCATTCGGGCCCAGTGGAGGTTAGCGGCCGACCTTCTTCTATGTGCACATTCTGTACGGAGGTAAAATTTTCCCCCACGCTTAATGATTACAGGAATGGCGTAAAGTTATTTCCAGCGTTATTTCCTTACAGCATCCATTTTTCCAAATCTTCATTTAGCCTCCGCCACGCATCAGAGAATAGATGCCGCCCAAGCCTCACGAGCTAAAGAGAATTATACGGCGTCGACGGGGGCTTGAAGTGCACCGCACGGCCAAAGACTTTGAAGAAGGTAGGACCCCCAGAAACTAATGAAGGTCCAAGAGTATCGACGACGGTTTGCTTAATCGCTTGCGTACTCCTAAATTCTGTCGGCAGAAAATCTTCTATTGGATAGAGATCCAGATGGTCGGCGCCAGCCGTGCGAATAGGCGCACTTCTGTGCATTAAAATGAACCATTTGAGGGCCGAAACGTAGACGAAGTCGAGATGTGATTCGGGTAAAGGCTTGATGACGAAGTTCAGGGCAAAGATTTGTCCCAAAATGTCTTCGCTTATCTACCTGCTGTGCAGGTTAAGACCATTGTTTTGGGTTCATGATTGGAGACATGCGCTCGGATTGGTAGTTCGTTCTTTTTTTTTTGACAGCCAACGTCCCCTCGTTTGAGTAGCGCGGCGAGTTTGGGATACAAGGTGGCGAATCGGGGTGGCCGGGCGTGTTTCGCAGTGGCCGCGTCAAAATATTGAGTTCCTGTGCATCGTGCGACGATCGTGTCGAATGCTAGCAGCAATTGCTAAGAAAAAGAGGTGGCGATTCTGTATGGAGTTGAGATTGTCTGGAAGCCTTGACGTTCGAGGGACCACGTGCATATCGTGGCTTTATTGGAAGACACAGCCACGCCCGAGGAGGAATAGCGAAGACGTTCGTCGGATTCGACGAATGGCGAGACCGCTTAAGCCGCTGATCGTCGGGGGACCCGCAGCATCTGGCCGACGTCTAGCACCCAGTAGATTGTGCTGACAACGACGATAACGACGCTGGTATTGTATGTTATGAAAAGAAACGTTAGCGGCTGAAAAGTGTAAGCGGGAGCAAACTCCGAGGACCAAGTCCCCTTCTGCTTGTGACTGGTCCAGGGCTCTGCATGATGGAGCCAAGCTAAAAGGCTAGCCTTAACGACCCTTCAGTCCTTTCGCCCCTACCGCGCGTGCAGGTTTGCTCTTCAGCATTGGAAGGCCCGTCTAGCCAGGCGGCTGCGCTGCTGCAGCAAGTCTGGAATCGTGCGCGTTGGTCGGCGTGTTGGTTGTGTAGGTTCTGAGGTGCAACAGCTTGTCCTCTGCGCGCGACTGATGCCCGAGGACGACCCTGGCTGATTGCCCGATACCTGTATGTCGCCCGGAGCGCTGCGCTGCCGTAGTTCTGCAGTAATTTCGCGACTCGTCAACTTGATTCGGGCTAATTGCGCAATTGGAAGGGGGTATCGTGCTCCGCTACGTCATGATTGTGCTCTATGTCCTGCGCTATCTTCCGCCCATGCCGCATCCTTGGTCTTGGCAAGCAGAGAAACTGGGGGATACTGATACCCACGCCGGACTACTACGACAGCGCTGGTATCGTGGACCCTTTTGCGTTAAGCTTTTTTTTTTACACATCCTTGTGGCGTAATGCCCAGGGACATTGGTGTGGAAGGCTTCGAACTCTTGCTAGTCCATCCGTCATACGGTCCCACCCAACGGGTAACACCAAAGCGTCGGAACGCCCGTGAATTCTGCCTGGGTAGTCGGCGTTCATGTCTTTCGCGCGAGGTGCCTCGCGGAGGTTGGGCAAAGTTGGCAGGCCAGCACAGAGCTGGCGAAACGAGAAAGAATGTGAAAAGTGGAGGCTGCAAAGCACTTGGCTGGGCTCGATGGTCATTGCTGGGAAAGCCACCTGCGCCGCATCTCATTTTCAAAACATCGAATTTTACTCATGCAGGCCCTTGAAATGGATCTTACTCAAGAATGCCATCTTACGGGCGGAATTGTTTCTGAACCAGGATGAAAAGTCCGTCGCCGCGGGCTGGCAGAGACCAAATGACCCTTTTGGCTGCAAAGAACACAGTTGGTACCAGCTTGCACTATGCCACCGCCAGGGCACGCAGTCGTCATCCGCCCATGGGCCCCTATTGTCTAGGAATGTTCCGAAAAATGACAGTATTCTATTTCCCATCGGACCGGCTCGGCTTTCGAATATTACCTCACGACACTTAGAACGCGTAGTCGAACGTAGCTCTAAGACCAGTCCGGTCCTGAACCGTCGTCTCCAAGGAACACCAGTTGCCACACGCAATACCTGCTCCATACACCCCCCTCTCTCTTCCGCTGATGATTACATCACATGTATCTTGTCTGTTCATCTTCGTTGATTTTAAAGTGCACTGCCCTTCGGCATTGTTCCAGTTCCACCGTTGTCGCCATTTGCCACTACCCTCACTCCGCGTCAACAAGGAACATTCGGTCCTTTGGAATCTGATTGCACCTTGAACGTGCATCTGTCACAGAGCCAATCACCATCAAGTCAACCCAGAGGATTCCAAGGTTGTAAAACTGCGCCTCCCCAAAACGTCCAGACCCGTCAATCAACAGGCTAACCCACTTCCATCTGTTATAGTCTTCGGCCTTATTTGATCTCTGGACTCTTTGATTGACATCTTCCTACCTCTTCACTGGCTAGTTTCCTTTGATAATTTTTCAATTTACTGTAAGCGAGAATTTCCTGTCCAGTACCTCCCCGCGCTCTTGACGCGCCAGTCTTTCAAATTTGGACAGCTGTCGTCTGGTGCTTTTTCTTAGGCCTCTTGTTCGTTGCTCACAGCTATCAGTTGATTGGCATCGAATTTTCATCATTGCCTGTCCCTTCCATATCCCTCTCGGTAGCTTTACTATCCGTATTCTTGCCACTATCTGCTTGAAAGCACCCAAGCGCTCTTAAAAGTCAGGTATGTGCGCCCTCGTTTCCTCCGCGAAGTAGGTGGGTCATTGTTCTACATGACTCGAATCACTACATTTCCTCGTTTGAAATGAATTATCATAGCTTATGCGTGGGTACAGCATTGGGTATCGCTTCAGTCCTTGTCGAGGAACAGCAAGTGGGTGATACGTCGCACAATTGCCACCTTGTTCACTAAGAATCTTTCCTACGACAACGTGCACAAGGAGCCATTTTTCTGGGCCTTTCGAAGCCTGAAAGTAAATCTCAGCCTTTTCTGTCCATGAGTGGCAACACTCCATTCTTTTCGCAGTTATCCGCTATTCCATCTGTGCAGCAAAGGATGGACAGCAATCGCTATCCCTATGCCGCTGGCGGCAATCCTGGCCAGCAACCCTCTAACTTCAACATGAGCGCAATGTCCGTCGCTTTGCCTGATTACTCTTCGCAGCCTCAACCTAATCAAAACCCTCAAGTGCAACCTCAGGGACAGCGACGCTTATCTGGCGCTTCGACTCCTGCAGTGGTTTATCAAATGCAGCAGAATCTTCAGTATCCACATCAAAGCAATACGACCTACGGAAATCAAGGTGGACAGACCGGGTTCGGTCAGGCACAGTTTCCGTTGTATGGGCAGCTGCAAAGCCCGCACCCCGGGGGATTTTCTCAGGTACAACCACAGAGACTTGGGGGACTCCCACAGCATTTCAACGGATACTCCCAAATCTCTCCTCAGTACTATTACTACCCAGGCACAACACCAGCGTACCACTCAATACCGTTTCAGCCAGGTGCGACCCTCCATGTCCCCGTAGCTGCTCGAGGTGGAATAGCAAATGTGCAGGGTGCCACAGGTTCGGACCCTCCTGAAGTATATCAAAGTAGGTGGATTTATACAGACCATGGCCGGATTGTTAGTGTTCTAAATACTGATTTTTGTTTCTTTCAGGCGTGCCTAGACAAATCACGAACAGCAATCTTAGCCCAGTCCCTCGAGGTCCGCCGCGAAAACCGAAACAATCTGGCCATGCTCTCTGGGTTGGTAATCTTCCTCCTGGAGCGGTCGTCACCGATTTAAAAGACCACTTCTCCAGAGAAGCTACGAGAGACATTGAAAGCCTTTTTCTTATTTCGAAGAGCAACTGCGCATTTGTCAACTATCGTACCGAGGCCGCGTGTCAAGCGGCCATGAAACGTTTCCATGATTCACGCTTCCATGGTGTCCGACTCGTCTGTCGGTTACGAAGAAGTAGTACGCCAGCATCTGGCGTGCCTACGGCCCCTGCCGCCATGGCTGGAAGACGAGAATCACTAACATCATCTGGCCCGTCCCCTGTTCTCGAAAATGCAGTCGCGGACACCGAAACTACGGAAAAGCCAACGGAACATCCCGCAAACGAAGAAAACCAAAATGAAGGCAAGGTTGCTGAGAAATTCTTCATCGTGAAAAGTCTTACACTGCAAGATCTTGAACAGAGCGTAAGAACTGGCGTCTGGGCTACCCAATCCCATAATGAACAAATATTGAATAAGGCGTACGCGGTAGGTGATCTTGTACTTAGATATGGAAGACTTTTACTAACGCGGACCAGTCCGCTGATAATGTTTATTTAATCTTCTCTGCCAACAAGTCTGGCGAATATTTCGGCTATGCACGCATGGCCTCCCCGATAAACGAGAATGCTGCTGAGATAATAAGAACGTTGCCCCAGCCTGAGGCTACGGAAGCTACAGATGCACCCAAGACGATACCAACGCCAGCGACCGAGTGGGCACCAAAGGGGCGCATTATTGATGACTCTGCTAGAGGGACTATTTTTTGGGAAGCCGAGCTTTCTGATGAAGAGGAGGAGTCGAACAGAGCCACGACTTCTGAAGAAGACGCTGACTCTGGATCAGAACAAGTCTGGGGTAAACCGTTCAAGATAGAATGGATTTCCACAAACCGACTGCCATTCTACCGAACTCGAGGCTTGCGGAACCCCTGGAACGCCAACAGGGAGGTCAAGATAGCAAGAGATGGCACCGAACTGGAGACGAGTGTGGGGAAAAAGCTCATTCAGATGTTCCATCGTCCAGGACCTGCTCCCACTTCGCAAATGCCCGTCATGGCAGTACCTGCACAGATGGGAGGGTCGTCTATGCCATTCTAGGACAACGTAACAGACTCGCGCCAGCATGTCCCATCCAACTCCCCATGAATTAATTTTGCTGCACTATGGAGTTTTCGAAAGACAAATTCAGCAGGACGTTTTGCTACGGTTACATCGAAACTGTCGACGTATCTTCTATCGTCTTGCCTGCCGGTCAGGGTCTACCTTCTTTCCTCTTCAGTGCTTTTGACAAAAGCGAGTATGCGATTGTTCAGTTCAAACTTGTATAACGAAGCAACGATTGTCATGTCGTGATGATGTATTCTCATATGCATTGGTCTCGAAGATAGTTGGTCGAAGTTGGTGCGTAGAGAGCAGCGGCACACATACACGTAATGTCTTCAAAAGGCTCGATGTGTTTTCTTTCACTTTTGCATATGCTGTCCAAATCTGCCCAACTAGCCCACACAAAGTGCTTTGGGAGTCGACATGGATTTCAGTCAAGCTATTTCTTGTTCTTTTTCTCCCAGCCACGTCGGCGATTCCGTCCCTTGGATAAAAGAAGAGTCCAGCATTCCCGGAGATCCAACGCAATCGAAAAGAAAACTGATTCTCTCGAAGAACTGAAGGATTACCCCTGCTTGAATAGGATATCATTGCCACACCCCCTAGTCCACCCGACCTAGTATCAAGGTCGAGTTGTTCAATCGGCGTTTGCTCCGCGGACATCTCACTCGCCACGGCGGACGGCGAGTATCGTACGACGCCACGAAACAGAAGCCTCCAACTGCTCGTAATTCGGCGACCTGAATGTGCGGTCGAATTTTGCGGCGCCATCGTTCAACTGGCGTCACTACTTGTCGCACCGTGAAATCGTACACAATCTTTGCGAGTGAGGCGAACCGCGGCTGTGAAGACCAGGGTCAGCCCCAGTCATCAACCCCTTGTCGTGCAGATCGTTCTAGACCGTGGGGTTCAGCTTACGGTTTTGCTGATGACATGGGTTTCCATGGGCTGTTTCAAACACGAGATCAGGACAGCACGGCGGGGGAGGCAAAGACATCTGAGCGTTCCGCGCAACTTGGGAGATGTTGAATGGCTGTGCAACACGCAATGACCAAGGAACTGTGGCGCTGAGGCCTTCAGGTAAATGCATTCATTCTTCAGCTTTTCGGCGGACGTGCGCACATGGGTGGCATTTTGAAGAAATGAAGACTGGCCTAAACTTGGGAAATTTTTCATTATCCGTAACTTTCAACGTATTCTGTACTGGTATCAACAAACGTAAATATCAGCCAAATGGTAACCTAGCCGCCTAGCTTGCAGTGGAGGATGTTTGAGCGGCTGAGATAAACCCATTTCCTCCAGTAACCCATCATCATCATCATCTGTCCGTCAATAGGTCATATCAAAATTCGTTACTAATACAATTTAACTTCCCATTCCTGCCATCGCACCAGCGAAGGTAGAGTGATTCTCAAACAAAGTCCGAGTCCTAGAGTGAATGCTTGTTGTTCAGACTTGCTGTTCAATAAATGGACATCCCGGTTCCGATGAGCAAGCACATCGAAGATGATGCAATCCTTTAACTGCAACGTCAAGATCATATTTTGGCAGACAAGACCCGCATGAGGGGCTATCTTTGTTTGAACTCCAATGCGTCATTCCTCAAATCGTTTGCCCATTTTCTTACCGATTTGGTGGCCCAGAAAGCGTTGATTTTTCGTTCCTGCTCGGATGGAAATACTGTGCACTTGATTGAACACGCCGCTTTGCAAATCACGACGCAAAAAACCGAATGGACATTGATGATGGTTCATTGATTCCTCCAGTGATATATGTGCTGAATGCAAAGCCTGCCGTCCATGAGCACTAATCCATATAGAAATCACCTTTCAAGATGCGCTCTTGAAATGCATCCGGCCGCTTTGGTTGGGCAGTAGGAATGTCTCGTGGTGGCTCCGCCATGGAGACGCTCTTTGGTCGCTGGTGCATCGCTTGGCCATTCATACCCGAAGCGGCAGAGAACGACGACCGCTCGGCCCTGCTGCGCATGTTTTCAGCGATATCGAATCCGGAACCTGTTCGTCAGACTATGTCAGCCTTTTGTTGCGGGGATCAAGTGAAAAGACATGAGGCGTAAGGAGTGACAAAAGAACAGGGGACATGCGTGCTAGAATGACATGTGACAGACAGACCTCGGCCGTTTTTCGCGGTCGGGGGAGACTTTGCTAAAGAGACGGAAGGTCTACCATTAGCATTTGCATTGCCCGTGCTTGATCTCATGTCTCGCATAGCTCGGGCTCCGAAGCTGAGACGGCGAGCGAAAGGCGACGAAGGCGCGCTCGAGATTGGGGCATCGCCATCCTCGAACGGGGACTCGTCGACAGTACCCGAGTTGGAGCTCGACATACTCTCAGTTCGTGGTCGTCCTGACGCGAAGGGAGAGGTAGCGTTAGGCGATCCGGACAGTCCGATGGTTGTTAGGGATAGGCGGCGTTGCTGGGCTTGCATGGCAGCGTGTGAGATCGGACCGGGCATACTTTGGCCATTGGAGCTTGCCCCGTTGGAAGGCCTAACGCCGAACATGTCGACGAACTGGCCCGCAAACGAAGAACGGCGGCGGGTTGGCGAGGGTAGCGGTGGCGAGTTGCGGTCGTTGGAGCTCATGGTGGAGACTCGAGCACTTAGAAAGGGCGGAGAAAAGTAGCAATTGCCAGATGCAAAACAGAGAAAAAAGATGGAAACAAAAGCGTGTAGAGGGATTGAGGTTGTGAGCAGCGCGTTTGATCGATGGAGGATCAAGTATCGAAGATAAGGGGGATTGCGTGCGTGCGTGCGTGTGATGTGTAGGATGAGAGAGGTGCGGTAGGCTGAGAGCTGCACCGAATATGATCCACGTACGGAAGGGGCAATCTGTGGGCTGTTGATTACGTCAGAGTCTCGAGTTGAGTCAAAGGGACGTGCGCGTGATGGGTCTCAAAGGAGAAGCGACGATGGGCACTGAAGGTGATGGCCGCGCGCAGCCGGCGGGGACGGGCGAGATAAAGAATGAGCGCAGGTCACGACAACAATGCACACCTTTCTACCACACTATCAATGTGTCGAGCCAGCTTCGGATAGGAACAAGCAACCAGAAAAAAGGAGCGTGGACAGCTAAGATTGCTCGAACGAATGTGCTGATGATTTAGGCCCCGTTCTTGCGTCGGATGGCGGGGTATTGACTCTTAGTGCTGGACCGGACGAGCAGCTCATCCCTGATCTTGCGTCTCCTCGCTGTTCATTCCAAAGGCTTAAGGACGAGATGTCCATGTCTCATTGGCGATCGCCATATCTGCCCCGCATCTAGTTCACACCAAAGGCGGTCGCCTTGGAGAATCTGGGGTCAAAAGTCGTCAAATCTCCACACCTTAGGCTGCAAGACGGGACGTCCGCTTTCTCATGCTGTCGCAGCCCTGAGAACCCTTGCCTGCTTCATTGCTACATAATTGGTTGCTCTCTTGTTGCGCTGTGACGAGAGCTCGATATCTGACAAGGTGTAGTATGACGTTATAGAATCGAAAATTCAACATCAAATCCTCAAGGCACGAACGTGGGTCGGCGAGAGGACCGAACTTCAATTCCAGGCCGCGCCCATGGTTGCATGCCCCCGGCATAGATTCCCAGGATCTGCGATGGGTCCTACGCGAGCACCGAATCAGCAGTCTGGTGGTCGCGTGGTTAGTGATTTTGTTTGATCAATGGGAACTTCCCGGACTGGAGTTCGCGCCGCAGATGCTTAAGCACCACGACTTGCCGCTACCGAAGGATGAGCACGGGCACATGAAAGCTTCTTGACCTTTACCTAACATCCTCGAGCAGTTGTGGGATGTAAGGGAAGCAGAATCTGACCAAGCTTGATATGGCTTGATGGCTGTGCCACGAGGACAAATTAAGACTCAGACTAGACGTCGGAAACAAACCCGTTTTCAATGCGAGAAACCGCACGACACTAACGGAAGCTGGTTCAAAGTGCAACTTTTATATCTAAGTTATGCCATATATAGTTTGGGTATCTGGGTGGCCAATTAGACAGCACAATCACGCCCCAGCTTTAATCATAAAAATCTCTTTAAGCGCTTGGGGATCAGCAACCGCCAGCCGCTTTTGCTGAGAATACCTTGATCTGACAGCAAACCGTCCTCTAGGAACTGCTGCCGTCCTTTGTAAGCCACTTGCGGGATTGTCACTGCAAGTTTCCGTCTCACTTGTGTCCATCGGCGTAGAGGAAACAGTGGTTGCTTCTTCCTTAAGCTCCTCCTCCCTTCGCTTGCGTTTACGTTCTTGCTTCTGCAATCGCTTGGCTTCTTTAGCAGCTTTCTTCTCGGCTTTTCGCTGACGCTTGAGCTCCTTCTCCCTCAGCAGCTCGATAGGTTCTGAATCACATTCGTCTCCAGCCGGCTGAAGACTGCCCTGCTGCTCCATTTCCGCGACCGAGTGCTGTTCACTTTCAACTGTTTGTTTCTTTTCCTTCTTCGACCTTCCATTTTCTTTGGAGACGACGACGTTCCTTGAGTCTTTGCCCTGTTTTTCCAACTTTGATTTCTTCTGTACCTCGCTGAAGTTGTCTGTGTCTTCAGCTCCATGGCTTCGTTTTCGCTTCTTAGAACTTTTCTCCTTAGTCCTGACTGGAACTTCCTCTGTCGATATCGAGACTGGTTGCCCTGTCTTTTCGATCTTATCTCCCACTAAGAAACCTCCGCTAACAAAAGTGGTGCCGCCAAATTTCTTTACCACCAGTTCCCTCAGGTTGTTGTCTCTTCGATATCCGGCTTCCTTTTGAAGCTCTTCTTCGCTCTTTCCATTCAGTCTTCCAAGTAAACCTTGGAACATATCCAATCCGAATCTGTCGGCGTCTTGCCTGCCATTCTTCGCCCCTAGCCCCAGTCCATCCTCTCGCAGCAATACCCGGATATGTGATGAACTCGCTGCTGTGTAGTGTGAAGCATGCGAGGCATTCTCCGCTCCAAGAGTCTCGCCAGGCTTCCAGCCTTGAGCTGTGAGAATTTTGTGGCCAAATCGGTCTGTAGACTTTGCCCACTTCGTGTTGTTTGGATCTGCGCCGATCTTGTTGCGCCTATTCTAAGGTCAGCGGTATATTTGAGCGCACTTCGAGCGTCAAACTCACTGTTTAGGGGCGGCCAAACCCATTTTGGGCGAAAATTGAGTCGTTGCACTTTTTGCTGGCAGGTCTACAGAATTTTGAAAGTCGAACTTTTCTGCCTGCATCTGATTCGCCGATGCCGGCAGTCGCCGGCATGCTGCACATCTTCCCGCCTTTGCATATTTCAACATCCCACGTAAAATGGATGCAAGATCGAAATCTAGAATCACACGTGAACTATATAGATGTCGTGATCATATTTAAAAACTAAATTTGAATTGGATCCTTGTCGATGTTTCATCTACGCCACCAATATTTGCGTCCTTAAAAGCAGACGCGGAGAAGTCTGCACTTGACGGAACGTCCTGTGTCTATCCTAAAGCAAAAGCTATACTGAGGCAGTACCGCCAGGAAAAGCTCCGGAAATTCCTCCTGACGGGATTGTTCCGTTGCCTCCGTCACCACCGTCAACGGTCACAGTACCGCCAGACTCCGCAACACTACCATTTGCAGTCCATACATAGCTGTAGTTTGGATCGTATGTAGCGGAGACATTGACCGCAATCGTGACCCATCCGAACAGACCATCGCTCAAACTGTTGCCAATGTATACATACTCAAATACCGGATCGGACGTAGTATCGGCCGTCTCGGTGGAGAACACGCGATCTTCGGCATTGGTTGTGATGGTGATGTTGTTCTGATTATACGGGTACGTGGCTTCGACGGCATAGATCAAATCTTGGTCCCAGAAAAGCTGACCGACATGAGGCACGGTGCCTCCGGTTAGAGTGTTGTTGGGCAATACCTCAGCATTGAGATGAGCCACGATGTGATGATGTGTCGTGCGACCGCTGTAGTGACCGGGGAAGATGGTCTCGAATTGGACCACGCCATCTTCGTCAGACTTGGCAACTCCACGAAGGAAAGTTGCGTTCGTGTTACTTGTATCATCCGTATTGCCGTTTCCATTCGCCACCAGTCCGGAATACACGCCAGTGCTGTTGCAGTTCCACAAATCCCTTGCAGTCTGTTAGCTTTTTGCGGGCGACGCGTCAAGAGATATACTCACCAATACAAGTCCGGAATAGGCTCACAGGTCTCAACATTAACGAACTGTGCCTCTATCACAATGGGAACTCCCGGCTGATCCTCTCGCAGATTCGTGCGTATGTACTCGCCCTTTATCCAATATGGCCCAGTTTCTCCCTCAGGATTCAGTACGCAGGTGTTGTTCGTTGCAAAGATGGTGGTCTCTGGTGTGTCAAGGGTATAACCAGATGATGACAGGTGAGTCGTGTTCAGCACATCATCCGTGTCCCGGGCAACAAGACGCTTGCGATACTTAGCAACTGTGGCTGCGCGGCGCGCAGCTGCACGATCAATCAGACCATCCCGTTTGTATAGCTTGCTCTCACAACCGGACAAGCTACGTCTAGCTGTAGCCTTGAATTCGCGCTTGCTGAGCTCGATGACATGATCATGTTGATGTTCCTCACCGGGATGCGCCAAGGAAAGCGTGGCCAGGAAGGCGGTTGCAAAGAGAGGAAACGGCCGCATTGTGGTATACCGTTTGATTTATAAGCCAAGCGAATGATTGGAACTTTATCACCAGACACGAAACGAAGGTCGATAGAGAAACGAAACTCGACGGGAACAGCCGATGAATATATAGATACTGAACGCGGGGAAGAGCATCACGGTATTGCGTATATACACTGGGACATCCATCCTCGGGACCTTGTTCGACGCGTAACGAAAGTTCTACATTTCGCAGGATGATTCCGGTTCGCAATGAGATCACCGACCATGGTGAAGCAAAATTCGGTCGAGCAAGGTTGCTCGTGGCGTCTTTCTGCTAGCATGGTCTGCGTGGCAACTGGTGACCTACGAGTAAAGAGGAACATCTATCCTTGATCTATGCGGGCCTGATTGTTTTTAGCGTCTCTTGGTAGAGAACGAGCGTGAAGATCGAGCAGTAAAAGAAATCGAGTAGTTACACAGATTCCATAGTTGTTTGACAGCTAGAACTTAGCATAATGATCTTTGTCTACTTGCCGATTTGTAACAAATCTAGAATTCGGTCGATAGTTCTTCGACAATGCTCTTCTTTCTTTTGCGTTCGCGACCAGAGTTGAGTTGTGTATCGCAAAGATTTGTTGTTGCTCGGGATATCCGGTCTCGATCGTCGTTCAGGGTTGCGTAAGCCTCCAAGCACAGCAACCTCGACTTTATCACAGCAATGCCTTCTGCCCCAAAATTCAAGGCCTAAGATTGAGTCAACATCTGATTAAAAGGTCTCCAATGATTGGTGCTTACGGGGAGACATAGTCCGATTGGACAGCGTCGACTGGCGGCGTAACGACAAATCCAACCTCATCACACCTGAGGAGACCTCATCACCATTCTTCCGGTGGCATCCACTTGCATGAAACCTCCTAACTAGGTCGAAGCTAACCGATCGGCCCAAGCCCAACAACAGCCGCAGCAGGTCGACTTCGTACCATGACGTATGGGTAATGAGCGCAAATCAAGAGATAGCCACGACTACGTTCAGAGAGACCACATTTCGCGCCATGCTCTTGGCCCAGTTTTGAGAAGTGCAAAGGGCGACGCGTGTACAAGAGGAAGACGCGAGCAGCCCTTGACAATGACTGCACATTGCACACTCAACCAGCTTAGATGCTCAGGGCTGGGCCTCCTGACCACCGGTCTCATCGAATCTATACAAAGAACGAACGAGTAATGCAGTGAGAAACGCACGGAGACTGGGAAGAGCACGTCAGAAGGTCCCATGACATTCTCCGAACGGTGGCGGGGATCCACAGGAGACATTCTCTGCGGGCAGAAGCAGTGACTTAACGAAGCTAACGAACTCAGTCTCGTTTCCAGAGAGGAGAGAAAACAATAGGTGAATTGCTTGCAATGCTAGAGGAGAAGCGCTAGCTAGAGCAAAAAAGGTGACGGAGACGGCAAGCGAGCTTTTCGACCCTATGTTGACTTGGTCACTAGGCTTTGAAACCTTCTCTCCGAGAAACATCTCTCACCAATGCTGTGTCGTGGTGTGAACCCATCTTGGGTGACCACGTGGTGCATAAGTCGACATGAATGCAAGCAATGTAGCTTTACATATGAGTGGCCGTCCTGGTTAGCAGTATTTTGTGCTCCTTGCTCTGCTAAATTAGCTTCACAAAAGGACTGTTTTGGATTCGACAGGCGAGGCATGGCAACGAGTTAAAAAAGATTTGCAATGCAGTGGATAGCAGAAAAGCAAATACTTGCATCTCCAAGCAACGAATTCCGTCAAATCCAATCCCTACATGTCGAAACAAATGCTAGCCCTTCAAGCACGAATTCCGTTCATCTGCTGCTGCCCTGTCATATGCCCGCTTCCCTTCCGTCCGTTCACTGCTGGGGCTCCATTACTCATGTTCGACGTGGGAGTTGATGGCGGAGGCACTGGCCCAAAAGGCTTCTTCGTAGCTGCAGCATGTGCTTCGAGCAGCCTCTCGTCCTCAGTGTCATCGTCGTCCTCGTATTCCTCTCCGCTATCCTCATCCTCATATTCTTCTTCGTACTCGCTTTCCGTGCCGTCATCCTGGTCGCCTTGCTCGAGTGGGGGCAAAGGCTGCACCTGGCCTCGTCCTTGCGCCTGCATGCCCCGGCACAGCTTCTCTAGATTCTCGTTTTTCTTGCGAAGCAGCTCAAGCTCCTTGAGCGTTCTTGTTCTCTCCTCCGCCATCTTGAGAATATTCTGGTTCGTGGCCTCGTGCTTACGACTCAAGGTAAGATTTTCCTTTTCAAGCCGCTTCGTCTTCTTGGACATCTCCTCCATCTCGCGCCGGAAAGTGAGGAATAGGTCGTTCGAGTTGTTCAACGTGTCCTCGACCTGCTGGAGATGGTTATTGATGTTTCGAGAGCCGGGTACTGCACCGAGCGCATTTCCGCCCGTAACGTACCTGTTTGAACTTTTCAACGTATATGTTGAGCTGGCTGCGCAGTTCGGTTTCCGTCTGGCTGAAGGTTGATACCTGTCTCGTCAGCTGATGCGATTTCGAAGACTCCATTTCTTGCGCTTTACGCTGCTGCTCCAGCATCAGAAGCTGCGCTTGAATCTCGAGATCCTTCTGGCGCATCAGCGACGTGAATTGTAGCTCGCGCATTTCGTACTGGTCGATGAAGCTTCTGAACTTGCGCTTGAAGCTGCGTGCCGTCAGTAAGAAACTTACACTCATAGTGCCAATATCGAAGTGTCTATTCTATATCACTCACAGCTCGTCCGTTTCAAAGGTTTCGCTTTGCTGCTCAGCGCGTTCGCTCGAATTGATGACGTCTTCAACATCTAGAACCATAGACTCTAGTCGTTCGTGAAGTTCTTCGCGCATCTTGGCCTCCACATCTTGTAAGCGCTGAACATCAGCCTGCACACATTGATCAGCCCCCTTTCTCTGAGAATGGTCTCGAGCGTACATACCCTGAGCTTGCGGTTCTCGTTGTTCGTCTCCCTCGACAGCTTCTCCAGCTTGTCCCTCATGCTCGTCGCCTTACTCAACTCCGACTTGGCGTTGTCCTTCTCCTTCTGCAGCGCATCGGCGCGCTTCTTCTGCTTCTGCAACTCGCGCTCTTGTCGCTTCATATCCGCGTACAGAGCGGTGCACTTCTTCTGCAGTTGCTCGATTTTGTGCATGGGGTCGGCACCAGACATGGATTTGTCCAGATCACGCATGGCTCGCTTGACTTCACGCTCTGCAATCTTCATTAGCATTCGCCGATGCCAGTCTACACATATCAAGTTCGTAAATGTGATTCAGATGCTCCGCATCCGCCAGGCGGGCTGATGTCCTCCCTAACACGTTCTACTGAGACTTTGATGTCTCGCACCCCTCAGGACCCATCCTTTGCTTCAAACCCGGCAAAATAAAGTAGTGTTGAAAAAGAAGCGAACGTCCTACGTACCGATCTCCTGCTCCTGTTCACGATCACCCTGCATATCCCGCTCCAACCGAGCCATGGTCTGCTCAATGAGCTTGTTGTTGTCAATCGCATCCAGCTTCTTGTTCTTCGTCTTCTTCCCCGCGCTGACAGCCGCATTGTTCGCCATCGTCGAGGAGTTTCCAACCCGTAACGCGCGTGCTCGTGGGGATCGATGCTGCAAAGGGGGCGGGGGTCACGAAGACGAGGACGTAGTACGGTTGAAACGAGAGAGAGATGAGGGCACGTATCAGCGACGCCTCACCCGGACCCGAGAAAGAAAAAAAACGGAAAGCGAGCAGCTCGCGCTCGGCTTCGGCGGCGCCCGCTCGTGGTCTTCGCACCGGATTGCTGCGGCTCCCTGGAACAACAAAAAAGAGGTAGCGATGCTGGTCGTGTTACATGAGCACTGAGTGGATGCGCTGCGGTGGTGGCATTTGAGAGATTGCGAGTGGTGGCGGCGCAGGTACTTTCCGACGTGCCGGGTCCTTGTGCCAGTCTGCTCTCAAGAGACGAAACGCGAAACGCCCGTCGCTCGACGTGTCGAAAGTCTTTATCTAGCGTCCCAGTAGTATGTTCGACGAATTGAATGGACGTCGGGGGCGAGGATAGGATGTGTGAAGGACATGCACAAATAGTGAACACACGACAGTCAAGTTGGAACGGGCAGGACAAGACCAAAACCCTAAGACTCCTCCCTGCCCTCCCGCCATTGGTCCGAAAAAACTCGCCAGACGGGTCTAATCCCTTTTTGATAACGACATTAATCGTCCATTACGTTAGTCTTGCCATTGCTCATTTGCTTAGCACTCGCTGGAAACGGCCCACGGATCTGGTGTGACGACCAAAGGAACATTGGCTGTGTGAGGCCGCAGAGCTGGGCTTCAAAAAGGTGGATGATTTGATCAGAACAAAGAGTCTCTCTTTAGACGTCTAAGCGAACGTGTACATACACTCTCAAGGACATATGCACACCAACGCAATTACGTAGCTATCCCCTCCGACTTAGTTGCAATAAGCAAACGTGATATTGACGTCCCCAAAGGACAAACTCCATCCCATGCATCTCATCTAGCCAATATTTGTATCAGGCTAGTCACCAAAGATATTACTAACGTACAGAGAATCGGCAAAGCCAGAATGTCAGGTCAGCCCTGGCACGCTATCGTCCATAGCTATTTTGTGCTGGTTGAAACGGTGTGTAGGTTTCTGTTGGGTCGCGATGGAACTTGTCCGTAGCGCTCAAGCCCAAACGCAAGGCAGAGTGACCAGCATCAGGGTCACTTTCTGCATAGAGACTGCTAGTCCCACGAATGTCTTCGGGCAGACGCGACTTGTTGATACGAATGGACAGTGGACTAAAGCTAAAGTATTAGCAAGAGTCACATTCTTCAGTGACCTGACGTAGCTCACCCATTGATCTCACGATCGACCTTGAGAAATTCCTTGGCCGCATCACTTGTTCCGCGCTCGAGAAGATAAGCTTTGTAATGAGCAGCAATGTCCCTGACGGCAGCAGGGAGAATCTGACTACGATGTGCGATGTCTTCAAACACCTTTTTGATGCGCTGGTGTTGTTTCGCGCCCGTCTCTGTCTGTTGCAATTCAAAGAAGAAGTAGCTGACCCAGAAGGGCCGCGAACCTGCATAGTACTCTGCCTGCGAGCGGAAGATCTCTCTTGCTTCATCTGGTGCGCCCTTGACCTTCCAGAGCATGTTTGCCCACGCGGCTACAAGCGCGCCCTTGGCGAAGAGATCCGTCTGAGGCGATGTAATGTAGGATTTGTACACTTCAATAGCAGCGTCGATGCCTCCGTGCCGCCGCTCCAGGTTCGCCAGGGAAATAATAGTGTCGAGGTGAGACGGGAGCTGTTCTAAGATGGCGATGTGCATATCTCGAGCTACCTGCACGCGATTATGTACTTCTTCGAACAGAGCATAGTGAAGGCGGATGGTAGGTTTCATGATGGGAACAAAGACTGTCGAGGCACGTTGATAGACTATCCGCACTTCTTCCGTTTTGTCGGGTTGCGCTTCAAGCCATCGCACATAGCGAAGCCAGAATTCTTCATACAGGGCGCAGATCACAACGCAGCGCTCATACAAGAACTTGATGCGCTCGTACTTGCCCTCGGCTTCTTCAAAGTCGAGATACTTGCGCCAAACCGCAAGCTCGGCGTCATCGATCTCTGTCACGTGGAAGTACGGCCGCTTGATTCCGTCCTCGTGCGGAGAGCGTTTTACTACTTCGGTCTGCGTCTCGCCGAAGACGCCTAAGTAATGGTTGTCCACACGGGCACGCAGCTCTCGCTCTAGCTCCTGCGGCCCAGCGTGCGGATGAGCAGACTGCAACTCGGCATGCCACTGCGCGAGCGGAATTGCGGAGCCCAGTTCCTCGAGCGGGCGAAATGCGGCCATGGTACGGAATTTATCATAGTATTCCCTGTATTTCTGCACGGGAATGTGGACGACACGCTCAAGGATGGCGAAAACGTTCTGGGGCTGCTCGACGCGCTCCTCGAATTCAATGTACTTGTCCCAAAAAGGGTGGGACAGATAGTCCAAGCCAACCTGCTGAGATGCCCGTTCGAAGAGCCTATATGTCGCTGGTGAGTCTTTTGGTCTCATGTCAAAGGAAAGGAGAGAGTGGGAGGGGTCAGACTCATGACTGGTCCAACAGCTTGACTATAAGCGACCAAAATCGACGAAGCGTGCGGTGTGCATTGATAGCAAAGATCATGTGAACGGTGCAAAGTGAGTAAAACTGTGAAATCTATGTGTGAGACGCGTCACAAATCTTTTCCAATTTGTCTTGGGTCTCACCCGCGATGTCCTCGGTGGACCAATTTTGAAATTGTCTCCCCTTCGACTTGGGACCCAGAACTCAAGATAATACGAAAGCTAGAGCGATGAGCTCGGTCATAGGGCGCGACCTAAGGGAGTTCGTGGTGAGGCGGGAGGATGGGGGTTGGAAGAGGGCGATAGACACGATACTTACTCTCTGATCACGTCGACGTCGTGGCACGTCTCCACCTTGAAGTTACAGTAGTTGGTCCAGAGGTCGACGGAGTTTGGGATGCTTGCGACGCCACACTCATAGACGGACTCGGCGGCCTCTGTGCCCGCAATGACAAACTCCTTGTCCGCATATCGCTTCCAGTATACGAAGAACAGCGGGAACTTGGCCAGAAAGCGGTTGTAGATGTCTCGAAACGCGACGATGGCCTGCGGGCTGGAGTTACGGTTCAACCCGCCTTCAAGGCCTTCGACAGCTCGGACCAGCGCATCCCATGGCTCGTACTCATCTGGGGCAGCGATCTGTGAGCGGAACAGTCAGCACTCCGTCGCGGTGCACAAATATCATTGCCGTTCGCCGTACGTACCACTTTCTCATTCAGGCGCTTTAGTTCGCCAAACTCGGCATTGTCCAATCCGGAAAGGTCGGCCACCTCGCGCACTTGATACTCGTGAGGGATGATGCTCTCAGCCCAGTTCGCCATGGCCGGCGCAGTGCTTGCCAAATCGTTAGCTCAAAGTTGTGCTTGCTTGCCGCGTGACGCGAGGGATCGTCGCCGTCGCGGACCATCGACTTTCCCGTAGCCAGTCTCTTACGCGTCTCGCATGTAGCATCACCGCCACAGCGCGACCTTGGCTAGAGGATAGTGTTGTCGTTGCCCGCCTGTTCCAAGCGATGCTGCAGTTGGCGTTCGAGCCTGGCCACACGGAACCAAAACTTGAATCATGCCGACGTGCTCGCGGCCGCCGTGAGATCAATGCAATTCCAAGGAAACAGAGTCACTTACACAGCGAGAGTGATGCTTTCGGTATGTCCTGCGCAACAGATGCCGAAGAGGTTGAAGAGGTTTTCGGAAGGGATTGCAAAAGCTCGGAAGTGTTTGAGGTGACGAATCCACGCGAGCTGCAACTTTCACGCTAACCCTTTTGGAGCGAGCCGACGCTCAGCCTTGTCGGCTTCTTCCACGTCCAACGATGACGCTGGCGCCATCAACATCTCTTTCCGTAGTCGACACGCCCCGGCACGAGGTTCTGCTGCGGACAGAATGGGCTGGTCTATCAATCACTGCATGGACTCACGTTTCCTTGCTTGTGTTTATGTTCCGCATGACAATGCTTTAATGATTCGTTTGCGTATCATATATCAAAATAAGCCAAGAATCGGCAAAGCCAAGAATTACGAAACCGCATGCTTGTGATTATCTTACAAAGTCATACAATTCTTCCATTACGTATTCAATACACCATGCGATAAATGCGCTTGCTCGCTCCCTAGCTCGCAAGGCGCTACTCATCCGTCAGTAATCAAACAGTAGTAGCTAGAAGGAAAAGCAAACATGCCACACTGGGGAATCATCTCAAATCAATCAGAAAAATACAAAGAATAATGAACAATTCTTTCCATGACGATAGCAGTGATCCTGGCGAGTGTCTGATACCGTCTCGCCAAGTCCACTCACGTACCGGCCGGAAACAACAACTTCAAAACATCGTCGTCTGCTGCTGGAACCTCCTCTCTGGTGTAGCCTCCCTTGCGCGCTGTTGCGCTGCAAAACTTTCGAATGCTTCCGGGATCCGACTGCTGCTCGTATCTCGTAGTGTCTGTCGGCTAGCTTGTCGCTGGTTGACAAGACCGAAATTCGGGCCCATCATGCTACTCTCTCTCCTGTTTTTCTTGCTGCTGCCAGTTGCGCCATCGCCTCCTGGCACGGCCAAGGCATTCAGGCTACTAAACTCGCCAGCACCTCCGGCCTGGTACATGGGCGGTACAGGAAATCCGCTGCCGTCAAATTGCTGCGTTTGTCGCGGTGCATATGTATTGCGGTTCGGATTCGTAGATGCCGCTAGAGGCTGGAATCCAGGAAGGCCTTGTTGACTGAACGTGTTCTGGTTATAGGCTGGCGTGGGCAGATCGCTAAACATCTGGTGTCGCGGCGAGCGAATACTCTCTTGGGGTGCGGCGGAAGCTGTTGCATGCATCTCCTTGATAGGGGACTTCTCCCCGACTTCATCGCCAAAAATATTTGGATAGTCAGTGAGGAAGAGTTGTATAAGTGGAGCTGGAATGTTCAAAGTTGGCGCAAATACAATAGCGACTATGGCTCTGTTAGTCGGCACAAGAGCACCTGTTGCACGTTGCCAAACTTACCGTTTCGAACGTTCATCTTGTTAACATCTGAGGCATTTGCAATGTCTGCCAAGTACGAGCATAGATTAGACAACAGCTCCATATTTGGTCGTGGTAGCATGTGAACGAGGACGTTGATCGCAGCGACCTTTTGCTCTCTATCCTCAATTTCCAAAGACTTCAGGAAGTCCAGGTGCAGCTCCCTCGTAAGTACGGATGAGGGCAGCTCGCGTAAATAGAGCTTCAGAAGTGATGCGACAGCATGCACGTCATAATAGTTACCATCGAGGAGCTTGACGTCACCCTCATTGTTAAATCGTTCCCGCAAACCTTTGATCACATTCTGGGACCCGCTAAGTCTGAAGATGCCCTCTTCGTTTGCCGCGCCCTGAGCCTCAAGATACTCGATGCACCTGTACACAACGGCTGGCAAATGAACGTCAACGCCCACAGGTGGTGCGGACTCGACGGCTTCTGCAAGAGGCATGCCGAAAACTGGTCGTAGCAATGGCGCCCTTCGATCAGCGGTAAGAACAGAAGAGCTGGCGCTCGACTGGCCGGACGCAGTGTCAGACGGTGTTCTTGCGCGATGAAACCCGAAGATACTTCGCTTCTTCTCCTTAACAGGAGTCTTCATGCCCCATATTTCAGAGTTCTGGATGACGGCACCGTTTGTGGGGCCAGAAATAGAGACTGTGTTGCGCGGATTCCCCTGGTTGCCAAACACGTTTGAAAAGCTGCCATTCAGCGACGGTGACACAACACCACGAGAGCCATTGAAGCTCCCTACGGTCGTCCCATGAATAGGCGGTTCGCCAGCAACAGTGTTCTCATAGCTAGTTCCCTGCACGATGAGCTCGCCGGCGTCAGAATCGTTGTGATCTGTATCTTTCGCAAGTTCGTCGACCTTCTCTGATCGCGATGGTGCAGTGGGGGCTTTCCTCTTTGGCTTTGGGGCGGTCGTTGCTTGGTCTTGAGATTTTGCCGAATCTTTCCCGGTAGAATGCTGATTTGAATTACCGTCCTTCTGATCTACCCATTGGAGAAGAGATGCTACCCAAGCGTCTCGCTCTTCATCGCTCTCGGCGCAAAGCACGTGGCGGACCAAGCTCGATGAGTCCTTCCGCTTTGGCTCCAGGATTAAGAAAGCATGGCGATACTGGTTGTCAATTTCATCCTCCTTTCCGCTAGCATCGTGACTCGCCTGCACTGACTGCTTGCCGATTTGCGCTTTGTGCAGCTTGATGACGCCAATCTGCGGGCCATTTTGGTTGTCATAGTATTTGAGTTCGGGTCCATCAAGCACAAAGTAACGTGCTTTCCAGCCGCCAAAGTTCTTGCCTCGTTTCGTCAGGTAGCCCTCTTTGCGCAGAGGCACTGGACTCGAAGAACCACCCATGCCTGGAACCGTCAAGTGCGTCGAAGTGGGGCTCTGCTCCTCTTCCGCGCCCATGACGTTGGTGGAGAAGAATTCACATACAGCCAGTGCGGCCTTCTCATTGAGTTGCGTGTCGAGCAGCAGGTCGAAGTAGGCATTCAACGCAGCTCTTCTCGCGTCGATCTTAGCAGGCGCGTGGCCCATGAACAGACTCTTATCCGGAAGCTTGCCGTCGAAGTCGCAAACGCTTCTCACGGCCTGGTGAAGCACTGGCAGTGAGTGGATTGTCTTTTCGAGGCGCCACAACTGCTTTCCGTTAGAGCGTGCATATATGCCTAGCAAGAACACGGGATCCTCGTCGAAAGGGTTTGCCAGCAGAAGACTGTGTCTAGATGGCCGCAAGCGCGAGGAGAATACTTTGACGTCAATGAGCGGCACAGCGTTCGGAGGAAGTAGCAGATTCGGGTATTGCTCTGAGACCAGGCCCCGGAACACGTTGTCAGGGAAGGGAGACTCTGGCGAGTCCGAATTCGATCGGGATTGAGGTGAACGTGGGGAATCCACCTTGATATCTTTTGCAAGCTCGACTTTAGGACTGGGAGGACTCTGTGCCTGTGCAGATTTGGCGAACAGCGGTGCGGGCAGGGCGGATGGAGAGATTAAAGTGGTGTACCTGTCCGAATCATGTCCGATCTGCACATGGGGTGAGGGAGGCGGTTGCTGGCCCGGCATGGGAAACGCCATCTGCTTGGGAAGGCGAGGAGAAGGCGCGTGCAATGGTGGGCGATCGCCGGGTCGAGGACTCATCGGCAGGCCCGGACTGAGCAGCGGTGTTGAGAAGTTGGAGCGATGCACCGCCATGGAATTAACGGAAGATTCGGATCCGGAAGGGCTGAGAAGCGACGAGGCGGCAGGTGTTTGGGCGTGCGTAGGTCGTGGGGAAGAGGGTAGGCCAGAGTTGCTCGAACCAGGCATGGACGCAGCATCCGGCTCTACGATCTGGGGCTGATCTGATGGCCCTTTGCTCTTGCTCTTGCTCTTGCCGGACTTGGACTTCTTGGAAAGGCTGCGCGCTTCCTCCTGCGCCATGACGTACGCCTCACGAACACGATCGTCCTCTTCACGAGTCCGTCGTCGCCCTCTCTCCAATTCTTCAGGATCCGGAGTCGGCTCCGCATCGACATTCGACTCTGCCGGTGCCTCAGCAGTTGGCGCCGCAGGCGCAGGGCGCGTCGGCTGCGCCAGGTTCAAGGGTGCGGGAGCAGCCTTGCGTGTCATCTTGCTGCTGCGAGGGCTGAAATTTCCTCCATCCGTCAGAGGAGTGGCTTCGATGATGGCCACTTTCGGCGCTGATGACGCAGAAGTAAAGGGGGGAGACGTTGGGGACGTCGGACTGCTCATCAAACCACCCGTGGCAGGTATGGGGAACTTCGCCATGTTCTGCTCAAACTCGAGCTGCGAAGCAAGCGGCGACTCTACTGCCTGCGCCATCGGCCCATCCCGAGAGTTGGCTGCCGCTTTGCTTGTTGACGAGACCGGAGAAGGCTCAATGCTTGTAATGTCACCAGTAGACTCCGGCAAGGACATGGTGTCGGTTGCTTGACGGCGGATAGACGCCACGAGACCGTCGGTGGGACTTTGAGCGATCGCATCCAAGGTGTCTGCACGCTTGATGCCTTGAGACGGCTCGACGGGGCTCGTGGCCGAGGCCTCGCTGCTCTTCTCTTGCCTGTCCAGCGCCGAATCCGTGCGGTGCACCGAAGCCGCTCCGGACGCATTTTGCGTCACCTCCTTGAGCTTTCTGCGGTAACGGTCCCTGTCCTTAAGCGCCTTCTCCAGGTCCTTGTTAAGGCCCAAAATCATGGCGCGCTGCTTCTCGACGAGCCTCCATAGCTGCGCGTTGTGTGAATCGGCGCCCTGTTTTTCCTTGAGCAGCTTGGCCAGCGCTGCCTCAGCGGAGCCAGCTGAAGCGACGAGCCCGGCTACGTCGACCGAGGCGGGTGCCGCAGACGAGTCCTGCGACTGCTTCTGGGTCGCAGAGCGACCAGACTCGGCCGTCTTGGAGGAGACGGACGACGTTTGCGAGTCCTTGGAGTGGTTGCGTGCCATTACGGGACGAGGCTCTGGTCGACTCGGGAGCATGTTCTCGGGCGACGCGGGAGGAGAGCTGGGCAGAGTGGAAGCAGAGGCGTTGCAGAGCCCAGCATGGGTTTGCGCTGTGGTAGGTTGTGCGTCGTGCGGCTGATACGAGGGCGTGTTCGGGTTGGACGAGATGGTGGTCTCGGAGGCGAGCAGCGCCTCCAATCGCTCTCGCGGCGAGCGACCTGGCGGCGAAAGCGACGAAGGCGAACTATTAGGATTATTACGTTGCTGCAGGTCCGAACTAAAGGCGTCGGAGCGAAGCAGCGGTGAAGGCTTCCTAGAGCCGGCTTGAAGCTTGGGCGCCTGCGCAGCGACTGTCAAGTCCGGCTTGAAGAGGGTTGGGTTTTGGCGGGAGATGGTAGAAGTAACGGGCGAGCCCAGCGTAGCTCTTTGAGCCCAGGCGGTCTCGTAGAAAGCAGGAGTGGGTGCGGGATGGAGTTCATCTGCATCGGTAGACGAATAAGAGGCCATGGCACTGTCGTGGGCCAGCATTGCCGGCCGACCCAGCGTCGCAGCGAGTACCGTATCAGATTGCCCAGGGTCGCGGGTAATCCAGACAAGCGCCTGCATTAGAAATTACGTCGAGCGGGCCATTACAGTCGCGCGCGCGATGGCATTGAGGTGGGCAGAAAGGAGAACTCGAGGCTCATGCACAGAGAGCGCTGGACTGAACGTTCTTGTGGGAGGACGTGAGGCAGACGCCCAAAAGCCCGCCCGCTGCGAAGGGTCTGAAGGTGCGGCGCTGACACGGGGGGTGGGAGGAGAGGGCGCGGCGAGGGCGACGGGCAGCGGAGCCAGCAGGCGAACGGACAACGAAACCCGCGCGTAGCAGGGAGAGACCAAGGAACGACGTCCGGCTGCGTTCCGCACAGCTAGCTCGACATCCTTTTCTCTCACTTCGTCTTTCTTTCTTTCTTTATGTTCTTTCCTCTCTGCACTCTCTCCAGGCACCGGGGGGCGCTGGACGCTAAGTTTGGGGCGGCGGCGGCCATGTATGAGCAATAATCTAAACTCCTTTTACTCGCGCCGATCTGGAACACCCTCCCATGCAGGAACCCATCTCAGCCGTTCGCCGAAAAGGAACAAGCGGCAGTAAACTCTCGTTGGTCATGCGGCCTTGTGGCGGCGGCGGCACACCATTCTCAAGCACAGTCGATTACTTGGCCGTCAAACACCTTCGCCCGAGTCTTCTGCCAGAATGGAAAACGCCCTTCGCTCACTAGCTGTCGTTCGGCCAGACGAACGCCCCTACGCTAATTACGGTAGCATTACGGCTCGAACTGCTTCGTGTCTGCTTGTCGCACGCCTCTTTGGCTTGCTCACACGCCTGCTACGCATCATGAGCCCGCCTCTCGCCTGAAACCCGCCTGAATGCCCTTCCTGGGCGACCACTGCGTTACCTGTCCTCGCCAGCTAGACTCTGTTAGACGACTGCCCCTCTGGGGTGCCTAGCGCTGGCCATCATTGGCCAGCGGAGCGGCTATCAGCGATGTGAATGTGTGGAGTCGAATGTGATGCCCAAGGTGAGATCATCGCCTTCAAACCTCCGATCCCTGACAAAGCAACCCGCGCTGCCCTCTCCCGTGCCTGGCACGCCTACTCGGAGGACATAGAACTACCTCAGGACACATCGACGCTCATGCCGCGTGCACACGCAGCATGTGTACCCGTTGTCCATCGCCGCGGCATGCCATGTGTCGCTTTCCTACATGTGTGGCCGTCTGTTTTTGTCGACCCAATCGTTCCCTCGACAATCCAACGTTTTCCTCGCCCGACAAGACAAGTCAAGATCTCCTATCCGAGTGCGGACCACAAGCATGCCAAAGAGGGGACAACGTGACGTGGGTGCGCGAAGCCAGCTCGCCGATCGTGTTTGGCACAACTCCTCTCTGGCCCGTGTGTGTGCTTGACAGGACGCTTTGTTTCGCTTGGTCGATATGCATCATCGGTATGATTTGATTAACGATGCACTATATGCATTTCGTCTCCACGCCGTTGGTGTCTCTTTGCGCGGACGACGAGCAGGCCCTACGTTAGCGAGGAGAGCTGAACGGCTTAGGAGAGCGTGCAAGGCGCCGACATCCATGAAGCGAAGCCATGAAAGGGGACCTGAAAGTTCAGGGTCTCTCCACCGCCTTTCAATAAGGATCGGTGCATGGTATAACACAAGCCATGGCCAGCACCTGGCGCTCGTTGTTATTATTCTCCGGGCCGAAACTGCTTTACTGCGGTACGTGTGGACCGAGTCACAATACATCAGCATCTAGTCATGTCAGGCGCGACATGTACGACTGTGTAAGTTGTGCCATGCACATCCGTAGCTTGTATTCGTGTGCACCTCGTGTCTACGGACGTACAACAGATCAAAATGTACGTGCACATTCACGGCTCTCCTATCTATATTCCTTCTCCTTTCCTCCACCACGTTCATTTGCGGAGTTATTCGTCTATCCACTCGCTCGATCACTGCAATGTGTCTGCGGCAAGCTCGACGTCCTTTGCTTCGTCGTGCATCAGGCCTGGCTTGCACGACACGGTCGACAGCCAGCCCCAAAAATCTGCCCAAACGCGCTCACTATCCACGCGCTCATTAACGAACAAGAATCCCCCGCAATTGAAAAGTGCACGCTTTCTTTGAAATGTTTCATCAAACCCTGTGTGTGCCTCGAGAGGCTTAGAAAGGCCGCCCGCCCCTGCGCCATGCCTGCAGTTTTCTGCACATGAGCAGCCGCAAGCTTGCATCAGCAGCAGCAGCAGCAGCAGCAGCGCAATGAAGTGGCAGCGACGTGGCCTGTCGGGCAATAAACGCCGTCTACTGTTTTGTGCTATTCTCCGCAACGAGAGCAGCATCTGTTTCATTGCCTCGTCATCCTGAGGGCCGCGAGGACCACTAACGGCACTATTGTTGTTCTCGTCTTCGTTGTACTGCTACTGTTGCCTCTACTATTTGCTGCGCCTCCAACTCCGACGCACGCAAGTTTTGTTCCTGCGCCCAGTGACGCGAAGCTTTCTGCTGGTGCAAGTCCTTGGTCTTGTCCTTTTCCCTAGCCCGCGGCTCTGTTGTTGCTCGGCTCGATGACTATCCGACCTTCAGATGTTTACGCTTGCCCTACCGAACCCACTCCGCCCATCCTTCGTCCTCTGCCATTTGTCCTCTCACACACACATTGTTGGTTGTTCCTTCACGACTTGAAACATGCGCGCCTCTTCTGTTCCTGCAATTCTGGGGTCGCTAACCACTCCATCCCAGAGACGTCCGCTCGATCGTTTCACCACTTTTCCGAATGTCCTTACCTTCAATTCCTTGTTTCCATTCTTCGCCTCCTCCTTTCTGATTGAAGACCCTGCTCTTAGGCGCAAAGTCGTGCTTACGCAAGTCTGCGGATGTACTCGGTAGTGGGCCGAAAATCGCTCCAATCAAAATACGTCGTTGTCCTGAACTACTCTGTACAGGCAGTTGGTAATCTATGTAGCTCGTACGTCTCCTATTTTGGACACCGTCTCCGCCTGTCGGTGTACATAGCAGTGAGGACCATAATTGCATTACTACTGCATGCGTTCATCACAAAAAACGAAATCTTTGACCAGTTCCAATTTCTCCTTTCGTAGCGTATTTTTGACAAGAAAGGGAGAATCCCAAAAGAAAGCTTTTTTTTTCTCTAAAAATATTAATGTCGGTTTCCTTCAGGAACATGTCGTCTACAGCCACGGATGGTGCTCCTCCAAAACCCTCACCGGCCGTTGCCGAAATGACAACGCAGGACAAAAGGGCTGCTATGCACGCTATGATTCAAGCTGCCGTCGCAAAGCTGCCCGCCCTCCCGGATACGCTTGAGGAATTTGAGATCCAGGTCCCGGCCCACGACGGATGGCAGTCCCCGACAAAGATCGTGCGTCCCAGAACTCATGTTGATGCGGACCGTTCCCTCATCGTGCACTTCTACGGCGGTGGCATGATCGTGGGCGAGCCGGACCAGTTGCTCAGTGTCGCCAGGACATTTGCGGGGACCTACGGCGCTGTGGTAGCGCTGCCCAGCTATCGCCTCGTTCCGGACGTACGGTTCCCCATCCAAGCGAAGGACGCCTGGGAGGTGCTTGTGTGGCTCTCGCGCAATGCCGAGGCCGAGCTGGGCGCAAAGCTCGACAACGGCTTCATTGTCGGTGGCGTAAGTGCCGGAGCCGCGCTTGCGAGCGTATGCGGTGGTCTTGCCATGTTCCCCGATGCTGCAGATGCCCAGGAGGCGCCCATGTTGGCAAAGCCGCTCACCGGTCAATTTCTATCTGTCCCTTCCGTAGCCATGGATGAAACAGTGCCCATAGAGTACAAGCAGTTTTTCACCTCGAGAGATGAGAACAGGCACGTGGACGGCTTCAACACCAGCGCGTTAGATGACGTGTTCCGGAGCCTTGGTTGCGACGACTACCGCTCGTTATGGTTCTCTCCCTTTGCAACCTTGGTCCAACGTGAACCAGTGAACAAGATCCCTACTTACTTAGACTGTTGCGGTCTGGATCCGTTGAGAGACGATGCAATCGTTTATGAGAAAGTGCTGAAGTCCAGAGGTGTGCCAACAAAACTCTATCTATTTTCTGAGGATAAGCACAGCAGCTGGACAACTCTCGATGCGCCGACAAAGGCGAGAGCGCCTACCATCAAAGAAGCACAGATGGAAGGCATGAAGTGGTTATTAACACGACCTTTGTAGGCAACAAGACGTATAGTTTAACACGTTGAACACATGTGAACATAACATTCGCCCCAGTCGTCATATGAAGAGCTGCACACATCATCTAAAGCTTCAGTACTTCTGATATAAACTCAATAGAAGAAACTCAGAAGAGACCTTTTGGTAAAATGGAAATTCATTATTACTATCATTTATTTTTTTGACTTCTTGCTGTAGTACTCTTGCAAATGCCGACGTTCAGATGATTGACAAAGAGCTTCTTGCGACGATCAGGCCTACAAGGTCCTGATGGATCGTTTATGTTGAACGCGAGCATCGTAGCGCTTGTAGTGTCGGGTGTTTCCCATCATGGAAAGCTGGAGAAGTTTGTCAAACAAAGGAGTGCCGAGGCCTGTGACAGGATCCCAACCCTCGGTAGCATTCCAACTAGCATAGGGAACGAATGGAGTTGGGAGACCAGAGTAGATATCTCTACCAGTACAGCCGGTACTCCCGCCGTTGACGATGTCGGTTAGTCCCTCAATACCAACTTGATAGAGCCACGGGTTCAGGAAACCCAATGGAGCCATGCCAGCCTCTTTTCTAGCAGCATTAAGGAGCGCAATGATACCAGCCATTGTCGGTGCGGACGCGGATGTGCCTGACACTTTAATATCCTTACCCTTATCGTAAACACGAAAGTTTCTTCCTTGAGCGGCAACATCTGGAATACCACGGCCCCTTGGGTTGTACAGACCCTCCCATGTGTCACCAAGCTGCTGAAGGTAGCCGCTGACAGCTTCCTCCTGCCATATTGGACGTTCGAAACGATCCGAGAAGCCACCAGATGAGAAACTAACCGCGTATTCTGGCTCGATCTGATATGTGCCACCCACGGAGGTGACATAGGGACAAGAGGCTGGGAATGTCGGTAGAAAACGTGTCGTATTCTTACCGTCATTGGTTTGACAAGCACTTCCTACACCAGTGTCGCCAGATGAAAAAAGCACAGAGACTCCCCGAGCACCAAGCTGACCAATCATGTTGCACACGACCCTGGAATAATTCGCTGGGACGCTCTGCTCATCCTCACCGTATGAAGTAGAAATCGTGTGAGGAAGTTCATCATCGCTAAGACTCAAGAGATAGGTGAAATAGTCAAGGTACGGCTCGTTGGAGTTATCGTTGGGATCTGGCTGATCAAGGTCCGGGACAAGGAGACCTCTTCCGGCGGTGCTATAGAACTTATTCTCCATGGGGTACGTGAGGCCGACGGTGTACTGTATGTCAAGATTGGCCTCCACACTATCGTGTTGTGCATTGTCAGGATTTTGAGTGAGGAGACCTCCATTGACAGATTGCCACGTGAAAGTCGCGTTTTTAATAGCCGGGCGGTACACAGATGCCCACTTTGAGAGGTCATCAAATTGGGCGTACTCTTCAAGGAAGCCACTAACGCCAATGAAGCCATCATTTTGTCCGCTGGGAGTGAATCCTTTGATCTTATACAAATCAATCAAGCACTGTGGCGTGATCGTTGAGTTGCAATCGGTGGAGTTAGCAGCGGCCACTGCTGCAAGACCACTTTGTGCGTCACCAACAACCTCGGTTTTGAACACCTGGCTACGCTCAGGCATAATCTGCGCGAAACGGGTTGTTGGCTGAACCATGTCGACGTGACGCGAGACCTCGCGCGGAAGTGAGTATTTTAAAGTTCGAATTTTCGGAACATCTCTCTTGTGTATGTTCTGGTAGCTCTCGAACTTAGTGTCGAGCATCGCCTCGGCTTGGCCGATAGAAGCAACGAAGTTGACGAATTCGTTTTCAACGCTAATGGCGTCGTCACTGATACCGGAAGCTCGGAGCCATGCAATCACGGTATCACGAGAATCTGGATGAGGGCTGACGAGTTTCCTCAGTTCATCGCGTGTTAAGTGTTGACCATAGCGAGCGTGCTTTGGATCGGCAATGTCATGCAATGTTTGGTGAAACATAGTTGGATTTGGCTATATCAAGTCAGCGTCCATTTACTTTGCACGCCTAGTCAATCTAAATGCAGGGTGGAGTTGCTGGAGTAAGGAGTCAAGCAGCGCTCACCTCCAGTCTTTTAAGTTCACGGGGCGATGCAATAGAATGCAAGAAGTAGCTTCCACTAATGAGAAATAGGAGGGTTAATACGTACCAGTCTTAACGCAATTCGAAACTTCATAAGAGAGGCAGCGTCTGGTACTCCAACGGCCCGCCATCCTGATGGGACTTCAGCGAGAGATTCGAAGACCTCGACATCAGAGAAGTCGACGCTGCACATGGCGCCCGCGACCGAAAGCAAGACCGTGAGTGCGGTTGTCAGTTTCATGTTGGACCAGAAGTTCGCACCAAGCGGCAAGAATAGGAGAAGGTTTAGAATGAACGTCAAGGAGAAAAGTGTTTGGAACGAACGACGCTCCTCAAGGCAGATCAATCACACACGCCTAAAGGATTGACGGGACCTAGTTCGCACGGTGACTGAAATGACTGGCAGTGAAGGATGACAGAACCTGGCCGGCGTTAATTAGATATAGTCTACGTGGGTGGCATAAAATGGGGTCTTGGATCCAGCACGTCAACGGTCCAGGCTATTTGCCGTGTTGCAATCACTAGCAGAGCTTGATCCAGATTGGAAGGCACAAGCTATCAACCTCCACCGTCTGTTCCTTCAAACTTCCATATCAGGGATCTACACGGCGGTTGCAGGGAGGCACAACGGAAGACACAAGGCAGGTGCCCCGAGAACTAGTCAAGTAACAGCAGACAGGCAATCACGCGTCAAGTCCAATAGCAAGGGCGAAGGAGGACCATGACGACACGTGCACCGGCTCGGTGGATTGCCCCGACTACTCTAAGTTAAGCATTGTGAAAGGTGCGATTCTGGTGCACGCAAAGACTGAGGATCTCACATTCCACTTCCGTGATTGGAGGTGGGCGGGCCGCACCTTAATCTACCGATCAGGAAGGAGCTGCCCACAGCCAAGCCGCAACCACCTGCCGAGCCTCGCAGTTCGCCCGTTCCTTGACTGGGACTTTAATTTGTCTGCTTATCTTATATCAGCTCTCGACTGTCATCTCTAACTTACCATTGTGCTTTTGTCTGACTTGCCGCATGTCATTCGTTGTAATGCCCGTGTGATCATCGACACCTTGTGCATCATCCATCACCGTATGAGGCAGGCAGGTGACCGAAGTTTGAGGTCAAGCAGTGGAGTGACACCCTTGCCCCGTCACCACACTGCGAAGTTCCCTTGTGCGCTTTTGTCCCAGAAAGTCACTGAGGATACCATATTTGTCATCTTCGAGGCGCTGCTGGGCTAGATTTGCGAGCATCGACCCGTCTACTTCGATCCACATGCCGTGACCTTTGCCAATCGATATACAAAACGCTGGTAAGTATAAATATACTATACTACCGTCTATGTCACGCATAGCTGTTCCGTTGGCGATTTCCAAGAGCATCGACTTCCGCCAAATTGACTTTAACTCGAGCAAGTAGAGAATAACATGTCTATCAACGCGCAGAGCCTCTTACTCATGCACATAATCGTGCGGCATCAATGATCGCCGAGCTTATGTTCATCTGTTATGGCACACTTGCAACAATGTCTCTCGATTAAGGAATAAAAACTGTTCATTTCGCCTGTTGAAACATCATTTGGTCGGAGGTCTAATGGAGTAAACATGATAAGTTCAGAGTGTCGTCATCAAATTGATCAATCAGTCTTACAGCATGTGCAACTTATCCATCAGCGTGCAGATTTATAGCTACCTAGACTAAGAGCTAATTTGGCGCAGGATCGCACATGCATACACAAGCCATCCTCGGTATGATTGTGGCGGTTGTACGACTATGCAGCTGCTGTTGCGGCCTGTTCCTTTAAGCTGCGCCAGCTTCCTTCAGGTATTTTCTGAAGCCCGTTGCCGATTCTCTGTTCTACTGGCACTTCACTCTCCGGCTCCGGTCGGGCGCCCATCGGCACCAGACCCCACTTGTCGAACATACGTTTATCCTCATCCCAGCCATTGCAGTCTGTTGTCAACATTTTCTCGCCTGTGAATACAGCATTGGCGCCCGCCATGAAGCACATAATCTGCTTCTCTTCACTCATTGATATTCTACCCGCAGCAAGTCGAATGATTGTTTTTGGCATTACCAACCTCGCCGTCGCGATCGTCCGGATGATGTTTGCGAAGGGCACGGATTCCTTCATTTCCTCCCTTCCTTCCGCTTCGGATTCGGCTGCCAGTTTGTCGCCTAGCGGTGTCCCCTTGATGGGTACGAGGGCATTCACAGGAAAGGATTCTGGGTGCGAGGGCATAGTTGCAACGGTGTGAATCATTCCCACATGATCTTTTGCCTGCTCGCCTAAGCCCAAAATTCCGCCTGAACATACGTTTATACCCGCATCTCTCACGTTCTGTATTGTCGCCAAACGTTCGTCATAAGTTCTTGTTGTGATGACATTCGGGTAGTGTTCCCGGCTTGTGTCGACGTTATGGTTGTATGCGGTTAGTCCTGCTTCCTTCAGCTCCTGTGCCTGATACTTGTCGATCATGCCTAGAGTGACACAGGCTTCCATGCCAAGCTCCCTTACACCCTTAACCATCTCTTTAATGTTGCGAAGGTTGGTCTTCCGTCCGCGCATGTCTCGCCAAGCAGCGCCCATACAGAATCTTGATGAACCATTCTCCTTCGCAATACGAGCAGCTTCAAGGACTGACTCTACGGATGAAAGTTTGGTCGCTTTGAGCCCTGTGTTGTAACGCGAAGACTGAGCGCAGTAACTGCAGTCTTCTGAGCAACCACCGGTCTTTATGTTCATAAGCGTGCACAGCTGGATGGCACCGGGACGATGGAACTTGCGATGAATGGTCGCCTGTGGTTTTCATATCAGCATAAGGTTTCCAGTATATTCTAAGAAACAGAAGCAGCCTAGGTAGGATTATGTGCTGTATGAAAGCTGGGAAGACTAGCACGTAATACCCTGATCCCAATTGGCTGAAAGTGTCGACATAGACGATATGTTACGTACAGCGGCATACTGAAGCTCAAAGAGGTTCGAGTTGTATATTTCACTAATTTCTTCCCTTGTCCAGTTGTGTCGTACGTCGGATGCCGCCAATGCCTCCTGCACGGCGTTTCCAACCGTTGTCGTCGTTCTACCAGCTGAGGAAAGGCCCGAGACCGGTGTAGTTGGTGTGTCGACTACAGTCGAGAAAGCACGGCCAACACAAGACTTCTGAAGGCGCAAGCGAGCCTGAAAGGAGACTCGTAAGACGGACATGGTCATAGCGACTTCAGACTTGCAAAATGAGTGTGTGTTATGGTGGCCGAGAGTGTTGAGCGGGACCCTCACAGGAAAACGGTTGGTATAGGGTAGAATCGGGCTTGGTGGGACACCATCGGGGCCCCGCGACTAGCTCAGGAACGAAGTTTCGCAGCGGAGTACTGATTACTACACGACCACCCAGCAAAGGCTTTTGTTACCTAGGTATCAACACGTGAGGCCGCGAAATGCGACGGGCAGTTGACGTACGTGCTCGATGTGTATGACAACCTCAACGCTGCCTTGGCCATGACAGGTGATCGATGTGCTGTCGGTACGAGCTCCTCAGTGTTTTGATAACCTTCTTCCAAAAGAGATCTGAAGGAAGAAAGGCCAACACTGCTCCGCACGCGTGCAACCGCAATGATAGTGCTTAGTATGCTTGCTTTCCACCCCGCGACGCGACTTCACGCGTACTGATAGTAGTAGCGACCTTATGATACGACCAAGATACCCACGCACAGCATGCTCCACGAAATCGTGCGCTTCCCTACGCTGTTTTTACAGTTAAACGCTAACATTAAAGTAGCTCTTGTCCCTCTCCGGGCACCCAAGCCCACTGCTCGATGCCAAAAGCAACACTCCAAGGGACGGAAGCGTAGACTTTCCCCATCTCTCTCCACCGGAGCAAGCTCTTATTCAAACAATTGGACGGTTAGCTCGATTGCACCGCGAAGTACGGGACCAGATTGGGCGAATTTCCTCTTCTCACCCCTCCACAGTTGCGCGAGCCGTTGCGACAGCCATCTCTACGGTTCAGCTGGAAAGGTTCCAGAGGAAGATATTGGAGGTTGAAGCCAAAATTCTGAAAAGAGATGCAGCAAATGTGGGCGCTTACAATATCGTCCCCCTCGCAGGCGTTGTCGGGGAATTCAACGAGTGGACGCGAATGCTAGACTGGTATTGGCAGCTCGTCTCTTTTATTCAACCACGAAAAGGAACTGCGGCGACTGAAGAATCTTCAACACCATGTTCCGGTGCTGCACTCATTGACAGGTTGCGACAAGAAGCCCAGACCGGATATCCGGACATCGAAGTTGCCGCCCTGGAGTTGAGCAAAGTAGCTGAGACGGCATGGCTACGGCAGCTCTCCAGCTGGGTACTTTATGGTCGTCTTCCATTCGTGGGCGCACATGACTTCTTTGTTCAGCAAATTGAAACTGAGGATGGCATCGACGTGGAGTTCGACGTAGTCAGTGCTCTCCTTCCCAGATTCGTTTCACGCGATACAGCGGCCTCAATTCTTTTCATTGGGAAGTCACTCAATACCATTCGCATCCGCGGCGGCACCCCAGATCATGGATCGATATCTTTTACAGAGATGGACCTCATACCTGTTCATCTTCAGCACTTGGCACAACTTGTCTTCCCGCTGTCTTCTTCGTCCCTTACCACAGCAATTGGCGAAATACGATCTTCCTTGTCTCGTAATACCCTGCAACAACTTCTTCCCCTTCCATCAATCATCCAGATTCTTTCTTTACTTCGTGATTTCTTTCTGCTGCGTCAAGGCGAATTTGCTGTTGCTTTGATCAACGAAGCAGACGCGTGCTTGCGGGCTCGTGGACAATCTTCAAAAACTGCGGAAAGTTTCAAGGGAATGCTCATCAAGGAAACCGAGGTCACAAAAATCCTGACTAAAACTCTTTCGACGTTAGCCACCAGTACAGATGACGATGCAAATGCGTCGCTAGATTTTGCTCGTGCTCTACTGCGGCTTCACATTTCAAAGCCGGCGTCAACGCGACCTTCCACACCCGGACGTGCCAAAACAGTTGAAAAACTACCTCGTCTCTCACCGGTTGCATTCAATGATCTACTTTTGCCTGTTCCAACAAATTTATCGATAGATGTTACCACACCCTTCGATTTGTTTCTCACGCCAGCTGATATCCATGTATACTCTGCTCTACAGGCATATATCCTTTCGATACGCCGCGCGCATCTCCGTATCTGTTCCCTATGGCGTCAGACACCACTCCGTAGAACCTACCCAACCTCTCTTACTCCTCCAGAAACAAGCAGACCATACGCTGCGAAATTACTAGCCAAGAAGCGGACAAGAGCAACACGACGTAACAATGACATGCGCGCTATATGGGCAACCTGCTCAGCGGCAGCTTTTTTGCTTGGCGAAATGGGGAATTATTTCGAAGGCGAAGTCATCGACCAAGCCTGGTCACACCTTCTGGACTGGCTCGTCCAGAAGCCGGAAACACGACCGGAAAGTGCAAAGTCTCACCGTAGCAGCTCACAGGCCTCTTTCGATTCTCCTAGCGCTTCGCCTTGTGGTGGAAGTAATGAAATTGCATCACATCTAAACAAGCTGTCGATTACAGATAAGGAAGCCGGATCAGGAGCCATGCCTACACCCCACGATCCCGCCGTCCTAACAAACGCCCACCGTATGTTTCTCGCCGCACTCGCTCGGTCCCTGCTCACCATTGATATTCCCTTCACCAGCTCCCTGCGCGATCTTCTCCAGAATATTGACACTCTCGTTGCGCTGGTCATTCGACTACAGTCTATTCAGGAATCACTCGATCTGGAAGAAGACGAAGGAGTGGTTGATCCGATGGGCGACTTTGCAAAACAGGAAGAAGATGTCATTCGAGAACTCGGTCGCTCACGAAAGAGAGTCGATGCTGGACTGAGGGCTGTGGTCGAAAGGTTGAGGGTAGTCGACCAGGAAAGCGCAATAAGAGATGCTGACGAGGGTGAAGTGGAATTGGGCATGTTTGTGCCCTACAGGGGAGCTGGCGTCGAGCGACTCTTGATGAGGATAGACGGAGGAAGACGTGAAGTCGGAGGCGAAGATGGAGAACATGGGGATAGTGAATGAATAAAGTACAAGAGCGAAGCTAAGTCGTGTATGTTGCCATCTCAATACAACACGTAAGTCAACGAAAATCAAAGATTGCGTGTCAATGTCTTATGGCTCTAAGAAGAAACTATCCGAGTTCGAATAAGTAACTGGAAACACGAATTGCGATATAGCCGAACTGATGAGACTACGAGCGGACTTGCGGCATGAACGAATGCCGTGGCGGGCATGCCGAACAAAGGTGATGTCGCTGCTAATGAAAGCATTCTCACAGCTGAAACGCGAATGGAGCCGGATGAACTACTAGAATATTGACGTTAAGATCAATCTGTGGTATGTAGTGATGTCTCATGATCAATCTTAGTACAAATGGGTCACTATTGCTCCTAAGTGACGACACGAAACAAACCGTGCCATTCCTTCACCGATTAGCTACCATCAGTTACCATCAGCTACCATCAGCTACCATCAGCTACCATCAAGTCCCGATGCATTATCCCAAGTCCCCAACAGCTTCATGTCTTTGCAAAGCACGCAGAAAAAGAGCAAGGAAAAGAACTTACTTCGTTGAGCCTCGTCGTGAACGGCTCGTCGTGGCGGCTCGCGAGCGCTCGGTTCGGTTTCGGCGGCGGAGAGCAGACCAATTTCCATCTCCATCTCTTGTCCCTAGTGCCCATACTCTTTCGCCTTTTCTCCAGCCTTCCCCAGCCAACCCCGTCCACCTGTCCATCCCACAGCAAACATCCCCTACCCCCAAACCCAAGTCAACCAACCCCGATGATCACTCCCTCTCGGCGTCGATGAGTTCAAGACCCTTGTCATTTGCGCTCTCGGTCCCGACGATCTGTCCCGAGGTGCTGTGGAGCAGCAGAGCCCAGGCTTGCGGATTGAGAGCCGTGAACTTCGACCAGAGACCCGTCCACCATCGTTCACAGTCAAGACACCTCACTCTCAATCGGCAACTCTCAAGTCTGAGCATGAAGCATGCGCAACGCCGTGGTATCGCTTGACTCGCCGGAACCCAAGCTAGCCTGCTCCATCAGGCATCCAGCGTGGCAGGAACCAGGGGTCCCATTTCGCTACTGTTGCGTAACCAACAAGTAGACCCACGACATGGAGTTTCGCTTTCATTGACATAGTGCAGCCGCAAACTATGCCAGTGTCCTGAACAAACGGTCGGCGGACCGAGTGACAGTATCACCTACCCCCCGAACAGAAGTCCAAAGCCAGCCGACCAGGATCCGTCAGGAGATGGGCGTTGCTGAAATTTGGCCACAGACTCGTTTCCGTGGGCTTTTGCTGAGTTGAAAGTCGGTTCTGCGGCTTGTGTTAAAAAATTCTTGACAGTCAATTAGCATGGCAGATGACAATTTAACTACTGAAAACAATGTTGACTCTCGCAAAGACATGAAGCTGAGTGACACTTCCACCAGGTCAACCTAAAAGACTATAGAATTAGTAACCGACTGTCTGCTGCTCAGTCACTGAGAAGCTTTGCTTGAAATCTCTTTTGACGGCTGAAATTTGTCAGTGACAACGTATTACATGTCAGTCAGGAAAGAAGAGTTATTCATGCAGTAGAAGAGGTGCCTGAATAACAATTAGACAGTAGCGAGAGAAGAAGGAAGAGTGTTACCAAGTTCAGAGTGATGAAGAAGGAGAGTGTTGCAGTGAGATGTGAAGATATTCTTCACAAGCAGACTTGATGGATGCTGGAGGATGAAAGGTGGACGAAGAAGAGGAAAAGAAAGTCGGCGAAGAGCAGGTATTTATGTGCGTGTAAGATGAGGGCAAATTGACTCGTTGTATGCCGTGAGAGTAACCGGTAAGGAGGTCCTGAAGTAAGTGTGGAAGAAAAGTGAAGCGTATGATAAACTAGAATGCTAATATTTTATATGGACTAACATAGTAACGCGACCTCACTTCGACATGAGTATGACTTCACGCCAGCGATCACAGAAAGGAAATTACAATCAGGGTCCAATAAATAGGTTGCCGCCGCAGAACAGAAATTTACACTTCACTTGCACAGATTTGAATGTGATGTGTTGTTCTAACGAGTGACTGATCAAAGTGACGAGCACGCAAACGGCCTGGGAGCTATGCTCAGTTCCATCAAGGCTAAAGAGAGGCTTTGCCCTTAGCATGGTCGCAGAATCAATCCACACGTTGGTCACTGAATTTGAGAGGAAGCGAGAGGCTAGCGTAGCTTTTATGTCTTGAGTTTTGCTTGAGCCTGCGACACAATTGGTCGGGTTTCCCAAGCGTTGCTGTCTTTAAGTAAAAGAAGTCGACATAACTTCAACACGGAATATCATAGTGGTTTTCAGCGTGAAGTGGGGTTATTGACGCCTTTATTGAAACTTCTACGACCGCTCTGTATTCAGTGCGAGTTAGCTAGATGCAAGCCTCTCCCAAATGTGACTACGGGATCGCTTGAGGTCCACGCTTTGCTCTGCCTCCTGACCTATACATACAACTACAGGCTGTGTCCTCGTATTTGCATACTTTGGTTCAAGAAAAATAAGAGGCTCCCCGGGATGAAGAGCGAGAGACCAGAGGCCGTCACTTCTAGGCTGGATCTTGCGCATAAACAGCAACGATATTGAGCTTGGTGAAAAGGGAGTTGCTGTGCTCATTGTGAAAGACTGGAAATAAATAAAACAGAAAAACAAAAGACGCAATTGAGCAACGGAGCGCCATGTCCGACGTCGACTTGGGTCTTTGTGTTTTGCGGTGGCAAGGCGGCATATAGTCTCGCTTACGGCCAAAGCTGAACCGCTTTCGGGTCGAGGCCATGTACACAGAGAAAGACGGCACTCAGCATTGACGCCACCCCGCGAAAAAGTCTAAACGGCACACAGGGCGAGTGTCTGAAAGTTGAGTCGTAGGGGCCAGCACGTTTGTTTCATTTCAAACGTTTCGGGGATCAAATTCGGTAGAGCACATGGTTACCCTCAAGGATCGTCGCACGTGCGGCGCTTTCTATTTGGCAGCGCAGAAACAAATCCAACGAACGGACCCCGGCCTTTGTATGAGGTCGTGCTCACACAAACACTCCTGTGTTTAGAAGCCGTAGTCGGGTCGGTGCCGTTCCTTGAGAGCCCGCGTCAGCGACGATGGGACGTAGTATATGTCTCCACCACCCATTTCTCTCGTGCGCCAAGCTCTCTTGAAGTCCAGCATGCTCCTTATATTTGCAGCCATCTGTGATGGTAGTAGATCAGGGCATGGCGCCAGAAGTGAAATTGACGTCCTACTTTATCCCCATCTCTGCCGTTGAGAAATGGCCTGCGCCGAATATGATCGATCCGGAGACCAGGCTGTGGCTGATCCCGATGGCACTTATCCTCGAGGTGCTTGCCTCCGTCGCGGTCATCTGTAGGATACGAGCGCGAGTAGGGAAGTTGGCAGGCGGCATAGGAGCAGACGATGGATTGATTGTCGCGTCGTGGATCTTCGGCACCGCGTACACGGCCTTGATCGTGTTCGCCGTCAGCGCGGCTGGCTTCGACAGGCATATTTGGGATCAGAATTTCAAGGTGACGGCGCTAGGCGGTCTCGTAAGTGTGCCAACGCTGCTTTGCTGAGCGGCAACCAGCTAAACCTCGCGCTCAGATCGCGCTCCTGGCCGAGATTGCCTTTCTCATCTCGACCTGCGCAACGAAAATCTCCATCTTGCTGTTCTACCGCCGCCTCGTCAACGGCTCCTTCAGCAAGCTGCTGCAGTGGAGCATATACGTGGGCATTGCTTTCATCGTCGCGTATCTCCTAACCTTCACCATCTTCCTCGGCGTCTTTTGTTCGCCGTCTTCAGCGTCCTGGCAGTCCTTGGACCTCAGCTACATGAAGCCGTACAAATGTGTTGACAGGGCTATTGTCGATCCCCTCGTTGGCATCATAAGTGCGGCGAGCGACATCTATGCGATCGTGATCCCCGAGATCATAGTAAAGAAACTAAAGCTTCCCCAGCGGCGGAAGGTTATTCTATACGTAATATTTGGCGCCGGCCTCGTCGTCGTTGTCGCGGCTTTGATCAGAACCGGCTTCTTCATTCGCCTACACACCGATCCACGGAGAGACCTGACCTGTACGTTGAGACGGAAAGCTGAGGGATGCAAGGACTGACATAAAAGTGCAGGGATCGGATACGATATTTTCGTTTGGACGACGATTGAACTTCAACTAGCCATCGTCTACGCTTCTTTTCCGGCTTTGAAAAGTTTCTTCCTCCGTCGCGGCACGTCGAACACGACCACCGCGTACGGAGGAACAACCGTAGTGGGTTCAATATCGAAGCAAAAGAGCGCTGCTGGCGATGAGTCGCCGCTGGTCAGCAGGTCGAAGGCATCGCAGACGGACGAGAGTGCGACGGGTGCAAAAGGAACCTGGACAGCGCGGCAAGCCGATGGTAGTGTCACGGTGGTAGAGACTATGGACGTCATCAGCATCGATTCCAGGCAAAGCGTGAAAAGCTCGAGGGAAGCAAGAGTCGCGAGGGTGCACAGCTTCCTGGATTCTAGGTAGATTCCTCGAAGCTCTTTGGTACTCAATGAAAAGTTCTTGCGCAATTATATTTCTATTGCGGATTTCGATGTGAAGCTCATTCAAAAAGATATCAGATTAGAACATACAGATCATCTGCGGGTATCTCAAGCCATAAAGTCCAACCTTAGTACATAACTCATTTGGCCCTGCGCCGTTCAAAGCTATGCGTTTAGGATATTGCCTGATACCCTTTGATGTGTGGGAGAAAGTCATGCCCACAACCTCACCCAAGTTTGCATCCCTCCAGAACTCCCTCAGTCCGAATACAGAACATAAAACCGCGAATCTGGGCCATCGTACATTACGCCATGCGTGTCTACCTGTAATTGGTAGTACAAAAATGTGATGGCTATTTTCAAGTGGCTGCTGAAACTGGAAACTCTGGATTTTGAGCCACAGTCCGCTCCACGTGACTTGACTTGGATCAACCGCGCGTGCGGTCCCTGTTGGCTTGCAAGAATATATCCCGCGACTTTCTCGATTGAGATTTGAGGCCGATTGCTTTATCTTCTATGTCGCGAGGCATCTCGCATACTTGGATCCGTCAAAGCAGTAACGAAATCAAGGGCCTCCCATGGTTCGCTGCACTCTGCCGTTCCGCGGCTCTCCGTGGGTTCTGGAGATTCGTCCACCAAGGACTTCGAGACTATTTTGTTGAGCTTCATGTTGCGCTCCGCCTCTCTCTCTGCCTTGCTCTTGATAAACGATAGGCTTGGAAGCCTCGACATTTTGACGCCGAATCTGCCAACCCCGGAATTTGCCAGCGACTGCCGTCTCCTCGATCGGCCATCACCGTCTAATGTCTCCCCGTCGTCCAAGACTCGTCCGGAAAGACTCATTCGCAAGTTACGTGGACTAAGCTGCATATGGAAGGGACCATGTTCAAGATGCCGTGTCTCATCTTCATCGCCTCCGATCGTGAGCTTTTCGTTTGCGCTTAGATTTAGTGAGTTGGTCTGCATCGCATTCGTGCCGTCTAATTTGACGGCCCCAAGTCGTTGCAGCACACTCTTGAAATCATCAAGCATGATGTTGTCCGTCAAGCACTTGAACACCAAGGCCAGTTTCCAGTACGGATTAATTCCATCAGTGACGGACAGACCAGGAACAATGCTTGAAATGATGTCGACTACGGTGAAGGATATAGCCAGGAAAATGGCAGCAAGTAAGATGCCGAATCGTGGTGACCTACGAACAAGCTTGACAACGTTCATGCTGTAGCACTTCCTGATGATATGGAAGAGTGTGAAAACGGAGAAGACCCACCATGGGTCCCGGTATAGAGGCTCATACGGCCGTGACTTCTCATAAAGCCTGGATATGTTGTTGAAGAACCTGAAGTTGTTTATGATTTCAAATATCATGACTGGTGCAGTCATGGCGAGTGTGGTTAGGTAAACGATGCGAACCCATTTACATATCACGGGTTTGAAGGAAGCTTGGGAGCCGACAAAGAATGGCCTTATCTTCATCCAGGCGACGACGTTGTGGGTGAAGTAAGAACAATACAGGAGAGCCGCTGTTGAGCTAAGATACCAGCCATAACCCTTGAACGACATGAAGCAAAAGGTACCGTGGCTCATTGCAAGCAGCAGCTGTGCTCGGTCAGCAGAACTCTGAACAGTCATCATAAGCAATGCATACTTCGAGGAGAATTAGCTTGTGTAAGAACACTCCCTTCCTCATGTTCGCGACTGTTATGCAAGCCATGATGAGAAGGGCACCGAACATGAACCCTTTTTTTCTTTAGCTGGTGTTAAACGAATAGAGCCCGAGAAGGCAGAACGTACCCTCCCCCCATGACTCCACAATGTAAGCCTCTGCTTCATCTACATCTCGCCAGCTGCCGAAAGTGTTGCTCCGGCTATGCAAAAGGACGTGGTTGATGAGTATTGGTGCCATTAAGAGCGAGCAACGGGCATGATACACACCACTCGAGGGTGGAATTGAGACAGGTGTAAGGGCTCTTGATTTAACGTGCAACGGGAGGCAGAAACTAGGATCCTAAGAAATGCAAGCTCGCCATCGTCTAGGGGAGCACAGGATGCGACAAGCAGCAAAGACGAGGAAACCTTCCAGAGCAGGCTTTCAACGATGACAAGGCAAGAAATATAAATGGACGAAGAGGATTTGAGAGGATGGAATCAGAAAATGCGGAGATACCCCAGTACGTTTAAAGGGCGCGGGTGGGGATGGCGCCTCGCTAGACAGAGCGAGAGCCTGGATCTTACTACACGCATGATGTCTGCCACTAACTTAGTAGTTTTGATTTAGTTGTTACGACGAAGACTACGTGCTAGCCGGAGACCACGGCGAGGAGATTTCTCGGCAGCTGAACCCGCCTAGCGTGGCGTCCGCCTCGTAAGCAGCCGACGCACGAAGGTACAGCAACACCACAACGAGCAGACCTTGGAAATCGGTCGAAAAGCCAGTGTGATTCACGGTGGCAGCGACGGCCCGCGCCTGTGACGTGCGTGAAAGGACGCCTTAAGGTCACTTGCGACAACAAAGTCCGACGAGGCAGCTTTGGGGATGATCCTTGACCCTGCAAGAGACGGCGCACGGTATTGTCATGCCGGGCGTAGACAAGGTGGTAAAAAAAAAAAAGGAAAAAAAAAGTCCCTCATCAAATACGAGAACGCTGTTCGCCAGCCTCTCAGAAATGACTCGAGCGCTCGAGGCACAAATTCGCAGATACATTCCGGGATGCATCTTTCCACGCGCAGTGCGTACTTGTAGAGAAGGAAAAAAACAAACTTGGCTCGTTCCTGACCACTGGTCACCAGGAACCGGTTCGCTGGCTCAACAGCAACCGTCACAACGGTGAAGCTTCGCTTTGGTGTCTTTGCATCATCTGTCGGTGACACAAATTTTGCTGTAATTGGTCGAGCCGCTAGTCTGGAAGTCGTTAAGCTGATCGACCAGTCGATGCTACCACGTGACATCGCCTTTCTGCCGATGCACTTAGTTGGTCGACCTAGAGCGAACCGGGTTTTGGCGACAATTTTCTCACCTTGTCTCTGGAACCCGTCCGCACGCCACGACCATCTCTCGTTAGCCCACCACCAAACGAGCTCTCAAAGACGTGAGGACAGTCAGGGGTCTAGCGTCGTACTACTCCGCGCCTCTGAATCACTGTAAACTTGCATTTGGGCTCCCTTGCATCTTGAGATCGTCTCCTTAATCTCATCCAGCCAGAGCAAATCTGGATTTTGCGATGCCATACGTCTTTGCAAGCTACGCGTAACGAGCAGAGGTTCGTTCGGTTTCAAGTTTCTCTCAATGTAATCATACCCATCCATAAACTCAGATGATTTCGCTTCCCGTCTGGCGCCAAAGATCCCTCCGCAAGCCACATCTTTGAGTGCTCAATGGCCCTGGACGTGCTCATCGAAATGGAAACGTAAAGTTTTAGGTCATATTCTTTACAGCTATATGCAGCGCCATGTTGTCTACTTAATCGAGACAACGTCAAACTAACTGATCCAACCCGCAACTTAAATGCAGCGTAAAAGAAACAAATTTCCTGATCTGATGTGTAGAGTTCCAGGACCACGAGCGAACATTTGCTTGTTTTACTAGTATGACGTCTTGTCACGTACTTCTCTCACAAAAATGGTCGCGATGGGATCCTGCCACTCGTCCACCATCTAGCAATCCGCAATTCTTGTTTTCAGAACAAGGCGCTCTGGGAGCTCAAGGTAACCTCGTTACACTCAAACTGCGACTTTCGTGGTTGTACACTTCGGCCGTCTTTCGATTGTAGAATTCTATTTGGGTACAGCATTCAGATGTGTTCTGACGTTGTTGATCTGACTCTCGGTCAAATATTGTGGCGACCGTCGGCGAAATGCAAGAACTGCCGTGGTTGAATAAAACAACTCACTTATCCATTATAACCAAAAGAACAAGTCGTTGTGAGAACTGCGACTGCGTATTGATAACTCAACAATCAAAGTCTATGGAGACGAAACTGCCATGCGAGGCGACGAAATTCCATAGCTTAGATTTTAGTGAGATGAATTATGTTCCGCTATCGTGCAGATTCGCTTTCTCAAATAGCGTCTTAAATTTAGAAAAACGGGATATAATCAGATTAAGAAGTCTTGGGAATGTGACTAAAAAGAAACGTTACAATTGGCCTAATACTAATGCATTCAATCAGCCTATATTTTGGAACATTATTGTGACCGATCAGTTTTGTTGGGCAATGAGTAAACGAAAATCTCTCTGGGTATCTTCACATTATCATCCAGTTCCAAACCTTGAATAATAGCCCTTGAGTGCTCCCATGGCACCGAGAACAGACCGGAATTGATCTGGCACATGCGAATCTGCGTGACCTCGTCTCCTGCTTCACTCATCTGCTCAACCAAGTCCCGAAAGGAAGGTCCAGTAGCGTCCAAGATTTGCTGCGGAGAGTCTTTATTTCGTCCGTACTTTCTGCTGGTGAATAAGCAGCCAACCCAATGTTTGGATTTACTCTCTTGGGGTGGTATCAAAAGAGCCGTGTTTACAAGGTTATCCGGTTCGCGACTTCTGCAGTGCTCGTTGTATCTCTTGTACGCATTAGGGTAACGTTCCTTGAAAGCAGCGGCAATACCTGCTCCCCATGATCCCAGGCAGTTGCACGCATGAATAAGAACAGTGCCGTCAGGAGCGTCAAATATGTCACCCGCTATCTCGGTGATCGAAAATCCATTTTCCGCTTTTGGAGGTGGTTTGAGTCTAACCTCGTTCTGCGACGCTAGACGCGCTGTGTTCCTGCGAGATGTTCTGGCTTTGACTTGCTCACTAGGAACGGAAGCAACTTGGGGAGTGATGTTCTTTCCGAACGTCAGTTTAGCTTGCTTCGGGGGCCTACCAGCACCATGCTGATGTGACGAACGCTTCATATCCAGGCTTTTATGGATCCAATTAGCACCATTACGTGCAATTAATGACCTTAGGCTGTATCAACTTTGCGTGCGTTAATAAGTACGAAGATACTTAAAGCAACGACCGCGCACGGGCGAGCCAATCACGGCCGGCTAAATTCAGCTGAGCAGAAGTGCTGCCTTCTCGCCTGAGGCGATAACAAAGCTCCGGAATCTAACGAAAGACTTCAGTTGCATCTCTTCCATCACCATCCTCGAGCCATTGCCACGCCACTACCATGCCTGCGCTCTCGTCCAAGGCGTCAAGCCTTGTGTGCCAATGTGTGCGCACGCCATTGACCTCAACGGCCATCCGCGCATCCGCCGCGGCGTCTATGCAGCAACGACGATCCTTGTCCGAGGTGTCGACGACAAGCTCCTTCGACAGCCCTTTCAAGGGCATGGGTGGCAGGGAGACCACAAATATTCCTAGCTTTGCTAAATACAAGAGCAGCAGTGGAGAACAGACGAACAGGCTTTTCCAGTACTTCATGGTGGGCACTATGGGCGCCATATCTGCCATGGGTGCCAAGGCAACGGTGCAAGGTGCGAACCCCATTGAGATTTCATGCTGGTTCATCTCGTACGGACAAAAACTAATCAAATCTCACTATAGACTTCCTCGTTAACATGTCCGCCTCCGCCGATGTCTTGGCCATGGCCAAGGTCGAGGTCGATCTTTCTGCGATCCCAGAGGCGAAGAACGTGCGTATCTTGTCCAAGGAGAAGCTCTATCCGAAGCTCACACAAAACACAGGTCATCATTAAATGGCGTGGAAAGCCCGTTTTTATCCGTCACCGCACTCAGGAGGAAATCGATGAAGCCAACAAAGTCGACTGGCAGAAGCTGAGAGACCCCCAGCCAGACGAGGACCGAGTCAAGAGGCCGGAATGGTTGGTCATGCTTGGTATGTACTCGTCCATCATTTCATATATGGATTATTTTGGCGCGTGTTAACGATGAGCAGGTGTTTGTACTCACCTCGGCTGTGTTCCCATCGGCGAGGCAGGTGACTTTGGCGGTTGGTTCTGCCCCTGCCATGGTTCGCATTATGATATCTCTGGACGCATAAGGAAAGGCCCGGCACCTCTGAACTTGGAGGTTCCTGTGTATGATTTCCCCGATGAGAACAGCCTGGTCATTGGTTAAATGCACGGTGCCGAGAGGAAAGAAACCTAGAAGCATGGCATGTATTCATAAACTTTACTTTGCTTCAAATCCGTGGTAGAAGAGCTGTGAGATAGAGCATAGCAAGTTCTAAATGTACAGTTCTTTATTCTCCTGTGTTGATCAAATATGCAATTCAGTAACAAGCTGGTTATACGCCATCCGATTTAATCGTACTTTTAACTGCATATCGTCTTCGGACATTTCAATTAATGTTGCATCAAGAACAATTCGAATGTCGCTACACTTGTTCTTGCTCGGGCTAGTCCTGCATTCCAACATGCTTTCTGTTGTACACTTCAATCACATGCCAGATCAGCAAAATTGAGGCAATCACTGTGATAACTTTTCCAGGAGATGAAAAATTTAAGATGGTTCTCTTTGTTGAGATTTGTCTGGAGTGTGGTGAAAGGTGGACTTTCAGACTTGACATAAATCAATCGCACGATCCATATTCGGAGTTTGTGGCAAAGTAGTATCAGGAGATGTGGCGATTGGATGAGCGTTAGAAAGACTGGCTACTTCCATGGTTCGAAAGTACCAGTGTCATTCCATCTTCTTTTAGTCCTTCGTACTTGGCGTTGACGGAGCTCTCGAGCTCTATCTTGAGATTCGGCATTCCCTTATTCCCTGGCTCTCTCTTTTATGAGTCTATGCACGGACTTCACTTTCTTTAAGCCGGAATATCTATCAAAGACACAAAAGAGATTTGTTGGCTTAGTGAACCTTCATAGGCAAAGCGGTGATTGGGACGATCAAATACGTATTGCTACGTTCATTGGGATGTGCGGTATGTGCATTCCCCGCGGTAGCCATCGGTTGCGAGGCGCTCCCCAGAAAAGTTGGCAAATCGGTGCTTAAGGGTAAAATTAATTTCTCGGATACGAAGCTCCTACGGCTGATAAGGAAAATAACTGTGCAGTCCGTGTTTGGTACGAAAATTCAGAAACTCACTCTCGGTCAGTATCACGACAAGTTCTAATCCCCCGAATCTTAGAGCTTTCAGGAAGTACTCAAAGTTCGCATTCAGCCTTCATTCTTATATCTCATGGCTCGCATGAATCCCCTGCTTGCGTACTCTCGAGTACCGATTACTGAATTGATTATCGTACTTGTGGAGATGAGGATGAAACGTTGTATAGTACATAGTGGGGCAGCGAATATGTTTGTTTTTAGCGTTTATGATGGCCCCCGTTGATTTATCCTAATGGTCTGCTGACTCGTGAACAATTCGAAATTCGTGAAACTTTATGACGAATTTGATACTATGAGTTTGACGGCCGATTCGTCGTAAAATGTCATGATGCTTGCAAGCATCCGAAGACGGTCCCCGATACGACCACGCGTGACCCCACTCGCGGTTACTAGGCTGGCCTCTTATCAATTGCCGTATAGTCATCGGTCAACGTTGCTCTACTACCACATTATATTTTCTGGACTAATTCTCGGAATCGCTCTGTTGGATCTTAAATGAGATTTGGACAGATGCCAGAGAACGACCGAGTCACACGGCTGCTTGTACCCAAGCCTTCCACCAAAGAACATTTAGAGACCAATGGATCGGTCAACAAAGGAAAAAAGAGTCGCAATGGTCTGTGTAGGATCGCAACGGTTTATTCTCTTCAACATCTGCTCACTTCTCAGCAGGATGTCTTACATGCAAAGCCAGAAGGATGAAGTGTGACGAAACGAAACCAACATGTCGCCAATGTGCTCGACGAGGTGCCGCTTGTGGTGGATACCCCAAAATTGGCTTCAAGTGGAAGCACTTTATCGATCCTGATATCGCTAGTCGAACGCAAAAGACTAATATCAGTGCTCAAACTGCGCCCCAACTAGGCCGAAGATTAGGAAGTTTCGTGACGACAGGCTTCCAAAATGACGGATCTAGTACCGTCTCAGATTGCATCAATGAAGCACTTGAATGCTTATCGAAAGAAAAATCCTCGCCTGCTAAAACGGGACAGTTGAATCTATCTTCGGACGAGCAAAGCTTTGGATGGCAATTCGAAGCGAATGACTTGGCTGGAACATTCGACCTTGATTTTCTCGACATGACGCATCCCATAAACGATGTGGACTTGGTCGGACAAGAGCTTTCCGATCCCTTGGCATTTGATATTACACCTCTTGATCAACGTATGCAGAATCCTAGGCTGGACACGTCCAGCTTTGAGACCTTATCTGCTGCACTTGGTTCCAACAACACTCACTTTCGAGCTGGTCCTTCTTCTCCTACTATTGGATCAGCACCACTCTATCGGCAGCCGAGATTTGAGTCTGATCAAATTGATATAATCACAACGCTGTTTAACAATAGGACATGCGTGGTCCTATCCGTGAAAGACAGCTGTGACGAAAATCCTTGGCGAACTCTCATTTGGCCCTTAGCGAAGAATAATCCCGCGCTTCAGCATGCCATTTCTGCCATGGCCTGCCTGCAGTCCGGTACAGAACGACCTGAACTGCATATCCGAGGACTGGCACATGTGCGACAGAGCATTCAAAGTCTCCGTGAGGGTCTCGACACAGAGGCCATTTCTGTTGATGCAGCGCTTGCTACTACACTTGCGCTGAGCATAGCTAAATCTTGGGAGGCTCCACGGACGAAGACTGATTTTTCGCATCTTACGGAAGCTAAGATGTTGTTGAAGCAGGTAGTGGCTAGTGTACGAGACTCTCAGATACCTCCAAATCGGGCAAGGTGTCTGAAATTCCTTGCAAATACATGGATTTATATTGATGTCACAACTCGACTAACAGCTTCCGAGCCCATTGATTCCATCGACACGGAGTTGATTGAAGCATGTGGCCTGCTGGAGGACGGGTCACAGAGAAACAAACTTGATCCTTTGATGGGTTGCGCATCTGATTTGTTTCCACTTCTAGGAAGAGCTGCTGATATCGTACGTCAGATATGGAAAGATGGCTGGAAACGTAATTCACCGCCCACGATCGCACAGGCTGCCGAAGTTATGCGAGCTGTAGAAAAGTGGACTGCACGAATCAATCTGACGAGCAGTGATGATCCTGCATACATTGTTCAAGACGCCGAGCAAACAGCAGAAGCTTATCGTTGGGCGATTTTCCTGCTTTTGAGGTCAGCTATCCCATCCCTACCAGGGTACATGACCTATCAGCAGCTGGCTCAAAAAATTCTCATATATCTTGCTACTATTCCAATATCTTCGGGAACAGTCATTGTGCACATGTTTCCACTTCTTATTGCAGGCTGTGAAGTCTCAGCACCAGAGGAAAGAGCCTGGGTGATAGAACGGTGGGAACAAATGTCCAAAATCATGATTTCGGGTATAGCTGAGCGATGTCTTGAACTTACGCTCGAAGCTTGGAGGAGAAAGGATGGGGCGACTGAGAGCCGGCACTACAATTCTGACTCCCTTCGGATTCCTGGTGACCCATCTGAACCATTAACTGCACATGCTAATCCTGACGTCGACGACCTGTTCGACGAACTCGTTGACGCTCCAAACAAGGTCGACGAGGTCGATAACGCTACGGATCCTGCCTCACCTAATGACTACGCCGCAGTCTCCCTTGTTCCATCCACTCCTGTGGTTCACCGGCCCAGTTCGGGGAAAGTTGCAGACAGCTGGAACTCGAATGCTCTTCGGAGTAGACTCAGCTGGTTAGCAGTAATGCATGATTGGAAATGGCAGGTTATGCTTGGGTAATCTGATGTCAACAATTGAATTTGCTTGAAATGGTGCGTTTTGATCATTTTGTCACATTTTTGATCCTCGAATTAAGAACAGACTCGAACTAACGATACCGCTCGCCATACAGTACACGAAATCAAAATCCACGCTTGTCCAATGATCGCAAAACATGAGTCTGTTTCAGATATAAAATTCTAAACAATCTCCTCGTTTGTCCGAGCCAACCATTCTTCCTGTTCCTTTAGGAACTTTTTCAGACGGACCTTGTCTGTTTTCCGGCCAGCGCGGTGCTGTTCTCGAAGTACCTTCAACATAGCTCGAAGTCTATCTTGGAGTACTTCCGTGCGGTATTCTGCCCATTCATAATACAGCTGTGAATGGTCTGTAATAGGCCTGATCGTGGTGAGCACCGAGGTGTCCATCATCATTGAGTCGCGAGGGCGAAAGGAAGTCACGGCTACTATGCGTTCCACACCCCCGTGAGCGGCAAGAGCCTGGTGGTTGAGACACCTTCCTTGCATTACAACGGCATTGCCCTAGCAGATGATGAGCAGACATTGATAACCATCAACCACACCTTGGACCTACGCTTGATGGGCCACGGATCCTGACTACTTCGCCTGACGGCTTTTTGATGGCTGTTTCACCGCCAACCATGTTCGTGGTATCGGAAAGCATCACAACGCAAACGAAAGGATAAGAATCGTAGTGCCATTTTGTTGCCGGTAAATCATTATCTCCTTCCTTCTTTGGCTCTCCGTCGTCGAAGCCTTGGGTAGCAACGTTGATATTAGAGATCTCTAGATCAAGATTCGTCACTAGGTCCACACCAGCAAGTTTTGAAATGATCTCAAGGGTCTTTGGGTGCTTCCATGCATCATACGTGAATGGAGCGTACCTTTCCTCAGGTTACTCGGCTATTCAATGGGAATGACGAAGTACGTACTTTGCAGCATAGTCTCGAATCTGGCAGTGAGCAAACTCTGTGCTCACCACGCAATTTTCCCAGACTTCCTTTGTGAATAGCTCTTTTCTCATAATCTGGACTGTCTCTTCGCTGAAAAGAGGAAAAGGTTCTGTCACTGCCACGGGTGATATTGCCCTGTCCGACACGATTCCAAAGTCCTCTAAAGTGTATGTTTTTGGGCTGTCTTTGTAGCTTAGGTGCTTTTCTGGGTCGAATTGAACACTTTGCAGGGAACTGCGGGGCTTCACTTCATCTCTAAGTATGGGTTTTCCCAACAGATTAGGGACCTGGGCTGGGACAGCGATTTCAGTCATTGTAGTGTTCAATTCCGCGAGACTTATGTTCAAAGTTCTGAAGCTGTCAATCTGACTTGTCGAAATCTGTGAGGACCTCATATACACACTGCTCATATACCCCTCCAATTTATAAATTTCTGCCATCCTATCGGACATGGCAGCAACGTCGCATAGCTCTTATCATGGCCCAGCCTCGTGAGCATACTTGCAGATACCGAGAATAATTCATTGACATGATCTTAATTTCCTATTGGTCATTCAGCCCAACACAACTTGCCTGTTTGGGAAGGCTGTTCCATATGCAGCAGAGTTGCTGATTGGCCGTGGCCTCCAATGAAGGACTAAAATACTGACTTCGGGATCGCTCTCGTCTATTAGGACTCCGCATATCGGAGAACCAGGAGCTGTCGTTTGGCATCACTCAAGACAACAGCCAAGATGAACAGCCAACGTAACTACTCAAACGTAGATCAACATCGCTGTAGTTGCTGAATCTGGTATTCCAAAACGCTGGTTACAGCTGGCATCACATGATCGTCTAGGATACTTGCTAGTTTATTATGTAGCGCGGAGAACATGTCTACACCATCCACTACTTCTAAAACTCAGGCTCGTCCTTCCAGCAGCGAAGCACCATCAATTTGTTCAAAAACTATGCAGTCGAAGATAGCTACTCCAATTCCTGGGCCTCCAGAGCCAATCCCTTCTTCGTATCAACCAAAATGTGCCATAAAAAAGCTGCCTGCTGATTCGACCTTAGAAGATATTCTAACAGTCATCGAGCAGGATGGCGGGGTCATTCTCACTGACCTCGTTTCTGCTGAACAACTTGCTGCCATTGACGCTGACGTTGAGGCGGAGAAAGAGTGGACACCGACTACAGAAAACAGTGCTTTGTCAATCATTCCAAAAGAAACACTTGTAGTGCCTGGTCTCGTGGGCAAGTCCGACACTATCGCAGAACTGTGCGAACATCCGGTTCTTGAGCAGCTCCGCAAACACATTCTGGAGTACAGATTTAGCGTGATCCGCGAAGACTTCGTTGAGGAGAACATCATAGATCCGCTCCTCAGCATAAGTAGCACCTTATATATTGGTTACGGCGCTCCTCGCCAGAGACTTCACAGAGACGACAATGTCCATGGAATCAAGCATGACATGCCCTTCCAGCTCAACCAGCAAAGTCAATTCGCCTGCCTCGTGGCTGGGTCTAGAACGACACGCGAGAATGGAGCTACCATGTTTGTTCCCGGCTCACATAAGTGGGACGATAGCCGACGTCCGCGGCTCGATGAAGTCTGCTTTGCAGGTATGTTGTCGTCGCCAAACGTATGTTGCAAATCAGTAATTAACTCATCACAAGAGATGGAACCTGGTTCGGCTCTCATCTTCCTGGCTAGCTGTTATCATGGGGGAGGCACAAACCAGGTTCCTGGTGAGGTGCGCAAAATCCACGGTCTGTTCTTTTGCCGCGGTAATCTCCGAACGGAGGAAAATCAGTTTCTCGCGATTCCAAGAAGTAAGGTCTTGAAGATGAGCCCAAAGATGCTCTCCCTTCTGGGCTACAAGAAGCCGACGACTGTGCTAGGCATAGTCGAGAACCACGATCCGTCTTTGGATTTAGAGGCTGTATTTAACCTGGAGAGCAAACGGAATATCTCCAAGCGAGATTCTGGTTTTCATTCTGCTGAGCGCATAGTTGTATCATAGTGTTGCGGTATTATCTTAATGATTGTCGTTTCTTTCATTTCCAAAAAAAAACTTCAGAAGCTCGGGGATTTCCCCCTGAACATTTGCTTTCCTTCGATCGAGCTGTACTCTCATGTTCTACACTTGCGATAACGATTGTTCTGCTTCTTAATTAGACAACGGGTAGGTTGGTCGTAAACGCACCTGTAATGACTGGAAAGCAATGGCGTATATTATGCAAAGTCACCAATATTTTTGAGCAGAGTAGATCGAAGGAAAAGTTCATACTCGAAACGGTTGAATCATGTCGGTGTATCCAGTTCGCGATATTTTTTTCAATCTAGCTCATCCCCTTCAACGTTGCTCCAAGCAACGGGACTAAGATGTTTGAACATCTGCGGACTTGCCTGATTAGTTAACAATTCCTCTTCTTGCTTGTCATTTAGCATCACATTTTCTTACTTTTCTGGGTAACAGACAATTGAATTATAATTGTCTTTGTGGTTTGGACATCCTTTAAGTTATAAGGCAAGATGGCCGAGCGGTCTAAGGCGCCAGCTTCAGGTCACAAATTGTGTAAGATGCTGGTCAAGAAATTGGCGTGGGTTCGAATCCCACTCTTGTCAACGTTTCTTTTTGGCCGTTTTATCGGAAAATAGTGGGGATGAGCACATCTCTATGTGCTCAGGCTCCTTAACCTTTTTGTTACATTCGTAATCCAATATCGAATAATAGTCTACCCTCATGTATTATTTGGGGTGTGGTAAATTTCAAATCACTTCTTCAGGCACAAAAAGGCGAGAAAAATATTTATTCCTTACTGACAAAAGAATGCTTGATTATAAGTTATGTTCCTAACTAGAACTTCATAAATGATCTCTCGATTTGACTTGCTGTAGCAATGAAACCACTTCCGATCTGCCATTCGTTCTGAATATCTCAAGTTCCTGCAATCCATTGCGAAAGCTTTTGTAGTCTGCATCCGATCTACAGCACCCACCGGGAACTTTGCAGCCAATACACCGAAGTGGTTTGTAATCTAGGAGCTGCACTGTTAATGAGCGGAGACTAATGCTCCTTCTGGCGTGCGATGCGTCGGGATGGATATTCCACTTTGACAAGATGTGCGACAAGTGACCAAACTCCATTGCAAAACATTCGTACTGGCCATGATCAGGACTTGCAAATGACATCATCCTTTTTTGGAGACCGTGCCAATACACACTGCACAGAGCCTGTATTGCCTGAAAAATGTCTTCCCGTATCAGCAAGAGAGCAACTGGGTATCATTAGCATTTGTAAGTGCGTCGATAAAGGAGTCAGTTTGACCTTTTGAATGAGGCGGAAGATCTGCCGAAAATTCTTCATCTTCACAGTTGACAATTAAAAGCTCATTTAGCCGCCCTTCACGCTCTTCATCCCGCATTTTTAAGATAAGCTCGACTGTGTTGTCGGGATCATCCGACATCATATCTTCCATGCTGCTGCTATCACCCGAAGAAGTTGTACTTATCCCTGAAATCAGCGAGGGGATCCTGATCTCAAATACTAGGTGCATAAACATTCGTTTGAAATCGTCCACTAGTCCAAGAGCCCAAGTGATGTAAAAGTACACTTCATTTCCAGCCTCTGTCATGATATTTCGGTAAAAATCGCAATGTTGAGTGATGAACGGCTTGACCATGCCAACCGTGTCGTACTTATCGCTTATCACGGCCAAATTGAACAGCGCGTCTAGTGATAGCTTTTTCGGCACCATGTTGAAGCGCAAGTGGGCAATGTTACACAGGAGCATGAGAGCTTCGGGGTCATCATCCTGTAGAGATGCGGCGCGAAGACCGGCGGCCGAGTTCGCGTTCTCCATGAATTTCCCGCTGAACATGGCCTTGAACACTGGGCTGCCGAGCGAAAGTGCTTTGGACGAGACCTGGAACTGGGCCAAAGACGAGCCGTTGCGTTGAAAGGGCTGCACGGCCAGAAGGACGTCACCGTCCCGGTCAAACACTATCCGTCCTTGTCTGGCATCATCTGGCATCTTCTGTTTCTTGCTCGCATCTGTAGCTGAGGGCGTGGGCCTTTTTCGTTTCCCAAGGGCGTGCATTTGTCATGTGAAGGACGGCGTTGATGACGGACGCAGAGCTCTTCTTATTGTGAGTGATGAAGGGCGCTGGGCGACAAAGCTTGACTGCGATGAAAGGACGTATCCATGATGTATACAGCTAAACCAACACGTGCGCCATGGCCGGCTTGTGTAGAATCAGAAACTTGATGGCAGCCAGAAGGGCAGCTCGCTTCGCTCGCCATAGGGCTGTTAGCGCGTCTGCTGACAGTCACTCAGTAACTAGACCAGTCCCCCCTCTCTGGCATGGGGACACTTGCACACGGAAGGACTCTTGACACAAATGGCACGGCTTCGATGCACACAGAGCACACACGTATGTGATATAGCAGAAGGCGAACCCGATACGTGTGTATTGGGCCTCTTGCGCAACGCTGAGACAATGGCACGACAGCTCGCGTGATGACGAACTGCGTTTAGTGGGTCGTTGGGCTTTCCCCGCATTCGTGGTGGACCCGCCAATCATCATCGCCTCGTCTACCAGACGCTCTCATCGACAGGAGCACATCACGAGACATGTCCTTGCGGGGTTGGGCAGGCGCTCCGAGTCGCTGCTGCCCCGTGTTACGAGGGGCTGTGACTTTGCTCCTTTGCTCAGCCTGTCTTCCTCGTCCTTACACCTACAATCACACTTCTCACCCCTTCATCAATCGCCCTCCAGCCTTGCGCTCTCGTCTCCTGTCAGCCTGAACTGATCGACAGATCCTCCTCACAACACGTCATGGCCGAAACATCAGCACCACTCTCCAAAGTAGACTCTGCCATCGAGCACGGTGATGCTGCTGAGAAGAAGTCCTCCCACCGCAGGGCAAGCAGCTCAGCGACGGGCGTTCGCAACATTGCAGACCTAGGTGTGTTTGATCGCCCTTTCAATCTCACCCCGTCCACGTCGATTCGGCTCCCTCGGCAAAGACGCGTAGCACTGGAATTGTGAGCTGACAGTCCGCAGAAAAGGAGGGAGTGGAGATCAAGATAGCACCAGAAACCCAACATTTGAACTGGTAGGTGTTTCTCTGGCTTCCTGGACGCTGTTGGGAACATCCCTAGTTGTTCCCGACCGTTCCGGAACTGCCACCGACAGACCCTTGAATGCAACCATGGTGGGGTGATTTGCTCACTTGCTGGCCAGGAAACTGAATACCTCACCTAGCACGGTTGAGGACAAGGAGGCATTGAAGAAGCCATTGTGCCTACCGCTTGTCAAGAAAATTGACCTTCACTTTCCGCTGGGACTTGAAGTAACTGCACGGAATCTCAAGGGTGTCACCATCAAGGACGCACTAGACGCGATCCACAAGCAGTTCAAGAAAAAGGCAAGTCTCTGCCATCCAGTTGTGGTAATCTCGCTCATGATCTCGACAGGCCGATGACGAGCTTGATGCTCCCTATCTCGCTGGATTCGAGTGGGACAAGGAGGAATGCTGTAAGTTCGCCCATTTATTTCTGCTAGCGTAACTGTCTGACAAGTGCCTAGATACCAGATTCATCGTACATCAGAAGAAGACGGGCGAGCCAGTGAGCAAGGCAAGCAAAAAGGCAGCCAAGAAGGCAGCTGCTGATGCAGAATAACGCGTCTTGTCGTACTTCCGGCGTTCGGACAAAAGAGTTTGTCGTGCACGATGTAAGAATCTAGGCGACTGTTGCCTCTTCGTTGCTGATGCTCGTTTGCTGGCGTCCAACAAGTATCATATCGCGAACCATAACTCTGCACACCTCTTGCAAGGTACTACCCAAGACATTTTGAGCAGGAGTCTTAATAGAATGGCTTGACTGTCAATTGGCCCAATCCTATCTCTCTTTATTTTCATTTGTGAAAATCTCCACGTTGCACACATCCCTGATTGTCACTGACTCGATTTTCAACGCTCAAGTCCACGGGCTCCAAATCTCCTTCTAGTGGACATTAGCTCATTCTTTTTATTCAGATCTTCACCTACTGTCAGTTTTTTGGTTCTTGCTGCTTCAGACCTAACTTCTGGTAGCTTCAGGTCAATCTTCCAGCTTCCAGCGATAACGGAACATTCGAGAGACGATTTGGTTTTGATGCATCGTCTCTGATTGATTTTGAAAGTTTTCAACTTCTTGCATGCTTTTGAGAGTTCCGCCAATCTTTGTTCGTCTAAACTGACGTCCAACTCTCCAACTTGGTGCGTGGGACAAAGAACGATTTCGACTTGTTCCAGGTTCCTGCCCTCTGCAATTGCATCGAAAACCTTACCCTTCCACGTTCCGACGTTACTCACGCTTATACTAGCGCTTAGCGCCATGAGCCCTTCATGTTTAACAATGAGTGACCGGAACTGTTCGATACAGATTGTGTAAAGAGTGATGTTGAGGTTTTTCAAGAACCTTGGTGCTGAGTCTTCCCCAACCAAGCTGGTTATGAGAAATTCGGAGAATGAACTGTCGATCGTTTGAACACCATCGTCTAGCGGCTCTATATCAACACCGTTGTTGGCATTCTCGGGTGGTGCAATATTGAATGTGCAACTGATTAAGCCATGATGAATAAGCGAAGACAGTTCACCAGCAGGTACGCTCTCAGTTAGTTTGTTATTACCTCTGCCATATGTGTAGTTGATTTCCAAAAACATCAAAGGTTTTTCTAGACTTTTTACGACAGGTGCAATCGTCTTCACAAACGAAGCGGTGATGAAGGTATCCAGCAGGTGCAACGCTCTCAGTTTTCTGGCACCTTTGATAAAGGTCACAGCGTCTTCTTCCGTTTCTTCAGAAGCTCCTGTGAACGACTGACCGTACACAATCAAAGATCTCAACTCGGGCAACTCCGCAATCAGAGCCCTCAAAAATCCTGTCGGATAGCCTCTCGTAAAAGATTCCAGCGTGAGAGACTGTATTGAAGGCGGTAGATGAGTCACTTTCCACGGTTGCTGCAGCACATTGCCGTACTGCTCCACACTGATTACCGACGTTAGTGTCAGAGCTATGAGGCCGCCGGCCTCAGTCGGAAGCTGTGGGAGGTTGAAATCATTCAGCGGAATTTGAGCACCATTTGCCATGCCGGGCGCTGTTGATTCGTTTCTCATTGCAGCCATGGATTATGACTTTGCTTTTCTTGCGCTTACTTGGTCAACACTAGGAGCTACTTCAGAGTTCCTTATTATCTTACAAGGGAAGGTTTCTGCGGCGCGCAGTAGATGGAGGTTCGCTGTTACAAGTATAGTTCCAATCATTTGGCATTCATTGAGCTAATGATTCCTCCGGCCAAGTGTTGTGCGGGGCGAACACAAATCAGCAGGCCTGGATGATCGGGAATAAGACGTTTCGCGTGGCGCCGAAGGCTGAGTGCGACGATCGGCAGGAAAATTCGGAAACCCACCACGCCCAAACTATGACACTTGAAAATTCGCGACCCCATTTTCTGCGTCCTAGCTCCGTTGTGAATCATGGGTCTTTATACGGCCCCTTTTCGCTTGCCAAATGTATGCTCTTGATCTTTCCCACCGTTTGCGCGACTGAGGCGCCAAGATGACCTCGATCAAAGTGTCGGATGTATCATCGCCGGAACCGGTCCGCGATGATATCATTTCTGAGCACAGCGTGGACGTGCCCGTACCCGTGGACGAAAAGGACCTAGATGAACCTGCGTATGGGTGGGTTTGCACGATCTGTGTGTTCTTCATCAATGGCCATACCTGGGGCCTCAATTCCAGCTATGGCGTGTTCCTCGCATACTATCTTGCCAACAACACGTTTCCTGGAGCCACCCGACTGGACTACGCCTTTGTCGGAGGCCTCAGCATAAGTCAGGCAATGTTTGTTTCGCCTCTTGCCACAGCCTCAGTTCGATATCTAGGAACCAGATACACCCTTCTGATCGGCGTCTTTTTTGAGACCTTGTCCTTCATCGGAGCATCCTTTGCGAAATCCCTCTGGCAAATTCTTCTAGCGCAAGGAATATGCTTCGGATGGGGAATGGGTTTCTTGTTCGCCGCGTCCGTTGGGATTGTGCCGCAATGGTTCCACCGCCGTCGTAGCCTCGCCAACGGCATCGGCACCGCAGGCTCGGGCCTTGGGGGCATGGTTTATTCTCTTGCTGCGAACGCAATGATCCAGCGCATTGGTCTAGCTTGGGCCTTCAGAGTTCTCGGAATCATCTCTTTTTTCGTCAACTTTGTCTGTTCGATTCTTATCAAAGACCGCAACAAGCACATCTCTGTCTCGTTACATGCCTTCGACGTCAGATTTTTCAAGCGACCAGAATTCTGGCTCTTGCTAGGTTATGGGTTTTTCAGCGTACGTCCAGACCCCTTCAGATCCGTAGGACACATATATTAATGTATAATAGATGCTGGGATACATTGTGCTTCTTTTTTCGCTACCTAACTATGCAGACTACATTGGTCTCACGGCAAAACAGGGCTCTATTGTCGGTGCCGTGCTCAATCTTGGTCAGGGCATTGGACGACCACCAATTGGTTATTTCAGCGATTCCGTGGGACGCATCAATATAGCAACTGTAATGACGCTATTTTCGGGCTTGCTCTCGTTCATCGTCTGGGTCAACGCGAAGAGCTTCGGCGTAAGTTTAGCTTACGATTTCGTTTGGTTTTTCCTGTGCTGCGGGATGCTAATGTCGGAAAAAGGTACTCGTGTTTTACGCCTTGATAGGTGGTACAGTTGCAGGCACCTTCTGGCCTACCGTCGGCCCGGTCACCGCAGAAGTCACAGGTCTGGCGGCGCTACCAGCGGCATTGAGTATAACGTGGGTCAATTTAGTGCTCCCGACGACATTTTCGGAGCCAATTGCTCTCGAAATTGTGCAACATACAGGCAGGTACCTAGGAGCCCAGCTCTTCACCGGTTTCATGTACTGCACTGCCGCCTTCTGTATATGGATGCTGAGGGCCTGGAAAATAGGTGAGATGGAAAAGAAACAACGGACACGTGATGAAAGTCTTGGTCCTAGAAATAGCTTTATTAAGCGACTATTTATGATACAAAGAGTGTAGACAAACATATATGTGCTCTTGAGTATAATATCCGAACAGCAAGTCAAACTAACTCTTAATTCTGCAACGGCTCACCTAAGTATCTAAAACAAAAAAGTAGGGTATCTTACTCCGTCTTCACAGTTTGTCCAATCTTGTCTAGTGGCTCACCCTTACCACCGTATGCCTGCGGAACGGACTCGCCAAGTTCCCCTGCAAGCGAGGTAGCATAGCTCATGACTGTGAACTTCTTCTGCGTTTCTTTGGATATAAAAACTCGCATAGCAGTGAACATCCACGACATGATCAAGGGCACGGAGACGAAGAACTTGCGGCTCATGGTTTCGGCTGTGCAAAAACGTCAGCGGCAAAGCCTAGACGACACCCCAAAGCACTTACGATAGTAGGCGCCAAAAACCTCAATTGCTTTCTTGCTCGCCGCTTTGACCAACGGGTCCTGCCTTAGGAAGCTCACATTCATGTAGTCGTGGACCTGAAATCCCTGGTATGGGTCAGGACCCTGACCATAATCAGGAATAGGCTTCGTAGCATTTGCAAGGCCCAGTTCGTGCACAGATCGCTCCATAAGCGCAACTCTCCACTTGATGAACGCATCTAGATCGCCAAAAGTTTCTTTGTTGTCCTTGACAGCGCCATATATATTGAACGTGCACACGTCCACCTCGTTCTTGCTCTCCGGAACGCCGGTGAGTTTGAGGATGTAGCCGAGGCCGCCGAATTTCTTCTGGGAAAAAACTTCATCCTTGACCTTGAGCGGCTGAAATTCCTTTCTCCATTTCAACGTCTTGGTGAGCTGGTCTTTTGCCTTTCCAAGGTCATTGGCATTGGCGCGAAGGAATTTCTGAAGAATGAGTTTGGTGTGAAAATTGCCCTCTGGTTTTAGCGTAACGCCGTAGACCTCCGTGTATTCGCATTCCTTTAGTATTTCGGGCAGGAGTTGAAGAAATTTATGGAGGGGATGTTCGGCGTCGAGCGTTGGCCAGCCATCACCCACGGCTGCAGGTGCTTGTGCTTCATCCTTCGTAGGTGGTTGCGTTTCGTCCGTTGTAGACGGTTGCGCTTCATTCGTGGCCGGCGCTTGCGCTTCGTTCGTGGTGGGCGGCTGCGCTTCGTTCTCAGCAGGCGGTTGGGCTTTGTGCTCAGCAGGCGGTTGCGCTTCGTCCTTAGTAGCAGGCGCTTCACCACTAGGCGTTGGCTCCGTTGGAGGATGTGCAGCTTCGGTCGCTGTTACAACTTCTGTTGCTGGTGCAGCTGCTGGAGTTTCCGGGGCAGCCGCAGAAGCCTCAGTAGTTGCTGTCGTCTCAACCGGAGTCTCCTTGACATCAGCCATGTTCTCTGACTGTCAATACTAATGTTTGCTTCGAGTTCTGTCTGAACTTTTGGTTGCTTCGGAACCTAGGCCCCTTTTAGATGGATTGATAAGATGGGGTGAAGCTTCGGAGCATTACCCAATTTGGCCGTACTACGTCTCAACCAATACCAAGCTGTTTCTTCATGTTGAGACTATAAGTTTTCGAGTGCATAAGACTTTTATTATGGCCATATTCAACTAGATTTTGTGCATCATATACATTGATTTAGAGCCTAGTATTCACCGCCCCATCCTAAGCTAGTTCTATATGGTTTCTCCAAGTGCTTCAGATGCTATTAGCCGTGGCGTTTGCTCTAATTGCATACATCTTATGTATTGTCGTGTATCGTCTTTATCTGACTCCTGTGCGGTCTTTTCCCGGGCCGCGATTGGCAGCGTTGACTTTCTGGTATGAATTTTACTATGATGTCTGGCTGAGGGGGAAATATGTTTGGAAGATTGAAAAATTACACCGCAAGTACGGTAAGGTTGTGCGCTCAATGTGTTGTATCGTGATAATGATGGGGACGCAGGGCCCATTGTTCGAATTAATCCGGAAGAACTTCATATAGACGACCCGTCGTTCTATGATGAGGTCTATGTTGGACCCACTAGGAAGACGAACAAATGGCCATGGAGTGCAAAAATGTTCGGTACGACTATGGCAACCGTGGGAACCGTTGATCACGATATTCATAGACAAAGGCGCACTGCGTTGAACCCATTCTTCTCGAAAAAGTCTATTTCTGGCATTGAACCCAGCATTCAAGCTCATGTAATCAAGCTGTACAGAATTCTTGTCAGTTTCAAAGGCACCGGGCACATTGTGAACCTGAGCGATGCTTTTGCTTGTCTTTCAGCGGATATAATTAGCGACTGCGCATTTGGTGAAACATATGGCCTCGTTGGCTCACCGGATTTTGCGCCAGAATGGAGAAAATTCATGATGGATTTGAGTCTTGGAACGCATCTTATGAAACAATTTGGCTGGGCGTACCAACTGCTCATGGCAACTTTCCCCTGGGTTTTAACTCGTCTGCATCCACTGTCTAGGAAGTTGTTCCAATTGCGCAAGAGTATGCTCATAGGGCAATTAGCAATTATGTACGACTGACATACGATAGGACTGAAAAACCAAATCGAGATCATTCGCAGTTCGGTCAAGGACAACAGAGTCTCATCTAGAACACTTTTTCACGCACTGCTGAATGGAGACTTGCCTGATGCAGAGAAGTCACCAAAAAGACTCACCGACGAAGCCCTTACCGTCATTGGGGCTGGAACCATCACAACCGCGCACACCCTAGCTTTAACTGTGTTTCACGTATTGTCACGGCCGATCGTTCTTCGAAAGCTGCAACATGAGCTTCATAAAATCTTCACCAGTAATACCGAAGTGACTTGGAACATACTGTCCCAGTCGCCGTACTTTTCAGCCGTTGTCACCGAAGGTCTTCGCTTGGCCTTTGGTGTGTCTCATCGTTTGCAAAGAGTTTCGCCCGACGCAGATCTTGTCTATCGGGAATGGATCATTCCAGCAGGTACTCCAGTCAGCCAGACTCAAATGTTTATTTTGACAAGTGAGAAAATCTTTCCCAATCCGCAGGAGTTCATACCCGAGAGATGGCTACCCATTGCGACTCTGATGGGACTACCGTCGGCCTCGGAAGCGAAAAGGTTTTTTGTACCTTTCAGTCGTGGAACGAGATCTTGTGTCGGCATGAATCTTGCATACGCAGAGCTTTTCATAACCATTGGGACACTGCTCAGGCCTATAAACGCTGGAGGGCAGTTCGAAATGGACTTGTTCGAAACGACACAGAGAGACTTCAAAGTAGAATATGACTGGTTCAATCCGTGTGCAGCACTAGACTCACGAGGCCTTCGAGTCTCAATAAAATAGGGTGAGTCAAATATGTAATCAAGCCATTCATAATTATCCTTATAGAGCTATGGAATATACCTCGATGCCTCCAAAGCCTGCACCAATTTGTGATAGCCACCTTGAATACAGGGGGAAAAAAGACTATGAAATTCTACAGCATACCGAAGCGTCTCGCTAGATTGATGCTATCCAAATAGAATCATGGTCGTCATCGTTCGATTATTTTTGTCTTGAAATCATCGACGGTCATGAACTTCATATTGTTATATTTAGTGGACCAATATTCTGCCTGTTTCAATGCTCCCTCGGAGCTTGGATGGATAACGATCCAATTTCTCGAGTGCTCGCGATAATGACAAAATATCAAATCGAAAGCTTTCAGTAGCAAATCGGTATCTATGTGCGTTTCACCGTAAATGTCCTCATTGGACATGTCAATCCACGACGGTTCATACACGACGCCATCCGTAAGGTCAATATTCTCAGTTGTAGAATCTGTTGATGTGAGATCCACTATTTCATCCCATAATAAAGCTCTACTGCATTGCGGGTCAGTGACTAAAGCCTCAACAAACTGTGTGGAGTAGCTTACGAGATATTTCCTGCCTTATGATCTTCAATGTGATCTTCGGCAATTTTCAGAAGCCAGTCTGCAGCCCGGGGGCGCATAAAGAGCCTGCGAGATTCTTGGCCGGGGACTTTGGTTCTGTTTCGCTCTTTAACGTGTCTGATAATTTCTAATACCTTCTCTGGTTCTTGTATAAGAACCTCATCAGTCAAAAAAAGCGTGTGGCCAGTTTTGAATATCCTTTTTAATCCAATACTTCCATTTTTGGTATCTGTTGTAAGTTGGAAGAAGTTGAACCTGCAGAAAAGTAGATAGCTGAGATATGGTATATCGCGATATGCAATCAATCGCTCGTCAAACTATGAGCCCAGTCAGCGTCAAACTGAGTCTTTACGAACTTGTAGAACAACGCAAACACAAAGTAAGAAGCAAGAAGATGTGGCCTGATTCACATTTTCCAAGCGTGACCCTAGCTGAGATGTGGGATGAACTTACGATCACAACTCCTTCATTATGATTTTTGAAGTCGCTCCAAGATCCTAGAAGATCTGGAACGTGTACAATTGCTCCGGACCATCGGAGAATTCTTGCTAGCGCCTCGATCTCTGCTTCCCGGTCATCGTCAAGAAGTAGAAAGACATTCTTTTTAACCATATGAGGCGCAATTGGCCATGTGAAAAGATCTTCAAAGTCCATATCGAATGTATGTCGGAACCATAATCTTATTTCGTTCTCTGCATTCCCATCGGAGGTTTGATCACGTTCTGCTTCTGCTTCGACAGGGCCACCCGTAGCAATTCGGATATCAAAGGCAATCATTTGTTTGGGTGGCTCTTCATCCGCTTGCTCCACATTTCCGCGACTTGGGAAGAGGATGACAGTCATATCTTTAGCTTGCAACAGTAAGGCGCATCCTTCATGAGCCAGATGGTCTGCAAGCTCGGCCACCTCAATTTCGTTCTCAGGGGGTAGGCATTTGCCGGTGGCGACTTTGTTGTTGTAAATTGGAGTGATGAACGCTTCAATATCCGCCCAAGGACTAACTCGCGCCTGTATCACTACCCCTGACTTTCCGAAATAATTTTCTAGTAAGGAACAAAGTTTAAGATCGAGCTCACCAAAGGTTACTGGCACCTGTAACTTTCCCATGTGCACAATGAAAGTGAAGAGATTTTCCGGGCGTTCAACTAAGTTCGCAGGAACGTCGTTTTCTTTACTTGAACATATAAGTAGAGTATCTGCACTCCGTAAGGAAAGCTGTTCAAAGGTTGAAGTTGGTGTTGAGCTACGTCGTTTCGGTGCAGTTCTTGGCAGGTTGTTGTCAGGAATAACATTTACGACGCTAGAGAAGTGGGTGGAGAATTCATTGCTAGGATTGCTTGCGGTATTTTGCAGAAGCCTGGGATCCATAGGCCCTTTAAAGATATCAGCCATTATTCATACGACGAGACATCTCCTTTTATCAAAGCTATAAATATTGAAAAGCCACGATAAATCTATACAAGCTCGATATCTCAGAATTGAAAAGCGTCCTTAGTTGTCTATTTTTGTAATAAAAAGGCAAAAATGGGCAGAAAAGGCTGATTCACTGTCCCAATAAAACTGAGTATAGACACTCTTATCAACCAAAAACTTAGCTGTAGATAGTATCGGGCCACCAGTGCCTGTTTTGATTCTAGTGTTGATATCAAGAATGTACTTACGTGGCGCACTCCGCTCATGTGGTGGACTGGCAAGCAGGGGCCTAATTTCATGAGCAAATTTGCAATCCTCGGCTGCTTTTCGGCAAGGGGGTCCATTATTGTACGTGCATCCAAACCAGAAGTAACATGTTATGGTCTTTGGACAAGCCATTGGGGAAGGGTCAACGAGCTCTCCCAGCGTCTCGTGGGCAAAACTGCAGTCCTCAGCCGAATTACGGCAATTGCCAGCCGCCCAGAAGTGGCACGTCTTTTTCTTTTGAATAAGATGGTCATGGTAATGCCAGTTGCCTTTAATCGGGATCCAATGCGCATATGCACAAGCCGTATCGTCTCGTTCGCACCGAGGTTCACCACGGCATTCGAAGCCACAGACAATAGGTGGATCGTCATACTTCGGCCATCGATCACTACCAGCATCTCTTTCTCGTGCTTGCTGATGCATTATTGGCGTTGCAACGGCTAAGATCTGGTCCTGCTGATGTAGGAAGCGACATTGTCGTTCACCCTCTGGGCAGACCCTATTAGAATAAAAATAACAGCAGATTAGTGGGATGGACTGTGCCAATGGAGAGACTGGCTTCGATTCGGGCTGATCTTTCTGCTTTCTCTGCTGTCCTTGGGATACAGTAGGCATAGTAGATACGACGGGTGTACTTATCGAGTTATTTCGGTGAGTAGATGGCCGAGTTCTCATTTCACTAGGGATCTGGAGGATCAAGTTCTTCGGATCAGGAGGATCTCCATCTTGCTTCCGCCTAGTGGCTGCCCGTAAATGGGAAGGTGTATATATCCTCTCGGGATTCCTCGATTTTGGGTTGCGTAGCTGGGGTTCATCCTGGCTGTTTCTAAAAACTCCCTGCGTTGGAGCTGTTGATTGGTACACGTAAGGTGCTTTTGTGTTCCCTAAAGCATGCGGATTTGGCGATTGCGAGGCGGAACTCGAGGTCGTTGAAGTTGCAGGCCTAGTGGAAGGTCTAGACGCATAATCAGTAACAGATGCATTGGAAAGTGTCTGCGGCCTTTCCGATGAATCTCTTGCCCTCTTGTAAGAGTTGGAAATCAGATCAGAAAGTGGTTTCTTTCGCTTTTTCGTGTTTCCAGATTTGGAGGAAGTGCTAGCGTTAGAGCAAGTATCATTGATCTCGTCATCTCCTCCTTTCTGCGTTTGATCGACGGCGTCCTCGTCACTGTCTTCGTCGAAAGAGACAAGCATGTTTCCATCTGTCTTTTCGAAGGGGCGTTCAGCCACTTCTTTTTGGTTTTTGCGTCCTTTCTTGGTCTCGCATACTCGCGTCCGCTTCTCCGTACTTCTATAGATCGCCACTCGCTTCTCGAAATCAGTTACATTGAATTTGTCTGCAAGGCCTTTCTTGATTTTTTCCTTATCCTTAGTCCAGCATGACAATATCTCGTCCTTGCCATGGGTGATGTCCTCGACTGTCTGCCAAGTGGATCTGTAGAACACTGTTAGGCCATTACTTTCACTGGCCAGGGCTCACGGGGCGATCGGTAGACTAGATAAACGAACGCACTCTTCTTCTGGATATCCTTGCCTACCGTTGGTTAGATCACGGCTTCAAGATTGTAAATAAACCTAAAGTACCATTTTATTAGATACTCAGTTCTTTTATGGTTTCTTCTTTCCGCGAGAATGCAATCTACGAGATACACATCCCCGTCCAGTTCGTCGCCTAATGTGGCAGCCTCATCCTGATCTCCGTGGTCGGGTGAAGTAGCTTTTGTAGCCATCGCAGCTTCGTGCCGCGGTGGTAGAACTAGTCAAACACTGTATTGCGACGCGAGACTAAGAAAGTTGAAAGTCTTCATTCGCGTGAGGACTGACCCAAAAGAAATTCAGAGGCCAGAGGTTGTGAGGAAGCCACCACCGCCCAGCATCTGCATTCTCCAACCACGGGATGAAAACAGATTATATAATATTGTAATTTATAGTGGTCGAATTCCGCATTGGCTCGCGTCATCTCTCACTTGTCGGTGTCACCACTTGCTGTTCAGCATCGATTAAAGGATGGCCGCGCCACTGAAACGGCTTGCAGCCAAACGTGTAGCCATCGTTGGCGCCGGTCCGTCAGGCATGGCAGCCGTGAAGTGAGGAAAGATCTGATCGCCAAGCGCATACGCAGAATTTGACCTTCTCACACATGTAGATATCTAAACGCCGAGAGAGCGTTCGATGCCATCACTGTGTTTGAACAAAGACGTCATGTTGGAGGCATATGGCGGTACACAGCACAACATTCTGGTGACGGCATGTTCGATGTTCCGCAGACAAATCCTCATGTCGGCTTGGAGCAACCCGTGGCAGGAGGAAACAGCGACACCCAGAGCAACGAGTGCCAGTTTCTAAGTCCCATCTACGAAAGACTGGAGACCAACATCCCGAAGTCGTTGATGGGTTATTCCGACACTCCGTGGGCCGATCATTTGCAAGTCTTTCCCCGTCATGAAGATGTCCAGGAATACCTCGAAGCATACGGTGCAGAGCTTATTCCCAGTATCAAATTCATGACACAGGTCACAAGGGTCACTCCAGCCGAGGACGATTCATGGCTTCTCGAGTATAAAGATTTGCACACAAAAAAAGCCCATGCAGAGACTTTTGACGCGGTTGTGGTTGCAACAGGCCATTTCAGTGTACCGTACGTACCGGAAATAGAAGGACTTGCAGAGTGGAATCAACGGCACCCAGGCTCTGTATCCCACAGCAAATACTTTCGTGCTCCCGAACCATTCAAGGAAAAAAAGGTCGTCGTCATCGGCAGCTCAGCATCGGGCCTTGACATAGCCTCGCAGATCTCTACATTCTGCCGGAAACCCCTTCTGCTCTCCCAAAGGTCCGTCTCGGACCTCGCCGCCGGCTTCGCAAACGACCCCGACATATCCGTTGTTCCCCAGATCACACACGTGGATGCAAACGGGCGCACGGTCTTCTTTTCGGATGGGCGGATTGAGCAAGACGTAGACGAGTTACTCTTCTGCACAGGATATCTGTACTCCTTCCCGTTTCTCGAGTCCTTGGAGCCAAATCCAATCAGTGACGGGACACGCGTCGAGCATACGTACAAGCATCTTTTCTACGCGCCGCGTCCCACACTCGCATTCCTGACGCTTAATCAGAAAATCATTCCGTTCCCGTTGGCGGAAGCCCAGTCTGCTGTGCTGGCTCGCGTTTGGTCTGGTCGGCTTACCCTGCCGTCCACAGAAGAGATGGTCGGTTGGGAGAAATCTGTCATTGATGAATGTGGCAGCGGCGGCAAATTTCATGTGCTTAAGTTTCCAAAGGACGCCGAGTACATTAATGAGCTGTATGACTGGGCCGTGAGTGCGGAGAAAGTGGATGGGCTTGAGAATGACGGTACTGGTAAGTTGCCCAAGCGCTGGGGTGCGTGGGAATATTGGGCAAGAGAGAACTTCCCGAAAATTCGAAAGGCTTTCATAATGCATGGAGAGGGAAGGAAAGATATCACAACATTAAAGCAGCTAGGTTTCGAGTTTCCAGACAGCGGAGAGGCTGTGAACAAGGGCAGGGAAAGCAGTTCTGTATCATCATCAGAAGGTTGATTTCCTGCTTCGTGGCCTCGCAGAATGATGCATGGACTATTTACTCTGTCACCTATGCTTCTCAAATTTAGAGATAGATTAAAGGAGTATGTCTTGTTCATCTAGTGTCACAATACTCAGTATTCTGAATACATTATTCGTATAGTCAGGAGATGATCCTTTACGGGAGTTCAATTATTTGAGAATTATCACGGCGGTCAGTTTGCTAGAGACCATTAAACCGTTCGAGTAGATCCAAAACCGAGGACCCAAGAAGAAGCTGTACGTCATTAACAAAAAAGATCTCCATCCAGCACAGGTAAGTTTCATCATCTCGATAGCTCGTTGACTCGCGCCGAAGCAGGCCGCTTTGGGTTGGCACCGGACATGGTTAGACGCTCTCGCGAGCCGTCCAAGTACGCGTTGCTTCCAGAACTAGGAATCTGCGCCTGTTGTGTTCCAGTCATGCCCATCTCGGGGTGCGGATTTGAGAGCGAATTGGCAATGTCCTGGGCTCGAAGCATCGAGTCGCGAGCGTAGCCTCCAGTAGCCCACTTGCGAGCCTGTCGGCGCTTAAGCCAGATACCGCCAAAGACGGCAGCGATGGAGGCGAGGAGAAGGACAATTACCAAGATGATCCATTGGTAGTGGGTCGATATCCTGTTTGATGTTAGAGTCTGACTGGGACGTGGTATTGGTCAAAGATTGGGCGCTACGGCACGTACCATGACTTTGGGCCTTGAGTGCCGCTGTTGCTGCTGGTCGAGCTGTCTGCCGTCGCGGTAGCTCCAGACGATGTTGTCGTCTGGGTAGCCAAGGCATTCACTTGATTGCCCTGCGGCGTGACGACCGCCCCACTCGAACACAACTTGACATACCACTGCTGGATCTCCTTCCTGTCCGATTCCGAGGAACAGGCGTCGTCGCAGGTCGGGCTCACGCCTCCGGCTTTGTAATTGACCAGATAGTTGGAATTGCAAAAGCAGGTCTGGTAAATTGCCTGACTCTGGACAGGTGCAATGGGAGGAACGCATAGCTGGGCTGCGCTGACGAGCGTTTGGCACGAGAAGGCACATTTGGGGAGCTTGGAGGGGTCGAGGAGAGTGCCGACCTGGGCGGCGACGAGGTTTGCCAGGAGCGCGAGGATGAAAAGCGAGGACGTTCTCCGATTCATTGAGAACAGCGTTGTCACCACTGAATGGAGCGCCATCCTGAGGTTGGGAGCGCTTTCTGGCAGCCCATGGCACGGCACCGAAAGCACTCAGTCGATGCTGCAAGGCACTCGAGTGGCAGGCGGAGACAGGATAGACTCAGCAATCGAATCTGCCGTTGCGCGTTCGGCTGGCTAAAAAGGCTGCAGGACTCGCGACGGGATCACACTATGATGAGCAGCTCGGCGTGTGCCGTAGCGAATCCTGGGCGCAGAGACAAGGATCACGTCCGGGTGCGTGTCGTAAAATGAAGCCCAGCGATCAGGGCGGCGCAAGCATTCTGTAGGCCGGTTGGAACGAGTGTAACAGCGTGAGTGACAGTCGAAGAACGACGCTCAGGACGATGGGACGAGCGAGCGTTCCGACAGTGGACGAGCGATGGCGAGCGCAGACACAAGCACCAGCTTCGGCGACAGCTGGCTACTTGCGTGCTTAAGCTCTCGGAAGGCGCAAAGGCAAAGTCGCGCTTTCCCTGTCGCGCGACCAGCCAAGAGCGCCAGAACGTTCCTGCCGGACTCGCAAGCTCGCCCACGCCAGAGGCTCGCCCTCGAGAGCGCCGAGTCGTCCACGGCTCCTGCCAGGAAATCGCGCCCGCTCGGCAACAGCACTGGCGAGCGTCGAGCGCTGGGCCATCGCCGACTGCTCGCCGTCGCAACCGACCCCACACAGCGGCTCTGCCGTCGAACCGCTCAATTCACATGCCTGCCACAAGCCAACTTCGCCCTGGTACGTTGCTAAGTTAAGCCAAACGAGACTACTGTACTTGCATCGATTCTCTCGCTCCGCCCGCGATCGGCCGGCCAATCAAGCCCCTGCCTCTTCAGTCTGTGCCGTTTCAGCCTTGGGACAACCGTGGCCCCAGACACTCGAGCTTCTAGAAGGCTGGCACGCTCAGGTTCCGTCATCTGTGTCTTGCCGTCGTCGCTCCTGTCAGTCAGACTGTGTGTGCCTTTGCCTCCTTGCTCCCGCCATGTCCAATGCACGATCTCAATGGCTCTCACGCGCGCCACGTCATGTGCGGATGGACGGCGAAGACCGAATTCACTTGGACCTTTCATCGCGTTGCCGCATCGCAAGTCACGTGTGTTGATCTCGACTCTTCATCTTCATTGCTGTACCTGCACTTAACGCAAGACACGCGTCCGCATGAAAGGCTAGTCGGACGACAGTACACTCAACAGGCCCACAGGTTGTGCCTCCAGCACCGGCCTCTGCCTTGATTTTCCAGCGGGGAGCCGCAACATCGACGCTCAGCTCTTTCCCTGCTAGGTCTCGATTTGGCCTACATTGCTATATATCTCTGCGCAGTGAATCGCAAACGCCCTCATTTTCAGCGCCGTCATCGCTTCTTCGGGCCCCTGCGCCTCTCCCACACCTGTATGTAACTCTCCTTTGTGCTGATCAGCTCGACATTGAGCCTTTCCACAAACAGATCCTGCATCTCCATCCATTCCTCCCTTGTCCGATCCAGGATTTGGACTTTCCACACCTTCTTCTCCGCTTCCCCCTCCACGCTGTCATCCCTGACCTTGACAGCCTCGTGCGTGATGTTCGCAATGAGATCGTAGAGTACGGGCTCGCCGTGTGGATGCAGTGCAGGGTTTGGCACTGTGTACGGCGCCATGTCGAGCGGCCGTTGGGGATCGAATGTTACAATAGTGGGGTTTCGTTCAGAAATGAACTTGTTGACGCTGAAGCGCTTGATGTGGAAGAGTAGGTAAGGCGGCAGCGGATGCAGGAGTCGGTAGCGGCGGCGATGATTCATGCGCTCTTGGGCTTGGAGCCCGTCGTACTTGTTGAGGACACCACCCGGTCCGTACAGAGGCACATGCGGTATGATGTTCTCCTCGAATTCATCCTGAAAAAGCGGCGCGGGTGGTAGATCTAGAGTAAGGATCATAAAGTGCGTGTTCTCGATTTTGGAGTCCGCGTCTTCGAATCGGAGACGATCGCCCGCATCCGCACGCGCCGTTATGAGCTGGGATTCGATTTGCAGATTTCCCTGGAAGACTTTCTGTATTATGCTTGACCCTGGTTTCGTCTTTGATCCCCCAACCGCAAGGTGCAAATTGTTCAGAAACCATGACATGAACTCCACAGGATCCGACTGTTTGGTCAAGGTGAATTTCTTGTTCGACCGCATGGAAATCTCCTGGAGCAGTTCATGTGGCGAAACGTGCGACTTGAATGCTTTGGGATTCCATATCTTGCGCACGAGCGTGCTGAATCGTTGCGCCAGCGTCGCTTTTGAGCTCAGGTCCTCTAGCATAAAGTAGTTTCGGATGGGTGGTACATGTGCTAATGCATGCATGACCACGTTGAAGTAGTCGTTCGCCTTGATGTTGTTCATGCCCACATACCCGGGTACGTACTTTCTCCCTAGAAGATCCCACGCTTGCTTCTGCTCCTTGTCCAATCGCAATACTTCCTCCTTCGGCAGACGCGGGTCGACGACGAACTTGATATCGTCCAAGCTTTTGCTGTGGACCTCATAGCCTTCGGGAAGCACGTAAACCTTTTTGGTCTCCATGTTGATGAATACATGATGGTCCTCCTCCAAGGCATGGAAATATGCCTGCGACTTTGGACCGCGCCCTTGGTAGTACTTGCCGCAAACGAGACACGCATATACGTTGATATTAGACAACGTGACCGAACACAACTTCTCGAAATCGAAATCCAGCACCTTACGGTCTATCGTGTCTAGATAAAGATCGTCGTAGCCTTCTACAGGCGCCTTTTGCCGTGATGAGGGTGCATCCTCAGCTTGATCTTCGTCATCGATATCTGCTCCCGCCTCTTCCAGCTCTTCATGTAAAGCTTCGTCTCCACCAAGGATATCGACCTTTTCTCTGTCAATGGGTCGTAGTGGCATCAAACGATGACCGTTCGTCGATGTGCCATTGGCTTCATTTTCCTCCTCGCCGTCTTCAACTCTGGCTTTTTTGGGAGCAGGAGAATCCACCGACAATGTCTCCTCAAGTGATTCTTCGGCGCGCCGTTTTGACATTGTTTGCGACTCTTTTCCTGATGAAATGACTGACAGCCTGTACAATGACACAGGTCTCGATGTTTCCGTCCCGCCCTGCCGGTGAGATTCGAGGACTCAAAGTCCCCTTTTTATCTTGGGTATTTGGATGGCCGAGTTTTTGTTAGGCGGCAGAATGAGGATAGAACATTGTAACAGGCAAGAGGTGAGGATGTTTCTCATTCGCATCAGTTCGAGGGTCCGAGCTTCTTGCAGACATCCAAAAAATTACACGCGACTGAATACGCGATCTCCGTCTCAACGTCGACAAGATCTCGTATCGTACATATACGTCAAGATGGTATGTTTCTCGATTGTTTAATTTGCTTAGGACATAACTATCTTGAGCTGAAAGAATCGTTTGCCTTGACAGCACAGCGCTAACCTTCTGCAAATTAGTCGTTCGAAAACCCAACGCAGATATTTGCCCAAGATGTGACAGAAGAGAAGGGCGAGAACGCCAGGCTGTCGGCATTCGTAGGAGCTATAGCAGTCGGCGACCTTGTCAAAAGCACTTTGGGACCAAAGGGTATGGACAAGATATTACAGTCGGCGTAGGAATCTTCATACCCCGCGATCAGCCCATTCATTTGCTAAACCTGCGTGACAGTTCGACCGGAGAAATTATGGTCACCAACGACGGAGCCACTATTTTGAAATCTATAGCTCTAGATAATGCCGCCGCAAAAGTACTCGTCAATATTTCAAAAGTACAGGACGACGAGGTGGGAGACGGCACTACCTCTGTCTCTGTTCTTGCAGCAGAATTGCTACGAGAGGCAGAGCAGCTGGTAAATCAAAAAATCCACCCCCAAACGATCATCGAAGGCTACCGGATAGCATCGCAAGCAGCCTTAAAGGCACTAGAAGACCATGCTGTTGACAACAGCTCTGATCCCCAGAAGTTCCGAAAAGACTTGATCGCCATTGCCCGCACAACCCTCTCCTCCAAAGTGCTTTCCCAAGACCGCGACCATTTTTCCAACCTTGCTGTAGACGCTGTATTGCGAATGAAGGGCTCTACCGATCTTACACACATACAGATAATTAAAAAGGCTGGTGGTAAGCTGAAGGATTCGTATCTCGACGAGGGGTTCATTCTCGACAAGCGAATTGGTGTCAACTGCCCGAAGCGCGTTACCAATGCCAAGATCCTCATTGCAAATACCGCTATGGACACAGACAAGATCAAGATCTTCGGCGCGAGAGTAAAGGTCGATTCAACCGGCAAGCTAGCAGAACTTGAGAAAGCAGAGCGCGAGAAGATGAAGGAGAAGGTCGAGCGAATCAAGAAACATGGTATCAATTGTTTTGTCAATAGGCAGCTCATCTACAACTGGCCGGAACAACTGTTCGCTGACGCAGGCATTTGCAGCATCGAGCATGCAGACTTTGATGGCGTTGAAAGGCTAGCTCTTGTTACGGGCGGGGAGATCACGAGCACCTTTGACCACCCGGAGAACGTTAAGCTGGGCCACTGCGACCTGATCGAAGAAGTCATAATAGGTGAAGACACGTTGATTCGTTTCTCAGGTGTTGCCGCTGGGCGGGCTTGCACAATCGTTCTCCGCGGAGCAACGGAGCAGCTTCTCGACGAGGCCGAACGCTCACTGCATGATGCCCTGGCAGTTCTCTCACAGACTGTCAAAGAACCGCGGACGACACTCGGTGGTGGCTGCGCGGAAATGATAATGGCGAAGGCAGTAGATCAAGCAAGTCAAAATGTGGCAGGCAAGAAGGCACTGGCCGTGGAAAGCTTTGCGAAGGCGTTGCGCCAGCTCCCAACCATCTTGGCGGATAATGCCGGCCTTGACAGCAGTGACCTTGTCAGCAGGCTCCGAAGGGCAATCTATGCAGGAATGACGAGCTCAGGTTTGGACCTACTAAAGCCTGGAGGCGGAATCGCAGACATGCGTGAGCTTGGGGTTGTCGAGTCTTACAAGCTGAAGAGGGCGGTTGTAAGCAGCGCCAGCGAGGCTGCGGAGGTATGTTCTGCCCCTAGTGCTTTACATCTATCTATTTTGTCAGACCACTTACTGATTTTGATTACAGCTGCTGCTTCGAGTTGACAACATCATCCGCAGCGCACCCAGGAAACGGGACAGGATGTGAAATGAGCATGTCGAGTACGATTGATGACACGATTATGTATGCTAAGGCCTGTTCGCGCGTTGTCGTGGTCTACATCCTACATAGAACCAAGAGCGTGTAATGCAAAGAGTCCCGAGAGATATGGGCTGCTGTACATCCCATTCGCTTCACAACTTCCTTGCATCTGTTCTTTCTGTAACTCTGCTTCATTTCTCGACTTTCTCACTTTCGTACGTCGTGTTTCGGAGACTGTCATACAGTCCGCGCTGTCTCGTGTATCCTCTCTTGTCATCACGACCTCAGAGGTATTGAGTCGTCTTCTGCTTAATTTTGAAAGAGAAAAAAATTAACCTCGACGCTGTCTCCTGCTCGCAATCAAAATTAAGGACTTTTCGACAACGCGAAGTCCACAACTGTGTTGATTGCGATGAGATACGTGGCATCCGCCAGGAATTGTTCCATGGTTCGAGGCTTGATACGACCAAAGCTCTCCATGCCAAAGTTCTTCCTGTCACTGCAGTCAACTTTATAGAGAGTCAAGTATATTTTGATCACGTAAAAAAAGCAAATGAACGAAGTCCGGTGTATTCAAGTGCGCGAGAAGGCGTTTCTTTCTCTTACATCTACCAGCAGTATGCTTCGCTCCATCTATAGCACACGAAATCAGAGAGACGATAAAGGAAATCCCACTGTCGAATGTAGTAAGAGTTCTGTACAGTTCGCAACTAGGAAGCAGTAGTAAGCTTTACATGACGAATCTTTCTCATCCACTTCCACTGTCCTTTCATCCTCGCTAAAACCCTTCCCTAATGAGTCTACATCTAACGTTTACTTCTGGAGTTTCGAGGCTGGTGGCGCTGGGGGCGGTGTGTATACAAGCTTCCGTGTTTTGAGAGGCGACCACTTGTACCTGTTCACACAACCAAGTTAGCTATTGCATGATCTTGAGGGAGTTGTACTACAGCATACCTCTTGACCCACACGCTCAGAGCAAAGAGAACGCCAGTCGCTGCCATAACCTTCCAGCCCATCTTTTTACGCTCGTCAGCCTCGGGCTCTGCGGCCCAGTTCAGGAATTCGACAACATCTTTGGCCATCTGAGATGTTGTGGCAGGAGTTCCGTCTTCGTACTCAACGAGGCCATCATACAAGACACGAGCCATAGCAATGCCAGTACCTGGGAAGTAAGGATTGAAGTTTAGGCCTGCCTGCACAGTAGCACCCGCTGGAGGCTCCTCAGGGTAGCCCGTTAGCAGGCTGAAAATGTAGTCGCAGCCACCGTGTCTTGCCTTGACGATGAGAGAGAGGTCTGGGGGCAAAGCGCCATTGTTAGCAGCACGGGCAGCTTCGTCATTCTTGTACGGTGACGGGATGTAATCCGATAGCTTTCCAGGTCGCTTCTCAATCTCACCCTCATCGTTGGGCTCGGTGTCATACTCATTCTCTTCCGCAAGAGCCTTGGCCTCATCAACCGTCATGATGGTGCCGACCAATGAACGATATGGAATACGGGACAGCGAGTGGCAGGAGGCGCATACTTCACGATACACTTGAAATCCTCGGCGCAAACTATAGAAATTAGTTTTTGCTCACATTGTTTGTGCGATATTGGGGCTCGTACGCAGCGTGGTCGTAGGTCTTGTGAAATTTGGTGTGCTCCCACGGGTACTTTGTGGGATGGAGACTGCATCAACATCATCGTTAGCCATCATTGTCCATCGTCAACTCATCAAACATCTCTTCATACCCTTCTTCAGCTGGTGTCATGGCATGTAAAGGTCTGCCAAACATGTGGTAGTACCAGGCAATGGTGCCAATCGCGACAACTGTCGCAGCACCACCGCTCGCCAGGTTCTTCCATGAGGCAGCAGCGGATTCGGTCGAGGAGCTCGATGATGATGCCGCACGCTGTGTTCAAACATCGTAATTAGCCATTGGCCTTTCCATCGTCCGCAATGGCTTGCTAGCCAACGTGTGAAGATTTGTCCCGTACCTTGGATGTCCGGCTAACCTGCTGGCGAGCAGCGGCGGCACCGACCGAGCGAGCCGACCGGACACACGATCGAGCGAGCATTGTGAGCAGTAGCAAGCACAAGCTCCAAGGCGATGTGGAATGGGGTTGGAGGTGATCAAGACGTGAACTCTTGTTGGTGTGTGGTCTACGATTCTCTCAGCAGGTCGCTCCTGCTGCGCCAAGCCTGCGGCCTGACGGGCCAATCGCGATGCCTCATTAAAAAGCTGTCTTTCCGTTTTCTGCCGTACCAACCTACCCACAGTTCCTCTGGCCTTAACATCTGTTCATAAATTGTTATATGTGGCATTATCTCTAATCTTCTCTTGATATGAGCTTTACGGATGGATGCCACTGACTCCCTGTCTGTACATCGTCGGTTATACGCAAAACAGCTGCTAAAGAATCAATGGCCTAGCAACAGCATATGCCTCTAGCAGGGAAATCTTGCGGCTGTCCGGATTCAGCTGCTACAGATTATGACAAGAACATCCGCTTTAGTCGTTGCATGCGCAGATATTTCTCATAGAATTGAAAACAGTTGGGGCTTAGCAGGCCACAGAGCTTCACGCAGCACCAGTTGCAAAGGGCGTGCGTCGAGCTACTACTTTTCCCAGGCCAGTTCCGATATTAATCTAGCTCATTGACATTTGATTAACAGCTTGAAACCGAAGTATCCTCAGCCCGGAATCATAGCCTTGTAAATATGAGAAATTTTTCAATGTCACCTTTGGCACTGTGCTCTTTCAGCTCGTAACTACTCCATACTTGAAAGTGAAACAGTAAGCATCATTTAATCACTAAGAGAAGTTTTATCTGCCTCTTCCTCTTGCGAGGAAGCAGTCAACACTCAACGAACATCGGAACCCTGTGACTTGGTAGTCTGTCTCCATTAAGCCGCTGGAACGCCTGGTTGAGTTGTCTTCGAAGGCCGTGATCGCCCACATTCGTACCATCCTAGACAACATTTGAGGCCCCCAGACTGAGACCCTCGCTTGCCTCGATTATAGCCGGCGAATGATGGGAATACTGGAGCCATCGTTTGGACGGATATATAATAATGAAACCGTCTTCTCGAGCACATGCTGCTCTGAGGGAGTCTGCAAGCGTACCTTCTTCGACACGAACACGATATCTTAGGGAAGCAGGATGCCACATCAAAGAGGCAAAATGAGCAAGAGAGAGAAGGTTTGTGTATCTTTGTTCTCGACATCAATGCTCTCACTAAAAATTGTTTCTTTTAGAGCGGCTGCGCTGACCATGGATAATATTCGTCGTAACATAAGCAGGACGTACGGCATAAAACGTCAACTTGCGACATGTTCGTGTACGGAGAATCAGATTCATGACAGCTGTATTTTACATTCCCTCTTATCGGGCAGAAGATGTCAGCCATATAAATCGTCGTGCTCAGTGTAAGAAGGGGACTGGTCTTCCGCGCTTTGTCCGATGAATCAAGAGAACTCATTCTTTTAAACCCGACCTTCAACCCAGGACTACCAGCAAACCAGATGATAGCGAGTACATAGAACTAAGGCCAAGTGCAAACCAACACTAAAACGGACTTAGGGACACGAGACGAGCTTCGCCGCGTCAAATCACGTGGTTGTGGGCTGATGGCTCATATGATTTTTGGAAACTTTGCCGTAACTTGCGTTGTTGTCCTGCCCGAACTCTGCACGTACCGCGGCACAGCAGAAATGGACACTCCAATTACGGTGGCCGCAATTGCCCACGCCGCCACTGCGATTGGTGAGGACGAAGGTCCGAGATCGGCCCATTGGCACTGGCGGGACCCCAGCGGTTTGGAGGTTTGATGCAATTGGCATAAATATTTTAGAACAGTCACTCGCCGCAGAGCCTACAACTGTGCTTCTGCCATAAATAGCGTGGACACACGAACACGTACGCCATTTTAAATCGAGCGTTCATTCAAGCGAAGAGTATATCTGTGTGGAACAATTGCGAGTCAACATGGCATCTCCAGTAAGTCCTGGGATCACTTTCACGGTCATTCTCGCACAACTACGTACAAACCAAATGACGAGTAATTCTTATGATCTCACAAGCGATCGATGAGGCCAGCAAATCCATCTGCTGAGCAAACTGCAGCTGCTCTTATTCTACCACGCCCTTCATCGTCACACATTGCCCTCTCAGTGCTCAGCGCCTAACAAGTCGCACAGTACTACATCGTGAACAAGCACGTCGGCGACAAGCAAAACTCTGAAGATTGGCGAATTCGTGGCTATAATCCCCTCACCTCACCAGATTTGCTTCAGCACCAAATACCACAGACGCCAGCCAGCAAAGCCACCGTGCTGAAGGGTCGTGATGAAGCTGCGGATATTGTACAAGGCCGTGATGCACAAGGACGACTCCTGGTCATTGTAGGACCCTGCTCTATTCACGACCCGAAGGCCGCCCTCGAGTACTGCGACCGTCTGCTAAAAGAGAAGGAAAAATACAAAAATGAGCTTTGCATTGTCATGCGTTCCTACCTCGAGAAACCGCGTACAACCGTTGGATGGAAAGGCCTAATAAATGATCCGGACATCGACAACACGTTCAACATCAACAAGGGTCTGCAAATCTCGCGAAAGTTGTTCGTGGACTTGACCGAACGAGGCATGCCTATCGCAAGCGAGATGCTCGACACCATCTCGCCTCAGTTCCTGGCTGACCTCCTCAGCGTTGGCGCCATCGGTGCGCGGACGACAGAGAGCCAGCTCCACCGTGAGCTGGCCTCGGGTCTTTCCTTCCCGGTCGGCTTCAAAAACGGAACAGATGGTGGTCTCGGCGTGGCTATCGATGCGATAGGAGCCGTCAAACATCCTCACCACTTTCTTTCAGTCACAAAACCTGGCCTTGTCGCCATCGTCGGTACCGATGGAAACGAGGACAGCTTCGTGATCTTGAGAGGTGGCAAGAGTGGTCCGAACTACGAGGCCAAGTTCATTGCTGAGGCAAAGGAGGCGCTTGCCAAGGCAGGCGTCAATGGTAGACTGATGGTAGACTGTTCGCATGGGAATTCATCGAAAAATCACAAAAATCAGCCGAAGGTCGCAAGCGACGTGGCAAGGCAGATTGCGAATGGCGAAACGGCAATCATGGGCGTGATGATAGAGAGCAACCTCAACGAGGGTGAGTGTTTTTAAGAAAAATTGAACCAATCTCTTTTCACACTTTCTAACATGAAGACAAGGTAACCAGAAGGTGCCCAAGGAGGGTAAGGAAGGTCTCAAGTATGGCGTTAGCATTACAGATGCTTGCATTAACTGGGAAGATACCGAGCTTGTGCTCGCTGAGCTTGCTGAGGCTGTGATCAAGCGACGCAAAACTTTGCAGATCAACGGACATGCTTAGATTCTTTAACAGCATACGGGCGCAGGGCCGGTACGACAAAAAAGTATGTGGGCAGCCTTGAGGGTGAGAATGATTGATTATTGTTTTTGTGCTTTAGTTGTGCATGGCGTTCAAGGTGGGATAAGCATGTGTCGCATGAGCAGGGCGTTTTCCCAGGAAGTCGGGTAGCGAGACTGTGTCGAATGTGATCATGTCCAAAGCAAAGCAGCGAGTGTCGAGCCGAAGCAAAAGGCTGGCTCGACTGTTCGTCCTCTTTTTGCCCCGGCATGTCTGGAGACGAAGTTGGAATCATTCACTATTTCTAGCACATGAATGGAGAGCAAATGACAGTTCGCGGGGAGAAGCGTGGGCCCTGATTTGCAAGCGCATCCTGGCTGACTTCGCCAAGAGCGGTAAACTGCCCATCATTCCAGCCTTTCTTCCATCTCTGCCGAGCGACCGTCTCAGCGCATGCTAGACATCGCCTACAAGTCCAGCTAAACGTGGTCGATATTGCACTCTGACGTCCGCATACCCAGTCTTCTGCTTTGTCCCTTTAATCTGATCCGTTTTCTGCCAGCAGTCACACTCTCTAGCTCGGTCAGCCCATCCTGTTCCGAAGCCGTTCTCTTACCAGTACGCTTTCCGACCAGTCACACCCGGCACCTCGCCTTCACTCTATACTCTTCGCCATAAATTGATCCGTTCTGCTAGAGGAGTCTCGGTCGTGGATACCTACATCTATTCAAGCTGCGCGACGCCGTATATTCCTCCTTCGTTCTGGCGTCGCACGACTAAGGACTCCCCGCCACCACCAGCATGTCTGATACGTGTAAGTGCTCCTGCGCATCCACATTTATAGGACGCGGATGTTGACGCCGCGACCGCAGTGACCGCAGATGAGGAGCGCGAGTACACCGTCATCATCGATGACATCTTGGCGCATTCTGACCTCAACACTGTCTCTGCGAAGGCTATTCGTAAGGGCATTCAGCAGCGAGTCGATCATGACATTTCAGTAAAAAAGGCGAGACCGAGACTAGCCACTTTGGCTATGTTTGTAGCGCATCTATCTAATGCCAAGTAGAAACCCATCACAGACTTGATCATGTCGCGCTTTGACAAGGTCACCGCAGAACAGTCGGCAGGCTCCGCGCTTCCTTCCGCTGAATCTGCTCCTTCTCATCCGGCGCCTCCAGCAGTCAATGGCAATGGCACGTCCGCCTCCCCGCCAGCCAAACCCCAGCCCAATGGCACAAGCAAGAAACGCTCGTCTCCCACACTTGATGAGGAGGAAATTTCAAGCGTTGCTAATACTCCGCCGCCCAAAAAGAAGACTAAATATGAAAAGAGTCAAACGGAGACAGACGCTGAGTATGCCGCACGCTTACATGCCGAGCTGAATAGATTAGAAAGGTCAACTAGAGGTGGCGGCGCGTCAGCGAGACGGAAGCCGGTTGTCAAGAAGAAGAGCAAAAAGAAGAGCCGGGCGACTGTGAATTCGGATGACGATTCCGAGGCTGGGAGCGGCGAGAAGAAAGAAGTCAAGAGGACGGGTGGTTTTCACGTATGTTCAGCTTGTCATGCAATTCTTTGGCCAACCTGTTAATCTTTTTTTATAGAAACCACTTGCGCTCTCGCCACAACTTTCGGCGTTGGTCAATGAAACACAACTCTCACGTCCGCAGACCGTCAAGAAAATATGGGATTACATCAAGGCTCGCGGCCTGCAAGATCCCAACGATAGGCGGCAGATCATCTGCGACGATGCCATGCGCAGTGTCTTCAAGACGGACAAGGTTCACATGTTCACCATGAACAAGATCATCAACACACACTTATATGAGATGGAAGAAGCGTAATTGCGGCACGCATATTGGGGAAATGGAAAACGAAATTATGAGCACAACGGCATTGGGTATATCGGAGGATGGCGACCGGAGCGTGATGATACGAGCTTTAAGGCTCATTGCATGACCTGCCTACACCCAGCACTGGTTTAGGGAATATTTCCGATTAGCATGGCGAATTTTCGGAACTCTTGCATAATCTGACATTTAGCTTTGGTTCTTGAACCTTCAACGAGAGGACATGCGTTCAAGTGGACATATGGTACATTACCCATGAATCGCCAAGCTACTCGTAATTTGAAGGAGATCAGTCATAGATAATCATGGAAGCCTTTTTTTCGGATTTTGTTTCCACCTACGACTTGGATTTTTCTCTTTGCGCTTGTTGCAGCAACTACTTATGCTATTGGAGCAAGATTTCTCTTTTCCTAAAAATAACTACAGAATTGACAATATCGCTGTTATTGGGGATCCATTCAGTCACTAGATCCAAGTCGACAAGATCATAATCGAGACGGTCCACATCAAGGACGGGATAGAGTAAGCCACGCAGGCCATGAGCGCTCCGTACTACCAGCAGAGCGCCATATTTCAGCTTAGACGCCATTGAACATAGTATGGTAAACTTTTCAGCCAGACTGAGGCCAACGAGGGCAGCAAGATAGACAACATCGCTTCCCTCCAGCACAGACGTGGGGACATTGCTTGCTTCGGCATGCATCATGTCAATTTTTGAGTTGAGACCGAGGAGATATGTAAGCTTTTTTGATGCAGCAAGAGCTTGGATGTCGAAGTCGACGTTTGTAACTTTCGCATTGGGAAAATGATGTTTTGAGAGCATGAAAGAAGTTAGTGGGAGTGGTCCAGAGCCGATGAAGGTGATGTGCTCGGGCTCCACGTTCTTTGGAAGTGTTGAGCGAATGAGCGAAGCTTCCACGTCAGTGATGTCGACGTAATTTTGATAATACGGAAAAGCACTGAGGGCCTCGTCGACTATCATCACACATTCAGTAATCATCCCAATCGAGATATAAGAGGCATACTCACAGCCAAGAAGAGTTTGTCTCTTATGATGTTTTGCTATGATCCGATCCGACCAGTAGCATTCCAGCTCTGATTCCCCAGCTGAACATATTGAACGTAAAGTTGGAACGATTTCCTTGACCCGATCGTTCCTTAGTACTCTGTCAACAACATCCTCGTCGAATGGCTGCAAACACAGCGACACCAGCTCATTGAAGACCTGGTTGACTTTGAGATCCGGGACGAGGCTGTGAAGCATGCGAAGCTTTTTATGCAACGCCATGACCTTCTCCACAACGGCGGCCGCTAGAGTGCGATTGGGGTCGATTTCTAGATCAGAAGACGGGAAACCCGAAGAGTCGAAGGCCAATTTCTGGTGTTTGTTGGCATCCTGCGACTTCACCACAATCAATGGGTCCTCAGTATACAAGGTTTCTCTGCGAGCTCGAGGAGCCATCTTTGCGTGTAGATGCGGGCCGTTCCGAAGTTGGTACCGTTCAAATGAGAAGGTTTTTGTTTGGCGGCGCAAGAATTGTGTCTTGAGGAACGGTTTTGCACGCTATGCTGAAGAGCCATGTACCTTGATGGCCACAGGATTTGGCTGCATTGTGTCGGCCCCTAACAAGGAAGAATCTCTTGCAGAACACTTTTTAGCAAATCAGAGGAAACGATTTGATATTACTCATGGGAATGCGCTTTGAATAGGGCGTGCTACGTAAGGAGGAAAAAGAGGCCTATCCCGAGGTCTTCCCAACGTGTATTCGTCTCTTACACCAGTGTCTCTTCCAGTTTCTGCCAGCTGAAAGAATAGCAGGCTATGCTTATATATGCTTCCCATCCATGGCATTGTACTTCTTCTTTGTTCTACCGACTTGACATATGCAGCTTTCTTCCTTGCCACAGATTGTGCGATAAGGGCCGGTGAATGCATACATCTGCGGATGCTTGCGTTGTGAATTTATAGAGTTCTTATCAATTTCTGAAATGGCCGTCGTCTTAGCGACGACACATGAACACGAAACCTCCAGCTTGTTTCGAGAGTCAATACTCCGTCACTAGTAAACGTAAGGATGAGAAAGGAAACCGAAGGAATGTCCACCAAGCTTCAAGGTATCCTCGACGATTTGTTCATGCCGAGAGATATAAGCGCGAAAGTGAAAGAGATACGTTCGCAAGAGTCGGTTCGAAAGGTACGTAGCTTCTACTTCTCATAGCAACCATCAAAACTCCAACATCTGTTCATTTTGCCAGTCACCACGCTGCACAATCGCTTCTAGCTCAATCAAGGTTGATTCCGTTCCGGTCCACGTCATGCAAACATGCGACTTCCGGGTACGATCAACATTGTGAATAATGAATTGCCGAGTCCAGAGTTTCTGGCTAAATATGCACTCCTCAAGCAGAAGCGAAAAGGCGCGAAACGTGGCGCAACAAAGGGAAACAAGAATAGATCGGACAATAAGGCCTCGGGAAACTCAAGTGGCGGCGGAGACAATGTAAAAGGGAACAAAGACGACAACGGAAAGGCTAACAAAGATGACAACGAAAAGACGAACAAAGATGACGACAGAAAGACGTACAAAGATGGCAACGGAAAGACGAATAACGATAACAACGTTGAGAAGAGCGATTTCACTGAAGCTCAAGATCAAGCTTTGATCGAGCACAAGCTTCATGATATGGCATGGAAAGCAATTGCCGCAGACTTGGGTAAGAACGTGGCCCAAGTTAAACAGCGATTTAAGCAAATCAAACCAGCAGATTTCGACGCACGACACTCTGAAGCTCTGGCAGCAAAGAAGGCGAAGCAGCAGCGGGATGAGAAATCTGATGCTAATCAGAACGGTGGAGAGAGGAGCAACGATCGGGACAAAAAAGACAAAGGGATACATAATGGTACCGACACGAACGCAGGTCAAGAGAGTGGATCTACTGGTAAGAAAAAAAGCAAAGCTGATGGTAGAGAAGATGCCCAGAAAGACGAAAATTGGTGGGAACAGCCGGATAAGAACTGGTCGAAAGAAGAGGTAGATTTCTCTCTCTCTTTTTCCTCTCTCTCTTCATTTTTTTCTCTTTCCTCTTAAATTTGTTTTGAGCTTGCGACTGACATGACTTAGCTTGCGGCCCTGCTACATATTTCGAACGAAGAGCTGGTCAACGCTTTTGCTCAGATTTCGTTGCGTCTAGCGGAAGAGGAGGGCAAGCAAGTGCATCCAGCATCAATTGCTGAGAAGATTTTAGGCTCGAAGCCAAAATGGGCGTGATCACTATGCGAGCAAGATGGCGTGCTATCCCGATTATCGCTAAACAGTTGAGGCAGTTATCTCACAACGCCCCATAGGAATTCCTTCGACTCCTCCAGATTAGCTGCGCAAGTGTCGATAGTAATCATGACCTCTGCGACTGATTTACTTGTCTTTTTTGAGATAGCCATACCGCTTTCGTTATCAAATAAATTTGAGATGATTCCCACCTTCACGCGAATCTCACATTCACGATACTCTCTTCGCCTGGAGCAAGGAGGTCTGGGGGTTTACGGCAGCCGCAATCAGACCTTCAGTCTCAATCTTCTTTTGCCATTTCATAGACTCTCCTCTAGCTGTAACGATCGTCATTCGTGCTATAGGTTCTCCTCCACCCAATGTCGGTGTCGCACTTTCAGAGGCTATCGGTGTGTCCTGTTCAGATGCTAATGGAGTTGCCTGCGCTGAATCCATCATGGGGACAGCGCCAAATGTCCATCGGCCAAAGGCCCAATTTAGGATATATCTTCCCGGAAATCCTTCATTCGGTGGGGATGGTGCAGACTCGCCCGTTGATGATCTGGGCGCTTTGAGGCTGTAAAGAATTCCCTTCATTCGGTAGACCTCATCTTTGGGGGCGGCTTTCAGCAAATCCGTGAGCCGTTCAATATCGATTCCGTTTGCGGGGTCATTCGAAGACAACGTAACGGAGAGGACTTCGACCTCGCTTGAATGCTGATCGTTGTGATCATGATTGTGTTTATGTCCACTTTTGGCCATCTTTTTCTCGCTCCGGGCCAATTTCGCGTCCAACCCTAACAAAACCGTTTTGTCTACCCAGCCCTTGTCCGACTGCACACGTGGTGTAGGAACATCAAGCTCTAGATCTAAGATACGATCTATGCAGTCTTCAAGTTGTCTCTCACTCACATGCTCCCATTTATTCAGCACCAGCAGATCCGTATAGCTAGCTTGCAGTTTCGCTGTCATAGACGTGTCGTCATATCCTTTCCAGTTTTCGACATCAATGACAGAAATCACACCGTCCAGGACGTAGTGCTTCGTCTCTTTTGCTATCCTGTTGACTTCCATAGCCAAGGTTGCAGGAAATGCGCTGCCACTTGTCTCAATAACGATACGATCCGGCTTTTGCTCTGCTCGGAGTTGCTCAAGAGCATCTCCTAGAGATCCCACAAGATTGCAGCAGATGCAACCATTCAACAGCTCCCTCACGCCAGATATGGCTTGTGCAGAGGCCAGCTGTGAGTCTACCGCCACATCACCAAACTCATTTTTGATCAATGCAAGGCGATAGTTCTTCGGCAGCTGCGGAATAAGATTCAGTATCAAGGTAGTCTTGCCAGACCCAAGAAAGCCGGTAATTATAGTGATTGGGGTGGGGCTTGCAGATGCCATCACGGTATTTAAAGCTATCCAGCGAGAATGGGAACAAGAAAGTCTGTTTCGGCATTAGCAAAGCCTTTCTATATGGCGAGTGCTCAAGGTTCAGCCAAGATTGCCTTTCTCTGCTCAATGATGAAATTAATCCGATATGCTCCGATGTCGCACGATGAGTGCAGAAAAAAGTTCTGGTCCCTTAATAGCCTTATGGATATGGCGTTGAATCCACGTGGATCATCATACTTATTTGACTCACCGAATTCTGCCTTGGGGCCAGGACCATACATTCTGGCTCAATAGTGTTTCAAGCGTCTATCGGAGAGCACTTTCAGATAGAAGACAGGGCTCAATGGCATCATCTTCGCAATCATACCTTTCCACCAGGTATAACCGGCTAGCTCATAACTTGCCCGACAGAGCGCTTACGCGAAACTAGAGGAGGTTCCTATGGTCTTGGTTTTGAAGAGGTAGTATTGAAGGGTCTTGCGCAGGATGGCGGTGAGTTAATACATGCTGATGTCTCGCAAAGATAAAATCTTACTGGGAACTTCCTAGGCCTGTTCATCCCCCAGGCAATACCATTGTTGAGCGCCGAGGATCTCAGTGAGCTCGAAAATCTTTCTTTCCAAGATCTGGCTGTCAGGATATTCTCCTGTTATATTTCAGAGTCGGAGATTCCTCGCAATGATCTTCGAAAGATTGTCGAGAAGTCCTACTCGACATTCAGAGCCCCAGATGTTACACCCACCGTGACTTTAGATCAAAGTCGCAACCTGTACTTGTTAGAGCTATTTCATGGACCAACCTTCGCTTTCAAGGATGTTGCCTTGCAGTTTTTGGGGAATTTGTTTGAGTATGCTAAGTTGCCATTCTTGATATGCCGGATGACTCTAATATAGCCAGATATTTCCTCGTGCGGAGGAACGAGGGCAAGTCGGGAAAGGACCGAGAGCACCTTACAGTCATTGGTGCGACGAGTGGAGATACAGGTAGCGCTGCAATCTACGGGCTAAGAGGCAAGAAAGATGTATGTCGAGGAAAAAATAGATTGCTTTCTCTAACTAAACATCCTCTAGGTGTCTGTGTTCATCATGCATCCGAAGGTGAATGCCGGCCGTCCTTATGCCCTGGCTGTAGCTAACGACATATAGGGTAAAATAAGTCCCATTCAGGAAGCGCAGATGACTACTGTGACCGATGCCAATGTCCATAATTTGGCCGTCGAAGGCACTTTCGACGATTGTCAAGACTTCGTCAAAGCCTTATTTGGAGATGCAGAGATGAACAAGACGCATCGCTTAGCAGCAGTAAACTCCATTAACTGGGCCCGTATATTGGCACAGATATCGTACTATTTCGCGTCATATTTTTCGTTAAAGCGATCTGGCAAGCTCAACGAAGGAGCTGCCGTGCGTTTCGTAGTTCCAACAGGAAACTTTGGTGACATCCTGGCAGGTTACTTTGCAAAATGCATGGGTCTGCCCGTGGAGAAACTAGTTGTCGCAACAAACGAAAACGACATCCTCTATAGATTCTGGAAAACAGGGCATTACGAGAAAAAGCCTGTTCACGGAAGAGAAGCTGCAGGCGGATACCCCGGAGTCGAGGCTCACGAAGATGGCGTAAAGGAGACGCTTGCGCCTGCCATGGACATTCTCGTCAGCTCGAATTTCGAAAGATTGTTGTGGTTCTTGGCATTTGAAGTCTATGGCAAAGGCGCCATTGAAGAAAAGCAAAAGATTGCTGGCGAGAAAGTCAAGAGTTGGCTAGAAGACTTGAAGGCTGATGGGGGCTTCAGCGTGGAGCCTGCAGTCTTAAATGCCGCGAAACGGGATTTCGAGTCTGAGCGTGTATCTGACAAACAAATCCTCGAGACCATCAAGGCCGTGTATGGCTGGAATGCGGATCAAAAGCATTACGTGCTAGATCCGCATAGTGCAATTGGTGTCAACGCAGCATTGAAGTCTTCTCCATCACCAAGCACAATTACCGTAGTTGCATGTACGGCACACCCAGCAAAATTTTCTGCTGCAGTGGAAGAGGCTTTGAAGGACGAGCAAGGCTTTGATTTCAACAAGACTGTTCTGCCTAAAGAATTCGTAGGTCTAGATCAGTTGCCTAGGCGAGTGACAGATGTTGCGAAAACGGAAGGATTGTCAGGAGTAAGGAGAATTGTGATCGAACAGGTTGAGATGGAGCTTCAAGAAAAGGGCCATTGATCAGTCGAAGCATATCATCTAGAGCCTGGCTAAAACACAGTCCAGCTATTCTTCTTCTCAGACTGAAATTCTACATGCTGGGCCTTCCTAATTCCGTCAGCATTAGACTCCGTTAATGAGTCAACATGATGATCTACTACAGCACCCTATTTGGCATGGCCTTCATGATTTTAAACCTGAGTTCTGCTCAATGCCTTAATTCATCGCAAATTGGAATATTCTTGTGAAATCAAGGACATTATCTGTAACCTTGCGAATCATGCTCGACCGGCATGCTTAGGTCACACCTTAGAGCTCGAAGCAACCTGTACGAAATCGGCGAATTCTGCTCCATGATCAGTTCTTCGCTGACGTGCAGCAAAATCCTCTGAGTGAAAATTACTCTCACTCAGCCATATATCCTACGTAGGAAAGAAACCCATGACTGCCTTCATTTAAGTGCCATTCTACATCATCACTAAAGCAAAACAGCGCCTCAAGCTTTCGTCTTCCACAATGTCTGCTTCAATCACCACAACGGATCTGTCTTCGCTGTATAAGCCCATCGCGAAGGGCAAGGTTCGAGATTTATACGAAGTCGATGAAGCAACTCTGCTTTTCATTGCAACTGACCGTATTTCTGCATACGATGTGATCTTGAAGAATGGAATCCCAGATAAGGGCGCCTTGTTGACCAAGCTCTCCGCGCACTGGTTCGATGTCCTCACAAAAGCCATTCCTTCGTTGAAAACACATTTTCTGACTCTGGAGCTCCCACCTAAGCTTGCAGGAAGCGAGTTTGCAAAACAGTATCTTGGCCGAAGCATGCAAGTGCGCAAGCTGAAAGTCATTCCTCTTGAGTCCATCGTGCGGGGCTACATCACTGGCAGCGCTTGGACTGAGTACAAAAAGCATGGTACAGTCCACGGCATTGCCATGCCGGCGGGGTTGGTTGAGAGCCAAAAGCTAATGACACCAATCTGGACCCCGAGCACAAAGGCTGAACAAGGAGAGCATGACGAAAATATCAGCCCTGAGAAAGGTGCGCTTCAAGAATATTTGGGCCATTCGATAGACTGACCTTTTTACAGCTGCAACCATTGTTGGGAAAGACATCGCGGACCGAGTAGAAAGGCTGTCACTTGATTTGTATACAGCTGCCCGTGATTATGCCGCGGATAGGGGCATCATTATTGCGGACACTAAATTTGAATTTGGGCTGGACGAATCGACTTTACCTCCAACAATCGTTCTTGTTGACGAGGTATTGACTCCAGACAGTAGTCGTTTCTGGAGTGCAGCCAAGTATCAAGCGGGCCGCAGTCAAGAGTCACTCGACAAGCAGTATTTACGAGACTGGTTGACCAGCAATGGATTGAAAGGGAAGAACGACATAAGCATGCCAGAGGAAGTAGTGGCACGAACGAGAGCTGGATATGTAGAGGCATATGAGCGACTCACAGGCGAGAAATGGCTAAGCGGATGACATGACTGTTAAGCCTAATATTTTCTGAATACCTGTGGTGAAGGAATACGCTTCCAGAGCACCGTTGACCCTACATCTTCTAGCAAAATTCTGTTGTACATGTTCTTGAGCACTCCCAATATAGTATCTTTAATCGATGACATCCGGGTGCATAATGAAGACTAATAGAACGTCGGATCATTGCTGATCAGCAAAGCAGCCCCTACGGTTGAACTTGTGCGGAGGTCGACAAATGGTTACCTATTTGGGCATGCACGTGACGTGTTTCGGACGCGGCTAGCGAACTTTCGTTTCGAGCGTCTGAGCGAGCGCATATCACACAATGTCATCGCTCCGAACATTTCTCGCCCGGCGATTATGCGGGCCAAATCCATCAGCATACAGACAAGCACAGAGGAGATGGGCGCGCGTCCATGATGTACGGTACTTCGCAAACCACGGAGTTCAGGAACGAGTCATCGACAGGTACAAGGACAAGTTAGATAGGAAGGCTAAAGAGTGAGGAGCCATCTGGGATCGAAACCTATGACTTCGGAAACTGATAAAGTCATGCAGGCAAGGCCACAAAAGTGTTAGCGATCTTCAAGAGGCCTACAAGGACAAAATCGAGAAATTGCGGAAGGAAGCCGTAGTACCCGGCGCAACTGGCCCTCTCGAATTTGATGGCAAGAGCAAGGTGACTTCGGCCATCGGAAAAGAGACTGGATTTGCAAGGCCTCCTCCTCCTCCTCCTCCTCCTCCTCCCAAGCCTGTGGGCCAAAATGCAGACGCGGCGTTATCACCACCAGGCATCAAGACACTCTCGTCGTTTCTCGATGTTGCGAAGACGAGAGAATTGCCACCAACAGAGATAGAGTACATTTGGCGCATCCGGCATGCATCGAACCCACAGTCGCTACACTTCATCATACCGCAAGAAACGTATGCGCACATCGCTTTGAACGCGAAGAAACACCCCCAGTTCATCTTACCATTGCCGCGAGAAGAGGAGGGTGCGGAGATACACTTTTTGCAGTTTACCTGGCCTCACACTCATACTGTCAACATATTGTTCACTCATCTGGCAGAGTACAAGCTGCGGGGTGAATTCGCGACACCTCACACAACAATATCCTTGCATGAGGAGCTACTGCAGGACAAAGGTGTCGTGCTAGGCCAAGGAGTCGTCACGGAGAACCGAGGTGTCAGTGTGGACGAGGCAAAATGGTTGATGATGTGCCTGCAGAAGTTCTATGGCTTGCAGGGCCAAGAGAGCCAAGCAAGGAAAAGACTCATGGAGATGTTCAGCAACGGCGACGTAGGATTTGATGTACAATTATTGCTCGACGAAGCCGAGCGGATCAACTGAGCCTTTCATGTTTCTGGCTATGTACTGGATAGATCATGGGACAGCAAGGGGGCCTCGTGCCCACCTACCCCTTCTTACCGGCCGAAAGGTCGAAATATTGAATCTCTCTTCTCCTAGTCGAAATAAAAAAAGGTCTCGTCTTGGTAGCTTTCGTAACCCGTCACGCTCCTGCTCATCTCCAACAAGTCTCGCATCATCCGCGAGATCTACCGCTTAACTTAGATCATGCCAGTTCGACATGGTTGAGAGTGGATATCTGCAAAGCTTCCGCAGAACAGACCACAGCCAAGCGAAGTCTCATCTGCTCTTCATTTCCACATTTCACGAGCCATCCAGAACTGCCACCGGAGCTCATGATGCAGGAACGCAAGTATGACTCTGTGCCTCACTTCGTGCTTCATCAGCCGCAATCATTCTTCCGACTTGCATCAGCATCTCCCGTTTCACCTTCTCAAGAAAGGGCGACGCATGTCTCAGACTTTGCCAGACAACCTCACGAACCATCCATCACGCCCCAAGAGAAGACGACATCTCACCTGGGGGCTTTGATTCGCCCCAGCGTGCCCTTCAATCTCAAACCCGCACTTAGCCTCAGCGCTTAAGTGCATTAGCGCGTAGCGAGTCGCGGCTCGCTATTGGGTACCGGGGAACGGGAGAGGGTGATCCCCAGTGCTGGGATAAACGTTGTCTACTAGCTCCTAATTTTATCGATTGTCCGCAAATTAGCGTGATTTGCACTCGTGAGGACTGGTGAATCATTTTGGCTGCTCAATCGGCAGACTAAGGAGAGGAGAGGACAGTGGGCAGGAGTACCTCGGCGAGATATTGGATGCTTGAGATAGCACATGATGTAAACAATTCCTTGCGAGGCCCAGCGGAGGAGGAGCCGTTTCTTGAGATGGTTGGATTATTGGCAAGGCTGCTTCATGCAGCATGGAACTATTGAACCTAGTACCTGATCTGTGACTGCATGTGCTGAGACGGCATAGTACAGCACGGCGTGCACAGAAAGCTTGGTGCTAACTAGTCATGTGCATCAGTCACGCCGCAAGACTGTCGGTGTGCTTTGCAAAACAAAGGACAGACTAAAAGGCGTGAAAACAGGAACAACACCATAAGTGGTTTATCCAGACAAGAGTTGAACCGGATATAGAGCAATCATGGGCTCCACATAACTCCATGCAGAAATTAAAAAAAAAAAGGTACGCAAATGCGCAATTGATCTCTTGATCCATGTATTAATAGTATAATGTTGGCATCGCAAAAGCCGCGGCCTGAAATCAAGTACATGACGTTCGAAATGAGATCAAGACCACTGCTTTTTCAGCCCGTTCATCCAATAGTCATCAAGTCATTCCCGAGTAATATCGGTTTCAGGTCTCGTCCTAGTCTAAGGAGAGGCAATGCGATACAAATGAGACAACATACAGTTGACAAAGACTTCGGTGAGTCACTTAGGATAACTTTCACATCTCCAGGATCGTGAAGGTGTCGTGGGGGTCGAACGACACTGGGGTGCAATGTCGAGATGATTGGGTGTTTTGGATCAATACGTAAGGTGCTATGAAGATTCATCGGTTGCTTCGACCTTTCGCTTCTTGCTTGGCGGAACTGGCTCTACAATGGGCGTGCGCGAATAGTGTGTGATAGTCCTCGTCACAACCTGGCGGACGCTCATGTGCGTTGTACGGCTCTTGTCAGCGTCAGTTGAGTCCCGTGGTGACCAGGCGGCGCTATACGGAGAGTACAACGAGGACGCGCTAAGAGGCGACCGTGCATTCCCAGGTGAGTACGGACTTTGGGGAATATGTAGCCGCCGTGGGGTTCGTGCCGATACAGGACGCGTGAATGGTGATGGAGGTGGAATGACTCTGCCTGTTGGGGCCGAGATTGGCTCTGGTCGCTTCCTTCTCGTCGTCTCTGACGAGGCTGAGGATAGGCTGCTTGACCTTGAGCTTTTCGATCGTGGCGAAGACGGTTTTGAAGAATCCGCTTGCGCAGTGGATGTGAAAGATGCCGACGATGCCGTAGTGACGATTGACTCCGTGGAGGATTGGGAGGAGAGTGTCGGTTTCTCATTGAAACTGAACCGGGTGTTGGAAGCAGATAGCGGGCTCAGAAGAGTCGGTGAGAGCTTTGAGAGGAAGTCTAGATATGCTGCTGGAGGTGTAATGGGTGTTTTTTGGTTCTCCTCCTGCTTTATAAACGTTGGCGTGCCAACACATGGGCTGCGCATCTCGGAAGGAAACGAGGCTGACAACGGCGTCTTCAAGGCCGACAGCTGCGGCTTTGTGGTTGTCATGATTAAGGCCGACGAAGACCTTGAAACTTGATGAGCTTCAAGGTCACTCTGGAGAAGGCGAGTGAGGTCTTGACAGCCTGGAGACGTGTGAGTGAAGGAAGGTAATGGACAAAGCAATAAATCATGGGAAGCGACCCGACAGAGCGGGTTAATGGCAGCTAAATGACCTTTAAACGTACCTAATTAGCCGCCGCTTGGGAGCGAGACCAAGGCAAAGAGTCCAAGTCGAGCTGCACGCTGAGAGACGCGAACAAGACAGATTTCGCAGCCGGGTTGGGAACGGCCAGCGACGCTATAAGCAGGTAACGAACAAAACCCGGCGCTTCGAAAGGGCGGCAGGAAAGGCTCGAAGATGTATTATGGCCGCAAATCTGCTAAGAACAGCTCAGAAATGCACCTTAGGCGCCCCTAGTCCCAATGCGGAGACGCTAAGGGCTGGAGCTCGGCTGGCAGGCCTATTGGAGCGCGGAAGCAGACAAAGGAGGCACTGCAAGGCCGTGCCCTGTGAACTTCGTTCTGCGCTTCTGTGACCTTTCGCTCTTGCAATGGGCTTTTGGCTGAAACGGGGAGTGTGATTCGTCTGTACGCCAGATGCACCAGGTGTCTGACGAAGCTGACAAGCCAAACAAGGGTGGGGTGGACGACTGCAGCCCTTCCGCGTCGACAACGTTCCGGAAGACTTTGCTTTGGGAGTGGCTGAGAAGGGATCTGGATCTGGCGGGCTGCCTTGTCCCCGTGACGGGCCTGTAACGTGTATGTCAGGCAGGATTGGAGGTCTGCAAAACCCGGCCCCCAGTCGAATCGTGTGCGGAGAATGAGGTGGAAAAGGATACGATTCGAGATGTGGATGGCCAAGATCAGCACGCGGTCGACGAGAACGAGCTCAAAGTGAAGTAAACCAGTTCCAGCTGGACGTGATCGCAGATAGTGCCAGCGTCAAGACGCAAAGCACGGCCAGGCCGACGAGGAGTGCCTGGGCAGGATGATTGTGACTCGGGAGGCAAAGTGCAGCTAATTAGGCTGCAAGAGGAAAGATCGTGGAGAGAGAAGAAGAAGGAAAAAAGAAAAGTGAGCCGGGTCTGCTTTGCAAGATACCGTGACCTGAGCCCGCATTTTATGCTCAGCTTCAGGCTCCTAAGCAGCCAGACTTCTAAACTTGGTTTCTTGGACTCCGAGATTCGAGAAATCAGATTTCCGTGCGTGCGTGTGTGCTTGTGCGCGCGCTTGCTCTCTGTATTCGTACTTGGGATTTGGAAAAGAAATAAAAAGAAACCCGTAAACAGCGTCACGCTCAAGAGGCAGAGTGGCTGACCGCTGGCCTCTACCGTGCCTGTACCACATCGACTTCGAGGGAGCGCTTCCTTGAAGCTGGCGTCGCGCCGGCCCGCACACGATGTATTCCTGGCACTTTGAGCATCTACTGGTCAGGGCCATTGGAGCTACTTCGCTGTTCGCGGGTACGTAGGGTTTGTGGTATTCGTGGTTCCAGGCGCCTAAAGCTGTCAAATGGCCATCAAGACCCGGCGCTACGTTAGCCTTGTCCTAGTCGAGCTAGATCGCCAACCTTAAATTACACCACCCGGCGCTATATCGACCTTCTTAGACACCAATCACAACTCTTCCATGTCGTCGAGAGGAGCAGCATCATATGCATGGAAGTATTGGAAGGCTTAGAGGACGCACAAGATAAAAAACGAATCACACTGAGCAGGTTGGAGCACGGAGAAATGCAGGCCAACTGGCTGATGTTCGTTGTAGACTCGAAATGCTGACCATCTCTTTTACATTGTGCTTGTACACGTCATATGCGTATCCATCAGTGCGGCAAAAATCGACATGCGATCACATGGCGCTTCAGTGCTTTCGCATCCGACGAATGCCGCTGTAGGATTCGTCCTTGGGGGACGTCGTCATTCCTTAAGCGTCGTAGTGCCACGACAAAAGACCTTCAAATTTCTATGTACAAACACGACCAGCACGGTGCCGTGCTGCACCTTGCGAGGCGGAGGTTTGAGTAAGACCTGAATCACGAAGTAGATGCGAAGCTCAGTGCCTAGAATCAGCCCGTAGACAGAGCGGCTAGCTCATCAGCGCCCTCAAAAGGCACCACCTGCGCGCCTACCATGATGGTTGGAGCCTGTGCCTCGGGTGTACGGTCGTGCGCGGTCTGCACATGGCAAGCGTGCTGACCAAAATACACTTTCCCGTCAAATCTTCTGGTCTTCGCGAGAGTGCTGAAGGGTTCCGACGCCCGCTCTCCCGTCTCTTGATTGACACACACCATCTGACAGCGCGTACACGAGCCCAACATCTCGAAATATTGACCCCCTATCTTGACAAATTTCCAAAAGTCTTCTTCGTAGGGGGACTGGAAGTAGCCATATGCGCTGCTTCTATGATATTCTGCAACGACAATGTTTGCACGGAAGGCCTCCGCATGCACGGCCCTGCCGCCGTTTGCCTTGATCTGCTCGTTGAGGCAGTTGAGGCTTGATCGCGAGATCATCAAGATCGGACTCTCATTTGATAGCAAGATGGGATGGGTAGGGATATCGACAGCCACGCGTTGCTCGTCAACGGGAAAGCTGCCGGGGATATGATGTTGGTCATGATGAAGATGCACTGCTGGGTCGTCCCGTCGTTGAAAAGCCTGCCGATGAGCTTTAGCGTACCTTGAGAGTCCGTTCGGCGGAAAACGAGCTAATTGGCAAGCCACCCCTAATGCTTCCGTAAAGAATTGCGTGATGGCAGGTGACTGGTACGTGCGGGCGGCTACGGTATCCCCGCAGACCTTCGCATTTCGTACTTTAAGCCCATGCTCTGAGGAGAAATAACCCGGGTCATCTGATAGAGGAATCATGATCGGTCGAATGCCAGCCTCGCTGTCCGCAAAGCTCACGTGCATGACACCCTGCTCCAAGTCGATCCTCGGCTTGATGAGTGCCATACGTGGGTAACGCTTTTGACTAAGAGCAGTGCCAGTCCCCGGTCGAACAAGGCACCACTCTCGATCCCAGGCGAGGCCTGTTGGGTGTACATGCCAAGGGATGCGAGGTGGTATCCTATATCCCGCACAGCTCTTGATTGGAAACACGGTAAGACTTTCGACGTACCAACGGTCTTCCTCGCGTGAAGGACTAGGCGGAAACTCGAGGATCGGGACATGTTGTTCTACAAAAAACTCCTCCATGAAATCCACAAACCTTTGCACGTCCCGCATCGTGCTCATGGCACCCAAGCTCAGGCGTATCATTCCTGTGGGTTTGCCGTGCATGACATCGCCTTCTTGCCCGCAACGTTGTCCGGCGGAAAAGTTTCGTTTCATCTCCCACGGTTCCAACTGCAACGACGACGCTATTCCACCTGGATTGCACAGTCCGCCGGTGCGCAATTGAATGTTTCGAACGGCAGCCAGTTTTTCGACCTCCGAGTTAGGCACCCAGCCGCCATGCACGTTCATGATGTTGAACGCAACGATCGGTCCTTGAGTTCGCGCGTCGGCATAATCGCTCGTCGCGCCTTTATACACGTGACAGACCGGCCGTCCATTTCCGTGACGAAGCGATGCAAGCTTGTCGTAGAGCGTTTTCGCCAAAAGCGCGCAGTGCTCAGAAACGCACCGTAGCGACCCGAACAGCTCTTGATGCACGTCCATGGCAGAATGCAACGCGATGATGCTGTGTATGGGAAGCGTGCCATCCTCGAGCTGCTCGTACAAGCACTCGGCCTTCTTCGCATGCCACTGCTCTTTCAGGCACAAAACCATGTCCACCGTCCCGCCGCCAAAGTATTTCCTGTTCTGGAAGATCTCAGAAGCGGCCTTGCGAACGATGAGGGCACCCAAGTCTGGAAAGCCGAATATTTTGTACAAACTCATGACCGTGAAGTCTGGCGCTGCAGTCGCATCGCTAAGGTCCAGTGGTGTGGTCGAGACGTACGCCGCGGCGTCGAGCAGAGAGTACGTAGACTTCTTCCTCCGAGCTCGTGCACACCACTCCAGTGGTAGCCGCCGTCCATTCATGTTGGATTGCGCTGGATAGGCAAGGACTTGGTACTCAGACCGCTCCTGGTCGTTGTCGTCCTGCAGCCAATGCTCCACATCCTCGTCTGATCCAAAGCACAGATAGCGGTTCGCCACTTCCCGCATGCCTACCAAACTAGTGTGAGAGTCGATGTGGTAGCCCAGCCAATATCCTTCGCTGCTGTCCCGCAAAGCGTCCATAACAAGCTTGATTCCAGCCGTTGCGTTGGCCACAAATACGACCTCGAAGTCGTCCGGGCTGGCATTAAACAGGCCTAGCAAACGGAGCCGTGCGTCTTCAATTCGCTTTGACGCATTCTGGGAAGCCGCAGACGCCGAATGTGGGTTGCCGTAAAGGTTTCCAACCATATCTGCCGAGAAGCGTTCGATGGTTGACTTCGCGTACAGGGTAGTGCCTCCATGATCGAGATACGTTACGTCTGCGATTTTGCTGTCGTGAGTAACATATTCCATGCCCGCTCTCAGTGTGCAGCCCCACCTTTCAACATGGGATATTCTCGCTCTCTAATGCTTTCAAGGTGGCTGTCGTAGCCGACCTGTTGGGTGTGTGCCATGTTCAGCACTGGCAGTGTGAGCGAAGATAAGACCAAAGCTAGCGACGGGGGCGAAGCACCCGCAAGCGACAGTTCTTTTCAACCGCAATCGATAAAAGGAGGACAGAAACTAGGCCGTTGGGCATCCATGAGAGACGGGCAAGCGTTCTTTTGACCTTTCTGCACTGTTTATGGAGGTCTTGACTTGGAGAGAGCGGAGCATGCCGGTCTCCGTCGCCGCACGTCGTGATTGGATGGCAGATGGCGGAGTGATCTCACCTGGACCAACATTCCGCGATGGATCTTGCATGGCCATGCATACCGACACGTCCTCTCACGGCCGACTTTCCGTCCAAAGGCGGTGACAATAATTGTTCTTGGGAAAAATCCCATTGCATGGAAGGCTCGCACGCAAGTAACGAAGCGATCAAGCTCTTCAATCAACAGGAACGGCTCTCTACAGATGTTTCGCAAAAGGAGCGAGGGACGAGTTTGAACCTCTCGGCAGGTTTCAATCGTGCTCTCGCATAAAGTGTTGCAGAAGATTTGTGCATGTGAATCGCTTCAATCCTTTCATCCTGCCCGGGTCGTGATCCTGGAGGACGTATTGTTCGTCGTGTGCCTTGTTGAGGCTGCACGAGCAATGGTGTAAACGTGTTGAATTGTTTCTCAATCTCTAGGCATTCAAAGGGTAGGAAGTAAGACAAGAAACGGCAAACCATATATCTCTTTTTTTGCATTAATTCATTCTTTCCTTCTTTCGGGGTGGTGAACCGCGCCACCTTGAGCTTTGTTGCTTCGTTTGTCACTCCCAAATCTCTCTCATGATAGGAATAGGGTATAAGCTACATTAACGATGCCAGCCATGTCGAAAACCCACACCTCAAGGATGCGTCGAAGCCCACCTAAGTTGAAGAAAAAATTTTTATGTTATCAACATCTGATGCTGTGCTCCTTTTCAAATGAAAAAACAAAAATGAAACAAAAAAGCATGTGCGCCAGGCAAGGGCATTACGGATCTCCAGCGTCCTACTGCTTCTTCTTGGCCACGGTCTTCTTCTTCTCCTCTTGCGTCTTCTTCATCTCGGCGATCTCAAGCTCTTCTTTCTTCTGTGCATACCACTGGCCAGCCTGTAAGACCAGGATGCCTATCAACACTAGAGCAAGGATGGTGTTGCTGGCAGCCAAAACCCGAAGGCTATCCTCCCTGCCGATGACCACCACGCCCTGTCCACCATCGGTGAATTGTGAGAGCTCCGCCTGCGCAGCGGTAACCTCGCTCTCGAGAACGTCGATATCGTACTTGCCCTCAGTGACCACCCGCAGACCCTTGACGATGTTGGCGATGTAAATGGTGATGCCGACCATGTAAAGAACAAGGGACGCGCCGTCAAAGAGCATGTTGGACTCGGACGGTTTGTAGAGCTTGGTGATGAAGCCGACGAAGCCAACGCCGATTACTATGTGCAGGACGCGGCTGATAAGGGGCGGGCTGGCATGCAGGAAGCGCAGGTGCTCCTCGAGCCGGTCGAAGTACGGGGTCCGATCGACGGGCATGTGCCACAGCACATTGTAGTCATACGGGAGGGAGATGAACAGGATGCCAAGGAAAAAGCATGTCGCTGTCAAAAAGGCTGGGTGTGAGCTGGGTGTGTCGCCCAAGGCTTGCGCAAACGTCTGCACTTACGGCCGATGATGAGGAAGGTTGCGAAGGAGTTGACCCCAGTAGGCATGATGGCTTTGTTTGCAGCGGCGCACGTTTGTTTTGTCGTGGGCAGGTGTGTAGAGCGCGCGCGTTCGACGCAGACAAAAGCTGTCGCGAACTCGATGACAGCTTGAGAGGTTTCGTTTGTGCGGAAGCAGTCGAACACCCGAGGAGCTCGCGGCCGTCAATGGTTTCCTCGTCTGTAGCGCCCTTGCGCGTGTCTGCGTTCGTCGCGAGGAAAAATAAAAGAACAAGGCCTGTGTATGATTGGGAAGAGGTGTCTGGGTCGAAAAGGAGCGTTCGTTGCCGGCGGCGTCGAGTGGGCACGAGATACGGGTTACGGAGACAAGCTATGGCTAGGCTAGGAAGGTCAGTAAGTTTAGTAAGTGTTGCTTTCTGAGTGGGTCTGCCCCGTCAACACCCAGAGCACCACGTTGAGGTAAAAAGCTCCAGAGTTGCATCTTTTCTTTTCTTTTCTTTTTCTTATTTTGGCCCTATCTCAATCCGCCGACCACATAATTCACGGTTCCATACCCAGCACGATTCAGCGGCTTCAGTTCCCCGTTTGCATGCGCCGATGCTCGTCTTCCTGTACATATCATTCGAATCAGGCGACGAGCTAGAATCCAGTTGGCGATGACGTACTCACATCTCCCGCCGCCGATTTCACTTTAAAGGATGTTCTGAGTTGGGAGTCTTGCACTGCTCGCAGATGATCGTCCGTGTCAATCGGCAAAAAATTCGCCTCTACAGGTACAACATGCGAGATGGATGACATCCATGGCCTAGTCGTCTGATGCTGCAGCAGCTTGACTTACAAGCACTTTGTGCGACGCAAGTCAAGCTGCACGACCGTGACGCCCGTTCTCCAACCTGACATGTCTGGAAGTTTAGATTCGAAGAAGCTGCAAGATGGGACGGACGGTCGATGAGGGCGCGCAAGCCGACAGTAGGGAAATACCATGCTAGCAACACGTGAAAGTTCGCGCCGATACGTCATCTATATCCTTCAACGAAAAGCAGAAGTAAAATAAAATAAAATAAAATTCAAAAAAAAAAAAAAAAAAAGCCGAGCGGGAGAGCATGCTCTTTCGCCGCCAACTCTCAATCGCACGTTCCAGACAGCAGGCTGACATTTGGTCTCAAAGGCAGTGCGACCTCCTACCGCAAGTCTCGCATATTCTTCACGTCCGCTGTTCAATCAAGTACTGGAGAATTCGGCCGTCCTTCCGTTTCTCTTGAAGCGTTGGCCTCTCCGTTCTCAACCTTTACCACTTGGTTCCACAGGCAAAATCCTAGCATCTGCACCCAATGTGTTGAACCATCCTTTCGGGCCCTGCCCACCAAGAGGCGGCGATGCACACAGTTTTGCTCTGCAAATTCTGAAGAGGTTGGGAGAGGAATGGTGTGAGGTACTATCACAGCGCGCGCATGGCTGTCCCGCCTACGACAGAACAACGGCTTGGAACTGCTTTGCAAGCTTGGCTGTGGCATGGAAGCGGAGTTAATGAAATTATGAGAATACTATAAAGGGACGCGGATTCGCTACCGCCTCCCAAGTCTTTTCACCGAGCTTCAGTCCACCTAATCCACCAAGTCCGCATACAAAAAAGCATGTATCCAACAAGGACAATCAATTAAAAAAAATATCTCAATGAGATACAGCCAAGAATGCCAGCAAATGCGTACCAATCGATGAGACAGGTCCTGAAGTGTCGCTTGAAATTCCCAAAATCCAGTGAATGCGTGACCCAAAGATGCAATGACAGTGAGCATTAAAACTTGCTTGAAGTTGTGGCGAAGTACCCAAAGCTTTCCTCTCGCCAGGCGTATAGTGAAGATTAGTGTGACCCATACTTTGAACAGTGAAGTACTCCACAAGTAAATTTTATTCCACCAAGATGCAAGCAGAAATTAAGTCCACAGGCGATGTGCTATTACGGATCTGTCCCTAGGATCCCACTATCTTCTTCTCCTTACCGTTCCCCACGCTTCCTCATCGTCGTCGTCTTCCTTTCCTTTTGACGTGCTCTTCTTGCCCTGATGGATCACAGCGCTCAAGAAACCAGACTTTTTCCTCTCGCCTGTTTGTGCCTGGGAAAGCTTTAGAGTGCTGCCAGCCGTCACCGTGGAGCCGCCATCGCCGAAATTGACTGGCTTGTACCGGGCGGGTTGCCCAATATTGCTGCGTTCGCTGGGGGCGATGGAAGGTGTGTATCCGTCATTGAGCCGGCCGAAATTGCCCACAGGTACATTCATCACGCTTCTTGCCCCGCTCCCGACGGCCGCTGGCTGATTTAGGAACATGTTGGGGGCAGGTCCTAAGAAGCTCATCGTTCGACCATACATGCTTGGTGCCATGCTTTGCCGATTCAAATTCTGATCAATAATGCTCATGGGCCGGTTTTGCTGCGGAAGTCCAGCCATTGGCATTCCCTGAGGTCCCATAGGCATCTGACCTCCCATCTGCATCATCTGCATCTGTGCCCGCATCTCCATCATCTCTTTCATCATCAAATTGTTTTGCTGCATGAGTTCGAGCATCTGCTGGTTGCGGAGCATGTCGGATTGAGATACTGGATTAATAGGAGCTGATGGCAACTGCATGGGCAGCGCACCTCCCAGGGTCCCAACGCCCGGCATGTTAAAGCCCATAGCCGTCTGTGGATTTGGGCTGCCTCGCCTTGCTCCCCTGGCTTGTTCTTCAGAGGCAATAACTCCTACAAGTCCACCCGGAGGAATTCCAGGGACTGGGGACACTCCAGGCGGAGGCCCGGAAGCAGCACCATACATTGACTGAGCTCGACCTTTGTTGAACGCCAAAGACTCGCGCTTCACTGGAGTTGACAAGTCAGAGGATCCAAAATATGGATCTTCCGGCAGCCTTCTGGCGAACACAGGCAGCTGACTTGCCCTCTGATTTGTAGTCGAGTTCCGAGCCGGCGACGACGGTCGGTCCTGAATGCCAATGTACGAATGTTGACTCAATCGCGGGTCAGGAGTCTTGCTCTTTGATGGGAAGTTGTGAGCTTGCAGGATTGCCAGAGGAACGTCCTCATCCTCCTCTTCCGGCTGCGGCTCGCCATTGAATGTCAAGCTGGGGGCGCTTTGATTCGCACGCAAAAAGTCCGGTCTCATCGGCGGCAGTGTCGACTGATCGCCAATGGCCTTCTTCATTTTCTGCCTCCAAATGGCATGCTGGGCCTCTCTCTGAGCCTCCAGTCTCTTCTTCTGTGCTTGAATCTGAGGGTCATCGTCGTCATCTTCGTATCCATCGTCAGAACCCTCATCGGCAGACTTTGATGCAAAGGTCGATAACGTGTTCGCTTTGGCTTTGTTAAAATCTGCCATAGTCATCACTTTGGCGCCGTTTAGCCTTGGAGGGGACTCGGTCGGCAGACCCAGCATCTGACGGTTGTCGGACTGATGGTTGGCTTGATGGATAGCTTGCATAACCTCTGGATCAAACATCTCCGTGCCGTCCCTTGCTGGTTCGGCTGGCGTCGCCCGCGGTGTTGACCGAGCACTGTCGTTTTTGTTGGCACCTGTGCCATTGGATGGCGACGAAGCGCCAGATTCTCCTTGGTGAGTAAAACTCGACGAAGACGAAGTGGTTTTCAACGAGGTATCGGATGAGCCATTCAGGGGCCGTGACGGGGGAGGCGCAAGGGACTCGGACGTGTTCACCTCCTTGCGAGCCAAGGGGCTGCTCTCATAGACTCCCGAGCGCTCCAAGGTCGACGCCCTCATCGCCCGCACTGACTGTTGGACGAGAGCAGCGTCTGTATCTTCATTTACACCGGAGCGAGTGAATGAATTTTGGGATCGCACGGATGTGCTATGAGCAAGTGACGGAGGTTCGTCCAACAGGTCAGCCGAATCGCTGAGCAACCCATAACTATACGGTTTCGAGTCTCGGGCGACAGTTGTATGTTTTGGAGGTAGAGGGGGTGGATCATCATCCGTGGGTGAATCCGCTGAACCAAGATCCGGAGAGGAGATGAGTCGATCTCCCGACGTCCGGCGAGCCCACTGTGTTGGTGGTGATGCCGTCATCTCTCTGCTATAACCCAGCGGCGGCGAGGGGTGAGTAGCCCTCTGATTATTTGCAAACGCCTTTGGCGGGTTGGAAAGGATAGGTTCGGATTCCTGTCGTTGCATTAGTTCGCGCTTGCTTCAAGGCTATGTGTACCAAGAGAACTTGCCCCTCGACCCAACGTCAAAGGTCGGGAACTTGAATCATTCAACACCCCGCTCTTTCGCTTGTCCATGCTAGAAAAAAGATCACCCCAGTCGCTGTCAAAATCTTCGCCGAGTTTAAGAAAGTGCGGTGATGGGGAACGGTCCTAGATTTTTTGATGTTAGCGCATGATACCCATTGGGCCGTGTACGGGAACAAAGCAGTCTTGGACAAATGTGTAGGCCTTCGAACAAACAAAAAAAACATATTCGGTAGCACAGATTGTCCAGCCGGTTGGAAACGCTTTGCTCAAGTGATCGTGAGTGATTGGTTTACCTTTTTCATAGCCTCAACTGGAGACTGTAATGTCGACGATGAGCTGAAACGAGTGTTCGGATTGTCGGAAAGATGAGAACGAGGTGCTGTGGACGCGCTGCTGTTACTGCCCCTTTGAAGACGGTCAGCAAAACGGAGCGGAGAATGCGAACGAGGATTAGGGGGGGGGAGGTGATCTCGAGGACGCGGCACTAGGTGGGGGCATTGCGGATGACAAATCTTCCTTGGATTGTCACGTACCTGTTTGACGAGCCAGAGTCGTATTCATACGAAGGCTGTCGACTGGGCTGCTGGAAAGTGGCTGCTTTCCTCAAGTCCAAGGCACTGCTGGTGGATTTCTTGGCCGCATCTTCGCGAGGTATGACTCTGAAACTGGACACGGGGGCGGCTGGGCTGCCCTCGTCGATGCTGTTCCCCTGAGACTTACGCCTTCCAAATCGAATGTTCTTCAGGTTGGGAGCCATGGTGTTGGAGGGCGGTGTTGGACTGGCGTGGCGCAAGGGGCAAAATAAGATTACGTAGCGAAGGTTTCTCGCGAAGGCTTTGGTATGACGAAAGCTTTCTTACGGTATTGACATTGGTGCTGGAAGGTCGTGTCGTCGTGTCGTCGAAGGAGAAAGTGAAGCGAAGAAACGTTTGAGGCGATCGTCGAATTAAGATATTACGTGCTGCTCGGCAATGAAGGTCTAAGTCGAAAACAAGCCCAACCGAGCAGTAGCACGGGGTAGCTGTGACAGAAAGCAGGTGTTAGCCATCAACAGCGTGGAGGCATGGTCAATGGGATGACTGAGACCAGGACGGAAGCGAATCGAGGCCGTAGAGACAGACGTCCGAGGCGTTGTCGCTGTGAAAGGTTGCCGGAATGGGCGTAGGGCGTCGGCAGGCCAGCAGCTGAGCTCCGACCACAGTACGAAACGCGTGGAGTGCAGAGTGAGACGGCGGAACGAAGCACGTCGCAAGACGTGAGCGGCGGCAGCAGAAGGTGGAACAACGGCGTTGGTAGCACGACAGGCGGAGTATAGAGTTCGGGGATAGCCAAGGTCAAACTTTTTTTTTTGGCACGTCTGGGACCGGCGACGGTGAGAGGGCGGAGGGTAGTGCAGAAAAGACTTACCGAAGACTAAAATGAAGGCATGTGCTTGAAAGGCAAGCAAGACGGGAAGGACGAGAACAGAAACCGCTGCTGGTGGTGGTGGTGGTGATGATGTTGCTGCTGCTGCCACGGCGTTGGGAGAGGGAGAGGGAGACGAGAGGAGAGGAGAGGACGGAGACGGAGCTGGGCCGGGCGAGCTTGCTAAAACGAAAGACTGGAGGGAAGGGGGAACAAGCAAGCGAGGATGCGGAGTCGTAGGTCGTCGAGGCAGGATCAGAAGAGAAGAACGAGTGAACAATACAGGCAAGAAGACGGACAATGATCAGGAAGAAGAACAGCGAGACGAGGGGGCGTGTGTGATGCACGCCAACTGGGGCGGTTTCGCGGGCGCCAGAGCGAGCGATGGGCACGACGGACCAGCCGCGGCCAGGCCAGGACAGGCCCAGGACAGGCCCAGCACACGCCCGGGGCCGGCGCTGCGGTTGCCAGCTCAACCCTCCCCAGCGCCACCCGCGGATCGGCAGCGATGAAATCACTGCTCTCGCTCACATTCGCCCGCGCCTCCCACCCTCGCGTCCTCCCTCCAGCACGTCCGTTCTACGGTGTCGTCGGTGGTGCCTGGTAGCACCGCTGCTGCGGACGACTGTCGCTGCGACCGGACTCCGTGTGGTTCCTCCGTCCGTCCCGAGCAGCAAGCCCCGCCGTCGTGTCGAATGACGGCCGTGTCTTTCCCAGCCTCCGACCTGCCAGCGTCGTGCCCGCGTCCGCGCACCGCACACCACCGCCCGCTCTGCTCTGTCCGCAAGACCCGCCCGCACCTCGCGCTCAGCCAAACCGTGCCTACTCCATCACCACAGCCGCCATCATCATCATCATCGTCGTCGTCATCGCCATCGTCATCGGCGTCGTCTTTCTTTTCCTGGGCTGCGCTGTTTGCCGGCCCTGACCTTGCGCGTACGGTGCCAGGCCATGGCATGCAACGCCACAGTTCGCAATCTTGTCAGTGCATATAAGTGGAGAGGGCTGATAATTTTAGCCGCAGCGTGCCCACACGGGAAGCTTTCTCAGCTGCTCTCTCACGCATCACGCCTGCTCGCAAGGCTCAAAATCCGCAACCGTCTCGTTTGCGTCTTTTCATGTCCGCTCGCGCGCGCTCTCCCTCTCACCTCTCTCTTGCTCTCGTTCCATTTTTCGTCTTGCCAGGAACACCACGGCCAATTGTGCAGCTCTGCATGGCACTTCCTTCGTGCCTCAACGTCATGCGTGTCACACACTCTCCCACAGCTACGTCCGCAAACACAAACTCAAAAGCACACGTACGGAGTGCTCAATAACAATTCACACTCGGACAGCGGAGCCGTCCCTTGGGAGGCTTTACGCCAAGTCAGAAGAAGTGATCAGGGGTTGGTCCTAAACGGGACCTGGCTTGGCTTGACACCCCTGCGCTCTTCTCAACTCTGCGCTCGTTCAGTCCATGATGGCCACCCATTTCTCAGCGTGCGCCGGAACAGCAGCGACCACCCAACCAGCCTTTCGGCACTCAACTGCCTCCGATGCCATTCTCATTCGTTGCTTTTGCTTCGTCCCGTCAAAGCTATCGGAATCGGCTCGACCATTGTGGAACGTTCCGACCCTGCTTGACTCGCCCAATATGGCTTATACACTCAGCCAGACCGTCCTGACTAACCTAAACACGCTCACTCTGTACAAATCGCTTTGCACTGCGTCGCCCACAGACCACCGTGCTGTCCCTCCATCATTTGAGTCGTGCTTTTTGCCCGTCGTCGACTGCTTCGTCGGAGTCGTCGGAAGAGTGCTTGTCGCCTCTTTGGAACACGCTACTATCTTCAGGGCATTCAATCCCACGCCTGACGAAGACATACGAATGAGCCTGACCCTCGACCGATATGGCCAAGTCCAGACAACAAGTGAGCGTTGAACCCTAGGCAAAGGTTTTGCCAAAGTTCTTGCCGCGTGTCATCCAGAGCCTGCGTTGAGCCAACCTCTGTTAGCTCGACTCATCCCATGCTCTCGTGATGTTCCCGTGGTATGATCAAATCTCCCCGTTGTCATCCTCCTTTTCCTGCTCTTCTTTCTCTCCGTCTTCGGTTTTATTTTTTTGAGCGTGAGACGTAAGCATACCATACATTGAATATCTACTCTTCTCTTTAGTTGTATGTGGTCGCGTGGGATGGTTTGCCACGTCTATGAGAGCATGTCCTTCTTGCTCTGAGAATTTCTGAATAGTATTTGTTCTCACTTTTTCCTTCAAAAGCGTTTCAATTAAGAAAAGATGCGCCAAGGGAAAAGGAGGGAGACCAATGAAAAGACCCGTCTTGAACTGCACAGAAAAAGTCGAGATCAAGAGGAACTGACAACGCCCCACCGTCAATGAGGAAACATGCACAAGAGCTTGAACTCGACCTGTGTCATTGGTGCTAGAGGCCAATCCAAAACTTCACCTCGTATGCTAACATCTCCCCTCCAAAATGGTTGTCGAACCTTTGTCATCCTTGAACAGAGGCCAATTCTACGAGTTCATGGCCTACAGCCCGTGCGTTGTAAAATTTTCTTTCCTAATCACGAAACCTGCTTTTGAGCTGGCAGGTGCATTCGCCGAGGCGTACATACCTGTTCATTATGTCGACGGTCTGTGAGATCGATTGGTTCTAAAGATAGCACCCATGCCAGGAAAAGCTCTTCTTACCCCTTCATCGTCCGTCATCTAGCAACATGTTGAAGACATGCGCAAACCCGGGCAACTCATAAGGACCAGACGGGTGGTTGTTGCCCAGGAAGTGGTGCCAGATGATGCGATCCAAGAAGATGAGTGAAAAGCCCAGTGCCCAGGCTATGACGAGCCACTCCATTTTCTTTTTGGACTAGCATACATCAGAAATGTAAAATGTTAGCATGAGCGTGAAGGTGGGTGTAGGTGTTCTCGTTGTTGTCAGTCGGTACGGTTGCTCCATATCTGGATGAGCTTTGCGTTGAAGGATTGGTTTTTGTTTGCCTTGGTGTACGGTTGCTGCGCCCAGTGATCATCAAAAGCACAGTTAACATGGCAGCCCGAAGAGCGAGTAATATGTCAGAATTGACTGAGAACCCATTTTTTTATCAAGCAGTTCGAGTTCGGCACGGTGCTGGCAAGTGAAAACTTCATGATATCCCCTGTCCTATCGTCTCCCAAAAGCTTTGCTGTTGCTGCTGCTGCTGCTGCTGCTGCTCCTATTCGATCACCCGAGTTATCCAAAGCTCGTCGAACCGTGCGTGTGTGTGGTCTAATCGACCACATGGGACGATGAGCACTTCTATACCTATTGAATGTACTGCGCCTGCCTTGGCTTTCAGGCCCACGCTTGTCTTTCGTTGCTCAAAGAAAAGCTAGTCACTGTACATTATCGCGGTGTGAAGAGAAATAAGAATATAGAAATTATGAGCATGTGGCAACCGTAGGTTCTCTGTCCTCTTAATCTCTAGAAATATTATGATTAATGCGTCGCTTTCAGGAATTCGACCTACCTATCAAACGTACGGCAAGAAAACAACACAGCATTCTTTTCTCAGCTGCTTCTGGTCGTCGAAACGAATGCACACCAATGTGCATTCTCTGATGTCATTAGCCAGGATCTTGACTCTGAACTCGTCCTCACCTGCTGCGAGAGCATCAAAAGAGAAGGTCATAGCATGATGGTCTTGGCTACGATGGAGTTGAAGGAATGTTCGAAAACGCTACGTAAAAACAAGCATCCACAGGGGTTCAAGAGAATTAATTCATGCCGCCTGAACGGAAGCCAAACTCACACAGAGTTGGACCAGGCACTCTAGCAATGTGGTTCAATACGATTGGGCAAAACTTAAGACAATGTCCATGCGAATAGTTCGGCTTCATACACACATTTTATGCTATGTAGAAGCTGCTGACTGGTCCTACAGAAAGTATAGCTTGCAGCAAAACCGAGTTGAGGGTTCAAGTTTGTTGCATTCGATGGGGGGTTTGGCACGTTGTGCAGAGCTGCGTGCGAATGATCGGAGATTGCGGTCAAACCATCCATCGATGTCGGTCAGCAAAGAAGCACCGAGCATATTAACAGAGCGCGTCTACAACGGCACTGATCGATGAGATGGATAGTGTGCAGATTTCCGGCAAGATGTTGCGATGCATCAGAGCTCGAAGAGATCTGGTAACTTCCACGAAGCTCAACTCTGCAAAAAGGACTAAGTCGATCTTCATATAAGACTATGGGCCTCTCCCGGTAAATGAACGTGAAACTAGCACCTGTATTTAATATTCGCTGGTCATTTGATCGAACTGTCCAATCCTCTAGAAGCACATTGGTCGAAGAACGTTCGCAAGTCGTCAAAATCGCAGGATTATCGCAGGCTATACTTTGGGTGGGACAAAGAAACGCAAGCTCCAAAATCTTCAAAAAGCCACGACTGATCTGGCCTGGTCCTTGTGGTCTGCAAATCTTGCAGCTATCAGTGGCGTTCACCGGTGATCCTCATTGATCTAGCTTTATTATTTAGCGAAGCAGCTGCAGAAGTCTGCTCAGCCGTGTATTCATAACTGCGGGGTGAAGTGAATGGTATCAAAGTATGCGCCTCGCTTGTTCTCCCGATTGCCATGGTTATTTTGTCGGTCATCAAACGTGTATTTTCAAGGTCTAGCATGTTTTTCAGTTGAAGTAGTTCTAGATACGTTTAACAGAAAGCGCGTCTGAGAAGTCATTCTACGTAGAAATCTTACTCGTGTCTTATGCGAGTGCCTTATCCTGCGAAGAAAGGGTTTCCTTGCCAACACATTACTCCTGTGTTGGTGGTCTTTCGAGTTGAGAAAAGAATCAAGTATACAGGACGGAGTAGGCTGAATCGATGCTTAGCGTGCATTAGTGTCTTCACCGCCACATGACCCACACTTAACTTTGATCAAACTGTCATAAGTATCACTTAGCTCACGAGACAATTCTTTAGGTTGCAAAATGGAATAGACATAGTACCAGATCGGAAAAGGGATCGGGTTGATTCTCGAGGTCCTTGGAAAGCAGATCTTCTGTTGATCTGACAAATTTCGCCACCAGATGCACGGCGCGGTCTCTCCGTAAAGTCTGTTGAAAGATATAAAACAACAGCGTCAGCTTGTCACAATCACCAGCCGATCTATGCAGTCTAAAGCAAGCTGGGAACCAAAAATCAAGTCGGGTTCAAAGCTCTTGTCATCCGTCACGAGCAGAGGTCCCCACCAGAATTGCGTCTTTTACGACAGGCTGTCGCAGCCGCTTTTGGATAGGTCAATCCGACCGTTATTTGGATACTTCCAAGAGTCTGTTGCGTAAGATTGTGTTGATTGCGCATCCGAAGACGGATGCTGAGTAGCAGGACGCAGCAAATACGCTACGGGATACTCCTAAACCGTTGATACTTGGCTTGCCACTACACAAAAAGCATACTTGGGCGGCTGCATTTGGCTCGAAGAAGGCGACACGCTGGAGAGGCTGTGCGTTCGTCATAAGTCCAAGGCCATTAAGACCCAGGGTGCGTCTTATGCCTCTCATCCTGCCGGAAGAGGCCTAAGTCTTGCAGAATTAGTCTGGCCGTGGAGAGAAAACACCCGTCCGACTCTCGTTACGGCTAATGTCGCTGAAGTACAGAAGCGAGGACGCGTGACAGGTAAGGCCCGGCCAGTTCTTTGCTCAGTCCGAGCCATTTTTGGGCAGCCTCAGACCGGTACGATGGACTTCCTACTCGCAAGGGCAGCAGGATTCATGATTCGAAGTCCCAGTGCAATGAAAGTGATAACATGCAGTACAAAGTCGCCGGTTGGCAGAGTAGCACCGTGTGCGCAGAGAGCTTTACTGCAACGTGGTTCCGCTTCGTTGCCAGCCTTGCGGAAGAGAAGAGGCTGTGCTTGTCGCCCCTCGGAATGGAGGACGGCACATACGAGCAAAATCACGACAGAGTGTAACCAAGGATGCTGTGCAAGAGGTGAGCACGGGTGGCGGAGACGCGGAGAAAACGAGCAATCGGAGGATACTGAGGCGTGTCGTTGGAAAGCACGAGGAGGTTGATCGTGCGAACCGTTGCGCGCGGCGGCAGAGGGCGGGCCCAGAAGCACAGATGATTCAAGACTTGGGCTGCCACGGCTCCAAGATGTGACGCTCCAACAGGGCGTGCAGCATCGAGAAGGATGGCTTTCGCGCCATTTAACATGGCGAAGGGCCGCAAACCCCCCCGCAAGTGATGCCGTTGTGCAGGCTATCGGATGACCTAAGAGAGCACAACTCGTCTAAGTTAGCTCGTTTCTGCCGAACTGTGTGCTGCGCTGCATCGCTCCCATGCCCGTGTGGCTTTTTCCGGTCAAGCTCTGACCGTGAACACCATCGCAGTGCGGCCTGCGATGCGCCGTCTCTTTCTCTCCTTACTCTCTACAATCTCTCGTGCGCAACCCGTCTTGTCCTCAAGGCAATTACTTCTTTCCCCGCAAGACTTAGGCATGGCTTTGTGCTCGCCCTAAAGGTCCAGCTCACCGCATCGCTGCTCCGCCGTCAGCCGCACGCTGCTCTCACAGCGACTCAGCCCCAGCGCGGCCTCATCTGAGGTCACGAAGTTTACCCATTGCGACGATTTGAATCTTCCCATCGCTCTCTTGTATCCCGCCCTCATGGAGCCATAAAGGCGTCCCTTCTTTTGGTTATGGCAAACATTATACCTTCGCACTTGGAACTTTCAGAGCGGCAGTTTAGCCGATCTGGTCCAAATGGCAGCCTCGACTTTGCCGGTCAGCCTCTTGACCGGTCGGCTTCGAGCGACTCCTATCACTTCATCTGGAGTCAATTTTCGCCCCAAAATATGCCCTTGGAGTTAAATCCAACTGACGGCGCTCTGTGTGACAATGCTTTTGACTTTACTTCCACCGATCTCGTGTCTGCTGCTCAGATGAACAACCAGTTCGTCCACACGGGCGACTTTCCTAACCACACGTTCATGGCGACTGCGTCACACTCTTTCTCAGGCAGCAACATGTCGTTTGAGCAATCGCAGCATGATTTGGCCTTGCCCTTGGGTCAGACTACCCAAGCGAGCGTCCCACCACACGTTGGTCAGCTCCGTGAGTGTATACGTTTCGGTGAAACCTTGTCGAAGGGTGGCTCATCATTTCTAGCACGCAACGACATCGGAAGCATGACAACCACTGGAACATATCACAACCAGCCGTGGATCAATGGACCGAACGTCAAGTATGAGCTTCCAGCAGAAGAAGATGCTCTCTCCGTTCCCCCTCTGTCAACGCAGCCATCCAGTGCAACTTGGTCCCTCGAAGCCCCCCATCGCTTCGCTGGTTCATCCTTTGCGCAAAACTCAGCTTGGAATTCACACGCAGCCTCGAATGCGCTGAATTCAATTGCTGCTTCTTATGCTCCCTCAGTTCTATCCCATGATTCCTCACCTCATGTAGAAGGCATCACCACACCGGACTCTAGCCGAAGTCCAATGTTCTCTCAAGCTGTCCCGTCTTCGTCGTCTGCAAGCAGCAGTGGTGCCGCCGACCATCGAAATCACCTCTATAATCAGACGTTCGATCAAACACCAAGGCTGATACAAACCGCGTTTGTGAATACTGAATATGTCAATCAGGATTACAACATTAGTCCCCAGAGTCTTTTTATCGATCCCTCAGCTGCAATACAGCAACTTGGTCGCGATCCGAGCCACTCCCCTATGTCTGAATATGAGATTATTGATAAGTCAGAAGCGGTATCTACAGCGTACGGAGACGACAACCGAGCAATCCAGTCAACACTTCCAAAGGAAGAAAAACTGAGCGCGAAGCGATCTCGAGCACCAACTTCAAACAAGATGCGACAGGATCCCGATAATTTCGTCTCTGAATATCCTAACGCCAGTGGCGTCATTAGACGTCAGCTAAGCAGCGGTGCTGGAAAGCAACGCGAAGGGAAGCGTGTCGGCGGCCGGTCCGTTGGCATGCACCTCAGTAGTGAGGTCGCTGCTCGCGCGAAGCAGCTTAGAGACGAAGGCTCTTGCTGGGTCTGCTGTTTTCAGCGTGATTCTGTTAGTCATTTTTGATTGTTCCTAAACCCTAACGCTAACACGCGTAGTGCTCACCGGGTCTTATCTGTGACCGTTGTCAGAAGCGACACCAGCGTGCGCAAATGGAACATGGTCTTGGCTGCGATCGCACCAAGCTCAACGATCTTCGGCCCTATTTCATTCCAGGTAGTTCTATTTGGTCCTTAGGTGTCCAATTGTATCTCTGACACCCGCAGATTTCCTTGCTCGAAGCGGCGATCAAAAAGTTCTGAAGGAGTTCATGCAAAACCACGTCCGACGCTGGCGACGTGAGCCTATCAAGATTCGGATCAACATAATCTGGGGCCAAGCCCCGATGGAGCTCGAGCTCTGCGAGTTCGAACCCAAGACGGCCGAGCTTGTGCGACATCTCCAAGGCGTGCTCGATGAAAGGACAGGCAAGCGGGAGTGGGTTAACAAAGGCAGTCCACCGCTCGCCATGCTTGCTATTGAGCAAGAAGATCGTCATGCTTATGAGAGATTCATCGACAATATCGTCGACAATCCCGTGAATCTGCAAAGGTTCGTTGAACGCTGCTACAAGTTCGAGAAGGACGATTTCCAGTCGCGTCTTTTCCGTCTCATCTTCGAGTACCAGCCCGCACAGCGAGACGAAGTACGTGACATCCCCTCACAGTATTGAGCTGTGGAACTAATGGGTGCTGCAGAAAAACCTCCGAAGAGAAATAATGCGGCTGCAAGTAATTACCTATATCTACTCACGAGCATCCACCATCGTTAACAGCGACCTGCATCTTCTTTCTACTTTGCGTTACACTGCTGCCAATGGTGTTACATATGGCAAAGCTACCACTGCACGTCTAGCCAATCGTCAACTCAAATATCTGTACACGTCATTGTGGATACAAAGCATGGAGAACGTGCTCAAGAAGCTCCAGCAGGTCCTACGCTCATCTCGTGGCGGCGCCAAATGGAGCTCTGCATTCGTCGCGGTCCTTGGACTTGGCATGGCGTTTGAAACAATTCAGATTACTGCCCATACTTATCAAGAAGCCGATCAACTCATGGGCAACTCTACTTCTTGGGAAGCAAGGGAGCGTGCTGAGCATGCCTGCCGTATTATCGACGAGAAGTTTTTCTTTCTTGCAACACTCTTCAGGTGGAAGTATCATCGTGGCTTTAACCCTTTTAGAAATATTCGTGATCAAAAAGTGCACGAAGATCTTGGTCCAAATGCATTGCAGTTAGTTCAGGGTGTTTATGAACTCGTCCAGGAAAAGTGTAAGTCTCTTCTTCCCGCTATGTTGCGAGTATAATGTGCTGATAAAGTATTGCAGCCGAATATCTTGTTTTCAGGGAGCAAGTTGCTATCCTCAACGAGAACAAGGACAGGTACACGTCAAGACTAGTTGCTAAATTCCTCTTGGCATTCTGGAAACCAGTCGCTTGATACCCATCGAAATGGTGACACAGGAATGTTTCGGATGGTCTGCGTCGAAATTAATAGCATCTTAATGATGAAATGAGATCATGACATGTTCAGAAAAAAAGTAGAGTCTTCTTCATAACATGGCATTTCGCGTGCGTGCCAGTGTACCTCCATCCTGTAATCAGTTCAGTCATGATAATAAAATCTGGAAGTTTTACACAGAACATCTTCTCGATTCGTTGAAGCTTATTTTTTCTATGACACTGCCACATTCTGAAGAAACACCAGTTTGCGATATCCATCGTTGGCGATTGAGCGAACAACGCATGATTTTGCTTCATCACGTGATTCACGGACATACTTGCAAGGCATCAAGGTGTCCATTGCGGCACGGGCCACCCTTCGCACACAAGATTTTGGTTGTACTTTCTAAGACGACGAACTACTGCGATCCACGACAATCGACTACCAAGATGCCGAAGGAAGTCAAGCAAAAGAGCGGCGTATGTATTTGAGACATATAGTAATAAGCCAGTTCTAACAGCAAAGCAGATTGCCGTCGGTCTGACCAAGGGCCAGTAAGACTCCCAGCACTCACATCGTTCGTACCCGGACAAGTTTGAAGCAAATTTCGCAAGAAAAGACACGCAAAGATAGACATCCAAAGGCTAACCAGCGTTTGCTCTCAAACAGCAAAGTCACCCCATACCAGCCAAAGCCCAAGGTCTCAAGAACAAAGGGTCACCTCTCGAAGCGGTAAATTTTTCCCCTCTCCACCCGTGTGGACCAGCGTGAGGACGTGTAATACTAAGACACACGGGCAGCACATCGTTCGTCCGCGAGATCGTGCGTGAAGTCTCTGGCCTCGCACCTTATGAACGCCGCGTCATCGAATTGTTGAGGAACAGCAAGGACAAGCGCGCAAGAAAGCTGGCGAAGAAGCGGCTCGGGTCATTCGGCCGTGCGAAGAGAAAGGTGGACGAGATGACCAAGATCATCGCCGAATCGAGAAGGGCTGGTCATTAAATAGAGACGCTATTCTTCGCGTTCGCTAATCGAGGACCTGTCGCGGTCCTGTCTTGTCTTGGTCAAAGATGAGGAGGAGAGGGGTGTGAGTTCGCTGACTTGACAAACATCAATCACACGGGTCGGAGTATGGCAACTGGCAAGTGCTTCTTCCTTCATATATGAAAGGGCTGTATGGCATAGCATAGCTACATTAGCTCGTGCGAGAGAGAAAAATGCAAATGGCATGATTATGGCTGCAAACGCTTTCTTGTAGTACTCAAAGTTTGATTCATGTTCTCCTTCATACTCTCGTCGTCATCTCTGCGAATGCGCGTAGTGAGCATTGCGACTTCATGGTCCGCATACAACGTACTTCGCTTCTGAAAGACACAGCCTGCCGGGATGAGGTCGATATTTATTGGTTTGGGGTGTAATGCTGATAAGTATGTATCTACTCTCCGGCCTCATCACCGATCTTCTCGAGCTTACCCATGTCACGCTTCTCTCCACTTTCGCCTATTATACGTATACGGTCTATTCTTGTTTTCTCTGCATTGCGGTTGCCCTCCACGACAAATATACATCTGCGGAGAAACGTCAGATCGATCTATTCGTGGGATCAAGAACGGTGTCGAAAGGCGAACTCGACAGAGTCAACCTCAATCGGTACTTACAATGTCGAAACCTTTTGGAACTTGACGTATCGCAGAGGAACGGTAGCAGTATGATCCTGCCAATCCGAATCCTGAATGGTAACCTCCTGCGTTGGCTCGATGTCCTCGTCAAAACCCACTATGTTTGGCCTGTTGATGAAGAGCTTCAATGTTTTCGGCCGCATGGGCGTCTCGTCGTCATCCTCGTCCACGTCTTCGGGCACTACCGAGGTGATTTGGAGACTGTGAATTTTCAAGGTCGACTGGAAGGGCATGTGGATCATGAGCTCCGGGTCGGTGTCGCTCTCTACCCAGTCCTTTGCCCCGTCCGAAGATCCAGACGCTGCCTTCGCCTTACCGCTACCTAAGCTCGAAGGCTTGGAGACATCGACCAGAGTGCGCGCGTTTCCAAATTCTGAGTCGTTATTCCGAATTTCCAAACCCTTAATGTCGACTTGCTCGGTGACATCTGCCATGCCTCGAGGGAGCGAAGCGCCATTCCAGGTCGACGCTGAGCTGCTGTTGCCAGCACCCTCTGCGCCCGAACCTATGGCTTTCCAGCGGTCAATGAGCTTGGTCAGCTCCTGCTTACTACTTCCTTGTATGCGGGTGTGCTCCTTCTCATTCTCGAAATAGATCAAGGTGGGCAGGGCGCTAACTGAATATTTAGCGGCGACATCCGCCAACTTGTCGGTGTTCACCTTGGCGAAGGTTACGAGGTCTTTGCGAGAGTACGTTGCGGAGAAGTCCTCGAACAAGGGCGCGATGGCTTTGCAGGGCCCGCACCAGTCAGCGTAGACTGAAAAGTTTCTGGTCAGTCGTTCGGTCGATAACCAATGGAGAAGCGTAGAAGTGAAGAAGCTTTCTGGGGGATCTTCAGTAGCTTAGCTGAAGGTGTGCTTGAAAGGCTTCCAACATCTGCGCAGGCAGCAACGCACAGTCTGCAACTACGGCTTTGGAGCTGGCCAGCAGCGTGTTGAACTGCAGGGCCGAACTTATCTCTATAGTCTTGCTATTCTTTGACATGCTGGACGAATTTCCGAGTTCGACTTCGACGGTGTCTGGCGTGGGAACTGTTCCGTTGAGCGCGTTTGTTTTTGGAGGGGCAGATGTGGGCGAGCCATCGGCGTGCCTGCGGCTCTGCCCAGCGCGCACGGCGTCATCATCGCGCCCGTTCTGCCTGCGGATCGCCGAACGTGCTGGACGGGCAGCAAGCCTCCGCGCGCCCCCAGGCCCTACCGAATCCGCGAGCTCAGCATCTTCGGCCTCTTGTGCTTCTTCCAGCTTCCACGAGATTCATGCATCGCTGAGCCAACTAAAGCCATGAGCGTATGAACACCGCGGCAACCTGAGCCTCTGCGCACGTCAGCCTCGCCGCCTGCACACGGAACCTTCTCATGGCAAATCTTCCCCACCGTCCCGGACTCTTCATCAACGCCCGCGAGCACGATATCCTCCACATCGTTGCCTTTACCTGGCTGATTTTAAACACCCACTCTAGCAAGAAGGAGTTGCGAGAGCTGAAGCGCACGCATCGTCGGCCGTACCTGTACAGCGTGCGGAACGCTTTCTACACGTTTGTGGGATTCGGGAGCTTGGTTGCTTGGGCAAGCGCAGCATGGCGTCTCATGTCGTCGTGATTGATACGACGGCAAGGAGGGCGACCATAAAGGTCACTCCGCAAACGTACATGAGCGATGTACTGTCTCAAGCATGTTCGAAGTTTGGACTGAAAAGCGAGCAGTTTGGTCTAAAGTATGTTCGAGCTGGCTGGGCAACTACTCTCACTGCTACTACTACTACTACATGACTCCACAAGACCGGAACCTGCATGTCTGTAGCAGGCGGTACCGCGCAGATATTCTAATATTTATATGGCTCTGTTCCTTGTGCTTGGGTTATGTGGTACATGATCTCATCGTGGCCCAGATTGTCGTCTGTTCTAGGCAACTACTAACTCTACGCAGATATAACAAGAAGCCAGTTGATTTGTCGCTGACCTATCGTCTGTCCGGCCTTCCCTCAGGCGCTCAGCTTGACCTTGTCCAATCTTCAAAGTCACCGTCTGTTATCAATGTCGCCCTCCAGTTCCCACAGTCGGAAAACAATCTACGCCTAACAGAGAAATTCCCGTCATCCACAACGCTGTGGCAGATTCTGCGTCGATTCGAAAGTGGTACAGCTGGAGGAGCTCCGTATCCGCTTAATATTACGCAGCGAGCCATCACGGAACGCAACACAGGTGCCTATGGCGCCGGAAGGTTGTTCTACGAAATGCCGACCCTGTCACTCATGAATAGAGAACTGTCTACTTTTGTAGATCTGCAGAAGACGCTGGCACAAATTGGTGTTACCTCGGGAAGTGCGCTACTGAGACTGAACTACAAGCACAGTGGCAAACCGTTAGAAGAAGCCATGCAGGAGATATCAGAGTATTTCAAGGAGGATGAGAAGGCCGTTCTTCAAAAGTCGGCCGAACAAAGCTCTGGGACTCCTGCTGTCGAACCGTCAACATCTGAAGCACAAAGTAATCCTCCGGGAACGGCTAGTCCAGAGAAATCAGCACCAACATCAGAACCAGTGGAGGAAGGCCAGATAGAACGGTCGCCTGCGGAGCCAACCACATCTGCTGCCTCTAACAATCGTATTACCGCGTTTCTAGCACCCGAAGGAAATTCAACAACGTCGTTACCACATAATGACGAGGATTATGTACGTTGACCCCTCTTGATTTTACAGCCTTCTACTCGTGCATCTCCTCTGAGAGCAAACGAGAGAAACATGTAAGATTTTACTCCAGTTGATGCTTGCTAACATTGACGCAAGATCCCAACTGTCGACCATGCAAAGTTGCACCAGTCGCGACTCGAGATGATGGGCAGGAATCAGCGTTTGTTGTCCGACAAAGAGCTTGAAGCTCAGAGACTGGAAAAGGAAGCGAAGCTTAATGCCGTGAGCACGATAACAGTGCGTTTTAGAATGCCAGACCAGACACAAATCCAGACTTCGTTCACACGAGACGATACTGCACGAAGTCTATTCGCAACCATGGGAGACGTTCTCAGGTATCCGAGCGAGCCGTATACGCTGAGCTATCGCGATGCAAGAGGCAAATCTGTCGTAATACCCCCTAGTTCGACGCAAAAGCTCATCCAAGGCCTCGGTTGGACTGGCAATACGCTCGTGTACGTCTCATGGGGCCATGAAATCTCGGAAAAGGCTAAGAAGGAGCCTGCACTGAATGATGAGTGAGTTCCTCGCCTGGATAGATTCCTTGTCCAAAGTCCTTTGCCATTTAGGAACATTGCCAGGTCATTATCAACGGCATGGTGCTGACGTCTGTAACGTAGATATCTCAAGCGAGCGACGAAACTCCAAGTCGAGCAGCCGAGAGAGGAAGAGGACGAGCCCAAGAGCTCCTTCTTTGGAGGTTTGCTAGGTGGAACGAAGACAGATGAGAAGGGAAAGAGCAAGCTCAGCGCTAGCGAGAAAGAGGCGAAACTGGGCAAGTTGCTTGGACTTGGACGAAAGAAGTAGAGACGAGTACGATGAGAATGCATTGAGGCGTTGGTTATATTCGCTGCGACACTTGTAGCATTCAGCATTTAACGAGCAATAATGTGCATACCAGCAGTTCATGATGTCGTGATGGCCAACACGTGGAGAGAAGATTTGGATACTTCTTTGATGCACACACACAGATAGGGAAAGAGAGAGGAGGGAAGAGGTCCTAGAGTAAATGTTTGACAATTAGAGCTGCGGAGCTTTCTGTCGCCGTACTGACAGATGATTGATCTTTTCATCCATCAACGTTCAGAGCACCTTCGTATCGTGTTGGTCATGTTTTCCACGGCCCTAGTCCTCTCATTCATCAAATGCCAAGCTTTCCAGCCTTCCTACCTGGAAGAAGTATTGAAATTTGATGACAGCCTCCCAGGTCCCACAAGTATTCAATTAACGTCCCACCGGGTAGCGCCCCCGGAAGACATGCCTGAGGTCAGACTCTCACTTATCGACCACTGTTTCCGTCACGCCTACTTGCTTCCCTGCGTATTGTCCTCTAGCGAGATATTCAATCTTCATAGCGCACCTGGCCGTTGTCATCGGCTGCCTGTCGGCAGCGGACCGCAAGCCACAAAACTGGATCCCACAAGGACTGCCGGAGCACTTGAGTGGTACCCAGTTGACAATGTGTTCATGCATGTCACTGCCTGCAATAAAGAGTGGAAGAGAAAAAAAAAGGAAATAAAAAAAAGAAACGCAATGTTTCATGTAACGGTAGTTCGGGACTTTTTTTTTCTCCTACACGCAAAAGCAGCAAGAAACACTTCGGCGCCACAACGAGCCGGGCAACAAAACATTTTTGATAACCAAATACCATTGCTGAAAAGCTTGAGGCAAGAAAATGTCTCGCAACGGATTCTTGTTATCATGCTTCGTGGGGTTGCAGGAACAAAAGGTGTGGACGGATGGGGGGTTCCGAATCGGGAAGGTAACGTCGACCCCTCGCGTTATAGAACCTTCGACACAACTGTCACGATCTAGCAAAAGTCCTTAGTGCGTTTCTAGAAAAGACAGCGAAGCGAACGCTGTCATTTCGATCCTTCCGGTGCTATGGTTGCAGGTCCTCGTTGCCACGAGCGAACCTTCGAGGTCCATAGAGGAAATGGGGACACGGGTCGGTCTGCGTTGCAGAATTAGGAAAAAGCCATGGATCGGACCGGACGAGCGGGCTGGGGGCACATGTCCATTGCGTTGCTTGGGCCTCCAAGTGCTGGGAAACGCAGTCGTGGTGAAACGTGCCTGAAGTGGAGCTGCGCGCGGTTTTTTGAAAAGTGTGGTAAGCACTCACGGACGACATTGACGTGTAAAGCATGAAAGCATTGCATGTTTACGTTTCCAAAATGCGGCATGGAATGGTAGCTGCTGCTTCCGAGGTCCTAACGGAGATGGCATGATTCGAAACAAGAGATGCCTGGGACGGTGGCAATCGGGTGATTCCTATCTGATAGGTTTTCAAAGTGTTTGTGCCGGTCCGTACGCTGCTTCGTGGGTTTGGTCCATATGCTTGCAAGCACAATGCCTCGGGACTTCTAGCATACCTTATTGGCGCAACAATTGGCACGAAGAGATTGAGACGTACAAGAGGATGAAGATCTGGGGTTCATTACGAGCCCTTGTCGGAAGAGCTGGTGGCGTCCTGGCCGCCTTATTGTATGGTGAAAAGCCTGGTTCGCCATCAACATGGTCGACGTCCAGTGTCTGTTCTCCATGTGATCTGCGGCCAGTCTCTAAAAGTCTATTTCCAGAGTCGATCCCATTGGCAATAGTATCAGTCTTGAGTCGTGGAGAGCGGCAGTGCGCTTTTCGCACATGTGTAGACCACGCGACTCCGTCGCTCACAGATCGTACATGCACGTCAAGGGCGTCAATGTTTCGAGTAATGTTCGAGGCTTGCAGAACTGTCAAGCTACCCCAGAATCTGAGGATTGATGAGCTACAAGGTTTAAGAAAAAAAAAAGCCGTCGAGAGCAGGGCAGCCCGCGGTCATGTTCAAAATGTTCGGGCCCAAAAGCGAAGAAGAGGCATGTGCACATGGATGCCTTTCCCGCTTAAACCTCTTCAAAACCGTGCCCCGAGGATAAGCTGCAGTGCCTGAGTCGTAAAAACTAGTGCAGGTACCCCGGATCATCAAGACACCATTACAGGGACGGAGGCACACGAAAGTGCTGTGGAACTTGGCCAGGTCCATGCACTGTCTAGGACGCTGCGAAAGGGAAAAAAAAAGCGCGCGTGTGAAAATGATGAATGTCCGACCCCTTGTTCCAACGCCAGTGCCACTCAATCACCCTCGTCCCTCATGGGAGCGGACGGAAGGGACTTTCAGGTCAACAGCGCAAAGTGTATCGAGATCGATTCTGTCTACGGTGAGACGAGTGACACTTCCGCTCCCAACGCGGGAAGGTGTTTGCGAAGCGAAAGCAACAATGTTTTGGGAAACTCAGGTCAAACTCGCACCGGCTGCACGAAGAAAGAAAAAGAAAGAGTTGAGGGACATCGGGCAAAGATTTTGTTGTCGCATGTTGTTGCCTTATTATTTTGGCCTTGTTGCCTAGTACGGTCAGGTGATCTCTTGCCCGTCCATCGTGTGAAAAACTTGCAAGTGGCCTTTGCTTGGCTTCGTTTCCTCTTCCCTGTGGAGCCTGTGATGAGAATACTTTAACACATAATAATGATAGGAAGAGGATGACTCCATCGCGTAGATGGAGGTTGATATCACCTTGCTTAATTTCTGAGGCTTCATACTACACTTCGCACATGCTGCTGCTGTGGCGAGACTGCGTTGTCAGCGCGTTCATGAGTCAAACCAACTGCCCTTACGATGTTGCGCCTTTGCGCGAATCATTGTATGTATATGCACTGTGCGCTCAGAATTATTCTCTCTTTGGGGTTTTTTTTTGGGCTTTTGCGTGTGAGCATCATGTTATGAAACGTTACCTGTCTGATTTCTCAAGCGCAGTATGTCTTCTTTCGAGGCAGAGATTGACCCAGCACGCACAGGCTAGATTAGCATGTTATACGTGTGTCGAGAGATTATCCTCTTTCTCTCTTGAATCGTGTTGGTCTTTTTGACTTCGTGCCGTTCAGTTCGGACCGCTCGTTTGACTGTTGAGTGAACTCGTGTGCTCGTGCTGGCGTCTTGACAACATACGCGGAACCGGAGGCGCAAAGTCTACTCTCCACCCATGCGTCTGTTCATGAATCAAGTCATGAAGTCATGCCGCGTCAGTCTGGGCTTGACAGCTCCAGCCGGTAGGAGATGCTGTGGGAAGAGCCGACGCCTGTTGAGTCAGAGCAATGCTACTCATTTGCATGCAAGAAATATTGCTATTGTCGAAATCGATATAGTTTTTCATAAAAAGCCTGCGCATCGACAGGGTCTGTTCATGATCATGGAGATGAGGTTTGAACACTCGTTGCTGCTTTTAGCTGGCGAATGAGAATTCTGCATCATGGAATCGTTGCTGCAAGCTTAGAACATTAGCCTGATGGAAGGGTTTACAGGATGTCGGCGACGTCCCCGCCTTCCCAAAGTGTGCGCTCATTCATCCGCCTCCATTTTGAAGGATTGTCAGGATGGGAGAGTCGTAGTGGACGAGAGTGGTGGATGGAGACGGAGATAGAGTGGAGGATGCTCTAGTGGATGAGAGGAAGCGAACATGCAGATCGTAGGATGCTGAAATAATCTTGATACGTCCGCACGTCAGAGCAGGAAGGAAAAGAGTACGGAAGTCACTCCTTCGAAGGAAGCACCAGCACCGGACCGGAATCTAATCAGGAAGCTGATCCATCGCAAACTCCAACAAGACAACTCATATTCCCGCTCCCAAAATTTTCTCATTGGCCACCAGCACGTTGCACTCCTCCGCTGCGAGACATGACTTGTACTCTGATCTATCAACGTGTGATATCGATAGATCGATGTCGTGGCTTTCAACAAGAACGTGTCGCGGACCGTGCTACCACGTGAAAAAACCAAAAATACCTAGCTCTTTGTCTCTGCCACAACGCCGTGTTTTTGTTGTACAAGTATCTAATTTGAGTGTCTCTGCATCAAGCCTAAGCTAAACTGCTCAGCCACCATTATCAGAGCTATCATTCAAGATCAAAGAGCCGTAGTAGTCTTGTCGTTGATAATGGTCGCAGAAGGTGAACTTTAATCCTGGACTCTCAACCATGTCTGAGCCACAACTGAAAAGAACCATGGAGAGACGTCATAGTACAGGCGACAGCGGTATAGGAAAAGGTGAGACGGAATGCAGCGAGGAGAGTGGACATGCTGTTTTCCATGTTAAAACTTGCGTAATTGACATTAGGATCGATGACGCCAAAGTTTACTGACACATTGGAGACGTCATTGACAAACGAGCACTTCTTGCCTGTAGCCCACAACTCTGTAACAATAGTTGTTCAAAGTTTTCGTATTCTCTCGTCATCAAGTGGAGTCGTTGAGGATCAACTCCTTCAACCTGCATATACGTCCATAAGAAACTACGAAACCTTCCGATTGGTGAGACTTTTGGGGTCTCCAAGTAAGCAATTGGGAACGAAGGATAACCAGTCGACGCTACTCGCTTTGGGTCACAGCAAGCCTGTTTGCTAGAAGCCTAGAGTTTCTCTAATATAGCATTCGCCAAAATCAGCCCTGCAGCACGATAAGACCGCTGCTGCAAACGGTAGGCAGACGAGAGCCTTATCGTGGGCTGATGATACATTCAGCATGGTGCACTAACGTGAGGCAGAGCCCAACACGCGAACTCACTTTGAGAGATCTGGCCTGGAACTTGCCTATTCAGTCATCACGCAGTTTAGGCTTTCCGCAAACGAGACGGATGACTTTGCCTGCATTCGGTGGATGCATCTCTCTTGCATAGGGGAGAGCAGAGCAAATTCTTTGAGGCTGCACGTTCCTGCAGAGAGGATGCCCAAGACAGGACCACTTTGAGGTGTCAAAATCTGATTACGGTGAAGACATAGATCAGATCATGACCAATTTCATAGCGCAAGAGTCACGAACAGCGAGCATTCGAGCTGCATCTGAAGGCAGCGGCCCCGAAGCCTGGCCTTTGCAAGGCTTGCTCTCCGCAGATTTTCTTCCGCCCCTGGAATAGCTTTGGCTGATGTTCTCCACTTTGATCGCTTGGGGGAGACGTGCTGTCTCGGGTCATGAACCCTGGACAACTTAGTTCGTCAACGCCGCAGATCGTGGAAAAGAGCGAGGACCATGGCAAGTATCGCAAGCAGCCGAAGTCATGGGTAGTCAAAAATCATGCAAGTAGATGCCAGGGCAAATGGCTAGTCCCACAAATAATCGTCGGTCGATGACAATATTCAGAAATTGATCCTAATGAAAGCGGGGGGCAAAGCCATCGCCATCAAGACCTTGGCTGCTTCTGGAAGGACGACAAAAGATTCGCACGAACAGTCTAAGGCCGCGCAAGTCTAAGAGACCCTTGATGTGACGGCTTAGAGTGGCTTGCGAAAAAGCATTGGTAGTGGACCTTTGGTGAAGACTTTTGGCGGAAGGATCCCGCTTGGACTTCGCCGCTCCCGTCGGTTACCGATGCCTCAACGAATTGGCCACCATGGCCATTACCATTATTTAACGACAGAAATAGAAATACAGGTATTGCCACTGCCCTTCGCTAAACGGCCCGTTGATTCGTTAACGAATTAGTACTCTAGATACAGTTTCTCATCTTGTTGGATGAGATGCAGGAGAGTCGTGACGGCGTAATTCAGCTGGAAAAGCCCCTCGATGAGAGCCGTTGATTGGGACGATATTGGGTTTCTTTAGTTCGAAAGCCCTCGATGGGCAAAGTCTAGTCTTGAGCCATTCCGGCGGAATTGGAGATTTTGGAAGTTTCCAGTGAGCCCATGGAAGCGAAGGACGAGTTCCCCGGCGCCGTCTCTGTGGGATTCAAAGAAGCCATGCCGCGTTCGCCAAAATGCCGCCTGGGCCATCTGAAGAACAGGGCCCTTGGAGTCGGATCGGCGTATAGGCCGTCAAATGACCGGTGCTGACAGTGGCTCTTATCTGACAGTTCTGCTGCCTTTGCGGTTATTCAATGTTGAGATGAGAAGTCTTAACTTTTTCCAGAGCCATACGGTGCTGGAAACCGTCGTTATCGAGCACACTTATGGTACCTGCATTGTTCCTGCATTAGGAATGGAAAAGGCAGTGGGGGTGTACCAATCATCTGGATTTCGTGATCGGGGCTGGTACAAGACGTACCAAAAAGCCAGTGTGTGGAGACAAGTAAACGGCTCGAAAAGCCGGGTCTTCGCTACGGCGCTGGAGGCGAAGATCAATGCTACTCCGGTCCATGCTGAAGGTGCACCATGTCAGGATAGGCATCGCGCTGTCTGCGCAAGGGCCCTTCGGGATATAATCATGCTGAAAATATGCTTGCACAAGATGGTTCGAGCTGAGCGTTGTGCTGAACTTGTGCGTGGGCACCAAGCGAAAAGCGGCCAGGACGCTATTCCCAAAAGTGGCCCGCCACATTGACTAATGTTTCCTGCCGAGTCCATTTGTCGATAAAAGCAAAAATAGGTCGTGGAAATGAAGTTGTCAGTTTTGCGTGGTTTTTCACATGAGATGAGCCCACACGGGGGGGGGGGGGGCCGGCATAAAGAGCAACAGCTGCAAAGGCAACCAGCACGTAGAGACTTCACATACACACATGATCACTACAAGCGGCTACACAATCTCCTTCAGGCTCACCACCAGCGCTGCAACGTAAGACTGACAGTGACGGGGCCGATCAAGTTCGTCTATGGTCGTGCCGCACGAAGGTCACAGCAAGTGAAACGCTGGCCTGCATTCGAGTGTGGTATCGAGCTGCGCTGCTGCAGCTTTAGCAGAGTAGCGAACGAGTCGATGCAGGCCAAAGAGGAGCTGACAGAGGCCGCGCGGTTCTTTGACGACTCCCAAGTCCATGTTTTTTTCTTGTCTATTTTTTCTGTTCACGACCTCGACGTGCATGTCGACAGGGTCGCGTGCAGAAAACTAAGTTTCACCATCTCTACCCCGCCCCAAGCAAGAAAAGTACCGACGTCTGGAGGCAGCGCGTCGCGGATGCGAGGCCAACGCGTCCTACCTCAGTTCTTGCGCGAGGATGGCGGAGATCATGCCATGATTGTGTGTCAGTCTGCGTTCTCGCTTCGTGGTCAGGTGCGAGAAATGCAGCTAGAGTTAGGATCGATGTTCCTGCATGATGCAGGTGGAGGAGACGGATTTTTTCTTTTTTGCCTCTCCCACATCGTTTGTCATAAGCATTCACATGGAGGCCGGACGCCTGATACCGAGCAAATGCTTATCGCTTGTTGCTCAACGTGGTGATCTTGGGGTGGCATCGGATGAAAGAGGAGCAGTGCAATTACGCGAGACCACGATCGGGTGCACATCTTTTTTCGTCCCCTACGCGATGATTCGACGGCAAAACGTGGGTGTAGACTGGGGGCACATAGGGTTTCATTGTCAGCTCGTGTGGGTTTGCAGACAGTCGAAGTATGAGAAGTGTCGGGCACAATCCTGGAGGGACGAAGGAAGGGATTATTTTTACGCCAGGTCCCATCCAGAGAACCAATTTCAGAATCCAAATCACAGTGGACGTGTGCGAGAAGTGCAATGCTCTTTTGCAGGGATGCCAATGTATCAGCAATCGATAATCGACTGCGATAGGTGTTGCTCGTTTCTCGTTTTCGAGACGCAGAAAATGCCTCCAACCAGTGGGATGTCTCCCACCAGCAGCTGCGGGCAGGGATGCAAGGGCTTGTCCAATGCGATCCGGCCTCTGCCCGCGCCGTTCGTGGCTCTCTTTTCCTATCGATTGCTTTATCGCCGTGACTGTGTTGGTGATAGGCTGCAAACGCAAATCTGGAGACGTACCGAGCCATCTCGTCACTTTGCTGCGTCACACTGAGAACTGGCGACCAGAGAGCACTCGGAGAAAGGCGCAGTCATCCAAGACACACACACGCTGATTCAACACGAAGCGTCCCAGGTCGGTGGAATCACCACGCCCATCTCCACATGTGCATTTCCATTGGGCATCTGGCGGGAGCCGTACTGGTCGACTGCCTTCCACATCACGGCAGTCACTGGTAGAAGAGCACAATCGATCATCGATTGTCAGGCCTCCAATACGGCAAGCGCACCTATAGTCTGGTGGCTACTAGCTGCTGCTGTAGTGTGTACAGACAGCGCAGCACTGCCCGGCCGCACGTCTCTCGCCCAGCCAGGAAGCGCCGTTCAGCTGCCCATCACTTTGGTGATGTTCGCGCGCGCCGCCGGAGCACACCACTGGCACACCACTGGACGCACCAGACGCCAGTGTGGCAGCAGCGGGGCCCGCTGCCGTGCCTCGGACTTGGAGCCAAAGGGGACAAGTTCCTGGCCTGGCACGGTGCGGTGCGTGACGGCAGTGTGGTATGTATGTGTGTGTGTGTGTGTGTGTGTGTGTGTGTGTGGGTGGGTGGGTGTGAGGGAGAGCGTATGTGCGCGTGTGGGCAGCACTTCCGTGCGGCAGTAGCGTGCCTATGACTCTGGGCTCGGGCGGAGGAGGCACGCAGCGGGTTCTTTTGCCTCTGCCGGTGCCTGTGCTGGTGCCTGGGCTTCGTGCTTTTTCGCGGCCAGTGTGTGCGGTGGAGGGCGCCGGCGCTGCGCTGGGAGTTGTGCATGTGGCCGAGCGCTCGACTCGTCCTCGGACTTGGACGCCTGCCACTCGTAATTTCTCTGGCCTGGCTGACGCAGCGAACAGCCAATGCTGGTCCGTGATGGCTGCATAAAAAGTTGTGCCGCGCGTTTTCTCATCTGGCCGCTTTAAGCTGGGCCTGCGCCCGCTGGACCGGCGGCCCCACGAGTCAGATCAAAGAGCGACGGGACGGCCTGTGCATTAGCGGCAGGCTGGGGTTTCGCAGCATGCAACCGGGAGCTGCGCCTTCGTCGTCCTTCCCGAACCCGCCGACAATGCCTTAGCCAATTCCGCGACCACTTAGCTGTGCCTGGCCATCGTTTCTTCTTCAAGACACTCATCGATGTCTCGCCCGCCGCTGAGCTCGCTTTCTACTTATCCGCCCGGTCGTCCCATACGCTCATTTCTCTTTCCTTAAGGGTTTATCAACCTCGTCATACGTCTCGTTCTTCCCTATCCGCCTTTTTTGTGCTTCTTTACATTTTTCGGACAGCATATCTCGGTCCTACCAGATCGATTGCTTCCTGCCCTTCCTTTGGAATATCTGTACTTGCCATCACGGTCCTTGCTTCCGGCGGATAGACCCTAACCCTCCGTCCAGAAATCGTAGTAGACAGCGTTCGACGCCATTCTCACGCTGTTGCCCTGTCACTCTTTGACGAGACACCTTGAAGTCAAACTCCTTGAAAGTATAGCACTCCCCGCGCTGCATTGTCGGCCACTCTAGCGTAATCACTATTGCAAGTCAAGCGTCCCACAGGACTGCCGCCCGTCCCAGCCAAAGAAAGGTGTATGTACGCCCGCCAGCAAGCTTCACACCGTCCAAGGAATGCGGGCGCTGACATCGACACAGAGAAGCGTCGTCTGAGCAATGGAGGGCGCCTACGCTGTTCACCCTCAGCCGTTCGTCGGTCAATCGCCTTTCTTCTACTACAATCCGGACCCAAGCCCCGAGAATCGCCAGCACGGTCACTTCACCCAGCAGCCACATGGCCTTGCTCACCCGCACTCCTATCCGAGTCAAGAAGCAATTGCTCTGTATTCCCAGAGACCCACGACCGCTTGCTCGCAGGCCCATGCTCCCATCATTCAATACACACACAGAGGCGTCATGACTCCAGTGCAATCTCCACAGCCCATGTATCAGAAGCCGCAGATGCTCGTTCACGAGAACGAGCAGTATTTGCTACCTCTAGATACGGACTGCTATCCACCATCAACGCCCCCACTGTCATCTTCGGGAAGCGCTGTGAGCACTCCTCCATCGAGCGCTGAAGTGCTGCCAACACCAATCAACGGTAACTTTGCGGGTCACGCCATAGAGGGTGTGAAGGCCGGTTGTGAGGAGGAAGTGTTCTCAGAAATTCTCGCTGGCGACAATTGGGGAACTGCCTCACCGCCTCTAACGCCTGGTAAGGACACCTTTCAATACCGCTTTTGCAGACCACAACGCGTAATTGCAGCCTGTTCTGCCCAAGTTTTTTCGTCTGTGCTCTGCGCATGCGTGCTAAAGGAGAGCATCCTAAACTAACCCGCGGCACAGTGTTCGTCCAATCCGGTGCATCCGCCCAACAGCCAGGGTCCTACCTCCTTTCTACGTCCGAGTGCCCGTCACTTTCTCCTTCTCCCACGCCAGCACCAGCCAGTGGTTCTTCTGACATTGAGACAAGCTTTTGCGATCCCCGCAATCTGACCGTGTCTTCGGCGTCGGATTTCCCCAGCCTGCCCACGCTCTGCCCTGGTGACGAGGAGGCCCAGTCATTGATGCTCAGGGGCGAGCTTTTCACACCAAAATCTGAAGAGCACAGGATCCCCACACCGCAGGAATTCCTAGGCATTAGTCACGGTCTGCCAACATTCGAGCCACTCTTCGAGCTGGACACTGAGGAAGACTCCGCTCAACCACACTTTCCTGTCACTGAGAACGTTCATTATCTTGGGAGCAAGCGTCAACGAACTGATCTTGCTGGGATCCATTGCGAGGAGGACTCGTTGATTGGCGACGAGTCTCTCGACGGCTTCGAGGCTGATCTTGCAGCCCCTGGCCTTCTGACTCCCTACGACACTGACGCATCTTTCGATGACATGAAGCCAAGGTCTCGAAAGCGACCGACAAAGCGTAACTCGAGGACTGACGAAGAGATTGATTCCGACATGCAGTCATCAAAGGACGTTAAAAGCCGCGCTGGCTCGTCTAGCCAACAAGGTCAACCTCAGGAGACCTCGGAAGAGGCTGCCGTAGAAACGGACGAGAGTGGTCACACCCCACCGACTCCTCAACCCGTCAGTCGACGTGGCCGTAAGCAGTCGCTAACAGAGGATCCGTCTAAGACCTTTGTCTGCAACCTTTGCTCACGCAGATTCCGTCGCCAGGAACACCTCAAGCGCCACTACAGGTCTCTGCACACGCATGAGAAGCCTTTTGAATGCTCCGATTGCGGCAAGAAATTCTCACGCAGTGACAACCTTTCCCAGCACCAGCGCACCCACGGTACTGGCTCTATTGTCATGGGCGTCCTCGATGGCACTCAGCTGGCGATGCCACTGCACTACGACCAGTATGCCCAAGACCCAAGCGCCCTTGGAACTAACCTCTACGATGCTGCTATTGCTGCCGGTGCCAACATGAGCAGCTCCTCCTCGCAGGGCTCTCTATCTGATCGTGACTCGTCCCAAGAGCGCAAACAGAAGAAGCGAAAGCGAGACGAGTGAACCAGAATCATTCAAGGGGTGATTTGCAGAGAGCAGGTGCCACACTTTACGAACGTTCACGACATCGCTTGAAAGCTAGACAATTACTTGGCTGCATCATGTTTCACGACCTTGGGAGGCAAAGGGTAGACTCATCGGCATTGGAATTCTTTTTGGAGTTTATTATTTTTTTATTTTCAAACTCCTGGCGCAACGAGGGGGAAGAGTGTCGCCCGATGATCACCCAAAAGTTCACTTCACTTCTACCTGTGTATCATCTTCATTCATACTTCCTCGCCATTGTCCACCCCGGTTTTTTTTATTTACTTTGCGCGGTGGCTTCAGAGGAATTTTGGCTTTGCATTCTGGGCGCTTTGAGATCAAAGGCGAAGGACGACGCTACGCGCTGTTTCGACAAAGATTGTATCAACATTTTTTGGGACTGCTAATGGCCTGCGACTTTTGGGGGCCGGCGACAGTACACTTTGTGTACGCACCATCTTTTCTTTCGTTTTTCTCCAATTCTTTTGTGCGCATTATTGTATCTTTTTTTTACTCTAGGCCGCTTTTCAGAACACTCCTTAGTGCTGGTCACGAACGAGTTAGTAGTAGCCTTTCAAGCTGAATAAAGAAATAAAAACTAAACACTGTTTATTCATATCAATGCTGTCACTGTACGTGTACTCTTACTAATTTCTGAAATCGACGTCTGCACCAAGTCCTGAATTTCTTTTTCCCTTAGCACAGTGGTGTTAAAAGGAAGACCAAGTTCCCATAGCACGACGTGAAAATTTCTAGGCCTAGGTAGAACTTTGAAAACCCAATAGCTGTACTGCAGAGAACACGATTAAAACAATATCCATCCAAATTCCTTTGCAATGCTTCTCTTCCTTATCTGCTGCTCAACTAGACTTTCCTAGCCTTGTTCAACTGTGTCTTTGTCGGCTTTTTGAAAGTTTAGCTGTGCTGAGTGCAACAAAATTTAACGCCAAAAATCAGTTAAGAATGACAACAAAGTTGAAGGTGATCGCTCTCATTTCCGGAGGGAAAGATTCACTATTTTCCGTCCTGCACTGCCTAAAAAATGGCCACGAAGTCGTGGCGCTGGCAAATCTATATCCGCCAGTTCTGCCCGGTGGTGATTCAATCGAGGACATCGATAGCTTCATGTACCAAACCATTGGTCACAATATCATCCCCTTGTACGAAGATGCACTCGGCATCCCTCTGTTTCGCGAGGAGATCACCGGAGGTGCCGTGGACACTGGGCGCGAATACGGACTGGTCGCAAATGGAGACGATGAAACCGAAGATCTTGTTCCTCTCTTGGAGCGCGTCAAGCAAGCGGTTCCGGATGCCAACGCCGTGAGCACGGGAGCTATCTTATCCACGTATCAAAGAACGAGAGTGGAAGCCATCGCTATCCGCCTCGGTCTCACGCCGCTGTCCTATCTGTGGCAGTACCTTTATCTGCCACCGTACAGTCAAACAGGTTTACTGGACGACATGAGAGCAGTAGGGCAGGATGCCAGAATCGTTAAGGTTGCTTCAGGAGGCCTCGACGAGACCTTTCTGTGGCAGGACGTCACCGACGAGTTCGTGATGGCGAAGATGAGAAGGCGGATGGACATGTATGGCGGAGGCGAAGGGGGAGCTCTGATCGGGGAGGGTGGAGAATTTGAGACGCTTACTCTAAGTGGACCGGCGCCCTTGTGGAAGAAAAGGATTGAAATTGGCCACGTTGAAAAAGGATCAGGAGAGAGCGGGATCTCTTTTGCACGATTGAAAGCCGCTAAAGTGGTAGACAGGGACGAGGCGACTCAACGCGACGCTATGAAGGAGCTACGTGTGCCTCCGCTGCTTGACGTTGAATTCGAGCAAGTTCTTCGTATGGCCGCAGACCTTCGTCATGACAACGGATTCAGCCCCCTAGAACTGTCGCAGCCTGCGCAAGACGGTGACTACTGGAAGAATGCGAACAAGAATGGACACGAGGCTCGTGACATAAGTCCTGGCGGCGATTATCTACAGCTAGCAAATCTCATGGCTTCACCATACGGCTCAGCTCCGGAGCAGATGGCAGGTATCGTAGATCAGTTGATGGACAAGCTCAAAGCACTAGGATTAGACCCATCTCACATCACTCACAGCACCATCCTGTTGCGCAGCATGAGCACGTTTGCCGCGATCAATCCCATATACGGTTCGATGTTCGCGAAGCCAACCCCGCCAAGTAGAGTTACTATTTCATGCGGAGAGCTCATGCCTCCGGGAGTTGATATCGTGTTATCCACACTTGTGCAGACGAACAAGCAAAACGATCAGAGGCATGGCCTGCACGTCCAGAGCCGGAGTTACTGGGCTCCGGCAAACATTGGCCCTTATTCACAGGCTATTAGCGTACCGTTTGGACCTACGCTGGCCGACTCTGAGGTAGACGCAACAGGTAGGCCAAGAATTGTGCATGTTGCTGGCCAGATTCCGCTGGTTCCCGCAAGCATGGAGACCGTGACTGCGGAACAGATGCCATGGGAACGCTCGCTGGAGCCCAAGCGAGAGAGTCTGAAGAGGTTCATTGCACAATCTGTGCTCTCTTTGCAGCATCTTTGGCGAATCGGTCGCGCCATGGAAGTTGTCGCTTGGACAGGAGCCGTAGCGTTCATCTCACGATGCTCACTGGAGGAGGCGGCTTCTAGGGCTGCTCTTACATGCAATACGTGGCTCAGGATCCACGACATAATACGGAACAAGGCCGTTGCTAGAGAAAAACAAGACGTGGACACTGAAGACGTAGAATACGACATCTGGGATCTTAAGAACAATGTCGCCCCAGTTTCAACCTCAAGAAGTGATGGTCGGGACTTGATGCCAGCTTTGCCGGACATCGCCAAGATTGCGAGTGGACACATGCATGCTGTGACGGATCCCCCGGTGTTCGCCGTGCAAGTAGAGGAGCTGCCACGAAGTGTGGACATCGAATGGTGTGGCACCGGCATCGCGTCTGCCTCGAACATTGGATATTCTAGTAGAGTACTCCGAGGTGCTTCTGAGCATTCCGCTTTTGTGGATTTCTCAGCCGATTCTCGTGCTCAATTCACGTATCTAGCCTTCGACACCATTGAGGGAGTAAAAGATCTCACGAGGGAAACGCTCGGCAAGGCCAACAAGTCAATGACAATGTTCGCAGCGAAACCGGTGCCGGAGGGGTTCGTCGGAATGTCAGACGTCCCTTTCATCCCTTGCTTCAGCATCCATGGGCGAGCTGGTGCAGAATTAAAATCCTTCGAGGCGTTGGTTATCATGAGACAAGACAGCAGCAATAAGGAAGAATGAATTTCTTCGCGGCGCAACAAACGAAATGCTTTTGCGTCAGCCGTGTGCACTCAAAGTCAAAATCTTCTTAATTCTCGCAATTCTCTTTTCTGTATTACTGATCGCAAGAACTCTTGGATTTCAAGCCGTTCGTAGCAGTTTACAGAGCAAGTGGACTTGTATACTTACCAATGGGATGCTTCGTCAGAATCAAAGGATTGAATTGTGGATCGTACCTCATCCCTTTGTCTGTCCTATTCACTGTCGCAATCACTTGGTCCTCCGATCAAACCAGAAATTTGGAGATGAGTGTATGGGAGGGTCCAAATGGGTTGCTATCGACTGACTACTTCATTACGATGGTCTTCATTACCTGCCTCTATGTTAAGCAGATGATAGTTATGTTACTTCTCCTGAGCAGAGAAGCTATGCCGTCGCAAAGAAGCAATGGGGCCTTTTTCCCATTGATCTATTCCAATATTTGTACGTCTACGATGCTTCCTGGTGAATCTTTGCCAGAAGAAGACCGAAAGCCACTCTAATACGTACATGTGTGGGCAAATCCCTTCTTATTAAACAACTATCATTGCTTAAATGTTGCTTTACAGAAGTCAAAGGCTGGTGAGGGTGACGAGTATCACCGCATGGTAGTCTTGCACATGACGTCTTCATCGACATCGAGTGATACTTAAAGGTTGCCTCGCCAGGGAGCACGATTTGGCCCGAGCTTACCGTCCTGTTACTCGACTGCTCCACATGCTCCAGGAATTGTACAGCATCATCACTACCTCAGGACCAACAGCGAATCGCAAATCTCCACTCCAAAACGAAGAATAAAATAATGAGTCAAATGATCCTCCCCGTGCGGACTCTTCCGCGAGCTCTGCCGCGAATTACCTGCCTTCGACCGAACCTATCATCGAGATTCAATCGTTCGATCTCACGCCTGTCTACACCATCGCACCTACAGCCAAAACGAGCGTCGAAGTGCACATACCTTTGTGAGCGAATACGGCAGCCGCTCGGATGCCGCTACAACTCATCCGCATCGGCCGTGGGTGCCGCATCCTCAGCTCAGAAGAGTGGAGTAGAGCCTCTGACCTGGAACCGCTTCCTCGAGCTGCGCAAGACGAGGAGACGCATCTCGCTCGTCGCATCCATCATCTGCGCCGCTGGAGGCGCGGCGATCGGAATCACCGTTCTGTCAACCTCTGACTTTGACATCATGCAATTTGGCATCGATCCAACCTTCGTCATTGGCGGCGCTTTCATCGGCTCAGCGCTGCTGGGTTGGCTGATGGGCCCATTCTTCGGGACTGCTGCCTTCAATCTGACCTACAGATCACTGACGCCACAGATCGCACAGGTATGTGCTCTCCCCGATGACAAATTTTCCACGTCTGTGTAGTGCAGACAAGTTCACTAGGCGGATGCTAACCACGGCCTTTCCCATCTTCAGAAGGAGAAAGAATTCTACAATCGAATCAAGAAGTTCAGAGTCGACCCCACTAGCTCGTCGATGCAAAATCCAGTGCCGGATTACTACGGTGAGAAGATTGGCAGCGTAGCGGACTACCGGAGGTGGCTCAAGGACCAGCGTGCTTTCAATCTGAAGAGAGGCAAGATGCTGTAATCTCGCCTTCCCTCCTCTACCATTTTGGTTGTCAGAACTACACATAAAATTCCTCATGTCTTGCAGTGTTTCGAGTTTTGAGGCCAAAAAAAAAAAAATTGGCCAACGCATGCTCTCGTTCTCTTTTTTTTTTTGGCGTTCCGGGCGACCATACTTGGAATTGTACGGCCTCTCGGTTGTTCAAGCTAGTCAGAAACCACCTGTTAACTAGCAGAGTGCACAGCGGTGGTGGCTACAGGAGATGCAAACGAAGGCCAAGCTGAGCAGGAAGGACTTCGGCAGGGTGCTCAGGAGTACAAGCATTGTTGTTCGGCAAACCTTTGCCTGCACTGCAAGAGCGGCACAAGGGCTGACCTATGTCTTCTGATTCGCCATGTACACTATCACGAGTGGCTTTTTCTGTTTAGAAAACGGATAGCCAAAGCATCGACATCTCCAATCAAACATGTTTCTGTAAAAGACAAGAATTATTTCGCCTAGCGTGACTACAAAATTGAGAAATTTTGGGTATCTCTTAATACTGCAAAAAAGTGTCCGGACATCTGCGCTTTTGATGAGTTTGTTCAGAAAGTACCCCATCCGAAATCAGAGACGCCGATGAACCGCACAACAGACCATTCCAGTAGCCAATAGCCTAGCCCTAAACTAACATCAACGAGACTTGCCAAAGCAACATGCTTCATTCCACTCGTCACAAAACCGGAGGTAAGAACACTTGCATCGCTGCCCAGTAACGTTGGCAGTGCCCAGGCTCGTGTGGGATCCACGCCGAAGAGAGTAGGCCGCTTTATGACGTGCCTCACTAAGCCTCGCAACACGAAGACTCTCACAGGCATGAGCAGCCAGCCGGCCACCCAAACATTTGTCAGATTCACCAACAGCTCCGTTGGTTCCAGCGCAAGCTTCGAAATATGGTGCGGCGCTTCATACAAGTCCATGTCGTTTCTCCTGCCTGTCGACGCTGGCTCTGAGAATGAATCCCCCACGCCACCGTTGCCGAAAGCAGCGTCATTCGCATGGCCGCCATGAGCCGCAGCGAGCTCGTAGCGTGTATCTTCCGGGAGACCAATTTCGAGGTTGACGGCACCATCGGGACCGATGGAGGATACGCGAATAGTTGCATCTGAGCTACGGTCGTGATCTCTGTCGAAGGGCGAGCCGTCACCTAGCGTTGCGGAGGTATGCACGCGCTCCAAGTGCGGCATTACTGGCTCTATCGAAGCTTGTGCTGTTGGCTCGATACTTGCCTCAGGGGGGATCTGCTCTGCACCAACTGCTGTGTCATGTCCACTATGAATCGGTTGATTTATAGACCAAGTTTCTCGACGACGTAGCAGAGGCTGAAAATGTGGAGCTGTGGATCGGTGTGAACGTAAAGGCCGACCCCATCCGAGAAAACAGAACAAGCGGTTGAAAAATGGGGTCAAGGTAGTCTCTTCATGCGGTAGCTCGATTATGGGTGCTGATGTGATCGATGCAGCTAAACGTTGGCTACTCGATCGCCGAAAGCGAGGGGCTTCCGTAGGTCCAAGGATTGAGGGGCGGAATGACTTAAAGAGATATTGGTGTACAAGCGATGATATAGGCCGAAACATGAAAAATGGAATCATGTGCCTAATGTCTGCGTTCCACTGTATTAATGAGTCTCCACAAAATGGCAGCCACGATCGTGGTGGCGGCAATAGCCAGAAGCTGTCAGGCGCAAAACCGAGGATTTGTAGTATGGAGTGAACCCGCAGGGGAAGTACAAAAAGGTTGAGGAAGACTTCGATTCTGCAAATATCGTTAGACAAAAGAATCTTGCATAATAAATTTGAGTGCTTTCACAGACCCTACTGCAAAAATAAATCTATAGCGCACGTATGCTTCCCTTCTTCGTCTCGACGAAACCCTCGCCCATATTTCGCGATCTAGATAGTCTAAGGCAAGAGAAGTAAGTATCTCTGGGCTCATGAGGTGGCCTAGCATAAACGACGGCAGCCCAGCAAACATGAAGCTGTGCATGCCCATCGCAAGCCTGTGCAGTCTTACGACTTCGACGAAGGAGATGTTCTCCGTTGGAAAGAAAACCAGGAGACGGTTTGTCAAGGCATGAATCCACCAGCTTATAAGCTGATAGTCGATATCGGCTGTAAGACCGACTTTCCAGCCAACGTCGTCCTCTTCCTCAACTTGACGACCGACGTGGGGAGATTCGAGGCTTCCGGTGAAAAATTCTTGGTTCACGGGAGTTTTACGTTCCGTGACGCCAATCACAGACAAAATGTCATTCTGAGCATCGCGCAGTCTTCGCGAGAAGCGGCGAGCCCATGGGTTGAACGGATGGCCACGCCTGTCGTACAGCTGGACTCCATGTGGCGGAGGTTGACTTGAGGCGTTTGCCTCCGTCTCGCTAGGAGCGGATTCACCTGGGGCATGAAGAGCTGAAGTCCATTCTCCCGCACGAGCAGCCGTAAAAGTTTCCGAGTCCTCTGGCGGTTCCAGTGCTGAGCGGCCCTGATGCAAATGTTAACGGCTAGTGCGCGACGGTGATAGAAGTCTCCTCAAGGGAGAGTGTTGGCGGCAGATGAGTGGGAAGACCTACAAGCGCAAGCCTCGCTAAATAAGCCTTGCGGCCCATGTTGAAGCTAGCTCTCGACAAAGTGTTTGTTATTTGAGTGCAATTCAATCATCATGCGTTGAAGAGGTGAGACACCAGGCAATCGTGAGGGTTGGGCGAAGGCTTGGTGTTGATCTCAGCCGTCTACCAGGGCAATATTAGGCGAGCGACGTGGACAAGGGCTTCCCCGCTAAAAATTCCCCGCCCAAAAAAACCACTTTCTCAAAAAAGTTTCGCGATACCTGTGAGAACCACGCACAACGCACAATGCCTGCTCCTACCGCGCTACAAAGAGAGCCAGAGGCGCTCGCGCAGCAAGAAGAAATCTCCATGACAGACACGCCCGCAGGGGAGGACGCTGGCGTGCTCCTGGACCCATCGGCGACTAGCAACGAAGTATCGTTGGATGTGCAAGAGGTTGCAACAGATGCGGATGCGTCCATGCAGGTTGATGTCGAGGGCAGGCCGAGGTTTGCGCCTGCGAAAGATGCCGGAAACACAATCCTGAAGGTGGAAACGAGGAAGATACCAGTCCCTCCGCACAGATTCAGCCCTCTTAAGAATAACTGGACGCAGATATATACGCGTACGTGTGATGTCCTTCCACGCTTGGAATCTCGCGTAAGCTAACAATAACCTCTTCCGAATAGCGCTTGTAGAGCACCTCAAGCTCCAGGTCCGCATGAATGTAGCTAAGAAGGCTGTTGAGCTTCGCTCTTCGAAACTCACAACCGATCCTGAAGCCCTTCAACGAGGTGAAGACTTCATTCGCGCCTTCTGCCTAGGCTTCGACCTCCAAGATGCCATAGCCATGTTACGGCTAGATTCTCTGTACATCACAAGCTTCGAACTGAAAGACGTGCGCCAAACACTGGCTGGTGATCACATCTCAAGAGCGATTGGTCGGGTTTGCGGACACGAGGGCAAAACTAAATTCGCCATCGAAAATGCAACAAGAACGAGAATTGTAGTCGCTGACCAAAAAATACACATATTAGGTGGCTTCAAGGAGATCAACATTGCCAGAGAGGCAGTGGTGAGTCTGATTCTAGGTGCCCCACCTGGCAAGGTGTACAACAACTTGAGAACCGTGAGTGCGAGGATGAAGGAGAGGTTTTAGTTGTTTTTCTCCTAGTTCAGGAGAGCACAGCTTTGTTACATACCCATTTGAATCTTTGGCGTTCGGGACAGGTCTCAAGAACAAAGCATGATGAGGCGTTTACGAAGAATAGACAGAATTAACGAAAACAGGAATTTTTACTCTCGTTCGTATTCTCGTATGTGCAGTAGACTAGGCAATCCTAGATGATATTTGCGCATCATGCACTGTTTGAGACCCATGCACGACCGCACATAAGCTAAACCATGACTAAAGTCCGTCAATCTCACCAAACCCAGCTGGCGTAGTTGAATGCAACGCCTCTTTTGAACCAGCTTCATTAGCAAAAGAATCCTGCAAACGAAAGCGTACATGCGAAACATCCCCTCATCATGCCCACCGCTGAAGATCATCTCAAAACTGTCGTTGACGGCCTGCTTGGCACATTATTCAACGACCGTCAATACGACCGCAAGAGCGAATTCCTCCACGACGAATTTATCAAGCACCCACATGATGGAAAGCCAGACATGTCTGGCGAGGAGATGATCAAGCAGTTCGCGGACTTGGCGAACCAGTTTCCGGACATAAAAAGCGTGGTAAAGAAAAGCATTGCGAACGCTGATCATGTATGGCTGTGGACGAAGGTCGAGGGGCTACCCGAGGGCTTCAATCTCGAAATTGTTGAGATATGCAGATTGGTAGACGGAAAGATCATCGAGAAGTGGGACATACATCAGCAAACTATAGCTGGGAGCCAGTGACCGAGGGGTGAAAGATGGTGATAGCAGATCGCAGAATTATTTTGGCCTATTGAATTGTAGATGAGCCCAGTAGAAATGAAAATGAGATAATGTGATGCTGTGAACATGAACATATATTTCTAAGCAGAGACGAGACCACGGCTAAGCATGCTATTACAAATTCCTCTCGAATCCTAAAAAATCAACATCCTTGAAGCTCAGAATGCCGGCTTGAGTGAATCAAATAATACCATGAAAATACTCAAGGATGTCAATCTTCCTAATCCTTATCTGCCCGACTGTTCGACGGCTTAAAGATCATCGATCTTTTTTTGAGCTTCGACCAGAATCCGCCGACATTTGCAAGACTAACTCTGGATTCCGTGGCAGGGTTCTCATAGCGTTTATGAGTCCTTGCCACAGATGTCGCTACATAACGGCTATATGGGAGACCTGCAGGCCCCGATGATTTCGCAATCGTATCCTCGTTTGCGTGAAGCGAGCCCACTACGTCGTAAGCCGAATCAGATTCGTAGCAAGCGATGAACGGACCGCTAGGCGAGGTGGGCGAGGAAGTACAGGCCGAGTTCTTTTCCTCGATGATAGGATTTGATTGAAGGCGCAGAGAGAATGGCTTCCTTGCCCTCATTGAGATTGTATCCAATCTCGGAGTGGCTTCAATCATTGCTTTTTCCACGGGTTCTGTGATATTTGGAGCCTTTGCAACTGCTCTAGCCAGCGGTACAGGTTCGATTTCGTCGTTTGACTCCGCTGGTCGGTTTAACATGCTGCGGCCTGGATTAGATATGACTGTAGCGGAAGTATTTAGCTCTGAGTTGGCCATCACTGCGTCCTCTTCACGATGTTCCGCGCATAACCTTGGTGGATTGCGTCCCTGAGACTCGTAAAAGAATCTAGAAACCCGAAACTCGTGATAAGGCCCTGGACCGAAGCAGAGGAGGTTGAGCATCGTTGACTTAAGCTGAGGAAAGCATTGGTCGCACCAGTGATGACCTGGAAAGTCATAGGAGGCCTTTGAGCTCGAAAGCTGCAAAATTTTCCCGCAAAGCTTGTTGGAGCAGCACACCACGTTGTCCATGCTTGGCCAGTCGTCCCTGTACTCAAAGATGCCAGAGACAAACATAGCACGGTTGCTCTTGAGTTGGAGCTTGCGACAGATGTCGTTGCACTCATGAGAGGAAAAGAAGAACTTGAATCCTTCTTTGCCTAGATTGGTGTCGGAGAGCTGGAACCGCTTGTCGTCACGAGCGTGTATGGCAGGATCAGTCAAGAGGCGGCCAACGCCTTGAAGATCGCTCACTAGAAATCTGCCCTGGGAGCGCTCGAACGTGAAGTGAGAGAACGCCTGGGCCGCTTGATTTACTGGATCGTTCGGCAAGTCTCTGTTGACCCAGTTTGTGTTGTTGTTATATTTCACATATTTGCCTTCCATAAATGGCTCCAGAGAAAGATGGTCCTTACGAGAAGCGGTCCTGCGCTTGCTTCGCAAGCATGTCGTGGCGATGAAGTCCAGAGATGATTCCTCGCCTAGGAGAGCGTTGAACTCTAGAGCGAATGCCTTGCAAAGCGCTTGACAACGCATGTCCTCAACCAAATGTGCTAGCTTCTTCCCCCGTTTCTTGAACGACTTTACAACGAATCGGTTGGTTGAGCTTTGAGTGCGAGCGTACGTTGCGACACGCATGGCTCCATGTGCGAAGGGCTTCGATCGCTTATTGATAGTTAGCTCCGTGATACTCATTTTGATATTTTCGTCGTCTTCCATCATGTCATTCAGAGTGCTTGCCCCATGGACGCCCACGTCCGGGGAAAATCCTTCGACCTTAATGGTCTCGTTTAGCCATCCTGGAGCATCCCATTGGGGCACAACCTGACCATAAGTCAGCAGAACATCTTGTGCACAGGTAGAGAGCCGTGCTCACGTTTTCCACCTCGATTCCAGGGGCATCAGCGTCATCCATATCTTCTTTGATGGCGTCCATCCCGTTCCTCTTCCGTTTCGACTCATATATGCTCTTTCGTGGTGTCGAGGACGATCCAGACAGTCGCACTGCAGTTCGAGATGCTGACGATGTAACGTTTCTCACAACAAAATGCCGAAGTTCTTCAAATGAAGTCCCAAGCAATCTTTCCTCGAATTGCAGCGTTGCCCTCGAGCTGCGAAACGAGCTGCCAGCACGGTAGCTGCTGCAAGACTTTGAGATCTCGTCACAAGCCTGCTCGAAGTAATTATTGGACGGATGCAGTTGACATTGAGAGCCTTTCTCGAGATAGATTCTTAGGAAGTTTAATGCCATCCGGTCTGTTAAATTGGTGATGCGCAAGAGGGCGTAATTTATGTTCATGCCTACCATCCGATTTATCAAGGGCGCATATGTCAGACCGTGAGGTTCACTGCCTGGTTCGGCAAACTTATCTGACGAATCGCCCATATCGTGAGAATCTCTACCGTGGGGCGGAGCATCAGCGATGTGTATAATGCAGCGTGTCGCATTTTTCCAAGTCGCGTTCAAAGCCCCGTTAATGCCACCAAGCATATCCTCAGGTGCATCATCCCCACCAGTAGCACGAAGTCCATTGATGAAAGAATGAACTCGATCGACTTCGGTGGTAAAATCGAGAAACTCAATGTTTGGATTATTCATATGATCTTTATAGCCGACAACAGATATTCGAACTTCCGCTTCTTCCAAGAAGGCAGCTTTGATGTCTCTGACTATATCTTTGACTTGCGTTTTTGCTGCATCGATATGTTCGGCCATGGAGGACGTGGTGTCGATGAGGAATAGTAAATCCGTCGCACAGACTGACTTGAAAAGCCCTGAGTTGGCACGTTTCGGCACATTGGCACTACTTGCTCGAGCATCAAACTGGAGTTGCTCGATACGACTGATACTCAAACTCGATGCAGCGGACCCCTCAGCCTTAAGCCGCCGGTTAAGTTCTCGTAGTCTTCTGACTTCTTCTTGGGCATTGCGGAGACGCCTGAGAGCTTCAGTACTGGCGATTGAGCTTCTGTTCCTAGATTTCTTTGTGGACTCAGTATCTCTGACATCAGAATATGCCGACTGTGTATAAACCGGGAGAGTAGACGAAGTGGATGACGTAGATGGTATTCGAATAATGGGCGGTCCTGAGACCTGAGGAGAACCACCATGTGACTCATCTACAACATCATCGTATGGAGGGGGAGAAACGGTCATAATTTTCTGTTATGATAGGAGTATAGAAGGAGATCTAGAAAGCTACGAATACAGGGTAAGTTGTTACGAAAGTCAGAGAGGGTGCACAAACGAGCCTAAAAGAAGCGAAGTGATGCTCAGCAACTAACATGGAGCTATATTTCGACGATCGGAAGGCTGGGAGGCGAGGTGGGTGAGTCTGCCTGATGGCAGAGCTATTTCTCGTGGAGTTTCACTGTGCCTTGTCTGGACAGCAAGCACTAAATTCACATGTAGCTCCCAACGGCAACAGATGGGCCGAATTCAAAGCTTGGGCTTCCTACACACTCTACCTTGCCATCAGTCTAATGCTCACCGGAAGCTGGGCTTTGACGGACAGATGACTTCGGTCGACAGCCTCGTATTTGGCCTGCGGCCGCGAATTTCGACTCGCCTCCTTGGCTATTAATCCTGCATGTCTTGTCTCATCTATTTGATAAGAGCCAATACAGCTCAACAGAATCACATAATTATAGAAGCATGAGCCGAATCGCTTGCTGAGCTAAAGGAGAAGCCGAACGGTGGTACTGGCACAGTCGCGCCCGCGACTTTGATAGAGCCCTAGTACGGGGGACGGGATCTCGGAAACTGAAGTCCAGGACCGCAGCGCACAAGCCACCAGATCTTTTTTTGCCAAGCGCATGCTAGCAAGAACGGGACGAACTCCACCAGCAGTGCAAAAACAGTAGAGGTGACGATGATGTGCTGATCCTTCAGGCCGCTACTCTCGAAAGATTCCTGTGACTTCGTGAATTGGGGACAAAATACTGGTGTGTCCATTACTACTCACGCTATGGAAATTAAAATTCGGCCCTGCTTCCCGATTCGCTCGACAAAATATGAAGAGGGGATAATCTGAGGCGTGAAAAAGGCTTCAAATACGCATACAAAAGCAAGCAGAATATTCCACATATCATAAACTTCGACGGTATTAACCTGTCCTGCGCCTCTGGCATCCGACAACGCAGCCTTACAAGCAAAGACATAGGAGATCAGAGCAAAAAAAA